GCGCCGAAGAGGCTGAAGATGTCGTCGTTCGATGCCATGGACCGCTCACGAAAATGAAAACGGAAGCTTGCGCTCGGTGCATCCGCGCTCGGATTGGCCAAATACATTTCTTTTCAGCCAATCATCATGGATTACAAGGGCATGCGGTCCCGGATTGGTGGAGAAACCCAAAGATATAGATCCAATGAGAAACCGACCGCTGGACGTGGCGGAGTGCAATCTTTTCCAAGTTGGTCAACCTGTCATGTCCTCGCCCAGATAGATAGTCCTTGATTGACGCCCCGCCCCGGTGACGCGCCAGTACCTCAGACGCAGGGCGCGTCATGGCAGCCAAAAATGCCAGTGAATAGTACCGTGCTGCTGGCCAGAAGGACCTGACTTGTGGGAGCCCAGTTGCAGGAAGAATATGATCGAGTAGCATCGCACCGCCGCTATGCTGCCGTGCCAATGACACTTCGAGAGCAAGCAACTGCCGCCAGATAGATTCTCATGCTTGGTCGAGTCGCCAGCCATCGAACGGTGGTCCCAGAGCTCTCGAGTGCGTTGCTTGGATGCTAGGAGGCGCCGTTGCAGCGGGACGTGGGTCGAGGCCACCGGCTACAACCCCCACCCAAGTGTCCATGACACGCCAAGTGTGCATTTTATTACGTACATTTTATTGCATTCCTTTCATTAAAATACTCGAGATTCTGTTTTTATAAAACGCCGCTCGTTCCGTGCACTGAATTTCAACCGTGTGGGCACAACTCGAGGAGCAACTCATCGTGTGCCAGGTCGTTGCCGCCTGGTGGCATGCCACCACACGATCATAGCCGGTGTATGCTTGGTAGTGTGTTTCTCGCTTGCCACCCTCCTGCTGATGCCGGGCGGGTTGTTGAGAGTGAATTCCGCACGGATGTGTCGGCTGCCTTGTGCGGACCCTTGCCGCAGCCGTGTGCGCGGTCGCTGCTTCTTTATTGCTAGCAGGTGGTGAGCCAGCGAACGTGTTGCGAGCTGTCGACGGCCTTGGCTTCCATGGCTCCCTCTGCCGTTCGGTCGTTTTGAATTCGACGCGCACCAGGCGTATTTTAATATTTAATATTGTTTTAAATTACACCACATTATTTTACGGCCGAAATACATTTTGGTCGGTCGACCAGTTTGCACTTTTGCCCCGCGATGGCCGACGACCTCGTCGTGAGCTTCTACTGCGCCTGCAGCAACGTCAACGTCCGCGGTCCGCCGCAGAGCTTCCTCCAAGGCGCCTTGGCCTCACTACGCGGGCAGTCGCCCGACGTGCCCGAGTGCCAGCTGCTCATCGAGCACCTCTCGCAGGCCACAACGGCAGGCGCGCCGAGCTCGCTGCGCATGTACGAGACTGAGATCGCCAAGAGCAGCAACCCATCGTTCGTCCTTGGCATTGAACTGCCGCTACCCACGACCAGCGTCGAGGACGTTGTCCACATATCGCTTGTGCGCGTGCAGGACAAGCTCTCGATCGCCTCGTGCGTGGTTGCCATGCGCTACTTGGCCAGCCAGGTGCGCCTCGGCGCGCCTGTCATCTACATCCCGTTGACGCTGCGGAAAGGCCATACCACGCCGCCCACGATATCGAGCCCCGCGATGCTCGGCGCGAAAGACCCTGCGATCGCCCTCACCGTCGCGCGGATCCGGCCACTCGCGCACCCGCTGGTCCCGACGCAGCACCATCTCATGCAGACGTACTCGTTTCCGTCGACGACGCTCGGGCCGCGGCGCGTGGCCGAAGAGATCATGGAGGTCGGGTACCATACGCGCATTCCCAAGCTCTTTTTAAAGCACATGCACGCCGAGCTACAAATGTTTACCGAGCTTTGGCACGTGCGCTGCGAGAACGAGCGCAAGCGGCAGCTGATTTTCGACTCGGACGACGATGCGCTCGCCGCTGGCTGCGACGTCTTTCACGTCGCGGTTTTGGAAGCCCGCAACCTCAAGCTCGACGGGATCCCGCCACCAACTGCGCCTGCACCGACGACGACTGCACCTACAACGACGGCACCGACAACGACTGCACCGGCGCCGACATCCATGACCATGTCGCCCAACACGGCAGCGACGACTGTTACATCGCCAACCGCCACCGCCATCAACCCGTTCATTCGCATCTCGTTTGGCGAGACGGACAAGCCCGAGGCCGGGCCCGACGCGCCGTACCCGGCCACGCCCATGCAAGACGTGGGCCGCACGCGCACCGAGATGGCGACGTGCAACCCGGTGTGGGGCACGCATCGCCGGACGTCCGTGGCGTCGACGTCGCCGCAGATGAAGAAGATGGCGACGTCGCTCAGCGCCGACGGCCCCAAAAAGCCCGCGTCGTCGTACTCGATCTACCGGCCGTCGCACCGCGTGTGCAACTCCAAGGGTGTCGTCCAGTTTAGCGTCTACCACGAAGCCATTTCCAGAGTCATGGAAGTGCCCATCGGCCACGTCATTGTGCCGTGGCGCATCCTGAAACTCAAGTCGACGTCCATGAGCCCGGACACGACCTTGCCCGACCCGGACGCGGAGTATGTCTTTGACGTGGACGACTGGGTGCCGATCTACCCGCGCGGGGACCGGCGCTCGATGCTTGGCGGCGTTGAGCCCGTTGGCGAAGTCCACATCCAAGTGCGCATCAAGTGCTCCAAGGCCAAATTTGGGCTCGTGAGTGAGACGGCGCTCGGAGCCGTGGACCAGACGCCGATGTTCCGCCTCGCCGACAAGGCCAAGGACCACGAGCTCCGGAAGCGCAACAAGCACTCGCACATCCGCACCGAGCCGGACGGCGCACCGATCCCGATCGAGACACTCGCCAAGCATGTGGCGAACCTCGACGGCCACCTCGCCGACCTTGAAAAGATGATGGAAGACGTGGCGGATCGGGATGCATCGAAATGCTGGTTTCGGTCGTCCAAGGAGAAGAAGGAGCTGCTCGTGCAACCTTTGGCGACCAACCTCCACCTCTCGTACTTTCGGACGTTTGCCGAGTCGCCCGTGCGTCGGTTCAGCACGGGCGCGTCGAGCTTTCGGGCGTCGTCGCTCAATGGGATTGACGTGCCGGCCGTAACGCTGGACGTGCAAGACGCAGTCACGGCGACGGTGAGCTGCGGCGCGCCGACGGCCCACGCATTGGGCCTCGACAAGCATGGTCTTTTGGATTTGGAAGACGCGATGCTGGCCGCGACGGACGCGACAAGCTTTGATGCGGCCAAACACGCGTACATGTACCGCAAGATCCTCTGCGTGTCCCAGTCGCTGAGCGTCCTCGTCACGACGTTCCTCGCGCAGCTCGAGCTTGCACTGAGTCCGTCGACGCGCGACGGCATGGCCGTTCTGCGTCAATGGACAAGCATCGGGTTTCTAGTCCAGTGGGAGTCGCTCGTCTCGTCGCAGGGCCACGAGCTCCGCATGCTCTCGGACGCTTGGGTCGCCATCAAGACGCTCGAACGGTTTGTGTTTCAGTTTGAGGGGCAGACCGAGACGTCCCGCATTCGCCTCACGACGGCCCATGACGGCAAGGGATACGTCATCCACGTCCCACTGCCGTCGTCGACACTCGTGGCGTTGCCCGGGCCGCTCCAAACTGGCGCCACGATTGCAGTCGTGCCCGTCCTCTTCACCCAAGGCATCAACGAGATGCAATCGCTGGCCAACATGATGGGCACGACCGGCTGGGACCTCCAGCACAAGGTCAACCAAAAGGCCTTTAAGGTAGGAGAGACCCTCGCTTCTCTAGTTCGTGGATTGGACGCCAATGCGTGCGATCGTAGACGCTGCAAGCTTACGCAGCCAGCTACACGGCCATGGACGAGCATGTGCATCTCGAAGGGTCCGCGCCAATTGCCGCCTTGCAGACACTCACGTCGCTGCTGGAAGCCGAGACAAAAGCGGCGGCAACCAAGAACACACGGCTACTGCTCGAAGCGTCGGACGTCGTCCGGTGTCTCAACGGCGGCCGCGTCACGTTTTGCAAGAGCGGGAAGGATCGCACTGCCATGTCGATCACGCTCGACCAGATGCGGCGCGTGCATGCCACGTCGTCGGTAACGAAAGACGTCGAAGCGCTCGTCAAGCCGGTCGCCAACGTCATGCGGGCCCGCGGCACGCGGATTGAGATTGCGCAAAAGACATTGGCGCGCCTAAGTACTCGTTCAACGCCCTGCAGCGCAAGATGCTGCCCAAGATGTACCGCCCGCCGCTCGAGTCGATTCAGGGCATGGCAGCCAAAGGCCATACGTGATCGTCGCTTCGTCTTTCTTATTTTGTTCTTAATGCTATTCCTTGTTTGCGTCGTTGGTCGCGTCGGGGAGGGCAAGCGCGGGGAGCGGTATCGCAGCAAGTACGGCGTCCGCCTGGTCCGACGACGCTGCCGGGATGTCGCCGGCCGTCATGGCGGCTTCCTCGGACGCCTTGAGCTCGGCGGCGAGCGCGAGGACCGTGGCCATCGCCGGATGCTCGGCAGGAAACTGGTGCTGGAACGCGCTACGTAGAAAGTGCAAAGTCATGACGTGGCGATACGTGGTAAGTTCGAACCGCAGAATGCCATGCAGTGTGCCCATCTCAAAACCCTTGGCGGCGCCGGCCTTGTAGCCGTAGTCAAAGCCTTCCTGCAGCGTCTGCTCCTTTCCCACATCGATTCCTTCGCGGAACCCGACCTAGCATGGTGCTACCGACAGACCGGAGGAGGCAGGTGGTACCGTTCGTGACCGCCGCTCCATGGCTAGCGACTCCTTCTCCATCCAGACGCGGTCGTCGACGACGCCGCCGTCGCTCATGCCATCGCTGTCTTCGTCAAACATCACTCGCGGCCGCCGAATCTGACTGGCGCTGCGCCGACGCTGAGTGCTGGTCGTGCCAATTTACTGGTATAGTGTTTACTCTAAATAGTGTAAAACCGTGGGATCCATGTACTATCGCGGCGCCCCTGCTTCGCAAAGACGACGATGTGTGGGCTACGATATAGCACTCGCCTCTTCACGCTTAGGAGAGGAGCTAGAACCACCGCAGCAGTGCGTACATGGGTCTAAAGTCGCTGAACGGGAGGTGGATACCGACACTATTTCAAATTACCTTAACCAGTACGTCACAGTGCAATCCACGGCAGCGGACGGTCAAATTTCAGATTCGATTCGCGAGGACGACATCAAGACGAATGGCGAAAGGCGACAAGCGGGAGTCCAAGAAGGCGCGCTCGGGCAGCGTAGAGAAGCTAGCTGTCGCGACGCCCAACGAGCCGGCCAAGCAGCGCGTGTACGTCCAGGTATGTCTTACTCGACGCCATCATGCTTCAATGCTCTGTGGCACCAGCTGCGCTTCGACGACCCGGCACTCGTGGCCTATGCTAGCTCTGGTGCGTACGCTCTCTCTTCTAATCGAGATGTGTAACACGGATTACGTAGTGAGACAGCAGTGGCAGACGACGACGCAATGGAGCGCCGACGTAGCCGTGACGCCGGCCATTGTCCTTGTCGAAGCCGACGTAAGCTCCGACACGCAGCTCCACGCATTGCAATCGCTCTTGGCAAGCTACGCCATGCCGATGCCCGCCATCGATGCGAGCTGCCGGCTCCAAGTGCAAAACTCGCCCAACGTGGCGGGCAAGCGATTGAGCCTCACGCTGCAGTTCTCGGACGTGTTCAAGACGTTCTTGGCCAAGGTTCGTTGTACACGACTGCGCTCTCGTGTGCGATGCATCCTGTCTAGACGGGCAATACGCTGCAGCTCAAGCTCCAGAGCCTCGGTATCAAATCGACTCTCAAGTGTGAACTCGGCAAGAAGGGCCCGCGCGACGCGATTCTGTGGGCACTCGACGAGACTTCGCCACGCAAGACCCTCCAGAATGAGATCCAAGAGACGAACCGGCAGCCATTCACGACACCAGTGGCGCTCTCGACCTTGATGGTCTCGACCCCGAACGCGATCCTCTCCGTCCTGCGCAAAGGCCCTCCACTTTGTCCATCGAAGACGATGCCATCGGGTCGCAGATCGCGGCGCATGTCTCGTTTACGAGCCACCAAGTGGTCATCTTGCGCGGTCTCCCCGGCAGCGGCAAGAGCACGCTCAGCCGGCGCGTTCTCGCCATGGTGCGCCGACAATCCCACACGGAGCTAGCTCATTTCTCGGGTTAGGCGACGGCAGCCGACGCAACCAACGTGCTTTGCAGCGCCGACCTCTGCTTCGAGTCGCCCGGTGGGTACTACTACGAGAAGAGCAAGCTTGGCGATGCCCATACCGCCTGCAAAGAGGCGTTCCACGCCGCGCTTGCTGACAAGGTGGCCGTCATCGTTGTCGACAACACGCATTCGCAGTTGTGGGAGTACGAGGCGTACGTGACAGGTATCAACTTGATATATCGACATCTGGATAAGACCTCATATGTCCTCTGCCTTAGGCGCGCTGGAGGCCGCGTACGCTGTCACGGTGCTGGAAGTGCAATGTGACGACATGGCGATGGCCCAACGGATGATGTACCGCAATTCGCACGGTGTGTCGTTCGATGTGATCGCGCGCATGCACCAGCGATGGGAGGCGCATGTGCACGCATTGACGCGCCACGTGCTACTGCCACCCGTCTTTACGACCAGTGACAACCGACGGGCACTGCCGCTATTGCTCACTGAGACCAACGACGTGTATATTGCAGCGGTCTTCTTGACGCCAACGTCCAAGGCCAAGCTCCTCGAGCGGATTTCGCCCAAGCACAAGACGATCGTGGCCGAGCACATGACGCTTGCATTTCAACCGTCGACCGCGTACACGGATGCGCTGCCGCTTGGCGCGCCGTGCCGCCTTCGCGTGCTCGCCGAGTACGCAGACGCCCGCGGCCACTGCGTGCGCGTCGAGTGGGCGTCGACGCCAGTGCCGACCGAGGGCCAGCGCGTGCTGCACGTCACCGTGTCGTTCGAGCCCGACGTCTCGGCCGTCTACTCGAACGACCTGCTCGCCGATGCGAACGCCTCGATCGTCGACGTGACGAGTGAAAACCTTATCTTGGACGGCGTGGTGGGACTGGCCTTGCGCCCCCAGTCGGGGCCGCGATGGGCCAAGCCGCAGCTGCTTGAGCTACCCGCAGGTGTGCCCGAGGCGCGTCGGCATCGGCAGCTCACGCTGTTGCGAAGCCCGTCCGACACGGCGCCGGACATCGACGGCATCATCTCGACCCTGGAGCGTGTGGCCGAGCGGGGCAATCACCTCGCCGTGCATGCGCCATCGAGTCTTGTCAAGCAGCTCGAGGCACGTGGCATTGTCTTTCACACAGCACTCGACACGCGCCATCCGTGGCCACAAAGGTTTGCGTCCTATATTTCGTGTCTGTAGCTAAAGACAACTTGTCGTCGTCTAGTGTGCAGACCCTTCTTGGCACGACGCTCCACTCTATCACCAACGTGGTTGTCGTCGTCACGACGAATGTCGACGTTGAGACGCTGCCGTCAACATCGGTGCCCATAGCTGTGCACGCGACCTCGTCCACCGCAGCGCTGCCGTCGCTGAGCCGACGCGTCTTTGATGCTGAGATCCTCGCACACGTGCGCGTCGCGTGGAGCCGCGTGGTGCAAGCGCCCATTGCCCGTCTCTCGTGGTCGAGTGATGGCCGCCAACTGCGTGTCCCAGCGCCCACGATAACGGATGCGACGGCGCTCAACCGGCTCGGGACGGTGCTAAAGTCGACGTATGGCATGCGCGTGACCGCGCAGCAGGATGCATTGGACGTTGTTGTGTGCGCTGCGTTCAGCCGGTCGTTCCGCGTGACGGCGACCATGGCGTCGTGGATACCAAAGGAGTAGGCAGACAGGATATGGATTTCTACATCGCGTACTTTGTCTTCTTGTTCGTGATCGCGTCGTACTGGAACTGCACCATGTCTGGGATGTGCGAGCAGTCGCGGACGAAGAGCTCCTGCGCCCACTTGTGGGCCGCGATCATGGGAAACAGCGGCTCCAAAATCTACATCCAAGTCGAGTCGGCGTCGACGAGACGAGATGCAACTCGACACGTACGCGTTCCATGCAAATGTACCAGAGGATACCGACACCAGCACCGACTGCGACGCCGACAATGACCTGGGCGTAGCTATGGTAGCCGAGATGGATGCTACGCACGACCTTGGACAACGCGTTCATTGCGTTGTGGGCGTACCGAGAGACACAGCAAGGAACGCCAGTGCGACGATGCCGACGATCGCCACCTTGTGCTCCCACTCTCTTCGCTTGCTCATGCTAGAAGAGGATGGAAGGATGACGCCGACGCATGCAGAGAGATGATACCGGTTGGACGTGTACAGCACGACGTATGTCGCGAAGAAGGCCATGAACTGGGCGTGGGCCGAGGGCATGCCTGCGTCATGCATCTCGGCGCCTACAGTCGCATCTTTGGTGTGCATGAAGATGGCGACGGGGTGGTATACCATCCGGGCGCTTTTGATCGATTGTGCGCTTGAGAATTTGGTTCACAATCTCGTTGAGCATCTACGCGCTGGTAGATCGTATCGGAAGGCGGGAGTGGGATCGTACCTGGCCCAGAAGCATGCAGATGACGTGCAAGTCGCGCTGGAATACGATCAGCGTCGCATACATGACCATGATGAACCTACGCAGTACATGAGCCTCGCGAGCGTGGATGATGCGCTAGCCTACACGGGCGAGAGCGTCACAAGCGCGGCGAGGCTCCCAAACGGATCGTCGGCTTCGTACATGACCTAGCGCCGTCGATGAGCACGAGACCATGGATTCTCCTCGCTCGCACCGAGGTCAGCGTGAAGAGTTTCTTGTTGGTCATGGGCACGACCTCCGAGACAAGCGCCTCCTTGATCATTTCGACCGCTTCGGCAACCGCAGCGGTCGCGACCGGCGCCTGGACGGCCTGCTGCTGCACGTGCGCCACGGTCTCGACGGCCACGGTAGCCGCGATGGCGCCGACGATGGCCTCGGCCAGCTCGGCCGGCGCCGCCTCGTCGGTCGGCGACGGCTTGGGCGTCGAAGGCGTCACGGCCGGGGCCTCGGTCGTCGGCTCGGCCGTCGTACAGGCCTCGCAGTTCTGGAACGCGCCCATTTCCAATTGGCCCGACTGGCGAAACCCCGCGTATCTGGCAGACGAGGATTGGCTAAAATAGGTTGTATGCATGGCATCTGATTGGTCCAGCAAAGAAAAACACTTACAGCGGCCATAAAAGTAGGTCGTGGACAAGTTGTCTGTGGCCGCAGGTAGAATCGATCCGCACGCTTCGTCGCACTCCAAACGACCCATAGTCAGTTTAGCATCTAGTCTGAAGCGACTAGACTCGATTGTGACTACTTGTTGGAAGGCGTCGAGTCGGCCGGCTTGGTATCCCGTTTCCACACCTTCGACTTGAGCTCGTCGTAGGTGAGCGGGTACTCCTCTTCCGCTGCCTCCTTGCGGTGCATCTCATGGAGCGTCATGGTCGGTGGCTTGACACTGCCGTAGCGATACGGCTGCTCGGTCTTGCCGAGGATGAGGGGCTCGGGGGGGAGCCCCTGGGACATGAGCGACCGCGCGACGGCCGAGACGCTAATACCCCGGCCCAACCGCATGGCTGGCGCATTGTTCGCTTCCCCTTCTTTCTGCTTCTCGATCGTTTTCGTGTGGAGCGTTTGGAGCAGCTCGACCATTTTCTGCTCGATTTCACCGAGCACCGAGTGAAGCCCCTTGTCCTCTACCCCATCGTTCGGTGCATGACGACGACGTGCATGCTGAGAGTTCAATTCCGCACCTTGGTTTTCCTTGCAGCCGATGCGCACATGCAGAGCGATGAGTGCGGGCTTGAGCACGGTCATGGTTTGTTGAATTTCCAGCGTTTTCTCCAAGAGCCGCGCTTCCTGCTCGGCGGCTTTCTACATGCATTGTTTCGATTTCGGGCTTTTTGAAGGCAGCACGCGACCTCTTGGCGGGTCTTGAGCGTCTTGTTGCGCTGAAGTTTTTGCACGTCGACCGCGTCGTTGCGCATCTTCATTCTATCCAAACGGTGAGCACGTCCCTAGAACCAGGTTGCATGGACTTGGCGATTTCGTCCCGCAGCTTGGCGCACTGAGCGCGATGGATCTCAATGTCTTCAGCGAGTCGGTTGACGTACTGGACCTTGGCAAAGTGCTCGAGCTCTTGCGTCGTGAAGGCTTCGATGACGTCGACGACCGACTTGGTGCCTACGTGCCATCATCATTATCATCCCACGTCATTTCGCGTCGCCGAATGGAAATGTACCGGCGACTTCGTGGATTTTTTCGATAAAGTCCCGATTTTCGTTGTACTTTTGAATCGATAACTCGGACGTGACTTTTTCTTGAATGCTCTTCCACCGGCTTCGCGTGAGCTTGGATTTGTTGAGCTTCTCTTCAATCAACGTCTTGTCGTTGCCCGGGTTGAGGTATTTCTTGGGCGACGCGACCGCATTGTCGTCGAGCGAGTTGGTCATGCTCTCCGCTGCCCGGTGTTTCAAATCCTAGACTGAAAATGGACAAGTTGTCTTCATATTGCATCCATCTACCTTGAGAAGGGCCGTCGCTTTGTCTTCGCAGAGCTTTTCGTACGCGTCCGTCTCGCTCTTGAGCGCATCGAGCTCGGCGACTTTAGCCTGGACCTGCTCCCGCATGCGCTCGACCTCCTTGGTCTACACGGATGGCGCTCCGTATCGAACGATCCAAGTAGACCTCTCACCTGGGCTTGGATGTCAAAGGCCCGCTGGAACACGTCGTGTTCGATCTTGGCGTAGAGCACGTCGGCGGTCGCGCGCTCGGCCCGCTTGATATCGAGCGTCTCGCGCAGAGCCTTGTTGGCCGCGAGCTTGGCGTTGAAGCGAACCATTTTGCGGTCAATTTCTGTCTCCATCTTTCTACACACAGCTCTATCAGCACCATGTACCATCGCTGCATGTGGAATCCACTTGATTTTATTGACGAGGTGGACCTCGCTGAGCTCCATGGCCGTGCCGTGGCCGAGCGAGAGCTTTTGCTCAGCCAAGATGCGCTCGCAGTCCTGGATCGCGAGGTCGTGCTGTGCAATCTTGCGCCGCTCAATCTCAATCATGCGCGTGTACTTGTTGCCTGCAATTTGAATTTGAGAGACTCGGTGCCAACGACATGGCATTACCTTGGGCTTGGACGTGCGCCATCTCCTCGGCCGACGAAGGATTGTAGTACGGATCCTTGCGCGTGTTGCGCGAGTCAAACTCCAACTAACTTCAATGGTGGTAGGGTGCGACGACGATGGAACGAAGATGACCTCGTTCTCGAGCTGCTTGTTCTTCTCCTGCATTTCGGCGAGCTGCTTTCCGATTGCATCGAGCTTCTTCGCGACCTCTTCTTGGTGGCGCCGCCCGTCGTCGCGCTCGAGCTCCATGAGCTGGTGGTCGAGCGCATGCGGGTCCTTGGGCATGCTGTATGAATATTGTAGAGAACGGAAACGGCTTGTGTAACCTTATCTCGTGTGCGACCGACTAACTATGGTCGACCACCTCGAGACTTTACAGTTAGTAGACAACACTGTAGTCCACGAGACAGCAGAATGGTTCTGGTATCAATGCCATCAATCGTAAAGTGAAACAGAGACCGACGAAGGTGCTCTATACCCAAGTTCCTGCTCGCGGCCCCCGTGCCTACCGTTGGTGACAGTGGTGCTGCTTGCATCATGCTTGGTGCTGCTGTGACTTGCATGCCCCTGAGGAGCTCCAGCAAGTACACGGCGACGGCGCTATGGATAACCTGCTCTCGCTGTCACAATCCACGTGTTGAGGCAATGGGAGGGAAAGGCCAAGCACAGGGTTCTTTGATACTGACCAAGCATGGACGAGCGCACCGTGGGTGGGATTGGCAGCTTAGCAAAATGGAGACGCCGCCTTGACGCAGCACGGGTTGCCCGTGAGTACGAGTTGCTGCTGGTAGCGAGCGGGGCGTGGGCACAGACCGAGTGCGTTGTTGGACAAAATCAGCGACTCGAGTTGCGGAAGCGACCATACACCGAGCGGAGCCGTCGCGAGCGCGTTGTGGCCGAGGTCGAGTCGCATCAAGCGTGGCCATGTGGTCGCCTACACCCTCAGGACGCATGAGTTCTTGGATACCTTCACAAACGCAATTGAACATTGAGGAGCGGCATCGCGTCGATCTGGTTGAACGAGACGTCGAGCATGACGAGGCTGGAGAGGTGTAGCAGTGGCGACGGCAGTGACGGCAAATGACAAGCAGAGAGGCGCACTCGCCGCAGATTGGTCCACGCAGAGGCTACCCACGCTGGCCACTCGATGCGGCTCCAGTCGGTCGTGGAGAGATCCAAGGTCGAGACGAGTGGCGGGAGATCGCGCAGCGTTAACGGAAGCGTTGTGAAGACGCTGTCATGCAGCCCGAGGTACCTAATCGCACTGGAATCAAGCAAACGGACTATCGCATCGCATACAAGAGGTTGGGAAAGCGGGATAAATGCAACGATATTGCGTCCGCGTCGTTGCGGCAGCGGACGAGCGAGAGATACCAAAGCGACCGAAGCTGCTCGGCGCCCGAGACGATGACGGACGCGTGCTGCTGCGTGCAGTTGGTCAGCGAGAGCGCATTCATCGACTGCGCGGCGCGCGAGAGCAAGTAGTCGCTGACGGTATCCCGCTCCTGCAGGGCGCCTAGCAGTCCATCAACTGGTAAGCGCTGCAGGTGTAGGTGAAGGGCGTGCCCGTGCTCGCACAGGTGGCCGTGAGAAACTTGCACTCGCACCGCTGCGAAAAGAGAGGTTGGACATGCCACGGCCGGACAAAGCTTGCGCAGGTCATCCTCGAAGTGGGTGGCATTTCACACGGCAGTGCCGCGCGCAGGACCACCTACGCACATGATCAACGACGATTTGATGGAGGCGATCGTCGGCACCAAAAGAAGTGCTGCGGCAAGTAGCGTCGAGAACACCAGCGTGACTTGAAAGAGACAGTGACGACGGGCGTGTGCTCGCACTTCTTGCTTGGCGAAGGCGAGAAAGGCTGGGAGGTCGTTGATCGTGGGCGAGACAGATGCTTTGCTAAGTGCAGGAGCCACGGACGTCTTGCTCATGCGCGACTGGAGAGACAAGGCAACATTGCATTCCGTATCCCACGCGCGTTTCAAGTGTACCTTGACGTGCGCCGAGCGACGGGACCGTGTCGACGATGGCAGCTTGGCGGCGACCGTCTACCCAAACGACCAATGCACACTCTGTCTATCGATCTTCGTACAATGTTTTCCTTCAAGAACGCGCGTCGGCGGACGGCGCAGACGCTCTGCAGCGTCCAATAGATCACTCCGAGCGTGACCGTGGCCGAGATAAGATCGAGTACCGACCCTATCTGGTTCCCGTTGGCATCACGATCGAGCCGACGAGGCAAAAGCACTTACGGCAAGGGCGCGAACGACCGAGAGGTCGTGCACGTGCTCGATGGTTGGCGCGTCTGCCACATCGCCGCGCCGCAAATGGAGCACACTCGGTACAAAAAGCAGCACGGGAATGGCCACGCCAAGCACGAGGTCAAAGGCCAGCAGTACAAGCGAGATGCGGATGCGACCCGCTTGGATCTGGTCACGCTTGTCCCCAGACACATGCACTGCGTAGAAATTCCACCTAGAAAAGATGCGTGGCGTGGGGCAAGAGATACGGCTTTTACGCCAAGAGCGGGGGCACGACGAGCCACTGCAGGGTCAGCACGACGCCGTAGACGACGACCCAAGCCGACTCGACCTGGCAGCTGAGCTTGTACCCGCGCAGAAACTGGATCGGCACGATCACAACTTCGCGCGCGAGCAGCCGAAGTTCGTAGAGCGCGCCTTTCTGGCTAAAGAGCCCCTTACTCCCCAAAAACCTACCTCGACTCGCACTCCAATATCGTGCTGGGTAGAAGCGAGTACCGTTTAAAGTACTTGTCGGCGGTCATTGCCACCGTCACGGCTGTCAACTATGCCGACATGTCTCCAGTGCCATCATGATCGAACAGTAGAATGATGTACTGTACCTTGACGTGCAGATGCTGGACGTGGAGACTTCGTCGGGCGCCAGGGTGCCCATGGGCAGCCAAGCCAGCAGCGATCTCGTGTCGCACGACGTGCCAGTCGTGGACGTCGTCGGTCGGGTCTTGGAACCGTGGCACGACCGCGGCCCGAGACGACACTTGGCTGCGAGTGTGCCGCGAGGTCGGTAGCTGCCGCATCGAGCGCATGCGCGAAATGATCCCGTTGAGGCTGCTCCGTGTGTGGGCGAGCTGGCAAAGACCATAGAAATGGAGGAGGGCACAGCCGAGGAGGATGCCAGCTGTCACCAGCGGGTTCGTCTCTGGCGCCGCGAGGCGAAGTGGCACCGAATCGTGCAAGAGAGCGTGGGCACTCGCAATGCACACGGCGTAAAGGCAGCAGCCGGCACCAATCGCGTCAAGCTCACTGGGTTTGCTCAGCCGCCGCTGTCCGTCCTTGTCGGCGCGCTCGCGCATGAAACGTTGCAGAATTGACACCGGCCTTTTGGGCTATTTTGGCAACTTTGGATGGGTTTGGAACGCCATTATTGGTGAGCCGCCATGACACATCACTGTGTTTACCAACAAGGATATGACGTGGCATCCTGCTGGGCGGTTTGCCATATTCGATTTCGTGGGGGATTAGCGTCTTGAGTGCTAATCACTGCCACACGCAAACTGGCGACGACACACTACAGTGTTGCAATACGGCGAGCACACGGGCGACGCAAGCCGTTGCGGATCGCAGAGCGGCGCGCAGCTCGTCGAGCACGCGTCCAACGCTGTCGTAATGCAGCACGGATTCGCGTCGAGCGTGTAGAGCGTGAGGGGCCGATGCGGCGCGCTGCAGCTGACGAGCCGATTGGCCGCCAGCGTAAGTGCCGAGAGCTGCGGAAGCGACCATAGCGCGTCTGGGATGGAAGTGAGGGCGTTGCCGCCAAGGTAGAGTGTCGTGAGCTGGGGCCACGCTGTCGTCTATCGCACCACTGTTAAGAATTGCTTCGTCTCGCTGTTGCTTACAGGAAGCTGCGGCAGCGTCGTCAGCGCATTTTCCGTCAAGTCGAGCGTCGTGAGGTGGTGCAGTGTCAAGATGGGCAGTGGCAGACTCGAGAGATCGCAGGCAACAAGGGATAAGACTGTGAGGTTGCGCCACGCCGAGCTGACCCAGAGCGGCCATTGCTCGGAGAGCGGGCTGCCGCCGAGGGCAAGGACCGACAAGTGCGGCGGCAACGCCGAGAGCGCCGGTGGAAGCTCCGTCCATGCTTGGTTCCGCAGCGTGAGGTACCTAACCAGTGGACATGACATTATGTCAATAGGACAGAGTGTACAAAAGCTTGGGAAAGGCGGCGAGCGACGGCAGAATGTCCGAGTTGCGCAGAGACGCGCCATCCAGATGGAGAAACCAGAGGTTGTGGAAACGCTCCAGCGACATCGGCACTCGGTGTGGCGCGGTCATGGAGCAGTTGGTGAACGTCATCATGTTGACGTACTCGGCGGGGTACGTGCTCAAAAAAACATCAAAGGTGCGGTAAAAGGCGTCGAGCTGCGCCGCTACGTGCCCAAATATCAATCTTTCGAGTGGGCGCAGTGACGGATACGTACATGACAGTGTCGTGCAGTCCACATGGACGACTTGGCAGTGGCACGGCTGCGGTGTCAAGTGGAAAAGTGTCCACGGTCGCAGCGGGTTGTGGCACGACATCACCGGCGCATTCATCGGAAGCGTGCACACATCGGTCGCGAGCGCTTGAAATGTGGCCTACGCACCGATGAGCCGCTTTGTCAAAAAAACGCAGAGCCACATACGAGGAGTACGAGAGCGCCACAGCTGAAGCCAGCGACGCCAGTACAAACAAGCCCGAGGACATATGGGCGCCGTGGCTGCGGCATCACTCGAAGCGAAAGGGACGCCTTGCGGCGCGCGGCGACAGAGCCGCGAAGGACCTTCTCGGCCCATCGCCGCGTTGTTTCCTACCGAAAAGCTATGGGACGTTGACTTGGCTGTGCGCACAACCTGCGGGGTCGTCGTCCACCACTCGCGTCGGTGCCACTAATACGTGAGCATGCAGGCACAAACAAATGACATGGAGTCGACGACCTTGGACGAGAGCTCGGGGATGCTCAAGCGCGGACCTGGCACCAGCGCCACGGGTCGAAAGGCGCCGATGCGAAAGAGCTTTTTGATGAGCTGAAATCGCATTTGGACCGACGCCGCCATGACCTAGACGTCCGCCGAAAACGTCGCTCTGGATTCGGGATCGAGCGCCGTACCACGTTGGTATGCAAGAACGCGCCAATCGCGTTCGTGTGGATGCTCTGAACCGTCGAGTAGATGAGTAGAAGCGGCACGCTCAACGTCAGCAGATCGAGCACCGACGTCACCTACGGCACCCTATCAGCAGAGGCAACGAGGTGTTAACGAACCATGAACGTTTCGTTGACGGAAATCGCATGCATGCTAAAGTGAGCGTTCTCAAGCACGCGCGGGTTGCGCGCAAGGGTGTAGACAACGGGCACGAAGACACACATGGGCACGACGACGCTCAGCACCAAGTCCAAAACGATGATGAGCAGCAGAATCCGAATCCGGTGGTGGCGGTACACCTCTCGCGTCGCGCGACACTGGTAGTTGTAGAAATTCCACCTACCCCTTCATTTTGACAATATGTGCAATATTGACAATGTGTACATGACAAGCGGAAGCACGAGCATGCAGTGACACGCCCACACGACGCCGTAGAGCGTGACGAGCGGACTCGTAATGCGATGGCTCAGCCGAACGCCGCGAACCAGTTGCAGCGGCAGGATCACGGCCTCGCGGACAAGCAGACGCACTTCGTACAGCCGGCCCGTGCGACTGAAAAGCCCACGGGGTCCAAAAAACCTAGGTCAAGGTGCGTGGGCGACTTGCGGCGGCGTTGGAAGTTAACTCGTACCGTTTGAAGAGCCCTTCGGCCAGCATGATGGCGTGCACCCAAACACCCTATGTAGCTCCGTCTGCATCGCGTTCTCGGTGACGATGGCCATGTACCTGGAGACGCCAGAACCACAGCCGCCACCGCGACGGTGGCGCTGTCGTCGACGCTTCAATCGTCCTGCGATGCAGATCGTCCTGAATGACTCGGAGGTCGGGTGCCACTTCGGCCGACCGCAGTCGAAGGCGAAATAAGCTCCGTAAGCGCAGCGAGACCTCGTGGAACGGCGACGTGTAGCTCGACTTGGCGTGCCGCTGCGTTCGCGTGCCAAGTGGCTTGAGCAGCCGGAGGTGGCTGGTCGTATCGTTGACGCGGGTCCGCGCGCGGTACAGCTGGACGCCGCCCACGGCATGCAGAAGCGCACAGAGCGAAAAGACCACCGACGACCAGAGCGGGTTGATCGCCGATGCGAACGCAATGATGTGCGGTTGATTTGTAAAGTACGAGTGGACGGCGGCGACCAGTAGCGCGTAGAGACTGCACACGATCGTGATGGCGTCGAGGATGCTGGGCCGGAGCCGACGACCCGCCATCCCGGTTGAAGTTGTATTTATAAACCGTTGCAGCCGTTGCTCCAAGCTGTCTTTTGTCGTTTTATCATGACACATCAAGTTCTTAGTGTGCGTCCCCTTTCTATGGAGCGCTCGGATTTCGCGTGCATGGCGCAGCGACAGGAAGCGGTGCGTATCCGGCCTTGACCCAAGACGAACGCGGGCAGTGGCTTGTTTGATGCTACACGGAACAGCTCGAGCTCGAGCGACATGAGATGCTGCCGTTGCAGAACGGACTGCAGACCGGCGACGCTGCATAGTAGCTGTCGCAGAGTGGACGGCAGCTCGATGCACAGGCTGGGACGGTCGTCGACGCGTTGCAGCACGGGTTGTCGTCGAGTGTGTAAATACCAAGTGGCATCGGCGCGACTGGGCACGACGTGAGCTCGTTCTTGGCCAATGTGAGCGTCTGGAGGCTCGGGAGGGCAAAGATGTTGGGTGGAATGGCCCGTAGCTGGTTCCCTCCAAGGCGCAGATCCTTGACGCGGGACCATGCTCCGCCCTACGCCAGTGATTCTCATGCGCAGGCTTACGAGAGAATCGCACCGGTACGGGTGGCAGGACAGCGATCGAGTTGTTGGTCAGGTCGAGCGTTGCGAGCCAGTCGAGCTCGAAGAGAGTGGTCGGGAATTCCATCATGCGCGCGCTCACGACGGTTAGCTGGGTGAGGTTGAACCACGCCGCGCCCACCCACGTTGGCCACGTCCGAAAGGATGTCTCCGAGAGGTCCAGCGCCGAGAGCAGTGGAGGCACCTGTTGTAGAAACAGTGGGAGGTCGGGCCATGGGTTCTGCCGCAACGACAAGTAGCTACGAAAGACGCTCTGAACAGGTTAAAGCAAGCCGAGTCACGTACACCAGCTTGGAGAACTGAGATAGTTCGACATCTGGTGGGTGCTGGGTCGGCACAGCGCTGGCTTCGAGGCCCCATAGATCACTGAGGCGCACCATCGACGGGTAAAGGCGACCCACATCACACCCTTGGAGCTTGAGATAGTTGATGTGCTCGGTCGGGTATGTCGTCACAAACGTGGCAACGTTCTCGTACACCTGGGCATCTAGTTTGTATCATGGTATCAAGTGGCGATTTCAAAAATGGTGGCACCCGAATCGCAGTTGATGTGCACAATCTGGCAAACGCACGCTTGGTCCCACAGCGAAGACAAGTGCCACGGGCGAAGGCTGCCCGCGCAGCTCCAGTGGTCGGTGAGGCGCGGCGGTAGACAGAGAGTTGCAGACGCTGCGCGTAGCACCACCTACGTAGTAGCCGTGCAGTGCAAAAGCTGTCTGCACAATAATTCGTACAATAAGCACCAAGACGGCGGCTGTGCTACCGACAAGCAGCGCGGCGCCAAAGAGAACGAGCCGACTCGAGTGGTCACGCACCTCTTCGTCTTGGATGCGAGTCAAATGCTGCGTCGTGGGGCTGAGCGCTTGATGAAACGGAACGACGGGCGTCCCCCGCAACTTCTTCAGCGACGGCAAGCTAGCAAATAGCTACAAGAAGCAGTGAGGCTCGTATGGTCACATCATCATGTGTGGACCGAGGCGAGATCGCGCGATTGTTGTCTGCCCTACTCGGAAACTGGTAGGAAGACCCGTCATGGGCGTCTGTTCGTACGCCTGGGCTGAGGATGGCCCCATTGCGGAGGGCTTTGGACGGCAGCCGGCCCTCCAAGTCGGCCAAGTTGAAGTACTTTTTCAAATGCGCTAGCTGGTCCACGGGCGACGCGGCCGTGACCTACTCGCGACGATGCCCACACAGTTGGTTGTCTTCCAGCGCGTACGATGCTGTCCCAGAGAAATGCCGTCACGCGGGCTTCGTGCAGGTTGCGCAAGGTCACTGCGATCATAACCAGTGGCACGGCCAGCGCCATCAAGTCCAGGAGCGACGCCACCTAGTCCACATATCCAACGGTCGATATATCAAGTAATGCAGACCATGAACGACTTGATAATTGAGACGGCGTAGACGTCAAACGTCACGTCCGAGAGGATCGCAGGGTTGATATAGTAGCGCCAGTAGGCCGGCACGATGATCGCAATCGGGATGCCGACGCTGAGGGCCATGTCGAACGCCATCACGAGCACGAGGATCCACTCCCGGTGCTTCCGGCGCTTGGATCGATGCCGCGAGTCGGCATACTTGTAGAAATTCCACCTACGCCAACGTGCGTGAGTTGCATTTCCTCTTACGAGATGGCGAGACGCGATGAGGGCAGGCATGAGAGCGCATTGCAGCGCAAAGATGAAGCCGTAGAGCACGACAAAGTTGTTGCGGATGCGACCGCTCCAGTTGACGCCACGCACCAGCTGCAGCGGAGGACAATGCACTCGCGCACGAGCAGTCGCACCTCGTAGTGGGACCCCGCACGACTGAAAAAGCCTTTCGGCCCCATGAACCTACTCCTGTTGACCCATCTCTTCGAATACATAGCAGCAAACTACCGAGCATAGTGGCCTTCGCCAGCAATCTGCAGTCGCACCCATCGATCCTATCCGACGATTGGAGAATCGGCCAAATCCATCAGCATTTGCCAAGACGACGCACCTTCCATGTGAGCACGAGCTTTTGCAGCGGCATGCTGCTCACAGTGGAAAACGACGGATGGCGAAGGGCAGAGCGCACGACTCGGAGGTCGGTCGCAATCTCGTTGGATCTGAGACGAAGTCGAAAAAAGCTCTTGAGCCGCAGCGCACGCGTAAGGCGCGGCGCGGCTTTCACAGCTCTGGGCCGGCAGCCACGCACGACGAGGGGCTTGATGGCGCGTAGCTGGCTCGTCGTCGTGTTGATGCGATAGCGCGATGTGATAAAATGACAGGCGACACGGGCGTGGAGAGCGCTGCAGAAGGCAAAGACGACGCCGGACCCGAGCGGATTGAGGAGCGAGAGAAACGTAACGACGGCGGGCATGCGGGCGAGGCGAACGTGCAAGTACGCAGTCGTCGCAGCGTACAGGACGCAGACCCACGCAATGACATCCGGCGCTGAGACTCGTAGCCGGCGCTTGAGCATGGCGCCAACGGACACAATTTGGCAGAAATAGCAAGTGCGGCCAAATGCACGGTCATGCGTTACCTGAAACGATGCGTTGGGCCATCTCGATGGCGACTTCAACGACCACACGAGCTCCTAGAGACTTAAACGGGCGTGAGAGAGGCTATTTAATGCCACTGTTGGCTTTGTCAAGGGCGTCACAGATCGACCTCTCGACGGCGCTCGTCAAGTCTTGCGCTGCCAACCGTTTTGTGTCGGCACTGTCTACTGCAACTCGGCAGTTTCAGTACCCCTCGGTGTTTTGAGTGAAGACTCACATGAGGTCACTGGTCTTGAGAGGCCATGGCTACGAGCATGACTCTTCCTCACGACGACGTGCAACATCTTACGCGTCCTTTTCATCCAAAGCCTCGTCAGGAGGATGTGGGTTCGGATAGCTTTCGCAAAATCACAACGTAGAGTCAACCGTGGCTACAGCATGCCACAGTGTTCGCACAGACAAGGCATTGGACGTCGACAATTCTCAATGTAGCTGTCGACCATGCCGGTTCAACGAGGCACGTCACGATGGATGCTCAGGTCCTGCAAAGCTATCCTGTACGTCGAGCAAACGAAGACTTGAGAGACCCAAGAGCGGTCCTGGAAGCGTCATTAGCTGGTTGCATACTAGACTACGCTGCTGCACATTCTTCGACGCCGCTGGGATCCAGCTGGGCCAAACCGCCGACGCCATCCCGACACAACGTCAAAAATGCGGCAGAAGGAACCTAGCTAGCACACGGAGTGTCATGCGATCTGGCGTACGCGCCTTCAGAGGTCATTTGAATATGTACGACTCGCTCCTAGTACGGCATGCTTGTGTAACTAGCAACATCGTTCAAGTAGCTAGTCGAGTGAGGTTGTAGTGGGTGGTCGTAGCTCTCGCTCGCTTTGCCTTTGGCTTCAACGAACGGCGTGGCGATTAAGAGACCATGGGGTCATACCGCGCTTACGAGCAGCTCTACACACTCTCCTACGCATCGACAAATGGCGCTGTGCTGTCTGCCAAGGCGGCCATGCAGGTCAACTGGGCGCTCAGCAGCCCAGCAGAACGAACTTGGTCCGTTGGCGGCAACTTGCGATATCTTCAAACGAGCAATTCCTTCTTTTGGCCAATGGGATGTCGTGAATCTGCATTTGTACTCGACATCTGCCGTAGAGTATGTACATTAAAATTGTTTAAAATATTTTCACCGGCCACGAGATGGAGTCGGCGCCGGTCCAGAGCTACAGCGGCGCCGGTCAGTCGTCGCCCGCGGCTGGCCATCCGTCGCGCTCCGCACCGCCGCCCGTGCATGTCCCGCCCATGGCCGATGCGCCGACGAGGGTACGCACGACGCCGACCGACCGCAGCAACAAGGCGTCGGCCGCGCTGTCGCTGGACTCGAACGACGACTTTAACACGTCCGAGCTCTTGAACCTGCTGTACGCGTTCCACAACGCCAACACGGCCGACGAAGTTGTGCTCGTGCTGCAAGCGCTCTTTGGCTGGTTCCAGGCGCAGACGTTCCATCCAACGCTGACGCCGCCGGAAGCCACAGGTCCGTTTCTGCCGATCCAAATGCTGCGGGAGGCCAAGAACGAGTTTGTACAATGTGCACAGATAAAGCAAAGTCGGCAGCCGTACGTATGGACCAACGTCGTTGCAAAGCAGTATGCGATCATCCTTCAGCACCTCCTCGTGGCCATCCAAGCTCAAGCGCAGATCCGCGCCCCGTCCGCGACACCGCCGCCGCACGCACTCCAGAGCCAGCTCAACAATAGCATTCACGAAGCGCACGCGCAGTACTCGAAGCAGCAGCAAAGCCGACAAGCAACGCCACAGCACGTCATGCACTCGTCGGCGTCGTCCTTGGCGACGCCACCCGTGCACGCGCCCAGCATTAGCGTGCAAGCCGCGACGCCGACCAACACGACGCCTCGAAAGCTCGACTTTGGCCCGAATTCATCGACGTCCTCGTCGTCGCTCGTGGTCAAGGTGCCCAAGAAAAAAGCGCTCGAGTCCAAGCCCAAGGTGGTGCAAGCAACCGCGCCGCGCCCGTCTGGTCCCATCAGTGAAAGCCCTTTCTTTGTCGACATGACGATGCGGCATGCAACGCCCGGCGCCGACGACGACCACCTGTACATTCCGGTGCGCAGCATCAACAAGGTCATGAAGGCCGCGCTGCCAAAGGAGTCCAAAATCAAGATCGCCGAGGATGCCAAAGGTATAGTATATATATATATCTGTGGCATCACGTCCCGACCACGTAGAGCTCATGCAAGAGTGCGTGACCGAGTTTCTTCTCTACTTGACGAGCGAGACGCGGGACCAAGCGATCGTCAACAAGCGCGGCAAAACGACGCTGACAGGGTCGGACGCACTGCGAGCACTGTACAACCTCGGGTGTGTGCGTCTTCTCAAAGCTTGAAGAACCTCAAGACGGCGTAGGTTCACGCCGTATGGCGACATCCTCGGCCTCTACAACGACAAGATCAAGGTCATCCAGGAAGAAGCCGCCAAAGTCAAGGTCGAGAAGCGCGCGGCCAAAAGCCAATCCACAACGACCAATGGTGTGCTGGGAAGTGCGCCCGCCGCCGACCTCGTCAAGACCGAGCACCTTATCGTTCCCTCCAGTAGCACCAGTAGTACGAGCACGCCGCAACTGTAGACGCGGTGAATACAGGACACACACTCTTGATTCTCACGACTCGGGGATATTCGGACGCACAACGTCGAGTCGCGTCGTCCACGGCGCTTCCTACCGCGCCACATCCATGTAGCATGCGGTGCATCGCAGTGTCTCGCACCTCGACGAGCGGGGCCAGCGCTGCTGGAAGAAAACGCAGGTGCTGCGACGCGTACGCTCGCCGTGCCTCGAGCTCGCGCTCTTCGGCCGCGCGCAGCCGCGCTTGCATCTCCCGCGCCTACGCATTGGGTGATGCCATCGAGATAAGATGTATGGCTCCGAGGCGTCTACCGCGTGCAGATGCTGCTGGGCAAAGGCCTTTCGCCGTCCGAGTTCGATGGCCAGCGAATCAAACGACGCTTGGAACTGCGCGTAGAAACCGTGGAGCGTCAAGAGCTCTTCGTACAGCGCGCGGGTCGCGCTGTAGAGGCTCTCGTACTCGACGTTGGCGTCGTGCATGTCGGCAAAACTCTCGACGATCTTGCGGTCGCATTGCTCCATGTCGACAAAGTGGTCGAGCTACAGAGACGCAGATGAGGAGGCGCGCCGTGGGAGAATACAGTTAGGCGAACGGCTGTGTCGTAGAGCAGACTCAGCCGGTCGACGGCGTCTTGGCTGGCCTGGACCAGCGCGAGGGACGATGACGACACTTGGGCGCTAGAGACAGACATAAACATGAGCTCCCACGCGAGACCGAGGTCGAGTACGCCGTGCTGCCATCGAGCAGCGTGCGCTACGATGGGCGTCAACGATAGTGAGCACAGATCCAAAGGTGTTTTACGTGCTGCGGAATGTTCTCGGCGGTGCGGGCAACGAGGTCGCCGACGTGGCTGGAGACCGTCGCCCACACGTCGCCGCCTGGTATCGCAATCGCTTCAAACGACGACGACGCGTCACCAAGGATCTCAAAATCGATCGTGTGGTAGAATTGGAGCATGGATCGGATGGTATCGAGGGCCATCGCATGCTTGGCCACAAGCGCATGCAGCCTATGACACATCTCAGATGCTCCATTCATGTGAGGCTGGCCAACATGGTGCCATGGGCGGCAGCGTCCTTCTGCAGCTGCAGCACCGTGTCGCCATCGACAAAGTCGAAGAGCGTCTTGCCCTCTTCGCCGCCGACCTGGCAAATGCAGAATCATCGAGAAGAACGCAGCGAGGCGCAACGAAATACCATGTTGGGGTCCACGGACTGGCCTTGAAGCGCGTCAAAGATCGAGTTGATGTTGAGAATGACCTAGCATGTCTAAATGATGAAGGGCGAAGCGTGCCATCGTGTCCGCACCGGCTCGTGCGTGGCCAAGAACTCGGTCGTCGCCGCCCGCTGCGCCTCGACGGCGGCCTCGCTCGCCTCGACAGACGACGCGACAGCCTGAATGCGCATCGTCATCGTCGTGCAGATCTCGTGCAGAAGTCCTTGGAGACCAAGCGCTTGCTCATGGAGCTCGGCGAGCGCCAAGCCATCGCGCTTGATACCGACGTCGCACTGCGAGACGGACATCATTTCCAATCCAGATCTTGCCGCAACCACGGTTCACTAAACCGAACCGACTGGTTTAACCGCGGATTTATTTGTCTGGCCGGTTACACCACCCCCGCATCGCCAGATGCGTCCCCTTGCGACCGCTCGTCTATCATGGCACGCGAGATGCAAGCAAGTCTTTCGTCGAAGCTTTGACCTTCATCACAATCATGACGAGGATGTGCTTGAACCTCGGGCTTCAACCTTGACGTTGTTTACCAGCCACACAATTCACCGCTACCACAAATTCGTCAGACAGGCGCCGTGATGATCATCAGTGATGTCGCTTTGATATGGTATCTTCCTTACATGGTCGGCGCATGCCGTTAGCATGGCGATCCATCGCCGTCTTCATGGGCGTTGGTGCGCCATTGCTGACGCCATTCGCCACTGACGTTCCACCGAACTCCTCGAGTCGTTGGGCGGAACTGGGACATCCCGTGGATATATCCCCGAGTAGGGGTCGGGGTGCAGCATGCATTCCCTTGATCCAGTATAGTGCCGCGTGCGCTGGTACCAGCTTCTTTTGAAGAAAATGCATGACTCGTGGCGCTTGTCTTTTCCAAGGCAATTGGTGCGGGGTTTGTCCCGCTGGCTGGGCAAATCCTGTTGGCGGCACGTGATTCGCTATGGCTGCGCCAATCATCGGGCGCGAATCGCCCACCGTGCACACCGCCCACTGCAAGCAGCGCCGATTCGACAGAATTATCAGCCAATCAAACACGCGAATCATTTTGCCCGTGGTCAGCGACGCCTCATTTTGCATTTGCCACCAAGACCATGGTCGCCTCCTTCGCTCTCGTGCAGCAGTACTTGCCGGTGATCCTCGCCAACCTCCCGTACGAGTGGCGGGGCACGACCTTCGCCAACTCGGCGCTGCTCGGCCGCGAGGCCTTTGCCGCCAACATTGAGGCGCTCATCACCGCCAAGCACGCGGCCCAGGACGCGACCATTACCGAGGCCGAGCTCACGGCGACCGGCAACGCAGAAGACTACCTTCGCGTCTCGTCCAACATCTCGACGCTGCTCGAGTTTGTCCTCGGCGCCCAGGTGGGCCTGCCGACCGCGCAAGTCTTTACCTTTGGCTCGACGACGATGCCGATCATCTCGGTGCTCCTCGCCGCGACGCTTCCTGTCGTCCTCTACGTCGACGAGAGCGCCAAGACGCCATTCACGCAAGAGCAGATCGACGCCCTCAAGCTGCTCAACACCAACTTGACGGTGCGCGCCGGTCGCCCGGTTGCCGACGCGTCGGTCGTCGTGCTCTCGCTCCAGGCGACGCCGACCGCGGTCGCGCACGCCGACGGTATTGTAACGCCCAACTCGGTCTTGTACATCCACAACACGGCCAAGATTGCGCCGGCCGACGTCCTCGTCGTGCGCAAGCGCCTCGCGACGCCGCTGACGACGCCCGTGTGCGAAGCCTACCTCCAGGCCATCGCGAACGTCAAGGTGACGGCCGACCAAGACCGGTCGTCGCCTCAAGAGCTGAGCGCGTTCTATGCGCACTTGCAGACCATGTCGGGCACGGACGCCAAGGCGGACGCGTCGCCGGTCGTCTTCACGGCCGGCCTTCCGTCCGTGTGCACGCTCTGGCTTGCGCTTTTGCAGTCGGGCGGCGCTGACGTGCTCATGGCCAGCACTGCGTACGGCGGCTCGTCGCAGCTCACCGACATCTTCACGTCGCGTGCGCCGACGCTCTTCTCCAAGTCGACGTTCGACATCACGGGCAAGAACGAGATCTCGTCGTCGATCAAGGCGGCGCTGGATGCGCTCTCGCCGACCAACAAGACGACTGTGCTCTTTGTCGAGATCCCGACCAACCCGGACATGAAGGTCCCGGACATGGCAACCCTCGCGACGCATCTGACGTCGTACCAAACGCGCACGGGCAAGGACGTGCTTTTGCTTGTCGACACGACGTTTGCGCCGGCGTGCGAAGTCATGCGCAAGATGTCGGCGGTCGCGCCGGGCCTCACGACGATGGTCTTTATCAGCATGAGCAAGAGCGTCAGCCGCGGCTTCACGACCGCGGGCACGATCATCGCCAACAGTGCGTCGGCCAAGTCGGTCGCGCTGCTGGAGAAGGTGCGCTGGACGGGCGCGCTCCTCGACACGACGGCCAAGCCGGACCAGCTCTTCCGCCTCACGAGCAACCACGTCGGCGTCGAAGCGCGCAACCTCCAGGCGTACCAAGTCACGAACGCGGTTGGGAATGCGCTCGTGCAGGCCGTCAAGACGCACGCCAAGGGCTACGTGATGGACCTTGCGTTCGTGACGCCCGCCCAAGCCGCGGCGGGCTTCACGACGTCGACCTTCTCGTTCAACTTGCCGCCGCTCCCGACGGCGACGGCCGACGAGAACATTGCGCTCGCCCAGCGCTTTGTGGACTTGCTCACGGCGCACAAGAAGCATTTCAAGCCGTGCGTGTCGTTCGGCCAGGACAACGGCCTTGTCTACTGCACCGTGCCCGCAACGTCGACGCAGGGTGCGATCAAGGCCGAGGACAAGGCCAAGCAGCTCGTCGGCGGCGTCGAGCTCTGCCGCCTCAGCTTCCCGCCCAACGCCGACGTCCCGGTCGTCATTGCCGTGATTGAGGACGCGATCAAGACTATTTACGCGTAAACAACAGCTAACCAGACAATACTATTTCCATGTTTCTTGTCCAACTCTATGGTCGACTGGAGGATGCTTTGAGAGCGGCCTTGGCACGCAGCAATCGATTGAGCTCCGAGAGCATCTCAGTCGGGTCTACAGATGCTGGTGAACTCTCTGCAGGCGACGTCCACATGCACACAACCTTGCTCGAGCAGTGACGGCCGTGTGGGGATGTCGGCGGCGCTATGCACACGTCGGGCTGCCCGGTTACGTTGCGGTGTGGCGTCGCTCATCGATGATCTACGCAGGAAAAAGTCCATCGGCACATCAACGCCAAGGGGTAGGGTACTTGGGCTTGCCACTCAGGAGATGTCGGAGCTCACTGATCTAGGTGGTGGCCTTAGTCGTTAGCAGCACGAGCGCAGGGTACCGAGAGCACGCCAGTCTCGTGCGTCGGCTTGGCGTCGCCAGTGGCTGGTTCTACAATTCAAAATCGGTTGGTGGAATGCTGCAAGGCGTCTACTGCTGGTTTTTGCAACAGTTGAAGGGTGTGGAGTAGGAGACGATTCGGCGCGCTCCGCAAGCACGTCGTCGATGCGGTCTTGGGATGGCCGAGCCAAAGACACGCCGTCGTCCGTGCCAAGTGCCAGGTACTCGAGGACCTCCATGCGCTATGAGCATGTCCGATGGGGTGAAGCTGGCACGAGAATCGAGCTGCCAACCTCCCGTAGTGCGCGGTTCTCGAGGTTGAGTGCACGTACTTCAGCCGTCTGTGCGCTGACGTCGCCTTGGGCTTTTTCTAGCGCAAGTCGCAGCGCTCGTTCGCTCTAATGCAGCTGTCTGTCAGGTATCAATGCATTTTGTATCGATGTATCAACTTGAAACATGGTTTTGATGAGCGAAACGTTGTCAATGACGTGCAGCTGCAGCTTGGTGGTTTCAACCGCCCCGTTCGTCTTCATCGACGACGCTGATGCCGCGTCCTTTTCTTGATTGTTGCTCTGTGTTGGTCGTGGCACGGGTTTTTCGGGCTTGTGGAGTGCTGGCGCTGGCTCGAGCCGCGGATCGCCGTCATTGTTGTCGCTCTTCTTGCGCATTGCCGCTTTGGGTGTTCCTTCTCTGTCGCAGTGGTCAAGACTGCTCCCGGATCCGTGCACGCGTTCGTCCTTGCCCCCCAGCTGCACAATCACGTCGTGGGCCTAGGCAGCGATCTTATTCGACCAAACGCATACAAACGACAAGCGCACGTGGGCCAGCTGGGCTTTGAGCTGAGCGACTTCGTCACGGAGTTGCTGAATCAAGACGGTCTTGGGGTCTTCGTTTTTGGTCGGCTTGTTGGCAATCGACTAGGGATCGCGCGGTTGCATTTGTTTGTTTCTGGGGATCCAAGTTGCATCGTCTACCTGAGCGCGGGCCGCGTACACGAGTGTGCTCAGGTTCTCGTCCACGTAGACATCGCTGGGCGAGAGGCAAGCGATCATGAGCGTGATGCTGTTGCCACCCAAGCTACTCCCAACGTGATGCAATGGAGACGCGCGGGAGACCCATAAACCTGTGCTTGAGGAGCGCGGTGAGCTTCGAGTCGCGGTACGGTACGTGCTTGGTGTCGCCGCCGTCTTTGGCCTCGTCGCTGAGCGTCTGAATGACTTGGCGCAGGACGAAGAGCGACTTGTTGATGCCGATCGACTCCTGCAGCGTGACACCTACCGAGACGACGACTGACATTTCTTGTCCTAGGAAAGCCCACCTGTCGCGCCCGTCTTGACCACGCGCTCGGAGCCGGCCAAGTCCACTAGGATCCTGTGGATAGAAGCAGAATACGACAAGGAGGCGAGGTACCGAGCGAGAGCTTGGCCTTGAGCACATCCTCGGGGTTGGTCGTGTCGACGCTCTCAACGTACAAGGTGTAGATGCAGTGGGACCGTGACGACGCTGCGTTCAGGTTGTGCGACGCCATGATCTTGTGCTTGACGCCGTCCTGAAACTTGGCAAGCATCTACGAGAACCTCGCTGTACGATAGATTGCTCGCCAACGGTGGGCGGCCGACCTCATCGGCGCTCGTACACGTGACCGTGATGAGATTTTCAACGTAAAATTCGTGGTTGGCTGCCCAGCGCAGCCGAAGCGATCTAGGGCGACGCATCACCTGAGTTTAAAAGTACCCACGGCGTCATTCACTTTGTGCTGGCGCCAAGGCTTGGGTTGAGCAGATCCAGAATCTAGTAAGAGTATGATCGTGCGCACCAGATGGGGACACCTACCTGTTCGTTGTAGATCTGCACAAACGAGCACCGAAGCGTAAACTCGCGCGTCTAAAGCACCATCGTGTCCAGACCTTTTCAGGTGGCGTACTTTGTCTGCGCTCGCCACCGCACTGTAGAGGCCCAAGATCACGCGAGGGACGATCTAGCCATCGCCGTTTGTGATGCGACGATGGTAGCTCGTCGTACGCCAAGGCGGTCGGACGACACGTCGAGTGTGGGCTTGGCGTGCACGCGCTGGGCGGGCCTCGACGCTGCTTTCTACACGAAACTATGAGCTCGTACATCGCCGCTTGACCCCACCTCGTACTCGTAGCCCTCCATGCTAAAGGTTTTGCCCGACCCGGTCTGGCCGTAGGCAAAGATGGTGGCGTGAAACCTAGGACGTCGCTGTCGGCAGGCGACACGGTGGAAATGGAGTACCCGTCCAGGACGCTGGCAATCATGCGAGCGACGCCCGTGCGTTCGTACAGCTCGCCCTGTGTCGTCGTCGGCTCAAAGACTTGGTCGAATTGAAATTCTTTGGCCGATTCTTTTCCGAGCCGAACGCGCTTGGCCAGCGGATCCAAGACGAGGCTCGTGCACGCGTGCGCCTTCTCAATCGATAGCGGCGGCCGCACGCGCACGACGACGCGGATCTACGCGCGAGTCAACACCGCCTGTCGCTTCCGCGGTGTCGCGCACCTTGCTGCTCATCGATTCAAAACGGCTGCCGCGCGGTTTTCCACCAGCGACGATGGTCAATTTGTCCGACAGACAAAAGTGTGTGCGGTGCTGCTAGTACGTAATAGTAGCTGCTTTGCGCCCAGCAATCATGCAACATGCCAAGGCGGCCTAGGGACGTTCAATTGCGACATAGATGCGATCGCGCTCCGGCCAGCGACCAGCAGCAAGAGTCAATAACAATCAGTTTTCTTGGCCATTGCCAGCGACCAGCTACGGCCTTTTTAATATGCCATAGACAGGTATGTAGGTGGATACAATGGTATGTATCCTTGGTGGATAGTACGATCGTCCTATCGAGCTGACGGCCGTTCTGGCGGCTCCAGGTGCTAGTGTGAGTTGCACTGTGATCCAAGCCCGAGCGTACCGGCATATTCACTGTGTCGACTGACGTTGTGGCCATGGCACATCCATGTACTCGTGCGATGATCCTACGTACTATGTGAAGCCACGATAAGAAGCTTGCGGTCCCTCGGACGTTCTTGTGGTCACCAACTTCAAGTGGCGCCGACGGCATTCATCTGATTGGCTAAAATTGGGTGCGCTGCGATCCATTTAACCGGATGTGATATCCGGTTGACGCGTTGGATCGCGGCTTGCAATGGCAGAAAAGATTTCGACTCAAACCCGCAAGACGATGGCAGCAAGTGGCAAGAAACTCTGGGGCGGCCGGTTCAGCGGCGCGCTTGACCCGGTCATGAACAAGTTCAATGAGAGCCTCAGCGTTGACCAGCGCATGTGGGCGGCAGACATCCAGGGCAGCAAGGCGTACGCCAAGGCGCTCGCCGCCGCTGGCGTCATCACTGCCGACGAGAACGCGCAGATCCAGCATGGCCTCGACCTCGTCCACGCCGAGTGGGCCGACAACAAGTTTGTCGTCTGTGCTGGTGACGAAGACATCCACACCGCCAACGAGCGCCGGCTCACGGAGCTCATTGGCAGTGCCGGTGGGAAGCTCCATACCGGCCGGAGCCGCAACGACCAAGTCGCTACCGACGTGCGGCTGTACGTCAAGGAAGCCGTCAAGGGTCTGAGCCACCAAATGGGCGAGCTTCTCGCGGTCGCGACGCACTTGGCCGAGACGCACATGGCCCTCCTCATGCCGGGCTTTACTCACCTCCAGCCGGCGCAGCCGATTCGGTTTTCGCACTGGGTCATGTCCCACGTGGCGGCGCTCCAGCGCGACGTCGAGCGTCTGAACGACTTGTCGAAGCGCGTCGACGTCTTGCCACTCGGTAGCGGTGCGCTCGCCGGGCACTCGTTTGGCATCGACCGCGCGCTGCTCGCGACGGAGCTCGGGTTTGCGCGCATCTCCCCCAACAGTCTTGTGCGTTCTCATCCGCTAGCGTGGTGCATGCGACTCATGCTGCGATGCTAGGACGCGGTGTGCGACCGCGACTTTATTGTCGAGTTTATGTTTTGGGCATCCATGACCATGATTCACTTTTCGCAGCTCTCGGAAGACCTCATCATTTACAACACACTGGTACCAATATGCATCTCCACGCTGCGTGATATCGACGACTCATACGACTGTAGAAATTTGTGACCATGGCCGACGCATACAGCACGGGCAGCAGTCTCATGCCGCAGAAGAAGAACCCGGACGCGCTCGAGCTCCTCCGCGGCAAGTCGGGCGCCGTCATTGGCCGCCTCAACGGCTTTATGATCACGCTCAAGGGCCTCCCCCGCAGCTACAACAAAGACCTCCAGGAAGACAAGTCGGCGCTCTTTTACTGCATTGACAGCATGGTCGACTGCATCCAGATCGCGGCCGGCGTCCTCGCGACGCTCACGCCCAACGGCGAGAAGATGCGCGCGTTCTTGGTCACGGAGATGCTGGCGACGGACCTCGCCGAGTACCTCGTGCGCCGCGGCGTGCCCTTTCGCGAGACGCACCACGTCGCGGGCGCCGCGGTCCGTCTCGCCGAGGACGCCAACAAGCCCTTGTCGGCCCTGACGCTCGCCGAGCTGCAGTCGCTCCACAGCAGCTTTGCACCGGATGTCATGGACGTCTGGAACTTTGACTCGAGCGTCGAGCGCAAGAACGTACCGGGTGGCACAAGCGCCGCGGCCGTGAAGGGCCATGTGGAGAGCGTCAAGGCGTGGCTTGCGAAGGAGTACCATCTCTAAGTCGCCACTAGATCTATATGTGCTGCTGGCGTTATCGCATTAATGCAAGTGGCTCCTTTCTTCAATGCGATGCACAGACTCGGTGGGACAGCTACTGTAGGCAGCTAGAGAACGCACCGGTATGCATGTGCAGTTGGTAGACGCAGAAGCATCGTCAAGAGCCGTGGTTGATCCGATGCGGCGTTGGCACCACCTCCAGCTGATAGAAGTTGCTGTGTGATGTGTGTTCCCGCTGAAGCCGCCAGCGATCGTCCGGATACCTTGACTAAACCGAACGCAGCCAGTTGAGAATGGCCGGCCGGAAGCTGCGCATCCTCTGCCTGTACGTAGTACTATTACCTGCGTGCATGGGCGCCAACGTCTGCTACGCATAGACATGGCTGGCGCACGAGCAACAAGGTGCTGCAGGTGCAGATGGTCGGGCTCCAGCAAGCGCTTGGCGGCAAGGACGGCGTCGAGTTTGTGAGCCTGAACGCGCCGCACCGCGCGTCCGGGCCTGCGCACGCTGAAGTCGAGCTCTTCTTTGGCAAGAACGGACCATACTACGAGTGGTGGGACCATATCGAGACGCCCGCAACCGAGACGACGCCCAAGCGCAGCGACTACGTCGGCCTCTCGCGGTCGCTGGACTTTCTACTTGGTCAAGTCGACGCGCTCGGTCCCTTTGACGCGGTCCTCGGCTTCTCGCAGGGCACGGCCATGACCACGATCTTGACGGCGCACTACCTCAGCCGCGGCACGCCCATGCCGTACAAGGCCGTCTTGCTCTTCTGCGGCCTCTTGCCGCGCGACGGCATGCCCGCGTCGCTACGCTCTGGCAGCTCGTACCACTTGGACATCCCGTCGATCCACGTGCTGGGCGAGACAGACGCGATCTTCTCGTGGTCCAAGAAGCTCGTGGGCGCCTACGAGAGCTCGCGTCGGACGATGTTCATCCACCCGGATGGCCACAAGTTCCCGACGCTGCCCGCGGCCAAGCCCATGTACAAAGAGATCGCTGCCACGCTGCGCGAGATCTGCGGCTAAGTCGTGCGAAGTGTGATCTACTACTACCGGTACTGTCGTCCATGGGACTTGGGGGTATTACATTGTAGTGCCTCGTATGGCGGTAGCTGCCGGTCCAGTTGCGGCGGGTGCTTGGCCAGAAGAAGGCTGATTTTTTAAGGAATAAAAATGCAAATAAATTGAGTTTGAGTTTGAGGGCGGAACCACTGGAAGTTGAAAACACACGTAGTGGACGTCCAAGCACCAGCATGTTCAAGCGCTTCTCGGTCGACGAGCACGTCTCCAACATCTCCAAGGTCAAGACCTCGGTCCAGCGCAAGATCTGCCAGCGCATCGCGGAGCAGTACCCGCTCCTCGACGACAATGATGGCGCGCTCATGGAGCAGCTCCTCCCCAAGAAGGCGCCGCTGCTCGTCGCCAAGTGCTCGGGCACGGAGCACCTGCAGATTGTCGTCGCCGAAGATGGCACGCCTCTCTTCTTCAACATGCGCGATGGCCCGTTCCTGCCGACGCTCAAGCTCCTCCACAAGATCCCGAACCTCATGAAGCAGGTCCGCGCCGACAAGGGTGCGATCCCGTATGTGTTGTCGGGTGCCAACATCATGGCCCCGGGCCTCACGTCCAAGGGCGGGTCGATGCTCGAAGACATTGCGAAGGGCGAGCCCGTCGCCATCATGGCCGAAGGCAAGGAGCTCGCGATGGGCGTCGGTATCATGCAAATGTCGACCGCCGACGTGTACGTACCCTGCTCCTCTTCTGCATTCGTCGTTGTCTCATGCAGAAATCGTGCCTAGCCGGAGCGTCAACAAGGGCATTGCGATCGAGCTTGGCCACTTCCTCGGCGACGACCTCTGGACGCTCACGAAGGTCGAGTAACTTCACGGTCGCAAGAAGAGATCGACGATGCATACACACTGCCATCTATATTTCTTTGAAGAACGATGTTTCGCGCTGTAAAGAGAGCCCGTCGAGGAGGTTCAAGTTGGGGAGCGACTCGGACCGCGGCCGGCCCGTGAGCGCCTCGTCACTGCTACTCGCGGTGGCCTTGCGGTTCCAGTCAAAATTCTGCGTGTCGACGTTGACGACGTTTTGCAGCTCGATGCCGCCGCCCATGAGCGAGTGCTCGACCGTGAGCGCAGGCCCCGACGGTGGGGGTGGTCCGAGGTCCATGCTAGGCGCGGCCGACGTCGGGAACGGAAGCGACGCGGGTGGCACCATGTCTGTCGAGCTGGTCTGCGACCCGAGGCTCATGGTCGAGAGGCCCATCATGGGCATCATCGGCATCATGGGCATCATCGGCATGCCGAGGAACCCACCAGACATGGACGGGTCCATCATGGGTGGGAAGAAGGGCATGGCTGGCGGCGGCGCGAACATGGCCCCGCCAAACATGTTGTTCAAGCCAGCGGGCATCGCTGGTGTTGCTGCCATTGTGGTCGCGCTGTTGGTGGGCATTGTGGTCGCGCTGTTGGAGGGCGTCGAGACGGCCGACTTGCCGGTCCTTCGGATCTTGATCTTGAGTGAACCCGTCTCGGCGCGGGCTGTGAGCGTGCCATTGGCGCTGCCATTGCCGCCGCCGTCCATGGCGGACATGTCGAGATTCCCATCGTCCGAGAAGGTGAGCTCATCCGAGGTCGACTTGCGCTTGCGCGGGTACTCTGGCATCGAGAAGCCAACGCCGCCTACGTTAGCATGTCATGGAAGAACTTCGGTGGCGCGGTCCATACCAGACATGCAGAAGCGCGGGAAGGAAGCGGGTCGAGGCGCGTCCTCGGCGAGGTAGACGGTCCGAAGTGCGACCAATTCTTCTTATTTATTGCCAACTCTTAGAATAAGTACTATTTTGGAGAGGATCTCGCTTGCGATTGGGTGCTTTTTATTGGCGGGACCTGCCACTTTGTATACAAATTGAGTTGCAACGAATTAAATGATGTCAGTCGCCAGTGGGCTAGTTCCACGCAACCACATGGTGGCGGTCAACCGGCACCACCGGAGGCCGCACGCGCAGCCCGCGCCTTCTGGCTGACCTTCTGGCTATTCGGGATATTACAACTGACAATTGATGTACCGACAGGTACTGTGCCATTACGACATAGCCTCACCACCTCAAGGATGCGAATCGTCGCATAGAGTTGGGTGCGAATAGCGTTGCGTGGCTTTAGCCAACACCAACTCGACCGTTGTCAAAGTTGGTTGCGATCTTCTCGCGATGGCCGTCGTCACGCCCAGCGACCAAGGACAGACGCGCCTTCGCCGCCACGCAAGCATTCGCCGGCTTCGTCATTCATCATGGTGTTTACCCGAGAGTGTCATGCAGTTGTAGCTTTGCGATCGATGGCGGCTCACAGTCGATCCTGTCGTTTAGGTCGATGGCGCCGCATGCCACGATGATCACTTCGAGTTCGCTCACGGCCAACTTGACGCCCGCAGAAAAATTCCTGAAATTCACAGGCCTCACGATCCCAGACCCGCCGTCGGCGCGGCCGGTCGAAGCGACGAGCAACCCAGAGGTCGCTCTCACGCGTGTCGACGCCGACACCAGATATTGCGGGCCCACGGCCAAGTCGGAGTTTGTCCAGCTCTTTCGCACGATGGTGTCGCGCCAGCACTTGAGCGTCGAGCCGCGAAGCAACGCGCGCACGCTCCCAGAGCTCGACCTTGCCGCTTACAAGGCCGTGATCCCCGGGGACGACGTACTACAGTGTTCATTATGGGTTGACGATGGCAACCTAGGACGAACCCGACTTCGACACGATGCTCTGCGAGCCGTTCACAGCGCGCCACGAGTTTGCTTCGCGGTGCCTCGAGCGCGAGCTGCCACCGAGCGCGGGCCTCTTGCTGCGCAAGACGCAGACGGCAGAGATCGACATTAGCCACTATGGCATGGGCGACGACCTTGCCAGAGTCTGGGCTGCGTCGATTGTCGACGTGCCCAACGTAACGAGGTACCTCAATGTCGCTACGAAGTCCCCCTGCAATGCTCTTAGCTTGAACCTCCGCAACAACCGCCTCACAGACGCAGGGCTGCCCAGCATCATCGCCGCGCTGATTGCCAAGCCATGCATCGCAATTCTCGACCTCTCCGAGAACAAGCTTGACTCGGAGTGCGTGGACGCGCTCGCAACGTATCTGCAGTCGCCCGTGTGCGCGCTGCAGGAGCTTCGCATGAGCCACGCCGATGTCGACGACGCTGAGATTGGTCCCGTGGTAAGTTCGCCTTGGGAAGGCAACTGCATTTGATAGACAAGTTGTCCACTCTAATAGGTGCACGCGCTGTACTTGAACCAGTCACTGCACCTCCTCGACTTGTCGCACAACCTCTTGGGGTCCCACGAGCGGCGGCGCAAGACGCCCCGGGGCACGACCCTTGTCGGTGGCGAGGCCATTGGTGCCATGCTCGAGGCCAACACGACGCTCCGGTCGCTGGATCTGTCGTGGAACACGCTGCGGCTATCGGGCGCGGTGGCCATCGGTCGCGGCCTCGGACGCAACTCGTCGCTGCTCGAGCTCAACCTCTCGTACAATGCGATTGGCGAGACGGGCGCGGCGGCCGTCGGTGTCGCGCTCGGCAGCAACGCAGCGAGTAAGCTCGAGCGCGTCGACCTTAGCGACAACAACGTCTCGGCGCAGGCGGCGCTCGTCTTGTCGCAAACGATCCTCGTCAACGCACGGCTGCGCTTCCTCATTCTCGACGGCAACCCGCTGGGAAGCCAAGGCGGTCGGTCGCTCTTCCACGCGCTTGCGCAGTGCCCCAACAAGCAGCTCCGGATCTCGATGCAGCGCTGCAACTTTGACTTGAATGTGCACAACGCGAGCAAGTTCAACCCGGACGACGTCAGCGGCCAGTACGAGTTGGACCTCGTGGTGCCGTACGAGCGCAGCATCGCGATCGAGCTCGTGCGCTGTGCGACGCGGAAGAACGGGTGTCGCTTCCGGTCAATTCTGTTCGTGCCCCCACGAGGCAAGGCAGGTCGCCGCATATCGGTCAAGCCGATTCCCGTGCACGTGGTGCTCGCGACAACGTCGCCGCCAGGTATGCTGGGCACGGCCGAGCCCCAGAGCCGGGACGCGCTCGAGGCGCTCTTCCATCAGCTCGACTGCGATACATCCGGTACGATTGACGAGGCAGAGCTCGCCCGCGGCATGCGGCGTCTGGGCCTCGACGCGCGCGAGGGTGACGTGCGAAAGCTGCTGACGCGCTACGACCTCGATGGGTCTGGCACGATCGAAGTCGGCGAGTTTGTCGACATGATGGGGTGGCTGTACCGCCAAGCCGCCCTCAAGCTCCAGGCGCAGTCGGTGCGGCAGCTCATGGACGTACGCACGAACGAGCCGTTGGAGGTGCCTACCTCGGGCCATTGGTAGAGTCCCATGCTCTCTCCAAACGTTATAGAGTTGGAACTAGGATCGTCGACTTTGTGGATCTGCGGCTCCCGGCAGATGCGGTCGAAGCCGAGACGCTCACGGTCGTCGGTCTCGACCACCTTTTGCGCAACATCCAGGAAAACGCCAACAAGTACACCGCCCATCTCGGGTACATCGACGGCGTCGCTGAATTCCGTGCGAGTGTAGGTGCAGCTTCTCCACGTGGCCAAGCAAGGCATGGTGCTCTCGAGCGCGCAAGCGCAAACGATTCTCGACCACATCATGGAAGGGCTCGATACGGTGCACGCCATGGCGTCGCTTCTGCCGTACATGATCGACTGCCGCAACGCCTGTGTCTTTATCGACACCAACCTCAGCGAAGCCGCGCGCGGTCGGCTCCAACATCTGCTTTTGCAAGCGTATGGCCCCATCGTGGGCATGGCGTCCGACCACTACAAGCTCGACCTCGCCGACGCGCTCGACCGGTCCACCGCCAAGAAGCTCCTTGAAATGAACAACAAGTGCGCGCTCGAGTGGCCGACGATGCACCCAATCAAGCCGACCGACGAGCGCTGCTTCCGCAACGCGTACCACAGCGGCAGCGCCGTCACGTTGGATGCGAAAATGCTCACGTGGCGCTTTGGTGTGCTCGAGTTTGACTTTGTGCATCGGGTGCGCCCGCCCAAAGGCACGCTACCGCTCTCCTCGACCCGGTTTGCCCAAGTGCTCGCCAAGCTCCAGATGGACCCGACCAAAGACACGCCCAAGTGGCGCAAAATGGGCAAAGACGGAGTCGTCCATCGGTCCCCCAAGGTCTACGAGCGCCTTCGAGAGCTCCGACAGATGAAGCACGTGCCACCGGCAGTCGACCGCGCGGCCATCACGTGCAATGGCGAGAACGGCACCGAGGTCGTTCTCACGAGCCGCCGACTGCTCATGGAGCTCCAAGCCGCGCTGTGCACGCGCTACGTGAACGCGCAGCAGGTGCGTGGCATCCTGCTGCAGTGGCCGCCCGAGTTTGCCGCCAGCCGCGTCGACGCACTTGTGTTGATGTTCGACCGTCTCGTGGACTTGCATCACTTTTACCAGGTACTACTATGATTTTCGATGTGGAGAATATTGTCCATGGCGAGCTCTCGACGGTATAGATTGAAGCGATCTTGACCGAGGCCGAAGTCGCGCAGTGTACGACTAAATGGCTCCGCATGACGCTGGAGTTGGAGTGGTCTTGGTAGGCTTGCACCGCCTCGGCTGGCTCAACACGTGGACGCCGCTGCTTCCGGAAATGTACTATGAGCTCGACATGGCCATCTACGAAGAACGCGAAATCGCGAAGTATTTGATTGCGCTCGCGCTCGCCGAGCCGGTGCGCATCATGCCATGAGAATTATTGACCGATTGATAGCTTGATATTTAGGGGGAAAACTGGATCGGCGAGACCTTTGGATGGACGCTCGACACGACGATTCCAGGCTGGAAGCTCAACGCGCAGTGGACGAGCGACGAGACGATGCCTCGAAAAGGCATCCTGCGCCTCGAGTACTACTCGGGCGCGAACCAGGGCTGCTCGCCGATCTGGCACGTGCGCCAGAAGCTCTGCAGTCACATGCTCGCGCACCCGCTGACGCCAGACGAGCTCGACGCCTTCCGCACCACTGTCACCATGTGACCATCAATGCCACGCGTTTAAAAGTCCGCAGCAGTACATACTCAAACCGTCCTTCGGGCAAGTCCACTTGAGGTGGTCGTGAAAGGGTGTGGGTCGGTTCAGGCACTATTAGCACCGCTTGGACGGCACGCTGACATGATCACGCGAGGTGCGCTGGGGCACTTGCAGCCCATGATGCATCGCACCACCACCGCCTTGCGTTTTCCTCGAGCCGCCCCGTCAAGCCACCGTCGTTGGTCATGTAGGGACCCCGGACCACTCAATGGCCAGCTCCAATCGACCAAGTGTCCACCGATCCAAGCTACTGCATTTCTTCCATTGTCCTTTCCGTCCATCAATGGAGTTGAAGTCCTCGTTCAAAGGAACTGCCGCGCTCATTGACGTCGTGAGATCCATTCCTATCCGCGCACGCACGGGAATTGATCTCACGACGTCAATGAGCGCGGTCTCTCGACACACCTAGGGCGGCGCTGCCTCCTAATTTCAGGCGCGAACCTCGCGACTTGGCCTTTCCCACCGCATCAAGATTTCGTATGGGGTCTTTCGACCAATCAAAAGGGGCTAAATTTTAGCTAGCGATGCTGAGCCAACACCTGCGCCGCCGGGCGGCGCGGCTCGTGCGGGAAGCGTCGACGTTCCATCTCTCGACGAGCCAGGAAGCGCTACTGGCCTCTGTGGCGCCAGGCCGCGTGAGCATCGTCCGCGGCCTTCCAGGCACGGGCAAGACCACCGCGGGGGCCTCGCTGCTCGGCAGCGCCACGACGCCGACGCTCGCGTTGACACCCCATGGCTTTGACTCGTCATTGCGCCGGCGCGTTGAAGCCCACACGCCAATTGGATTTCTCGAGGCGCAAGACGATGTGCGATTGCTCTCGATCGGCGCGTGGAGCGAGCGCTTCCGCAGCGACTACGGCCACACGGCCACCGAGGTCGTCGAGGATCGACGACGCCAGTCCCGGTCTCACCACTGGATTTTTTCGTAGAGAGTGCTCAGCCACACGGCCGCCAAGATCTTTGTACACGACCACGTCGATCGCATTCCGCGCAAGGCTTTCGCAGCCACAAGTCGGCGCCCATGCTGCGCACGGCAGTTAGCGACACGCTGCGCTGCTTCAACGAGCTCGAGCGCTACGGCGTGTCGCCAAGTGCGTACGCCAATTACATTCAAACCGCGCTGACGGACCCGGCAACCGCGCGCCTCTCTGCGCAATCGTTTCTAGACGTGCTCGCGAACCAAACCGACCTGTGCGACGCGTATACGGCGTACCGAGATCTGTTGCACGAGGCGCATTGCAACACGCATGACGGCGTTGTCCTCGACGCACTCGAGCTCGTCGAGACGCACCCGTACTACCTCCACGCCTCGCTGGCCACAACGGCGCAGTTCGTCGTCGACGACCTGCACCTCTGGAGCCCCGGGGCCGTTTTGGTGCGTGCTCCGGCTGCGTCACTGACGTCGTTGATATGCAATGATGTAGCTACTCGCGCGCATGATGCTCGCGTCGGCCGAGAAAGCGTGGATCCTCTTCTCGGACCCGTCGTTGCCTGGACCCCTCGATCAGCTGCGCATGTACGAGGCTCTTTGTACGACGGCGGTTGACGCTTGCGTAGGCTGCTGCAGCAAGGGGCAAGGACTTCACTGAGAGTACTTGGTCGGCACCAGCGGTTGCGCCGACTGGCATGCACGCCATGGCCTACGACATCCTCACCAAGGCATCCAACGTGGTGTTGCCACCGTCGGTGCAGCTCGTTGCGCACACCAGCAAGAACGAAGTGTCGAGCATGGCTGCTGCGATTCGCGACAAGCACGCGCGTGGCGAGGTACGCCGACTGCTATCTGCACAAAACGACGACAAGATCGTGCTAGCGCCTGCTCGTGGTCCTTGGCGAGGCGGCGCGCGTCGACGACCTCGTCGCGGAGCTGCAAGCACTGCACGTGCCGCACCTTTCGCTCGAGCCAAGAGACTTGTTTGAAACGGATGTCGTCTCCACGGCGTACTCGCTCCTCCAGACGCTGGCGTCGCCGTCCGACTCGAAGCACCTCTTTCACCTTCTCAATACATCGCCCGAGATGGACCCCGTCGTGCTCGCACGCATCATGGAGTCGTCCACGTCGCGGTCCTCGACTACCAAGAACCAAGAACGACGACAACTCATCGTTGAATGGACTAGACACATAGACCTGTACGAGACACTCGTGTTGGCCGGGCCCGACCACCCGCCGATTGCTGCCTTTTTGAAGCGCTTCCAGACACTGCGCGACGCGGCCATGAAGCTCTCGTGCGCCGAGCTACTGCATCTCTACTTGACCGAATCAGGTACGGGCGGCGGCAGCAGCACCCATGGGCTCCATGTGCGTCCGTAGGCACATTGGAGGCGCTCCTCCACCCGGCCAACGAACACGATGTCGCTCGATCCGAGGCACTTGCGGCCTTTCTTGACGTCGTCCTCGACGCCCAGCGACACAAGCAGTCGCCGTGCGTCCCGTTTGTTGTGCCATATTTGACGCAGCTCCGCGAGACCGGCCGCTTACGGGCTCCGAGCAGCCTCACCTTTGCGCTGGACGACGCCCTGACCGACCACCGAGTGCTGGTGGCCTCCCAGCGATCCGCGTGGCGACTCCCGTCGCACGTCCAGGTATCGACCTATCGAATATGTCGTGGGATGTATCATCCGCGTAGGTCGACACGCTGATGCTACTGCAGTGGCATGACAAGGCTTTTCCCGGCCGGAAGCCCCGAGGCATCGGAGCCGGCATTCTGCCATCAAGCCTACTCGAAGCGCAGGCGGGCTGCAAGTCGTCGGGCCGCGACGAATACTTGGATACATGCCGGCAGCGCTTGGCCTCGCTTCTGCTCCGTGCGAGGGCCTCCGTGCTCATCTCGCATACCGCCGATGCACCAATCTCGAGGTAGAAACAAACGCGGTGGTCCACGCAAAACACAACGAGTAGACTGCTTGCGCCGTGGGCGTCGTTTGTGGCCACCACGACCGATCGCGTCAGTCACGAGGACGCCACGCCACCGCCGACTGCCGTCGTCGTCGACACCAACGCGCCGTTGCCATTGCACCACTTGTCCTTTTCGCAAATCGACGAGTACATGCGCTGCCCGCACCGCTATTACCTCTCGCGCGTGCTCGGGCTCGAACCCAAGGCCAACTCGAGCATGGTATACGGCCGCAGTCTCCACGAAGCCATTGCGACCTACGCGTCGGTCGCGCCGCATGCCTCTGCCTCGGAGGTTTGCCGATCCTTCGTTGCCTCCCATCAAGCTCATGGGTAGGACGCCCTGGCCGCTTTTGCAAAGGCGTGGACTCCTGGCAGCTGCCGGTCGCTTGCTGAAGAGCGCATGCTTCAAGCCCAGGGCGCCGCCGCCCTGCGCTCGTTCATAGCCTACGAAGCCGATCGCACCAGCTACATCGAGTGCATTGAACAAGAGTTTGAGTTTCACGTGCCCGAGGCGAACGTGCTGTTTCGAGGTACTACTCGTTCGGGACGACGCTGCTGCAATGTATGTGGCGTGTAGGCGTGTGGGACCGCGTCGAGCGACGGGCCGAAGACGACGTGTTCATTGTCGAGTTCAAGTCCAACTTGGCCGATGCAGCCCGGGACAACCAAAGGCTCGCAGACGAAAGCCTCCAGCTCAAGCTGTACATGCTCGCGTACCATCGCTTGACCGGAACGCCGCCCAAAGGCGCAGTCCTCCGGTCGCTCGAGACCAGCCACGGACGCAACGCGCCGGGAGTTGTCGCGCACTCGGTCGAGACCGACGACGCGGCGCTAAGCGCGATTCAAGTGACCGCTCGGGCGATCCGAGCGCGCTCTTTTGACGCGACGCCGTCGTTCCTTGGCTGCGCGTTCTGCGCGTTCCGCGATATCTGCGAGAAGAAGGCGGCGAGTGCCTAATGCACGTCCTCTAAGAACTTACCGTCCTGGAGGCACGACGATCCTGATCGCATCCAGCTAATTGTACGAGAGCGGCTGGCGACGACATATTACATGGCACGGAAGACTTGGTGATATCTTGAGCCGTGTCGACTCGACTCGACCGTCCCCTCGTGTAATGGCCGGTTGTTGCCTCGGATCTGGGCCGTCGGCGTGTATCCAGGTGGCGCCAACCACCGAGTCGTCTCAGGTGCCGTCCTCGTTGCTCGACTGGCAAAGGTCGTGCCAATATAATAACACAGCCGATTCCGAGACCACGAAGCGTGGCTCATTAGCGTCGAAAGGAGCTTCCCGTCGGCGGCGTACTTTAAGAATGGCGCCAAGCGACCAACCGCCTACATTCTGCAGCACCGTGATGATGGCGCAACATAACGTCCACTGTCCAAGCACATATGGTAGCGTTTCCACCCGCCTCGTCGTTTGTTGAAAGCTTGAACGCGACGAGAGACGCTGACCCCAGCGTCAGGGGCAACCGCGCGTGCGTTAGCATCGAGCTGCGCCGATGCTTAAACGTCGAATTCCTTGCACAATAGTTATTACTTTCCATACTAATACATGGATTAGCACCAAAAAGATAGCATATCACTCTCGACGCCGAGCCTGGTAGCGACGCTCGACTCAACGTTGGCGTCTCTCTGTCCTCGATGCGCGTGCGTGGATGGCGGCCATAGACGAGTTCACCAGCAGACCTTGAACGCATGAACAACGTCCATTCCGGTCGCCAACTCAAAGTCGTCAGGGATCCAATCCTGATCCAGTCACCACCGCTAGGGCCTCCAGAGACTCTCGGCGCCTTCATTTTGTCCATTCTTCTTCATTACGAAGTCTCTCTAGCACTTGATGAGGTCCATGCGTGTAGTATTAATATGTACGCCTCGAGTCGATGGTGTGTTTGTCGATGTGATGAGGATGACGATGATGATCAGGTCGAACCAGGTCTCCTCTCTGTCACTCGCACGTCCCACGGCACGTAGTAGGTCTGCACCCGCCACTTGCCGACCATACCATTTGTCGTATATTGGGATGACCCACCACCACACTTCGCAGCTCGGGCCTGGCTACCGGAGCAACAGTGCAGGCGACGGCCCGGAAAAGACGCGCGACCGCAAGCACTGGTTCCCGCGCTTCAAATCGACGCTCGCCGGCAGCTTCCGCGCGACGCGCATGTTTGCGTGCTGCGAGTGCGCGTTCGGCAAGAGCGACGGTCCCCACCGCTACAAAGCGTCCGACGGCACGCACTGCGTGTGCGGCAAGGACGAGTGGCCGCTCGCGAAGGCCGTCGAAGTCAACGAGTACAACCGACGGCTCGCGCTCTGCGCGGCCCACGACGGCAAGCGGTACGAAGACATTGTGGCGGCCGGCGACGACGGCGCGCTCTCGCCGCTGCCGTTCGACGAGAGCAGCATCCTCATGCCGGACGCGGCGCTGAGCGATTATTTAAGCGAGTTTCTGGACGACGCCAGCAGCATCGACGACGAGTTGTAACGCGATGGACGACTTGCCGCCACTGACCGTCGCGCGTCCTGCGATGCCCTCGAAACTAATTACTATGTGTGGCGACCAGGACCGACGAGGTCCATTTGGATCGCTGCACCAGTTGTACGACCATCCAAGCAGCATGGCCTCGATCCAAGCACGACACGCATACTATCTAAAATTCATCTTAAAAGAGAGTGGTTACTTGGAACGCGTGACGACGAGCTGCGCGAGCTTGACGAGGGCGTCCCGCGCCGGCGACGGCGGGTACTGCATGATGGCGAGGATCGCGAGCTCGGCCTGGATGATCGCGAGGTCCTTGCTCTTCTGCAGCCCGACGCTCTTCTCGACGAGGTCGGCCGCGAGTTCAATGTCGCCGGCAGTGCTAAACTTGCGCGCGACGAGCTCCTTCAGCACCGGAAACTCTTCCTGCGCGAGGAGGACGGGCGCGGTCGCGAGGCCCGCCTTGAGGTCCGCGAGCATCGGCTTGCCCGTGTTTTCGCCCTTGTAGTCCAAGACGTCGTCAATGAGCTAGCACATCCATATGTCATTTCAACGATGCATGTGGCGACGTGAGCACCTGGAAGGCAAGGCCGAGGTGGCGGCCGTACGCAAAGCCAAGCTCGCACACGTCGGCCGAGTGCTCGCCGAGAATCAGCGCCGCACGGCAGCTGTTGGCCATGAGCGACCCCGTCTTGTAGTAGTTCTTCCGGAGGTAGTACTCGAACGGCGAGATCGTGCCGTTCTTGTCGGCGTGCCGCATCTGCATGACCTCGCCCTTGACGAGATGCTCAATCGCCGTCGACATGAGCTCGACCGCCTCCAAGCTCCGGAGCCGCGCCAGGCAGATCGACGAACGTGCAAGGAGAAAGTCGCCTGCGAGGATCGAGAGTTTCGAGCCAAACACCTTGTTGACCGACTTCATGCCGCGGCGCGTGTCGGCTTCGTCAATCACATCGTCATGGAGCAAGCTTGCCGTGTGGATCATCTCCCTATACTCGCAGCCTATGAGATCTCGTCGCATGTTGCGGTCGTCGGTCGTACGTGACTTCGGCAAGGCGCTGCTGCGACGCAGCAATGTACTCGAGCGACTTGTCGGTCGAGAGCGGGTCGCGCGCGGCCTCGGCGGCCTGCGCCAACAGCAGGATCATCGTCGGGCGGATCTTCTTGCCGCCGTCGTTCTCGAAAAAGTCCTACGCAAATTCGATACCAGAGCGATGGCACGTCGGTGTAGTACTTGGCGACGGCTTCCAGCACCGGGTGGTCCGAGCCAAGGATTGTCTTGATGCTCGCCGAGACCGACACGATGTTGTCCTTGATGAGCTCAAACGGGTCAGCGTCCACGGGCGTGTTGATGTACACGCAGTCGGTCACGGCTTCGCCGTTCTGGAGCCTACCGCACTGCATGCAGCAACAGTGTATCAGTGCGATGCGTACCGGTCAAAGTCCTGTGTCAAGTTGAACGACCGGTGCGCGGTCGCGGCCGTAAAGCCCGGCGATGGGTCCAAAATCGACATGGTCGGCTCGTCCTATGCAGCGTGAGCTCATGTGCAGTGCGTGGCCATCGACGTACCACGGCCGCCGCACCCAGCCACAAGCTCGTGTTGCTCTCAATGTCGACGTTGCTCTGGAGCGAGCCGACGACGCGCTTCATGGCGCTGGCCTGGAGCGAACTGAAGCGGCGGAGCGAGGTCCCTACATGCAGCCATGGTAGGCGCAATGATGCCATGCCAATGCGCCCTACCGGTGCGCAGGAAGCGTTGCATGCTGGACGGGCGGGACGACGGGAGCCTTCGATGGATGGGGTCGTGACCTCAACGACCGCGTAAAATCAATGGCCGATAACAGCAGCAGACGATCAAAAGTGAAGCCGTCAACATCTTATTGGCCAATCAGGAACGCGATTCGTGCCATACGCACCGTTGATTGGCCAAATGTATGTTGTATAGTGCGCCCACGAAGGCGGCCATCATCCAGGAGGAGGATAGAAACACCCAATCTTCAACTTGCGCTTCAAGTGCGATATAGGCGCCGCAAGCTTGCACTGCAGCGTCTGCAAGCACGCAGGCCCCGCTACAAGCATACACTTGAACACTAATACGGTGCATTTTTTACAGCTTAGCGCTGTAGGAACCCACCGGCGAATGATGACCTATGGGCCGTTGCAACCGTTCTTGCGTCTGTCTCAATGCACGCACCGGTCCAGCTACCGGTCCACAGACCCTGGGGTCCACGAGGAGCTACCATACCGTAGGTGCATGAGCTCGCGCAGGGATGGGGCACCCAAACTTGGCCACGTTGTGTCACGTATACGATGGGAGGTTGTGTACTGCGTCCAGTTTCGTGGCCATGGTGTCGCTCCTCGTGCCCAGCGCCGGCGATGTTCGCAAGGAGTTGGGTGTTTTGGGCGCGCCACGTTCAGGCAATATGATTGGCTGAAATCCTGTGCAAATAGACTGGAATTTGGCCAATCGACGCGCGTGGCAATCCCACCAGAAATCCGATTCAAAGGAAGCAGCGACGGATGCCCCGCCGCCTCGACGTCCTGTGGCCCGAGCCCAATGCGCTCGTAGACTACGAGAGCCGTGCGTACCTCTTAGGCTGGCATCTGCAGAGCAATCTCGTCTGCGTTGCGGCCATCGTGCCCGTTGACCGTTATCCGCTCGCCGTGCTTCAAAGTCGGCGAATCTTTGTCCGGTGTCGCGCTCACCGCTCGTCTGTAGGCGAGATTGACAAGTGGTCGGCCGACCTCCAGCGCCGCAACAAGGTGGAGGCTGCGCATGCAGCCAAGCCCGCGCTCATGGTGCTCGGCGAAGTGCGCCCTGCCACGACCGCCGCCGACGAGACGACCGAGCCGGACGCAGCCGCGTTGCGCCAGCGCGGCAAGCCCAGCGGCGCCAAGCCGCAGCACCTCCAGAGTCTGTGGCTCAACGTGGTCTGGGACTTCAACAGGACGCCGGTCATCCACGTCGTCTCGGAGCACGGCCAGGTCGTCGGCTGCGAGCTCTGCCACGTCATTCTGTACGACGCGTCGTTCCCGGGCCGGTTCCGCCATTTTGTCATCAAAAAGCGCCAGCGCCAGGTCGACGACGAGTCGATGGACACGCCGTTCCAGCACGCGATCGCCCAGCTCAACGATGCACACTTGGTACAGGAGCGCTTCCTTGGGCTACCGCCCCGCTCGTCCTGTAGAGACTCCTATATCCTTTCTATCTGTGCGCGTTCTCATTGCTTGATTAGACGTCGGTCGTTTCAAGGCGCTTGTGCTCTGGCCGTTCCTCTTCTTTTTTGTGCTCTGTCGGCCCGTCTTCAATGCGATCGCATGGGTGCTCAACACCCCCGTGCCCGAGCGCTTTCCCATCGTAAAAGGTCGCTCCATCAAGGTCCATATCGTCATAGTACGCGGCTCTCCGACAGAAAGTGTGCTAGTCGTTTTCACTCTTCTTCCGGCTCTTGAACCGCAGAGTGATCCTCCTCGCCAACATCACCGAGCAGTGCATCAAGTTCAACCACATGCAGCATTCGGTGCTTCCGTTCCATCCCCTCGGTACCACTTTTTGAAATGCTGGCATCGAGGAAAGTCTCTCATAGCGACGTTAGAAAACCGATATGCCGAATTCGTGAGCGACCTCTTCCTTCTCGTTCTCGACTTTATCGCGGGCTATCACTACGGTCACCTCGTACCGCTCGCAATCGCCTATTTCCAGTCGTACGTTCTACGCTCTTTTCTACAAGTTGGTAGGTTGATACAATGTGGATATTATATTAGGTCCTGCAGCGGGCACTTTAACGTGCTCAAGTCCCAAGTCACGTGGCTCATCGACTCGCCTGCGGGCTTCAAGGTGCATATATTGCATGCCATGCGTGTCTCATATGCAGCGCCATTTAGATCAACGTGGCCCTGGCATCGATCCTCGGCAAGGGCGTCCACCTCATGGTCGACGTCGCGCAATATGCCATCGAGTCGGTGACACCGTTCTTGGCGACGCTGCTTCAGGTTCGTGTTCCTTTCTTTTTTCTTGAAAATCAACACTTTAGTAGGTCGCTGGTTTGGCGAGCTTGTTTGGCTTGACTGTCCAGCTCGGGCTTCTCTACGACACGATCGAGTACCTCACGCTGCAGACGTACTACTTGTACTTGTACTTCTCCAAGCTGCACCGCGTCCAGGTACCCGCTTGCATTTTGATGGATAGTTTGGACTCACTTGGCGTCGCTAGTTTGACTTGCTCTCGTCGCTCTGGAAGCTCTTCCTCGGGAAAAAAAAAAACGTATTGCGCAATCGCGTCGACTCGTGCGAGTACGACGTCAACCAGGTAGAGAGATTCTCATCTCGCATGTGCTTCCACTTGATATCTTGATACTAGCTCTTGATTGGCACGCTCCTCTTTACGATTCTGTTTTTCGTTGTCGCGACCAACTCGGTCTTTTACCTCTACTTTTGCCTCGCTCGCTTTGTCGTGCTGTGCCTCCAGACGTGCGTCTGGTGCCCCATCGTCCTCTGCCACGTCATTCCGCTCTACTCGATCAGTCTCTGGCTCGAAGACGCATTCCATTTCCCCATGGACGTCTACCTCCAGCCGCTCTCGCACGCCCGCGCACTCTCGATCTCGTTTCCGAATGTACACACCAAGGACTGCTTTGTCGGCGACGACTTTGACGCGACCGATACGAGCCGCCAAAGCAGCGACGCCGCCAAGCCCATTAGCACCGCGGTCTTTACACTACATCCGCTGGCGTACTCGTTTGGCGCGCTGTTTTCCCGGTGCGTTCCTAGATTCGGATGCTCGTCGGTGCGAATACATTGTTTGCGGCTAGGTGCAGCGCGTACTTTGGCGCGCTCGGGTCGCACTACACGGTGGGCAAGTTTCTTCGGTGCTTCTTCCTTGGCGAGTACATTCCGGCGCTGCCGTTCGCCAAGACGCCGCTGTGCCACCTCCCGTTTCCGCCGTCGTCTGCGTTCATGTCGACCAAAGAATTATGGGACGGTCTGCGCGCGTGCCAGTGGTAGAGTTACTTTCATGATGTCCATAAGAGCACCTTGGATTTTCTGGCTTTTACGTCGATTTTTTGGTCTTTTCGGATGCTTGTTTCAACTATAACGTCACACGTGGCACTCGGAGAGACTCGCAGACGTATCTCACAAGCCAAACCAAACCTGCGACGCTCCTGCTCCTGCTATCCTGCGTTGTGGGGAATGCCTACTTTTCTACCAGGCAAGAACCTGGAAAGATACCGCCTCATTCATTGGCTGAAAAGCCGATATGCGGATCCAGGATTGGTGCAAATTTAGAGAATTCTGCCAATCGTCGTGCCGCATCTACGATCTTGGGCGAAACGACGCACAACAACCCAATAATTCCATCGGCCAGCATGAGCGGCAAGTCCAGCGACAAGTTCAACAAGACAGTCGTGTTCGCCGAGGACATGACGGACGTGATGCTTGAGAAGGTCATTGCGACGGCCAAAGACGCCTTCCAGCTCCAAGTCACGGTAGCATCCCATCTTCCTATCGTCGTCGCCTGTAACCATCTCTCTAGTCGGGCAAAACGTTCTCGACCGTCGCCGACATGGTCCGGCGCAACATGGAGAAGGAGTACGGTCGCGGCTGGAACTGCATCGTGGGCCTATCTTTTGGTGCGTACGTCACGCACGAGATCAAGACGTACGTCTACTTTAGCGTTGTCTCGGGCGTCTCGGTGCTCGTCTGGAAGGCTTAAGTCGTCTCATGGCGACGTCGTACTTTCATGTATATATATATGTAAAGAGTTATGGTTAGACCCAGAGCATTTGGCGCATCTTGGTCGAGAGGCTCACCTTGATCTTGACGTTGCACTCGTCACTGTCCTCGTCCTCGTCCTCGTCGTGCGTGTCGGCGCGCGGCGACAAAATCTCCTTTTGGTTGATGAGCTTCCCGCAGGCCGCGAGCTCAATGAGCATGTCGGTGGCTTCGTGTCGGTCGACTACGACCACGTCGATCGCATCGCCGTGCTCTTCGTGCGTGGGCATGGACGCGAAGCGCGAGGCCCAGCCCGCCTCGCCGTCGTCGCCGACCACATTGACAACGATGCGCAGGATCTTGATGCGCTTGAGCTTGGTGCAAATGTGCGCGAGCGACCGGACGACGCGGAAATTCAGCACGTCCGAGCTCATCATGACGACGACGACATCGAGGGGCTCGTGGATCTTGAGCGCTTCTTTGAGCTGCGCGTTCATCTCGACTGCGTCTTCGGCGTCCTGCATGGCCATGCAAAAGCTAAACGGCTCCCACCCGCAGTTCTTCATGCGGCGCTTGGCCGAGTTGACCACGACGAGGCGCTTGTCGTCGCCAATGATGAGCGACCGAAGGCCGTCGACCTTGCCATTCTCCTTTTGGCGGCAGTCGCCGACGTAGCGCAGCACCATGCGCAGCAAGGGAGGCCCGAGCAGCTGGTTGAAGATGACGACCGATACAATCATCGTGGCAAAGTAGCTGCCCCAGCCAGGGTACAGCAGCTGGATCTTCTTGGCGAGGCCGAGCGTGACGCCAGCCTGCGTGATGTACCCCATCCACGACACCTTGTTGTGCATCGGGTTTTCCTTGGCGATCGTCCCGCCAACGTACGCGCCCAGAAAGATGGCAAAGATGCGCGTAATGCAGAGCACGAGCGAGACGGCGAGGGCCTTGACGAGCATGTCGAGCTCGAGCGACGCGCCCGTGAGCGTGAAAAAGCCGACGTAGACAAAGTCGGCCATGTTCTTGAGCAGCAGCGAGAGCTCTTCGCGGTTCGAGGTCGGGTTCCAGTTGTACAACGTCGCGCCGGCCACCATGCAGCACATGAGCGGCTCGAGCCACGGACGGCAGAGGTGCCCGAGCACAAAGAGCGAAAACCCAAAGAGCAAGATCGCCGCTTGCTTGACGATCCGCAGCAGTACGTACAAGCGGCTCTTGCGGCGCACGCGCGGCGTCCGCCACAGCACCACGTACGAGATGACCTTGGCCGCGACGACGCCGACGCCAATCGAGATGGCCATTTCCCCGACAAGCTCAAAGACGCTCGCGGACGAGACGCTCTTGTTGGAGAGGAACGCCTCCGTGATCATGTTGTTGACGTTGAAGAGGACGATGACGACCACGTCGCAGAGCACCGTGACCGAAAACAGAAAGGTCGTGAAGTGCCCTTGGGACCCCGTCTCTTCAATGACGGCGAGCGCCGACGACGGCGACCGCGCAATCATCATGCAGCCCGCGAGCATCGAGATGGCGTAGCGCTCGGTCGACGTCGTGCTTTGAAGAAACACGAGGTAGTTGGCGAGCACGATGATCGTGAGCGTGCCCACAATGTACTCGAAGAACGTGAGCCAGATCGTGACGCACATGATGCTCTTGAGCTTCCGGCGCATCTCGGACCAGTGCAGCTTGGCGCCGGCCGCCAACCCAATGTACGCAAGCGACGCTTCGTCGACGAATCTATTCCATGCCTCTGAGCCACACGCGATACAGCCCATCGAGGATGTCTACCGCATCTGGAGCGTCTCGTTGGCCGTGATCAGGCCCAGCACATATGGGCCCGCCACGATGCCGGTCGCAAGGTACCCCGTGATGCGCGGGAGGCCCACAAACGGGAAAAAGTTGGCAATCGTGTGCGACGCAATCGCGACAATGATGAACGAGAGGAGCGCGAGGCGGTCTGGGAGGTACGCCGCGAAATCCTTGGTCGGGTCAAACTCGTACGGCTTGAGTTCGCGGGCAAAGAGCGTGTTGCCGTCGGTGAACGCCTCGACGACCTACGGGACTCAAACAACGACGTCATGTACGCTGATCCATACCACGACGTTGCCGCCAGCGTCTTGGAGGGCGCAGTTGATCGGGAGTTTCCCGGGCTTCCACATTGCGTCCTCCTTACCCAAGACGTACGTCAATAGGTACGTGTCCAGGCCCGACCGTGTAAAGCTCTTGGCCTACATGCGACGATACAAGAGACTGCGCATCAGGTATCAAGGGTGTCGTACGACGGTCGCATTGTTGATTTCGCAGTCGTCTTTGTGCACGGTGAGCGCCGTCGTCTCGTGGCTCGTGCGAATTTGCACTTCAATGACGCTGTCGACGTGCGCCGGGTCGTCAGACGAGAAGAGAAGCGTCGTCGCCGTGATGGTCGGGCGGTTCGCGTCGATCGAAAAGTCCAGCTTGGGCTCCGCCGTAAAGACATACGTGTTGCCGGCATCGTTGGCGACGCGGCACTCGAGCGGCAGCGTGCCGTTGATCGGAATGTCATGATCGCCGGCGCTGACGAGGTACTTGGCCATGTACAGCCCGCCGTGTGCGTCGGACGTCTCCGAGAGCTCAATGCCGCTGACGCCGTTGACCGAGCAGTTGCCAAAGTAGCCGCTCGTGCGGTTGGCCGCCGTCAGCGAGATCGTCACGAGCGACCCAATCTTGGCCGGCACTTCGGACGAAAACACCATAAAGATGCTCTCGAGAATGGGAAGCGTCCCGTCGACGAGCACGCCGTGGCTCGTGACGACGCCGCGTGCGCTCGCGACGTTGCCCGCGTCGTCCGTGACGTTGCACTGGTACGACATGCCACCCGCCGGCACGAACGGATCGCCCTTGGCGACGACGTACGAGCCTTTCGAGGCGCGAATGTCGATCGTGTGGCCCGTGGGCTGCAACGTGCACTTGCCCGCAACGTCGTGGTTGGACTTGGTCACGAGCGAGAACGCGACAGTTTGGTCAATGCCAATGGCCGGTGCCGGCGTTGGCGCCGGCGTCGCTGCGGTATCGCCGATGGGCGTGGCCACGGGCGCAGACGTGGGCGCGGCCGTCGGGACGACAATCTCGACGGCGTCGACCTCGGGCGGGTACGCATAGATGGCCATGGGTACCGTGTCGTCGACCGTAGCGATAGGCGTCGACACGCCCTTCGTCATGACTTTGCACTGAATGCGCGTCATGCCGGGCTCCGAGTCGGGGTCGCCGAGCTGCACCGTGTAGCCGACGAGGAGCTTCCACGACGACGACGCGTCGAGCGCTAACGTCGTGTTGGGCAGCGGAATCTGGTTCAGCGTGCACGTCGACGTGAGGTTCTTCGGCGCCGCGTCGCGCGGCAGGTCCACGGGCACGGCAAAGGCGAGGCGCATGTCGACACCGCAGTAGTTCTTCATCGGCGTCACCTGGTTCTTCTGCAGCGGCGTGCACGAGAGCGCGAGGTCCTTGTCCAGCAGCGCGCCCGAGGCCGGCGCCAGCGCCAGCGCGAGCAGGAAGAGCCATCCGCCCATGCGTCGTCGTCGTCGGGCCACGGGGCGGGACGAGGTATGCCGGTCCGCCATTCTTGCCTCGGAACCGCGATGCTGGGTATAACGGCTTTGCACTTGCGCCAGAATATTTTAATCCCATGCCACCACATTTATTTAAATCGAATCTATTTCGCTTGCTTTTCGTATTCCGAGACGCGTTGGTGCATTGTATTATCGGCAACGGCAAAAAAAGATCCAGACCGCGTCCGTGGAATTTTACCGGGCTCTATCTTTCTCATCCTCGTCTCAAATATTTCTTTTGTATCAAGTATGTCTCAAGGCCATGACGTGGCAGCCAAATGTGGTGGCGGCGCGAGGGACGTGCTCGAAGATCGTGGGTGCATTCGAACCACAGACATGTAGCGTCTCGCCCTCGTGTATAATAGAAGCGTGTTCGACGCGTTGCAGCATGGCACTGACGCCACGCACGGCCCACTCGCCGGATGGATCCATGATACCGTGTAGTTGTACCGGCCAGGGGCGTGAGGCCCACTTCCAGGCCCTTGGTGGCCACCTGCAAGCTTGTGACAAAGCGGACGAGGCTGGTTTGGGAAACGACTTTCACCCGCGTGGTGGTATTACGCTAGGGCGTGGGACGGCCATCTGATGGGTCGCGCGCCGCTCGCCTCCTGCACAGCAGGTGGAGGCTGTGGTCTCGAAGGGGCTTCCTGGCCGAGAAAGATACTCACCCGGGGAAAGCTCCGCCGCCCTCCCTTGCATATGGTGCACGTGGCAACGACGGTCGCGCAGATGCCATGCCCATCTGTGTCAGCGGCCTGTCGCCTTGGCTACAAACGCGTGAATCTGGCGCCGCGCGTCGACGTGGGCGGCGTGGTGCCGCTGCATCGCCGGCGACGTCATCGCGCCGTACGTGGCCGCAAAGGCCTGGAGCACATCGTTGTCGGCGAGCATCTTGACGTGCGGGTGCGCCTACGACGACCACAGGAGCGCTCGGTCGACGAGATACATCGTTGTCGTCGTACTACGAGGTAGCCCGCGACCTTGTCCGTGTGGCGGTGGTGCTGGGCGTACACGGCCCGCACGCGGCGAACGTCGTGCAGAAGGCGTGGTCGGCGGCGCTGCCCGACAACTGGGACGACCGTGCTACGCTGGCGGTTCGCCTTGACGTGGTCGCAGCGTCGTCGCCAGTTGCGCTGGATGAGGCCAGCACAGCAGTGCCACACTTCCCGCAGTCGACCGAGCTCGCAGAGGTAGATGCGAAGAACGTGTCGGAGCTGGACGCCGCTACGCAGAGTGGCATCGTTGCTGCGCGACAGACACGATATGAGCATTAGTACCGCCAACGCGCTTGGATCCGCGCCGCCATGCGATGCTGCATCGCCCATATGCGGTGGACCAAAAGGAGAACGTTGCCTTCGAAGCGGCGCAACCTACACGCGGCGTGAGATCGCATGGGTGCGCATACACAACGTGTCACGTCATGGACGGCCCCGCACGTCGCACATATGCACGGTAGTCGCGTTGGATGAGCGCCAGATCCTCCGTGTCCGAAAACCAAAACACGCGCGCCGTCGCGGCCGACGCCTCGCACAAGAGCGTTTGAAGCAGCCTCTCGTGCGTCCACGCGATGAGCGAGACGCCCGACTGGATCTTGGTGCGTCGCCGCGTCTGCATGCCCCGCACGCGCCGCTGCAACAGCGTCGCCGCGCGGCACTCGAGCGCGTCACGCGCGGCCTTGGCCCGGCGCCGGCGGTCCGCGTCACAGCGTGCGAGGCCGCCGCGCACGATGCGCTACATCAATGACGCGCTGCTTGCAAAAGCGATGGATGGCCATGGCGCACCTGCAGCGTCAAGGCGGCCGCGGCGCGAATGTGCTGGGCGTGGTGGAAGGCGGCCGCTTGGGACGCGAACACCGGCGCGTGGTTGGTCACGCCGACGCGCAGTTGCAGCGTGCGCCCGCAGCCAACGCACACGGGCAGTACCTCGCGTTGAAAGCGATGCCGCCCAAGGGCCGTGGCCGGCCCGAGGCGGTGCGCGTTGACGACGTTGAGAGCGTTGCACTGGGCGCAAGTTAGGTACGGACTGAGGTAGACGCCACGCGGCGCCAGGTGGTTCATGGCCGCGGCCCCAAAATAACCCAGGAATGAGTCTCTATGGCGTATATATATAAGGGCGATATGTAGATCGTGATATCTACGAATACGTAAATGGCTAGCTAATCTATACAAGGCCGCTGACTTCGTCGAGGTTGACGTCCTCCTTGAGCATGTCGTACTGCGGCTGGTCGTCCTCCATCGGGATGAGGACGCACTCGAGGCACTCGGGGTTGCCCTGCGGGTCCAATAATAACGTCAGCGACAAGCTGCTCGTGGCGCGGCCGTTCGCAACCGCGTTCTGGACGACAGTTCGCACGGTCTTGCGCGAGTCGACCGCGTTGTGGACGAGGCTGCGCGCGCGGCCGAGGTCGGCGCTCAGACAGCCGAGCAGCACTTCCTTGTTCTTGAGCGCCTCTTCGCTGAAGCCCGTGGCTTCCCGGAACGTCCGGTTGGCCCGCACGACTTGCAGGTCGAGCGTCATGAGGAGCGTCGGCGTGCTCGAGTTTTCAAAGTACCGGTCAAATGGCGCGTCGGTCTTGTGGCCGCCGCCCGTCGAGTGCAGCATGCGCTCGGCGTGGTCGGCCTTCTGCTTGGCAATGACGAGGTCGTTGCGCAGCATCGAGATGTAGTGCACCGTGTTGTCAAGGATCGACTGCTTGTTCTTCTTGCACGAGACGCCCGCGTCGTCGAGCGACTTTTTGAGCTGGTGGATGGTCTCGTTGAGCTTGAACATGCGCTTCTTCTCCTTCTGGTTGAGCTCTTCGCGCGACCGCTTCTGGCCGTTGATCGACTTGTTGTCATCCATGTCGTCGTGGTCGTTGTGCATTGAGCCGTTCATGTTGTTGACGTTGGAAAAGTCGGTCGACACATGCAGCATCGGCGCGTTCATTTGCTGGTAAAAGCCATGCTGCGGATGGCCATTGTTCAAGACGAGCGGCTCGTGGTCAAACTCGCCGCTGTGGTGGCCCATGTGCGCAGGCGCGTGGTGGCCATGGCTCGGCGGGCCTTGGTGGTGCGACGGCGCATGGTGCGGCGGCGCATGGTGCGAGGGCGCGTGGTGCGCAGCGTGGTGCGGCGGCGCGTGGTGCGACGGAGGGCCCTGGTGGTGGGCCATCATCTGGCCAAAGTCGCCTGGGTGGCCCTTGTCCATGTACATGCGGCCTTGGTGGTGGTGCTGCGCCTGCATCATGTGGTTGGGCGAGTAGCTGTAGTCGTTGCGGTTCATGGTCGATCGATGGCTTCGGAGGCGGAGTAGCGGCGAAGGAGGAGCTTCTTAAACACTTGGGCGAACAGCTGCTAAAGTACCGTGTAGTACGTGCTGCGGCTTTCTCCGCAAGTGTGCGTCGTTGAGCCAAATGGAAAATGAAAGCCATATGAACGCCAGCTGGCATTCAGGCCCTGCTATATACAAACGCCAAGTCTTTTGTGCTACACTAGGATTTTGTATGCCAATGTGACTCACGCCTCTTGTCTTGCATTTTGTATACCCGATAAGATCTGGTGGCCATTTTGATACCCATCTGGTACGCCGGTTGTGTTTTTATTCCACCGATTTATGTTGCCTACAATTCCGTAGATTATCATGTGCAATTCAATAGCGCTCAAAAAAATAGCGGCTGCCGTTGCCGCCTGTCGACGTCACCGCGCGAAGTTCGAAGCGGCCGGCGGGCGCGCGACTCGTACCGTCGAGGACGACGCCCCTAGCAATATATATAGGGGAGGGGCAGCGATGCGAGCGTGGCGGTCGCCGCCGCTGCCACCGACGCCGCGAAGCCGCTCTGCGTCACCGTCCAGTGCGGTCACTGGACGCAACATGTCGCACATGTCCCAGGAAGCGTACACTGTCGGTTTGCAGGCGAGGTGATTTTTTTCGGGATCTTGACGCGCCAAGAACTTGTGGCTTGTATACCATAGTCGGGCAAGGCGCCAGGCGACCTACAGTGTAGTGGCCGCGGGATGTGTTGCCACCTGGCCGATTCAGTGGTCCGCAAAGCAGAGGGGTTTGCAATCGCATCGACCACTCGTCACGGCGGGGCATTACATCGCCGCAGGTTGAAGACGAAGTTTCTCCTTGGCAACGAAGACGACCTTCCACACAGACGTGTGTACGCGTCGCCACCACATGCGCCGCTCGTCTTCCTTATGAAACGGGCCTCCGGTAAGATATGACGTCGTCATGTCTACAGCGCGAGGGCAGAGAGCGCCGCGCTATGCCAGTATATATACGTCAAAGCCACTGGTTCGGGTGCAGGATAAGCACCGGCTTCGCGCCGGTTCTCGACACCGAGCCGGGCCAGAAAAATCGCGCCGTTTCCGACGTTCGAGGAGAGGCCCCGCGCCGCCGACGCGCCGCGCCACATGGTTCTCGGCACACCCTCAATCTGATCAATTAACATGCTGTGGCATGTATATAAACAGGACCCGTGGCCCTCGTCGCCCGCCTCGCGGCGCAGCTGACACAGCTGACACGCCAGGCCACGGCGCCTTCCACCCCATGGCAATACAGTGTAATCCTTTATCGTGCTCGTATTAGCTGCGGGCGCTGGCCGCAAAAGCCCGACGACGTCGCGTACCTTCTTGAAGCTCCGCGCGCACGTTGTCGTGGGATAGGCGGGGCGCCCGCCTTCTTTTTGGCCGGTCCCCCTCGTTGAAGAACGCGGGTTGTCCGGATGTGCATGTATCATCCGGTTAATTTGAATTCGACGATCGAATTGCTCGACAATTTCGCGCGCAAATCTTCGACCGATTCAAAATCCGTCGAAGGTTTCGTACGTTGCGCGCTTGACATGGTGCATTTGTCAACGCTCAGCATCCTCGACGACCGATATATGACCACGCCCAAGCATGTGCAGCATGACCTACCTTCTCCAACTTCCGCTCTATGAGCTGCCACCGCTGCACGAGCTGCTTGCGCGCCGTTCGCCGCCGCCGCTGGTCGCGCCGCTGCGTCGCCACAACGTGTCCTTTGCCCCTCCTTCGCTCCTTACTGCTCAGCTCGTCGCGCGCGCGACGCGCACGTCGTTGCGTGCGTTGACGCGCAGCCCGTGATTCCTCAACTGCACTTTTGTAGCGCTTCGATCTTCCTTCATCTTACGAACGTCCCATCAACCTCGTATTGCATCGACCATGTATTAGAAAGTCACATGCATGAAGCACCTTTGTGTACTACATAATAATACAGACGTCCATATGGAACCAACGGAGCTCTGTACACAACGTGTTATGGCCGCTTAAACGAGACCCTTGGCCCGCGCGGCTTCAAACTCCGTGTAGTTGCCGCTAAAGTACGTGGCCTTGCCGCTGCCGTCGTACGACAAGATGTGCGTCGCGATGCGATCGAGGAACCAGCGGTCGTGCGAAATGCAGAGCGAGACGCCGTCAAAGTCGACCAGCGCCATCTCGAGCGACCGCAGCGTGTCCACATCCAGATCGTTGGTCGGTTCATCGAGCAAGATCACGTTGTGGCCGCCCAGAAGCATCTTGGCCAGATGGACGCGGTTGCGCTCACCACCGCTGAGTTGCGAGACCTACACAATTTTGGCTCCAAACTTCTCGACAAGATAGAGCGACGCACCTTCTTCTCTTGCATCGGGCCCTTGAGGTTGAACGACGCAATGTACGCACGCGTGTTGATGCGCTCGCCGTTGACTTCAACGGATTCGTTGTCGCCAGAGATCTCTTCGTAGACCGTGTTGACGCCGCGCAGGTCGCCGCGCGACTGCGACACAAAACCAAGCGAGACGGTCTTGCCAAGCGTGACGCTGCCAGCGTCCGGCGCGAGGTTGCCCGTGATGATGTTGAAGAGCGTACTCTTGCCCGCGCCATTGGGACCGACAATCCCGACAATCGACTTGGGCTCGACCTCAAAGGTGACGTTGTCCAACAGCACCTTGCCGTCCAGCGTCTTGGAGACGTTGTTGATGCTCATGACCTTGTTGCCGAGGCGAGCACCGCGCGGAATCAAGATCTGACCTTCGTCCATGGTGTGGAAGCCACCTAGACGACCAGATGCGGCCGTGTGTCCATGTGTAGCAAGCATGCGTACCGTCGCCCTTGAGCTCGTCAATCTGCTTTTGGCGCGCCTTGGAGCCCTTCTTGTTGCCCTGGTGCGTCTGGACCCACTCGAGCTCCTGCGCCAGCTGCCGCGCGCGGATCGCTTCGCGGCGCTTGTCCATGTTGAGGCGGTTCTTCTTCTGGCCGAGGAAGTACGAGTAATTGCCCTCGTAGACATAGTAGTTGCCGCGCTCGAGCTCGAGGATCCAGCCCGCGACGTTGTCGAGGAAGTACCGGTCGTGCGTGATCGAGAGCACGGTGCCCTTGTAATTCTTGAGATACGACTCGAGCCACGCAACACTCTCAGCGTCCAAGTGGTTGGTCGGTTCATCCAGCAGCAGGATGTCGGGCTTCTCCAGAAGGAGGCGGCAAAGCGCCACGCGGCGACGCTCGCCACCCGAGAGCACCGTCACGTCCGCGTCGCCCGGCGGCACGCGCAGCGCCGCCATCGCACGCTCGACTTCGTACGTCAGATCTATCCAATTGCATGAGATAAGCCTCGCTCAAGAACAACGAGAGAGTACCCCAGCAGTCCAACGCCTCGATCTGCTCTTGAAGCGCGGCTTGCTCGTCGAGGAGCTTATCAAAGTCGGCATCCGGCTCGCCCATCGCGACCGAGACCTGCACCAACATGGCGTGAGCATATACGATGGGCGATGGCATTCATACCTCGTCGAAGCGCTTTAGAAGCGCCGTCGTCTCCTTGATACCGTCCATGACATTCTCAAAAACGTTCTTGGTCGGGTCGAGGTACGGCTCCTGCTGGAGGTAGCCAATGCGCAAGCCCGGCTTGCACCAGCGCTCGCCTTCAAACTCCTTGGTGACACCCGCGAGCACCTTCATGAGCGACGACTTGCCCGTCCCGTTGCTGCCGAGGATGCCAATCTTGGCGCCGTTAAGGAAGCCGAGGTTGATGTTCTCGAAGAGCTTCTTGCCGTTGGGCAGCGTCACGCCGACCGACTTGACGTGCGCGACAAAGTCGCCGGGGATGCCACCGCCAGCGTTGTTGGTCGCTGCAAACGTGCGGACGAGCGGCGTCCGCGTCAACTGCAAGCGGCGCCACATGAGGAGGAGGATTCGACGACGTTCACGTTCGACAACTCCGTCCACTCGGTCGCCGCGATGCCATTGGTGGACTCGTGGCGATGCATGCAATGTGATTGGTCTACGGATGGCTCGTCGCACGCGATTGGTCGCTAGAAAGGCAACTCGCGATGATGCTGCGCACCGCCCGTCGAGCGCTCCACGCCCGGCGCTTTAGCTCCGCCGCCTCCGGTAGCGACGAGTAGCGATAGCTAGCTGCAGGCTCATGCTCCATGGTGGCGTATAGACGATGTCACACCCAAGACGCTTGGCAAGATCTTTGCCTCGCAAATGCACGAGCTCGAGGTCGAGAACACGCGCAACTTTAGCATCGTGGCGCACATTGACCACGGCAAGTCGGTACTTTCTTCGTCTTCTTACGACGACGTAAATGGTGACGATGGTATGTCTCAGACGCTCGCGGACCGGCTCCTCGAACTCAGCGGCAACATCACGACCAAGGAACGCGAGTCGGCGCAGCACTTGGACAACCTCAAGGTCGAGCGCGAGCGCGGGATTACGGTCAAGGCGCAGACCGCCTCGATGCTCTATCGCTGCAAGAAGACGGGCAAGCAGTATCTCCTCAACCTCGTTGATACGCCAGGTCGCGCCTGCTTGGATATCAAAGTGGTCCAACCACTTTGTCTTGCGTAGGCCACGTGGACTTCAGCTACGAAGTGAGCCGATCGCTCAGTGCGTGCGAGGGCGTCTTGCTGCTTGTTGACGCGTCCCAGGGCATCCAGGCCCAGACGCTGGCAACCTACCACGCGGCCAAAGATCTCGGGCTTCGCGTCGTGCCGATTCTGACCAAGATCGACATGCCGCACGCACAGCCCGAGGAAGGCATGTTGAGCCTCTCGGCGCTTCTGGGTAAGAATACGTCGGCCATCCCCTAGAGGCGGTATCAATGCATGCTATAGACGTCGACCCTGAGTCGGTGCTGCTCACGTCGGCCAAGAGCGGCGTTGGTATCGACGAGGTAGCCCGTCTTTTCTTCGCTCATTCCTTGCGTGCTAACGTGCTATCGTGCCAGGTGTTGCCGGCAGTCATCGAGTACCTCCCGCCGCCCATTGCGAACCGCAGCGCGCCGCTCAAGTGCCTCCTCGTGGACTCGTACTACGACGACTACCGCGGCATCGTCTGCCTCGTCAAGGTCGTCGACGGCTGCTTGGCGCCGGGCGAGAAGGTTCGTTGTTGTCTGTCTCCACGCACCGCTGGGAGCATCCTCGTAGGTGACGAGCGCAGCGACCAAGACATCGTACGATGTGCAGGAGGTTGGCGTTCTCTTGCCGCACCGCTTCCCGACCAAAGGGTGCGTCTCATCGTCTCCTTCCAGTGCACCCACAGTGTCGGCGTAGGCTCTACGCAGGCCAGGTCGGCTACATCATTGCTGGTACGCCTCCGATTTCTCTGTCGATTTTGCAAGTGCCAATGGCTTCTAGGCATGAAGACGACGACCGAGGCGCGGGTCGGGGATACCTTCCACCACCCTGGCAAGCCCGTCGAAGCGCTTCCAGGGTTCCAGGTACAGTCTGCGCCTCTGCCGTGCGTACGCGAGCGCATGCTAGGAAGCCAAGAGCATGGTGTTTGCCAGCATGTACCCGACGGACGAGTGCACGTTCGACGACCTCCGCACGGCCATGGGCAAGCTCACGCTCAACGATGCGAGCGTGACGTCGCAGGTCGAAAACAGCGGTGCGCTTGGCATGGGCTACCGTTGCGGGTTTCTTGGGCTTTTGCACATGGAGGTCTTCCACCAGCGCCTCTCGGACGAGCAAAACATGCAAGTGCTCGTGACTGCCCCCATGGTGCCCTACACGGTACCGGATCGTAGTGATAGGAAGTGCCTCGTCGCCTCACTACCGTCTTGACAACAGGTCATTGATGCCAACGGGGAGCGCACCAAGGTCGAGACCCCTGGGGAGTTTCCCGAGTCGACGAAGTACTACCGCGTCGAAGAGCCGATGGTCGAAGCGTCCATCATCACGCCCGCCGAGTACGTCGGCGCGATCCTCATCTCGACCAACGTTCGTCCCAAATACATTCCTTCGCTCTCTCGTTGTCTCAAGCGTCGAGGTAGGAACGCCGCGGCGAGCAGACCAACATGGTGTACCTCGATGACAGCCGCGTCGCGCTCACGTTCCGGCTGCCGTGGCAAGAAGTGGTGACGGACTTTTACAACGAGCTCAAGACCGTCACGTCGGGCTACGGTACTCGTCCATGTCGTCTGCGTCCAGACGAACACCGTATCGGGATGTAGCGTCGCTCAACTACCGCGAGATTGAGCCGCAGGAAGCCGACATTGTCAAGGTCGACGTGCTCATCAACGGCAAGATCCTCGACGCGCTTTCGTTCGTGTGCCATCGCTCCAAGGTCCGCACCCGATATCTGTTGTCGTTCTCATGCACTTATGTAGGCGACGGCGGCCGGCCGCGCGCTTTGCCTCAAGCTCAAGAACGTCATTGACCGGCAGCAATATGAGATCAACATCCAGGCGACGCTCGGCGCCAAGGTCCACATCGCGCATCGCACATGGCGACTGACACTCAGCATGTAGATCTTTGCCAAGGAGCGCATCCCGCCGTTCCGCAAAGACGTGCTCATCAAGTCGGGCAAGCAAGTGGGCGGCGGCGACATCACGCGCAAGCAGAAGCTCTTGAAGAAGCAAAAGGAAGGCAAGAAGCGCATGAAGACCGTCGGCAACGTGCAGCTCTCGCAGAACGCGTTCTGGTCCGTCCTCTCGAAGTAGCGCGTCGATCGCAGTAGGACTCGAATTGATGATGATGATCAACTACGACTGGGACATGAAATCCGACTCGATCCACGCCAGCGCTTCCGCCACGTCATCGACGACCGCATCGCCCGGGTGCTCGGGGTGGTTGACGCCACGCGGCGCCGTGTACATGCCCGTGCGCGTGAACACCGACTTCCAATGGTCGCCGGCGGCGTTGGCGCCCTAGTACGCCATCGGAAACGAGTCGCGCCGCGTCAGAGGCGTACCTTGATGTCCGTGAACGGGTTGTCGCCAACCATGTAGATGCGGTCGAGTGCGTCGACGTTGGCGCGGAGCTGTGACTGCAAAAGCGTCTCGGCGAACGCATACGACGTCTTCTCGGGCTTCCCAAAGAGCGTTTGGGTCAAGTGGTCGCCAGTCGTGCGCGTGTAGAGGTCTTCAAGAACCGCGCGAAAGGCGCCAGCGCCGAAGCGCGGCAAGTGGTGCTCGCCGACGTACTGAAAGTCCGAGCACGCCGAGTACATGTTGACCTAAAGCCACGCATCATGCATGCACTCGATGCATGACGATGCATATCGACGTACATGCTGGTCGTCCGAGACCGTCCCAATCTGGCCTTCGTGCGACGTGAGCACGTCCATGATGATCTGGAGCTCGCGGCCCCAGTAGATAGGGTCCATGAGCACAAAGACTGCCTTGAACGCGGCCGCGTCGTACTTGCCGAGGTGCGGGACCTACAATACGTAGCATCGGCGCCTTCGCTTCTCTTTTCGCCCATATTGGTCGTACCTTGGGCACGGCAATGTCCGGGTAGCTCGATGGAAAGTGCGAATGGATGTCCGAGACCGTCACGACGTTGCGAAAGCCATAGTTGTGCATGACCTCCTGCAAGCACACGTCCATGACGATGAGGAAGCGTCGATAGTGGTCTACCTTGGTCGCGTCGCACTTTTTGCCCACGGCGAGGACCATCTCGTCCTGGTACGTGGGCACGAGCGACCGCATCGGCGTGTGGGCGAGGCAGAGGCGCGACGCGTGGATCTCAAAGTCCAGAATCTCCGAGAGCTGCGCCGCCTTCTTCTCCTCGGTGACGCCGCCGCCGTTGGTCATGATCGCGAACGGCGTCTGCGAGTCGCGGAGCGACTCAAGCACGCGCGTCGCGCCCGCGATCGGCGTCTTGCCACGTAGAAGGACGCCATCGACGTCAAAGACGACGCCAAACCGCTTCGCCACCTGCTGCATCGTGGCTTTTAACGTGAATCCTGGACCGCCGATCTTTTTCTTGGAGTTTAACGCATGCGTTAAAGGCCTTCAACACCCTGGCGCCACTTGCAGTTCAAGACTTCAACAACCGATGGCAGGTTCTGTGACCGAGCTGCTCGATTGTCGTAGCCTAGGTCCATGGAACGCCGGCTTTGCCCGCGCTACCGGCAGTAATAATAGGGACGGCCGTCCGGTTGTCATGGTTGAACCCAGGCGTCTGCAAGCAAACAGACAATAGGATTGGGGTGGGTTAGGTAGTGGATGATGACCGCTACTTGGGCTGGAACGTCTGCTTCTCAAAGAGGTTGAGCGTGACCGTGCTCACAAACGCGGGCGGCGAGTTGCAGTGGCTGAGGTACCCGAGGTACTTGGGATCGAGCGACGCGCAAAAGTCCGTCTCCAGCAACGCCATGTTTTCCTCGTCGACGAGCCGGAACTTGATCTCGTCGCCTTCGTTTTCGGCGTACATGGACCGGAGCGAGAGCTCGTTCTTCTTGAGGTCGATCTTGTAGCCTGTCACGCGGTAGACCGCATCGCGGTACTTGTTGATTTGGTCCCGGAACACCTGCACCAGTGTCAGGATCATCCTCCTCTTGACGGGGAAATCCGTGTTATACCTCTTTGAGGCGCTGGTTCAAGATGCGCAGGCCCTCGACCGTCTCGTGCGGCGTCGTAATGCTAGCAGCGCTCGCCGGCGGCTTGGCGCGAGGCGTTTGGTGCGTCACCTGCTGCAGCGTCTCCTTGAGCCGCTCGTTCTCCTCGCGGAGCGCAACCACGTCGGCCGACTCGGGCGCCGTCTGCAGTACATGGTGCGACGTCGGGTTCTACACGCAGGGATACCATCAACGTCTGCGACATCCGAAACAAATATCAAGTACCAGCATCATGTGAACGACCTTGGTCGTACGCGGGTTAAACTCGCCGCGACCGAGACGCTTCTCAAAGAGCGCTACGTCCGTCTCGAGCTTGACGATCGCTTTGGTGAGGCGGAGGTTCTCGGCCTTCTCATCGCTAATGGACCGCTCGAGATGCGCGATGCGACCTTGCTGCTTTTCCATGAGCGCCGGCGACGCCATGACGCGCTGCTCCTGCTGCAGCTCCGCGTTGACCGTCTCGGAGCGCGCGAGCGCCTCCTTGAGCTGCTGCACGAGCTGCCGCGCCTCAGTCGTCTCGCCGCGCTCGTACGAGCTCAGGAGCGACGTCAAGTCGAGGTTTGTCTCGCGCGTGCGAGCGCCCACACGCACCTCCTTGTCCATCTACAAAAGGATGCTAAGGCCGATTTTGCGTCGCAACCGACCTCGCGTACATGGTACTTGGCGTCTGTGAGCTCGGCCTCGAGCTGTGCGTACTTGGCTTCCCATGCGAGCACCTCCTTTGTCGCCGCCTCCAAGCGGCTGTTGAGCTTGGTCATTTGGAGCTCCAGTTGGCCCTAGTTGGTCGTGTCTTCTCGGATCATCGGAAAACAAACGTACGCGCTGGAGCAAGAGGGCCTCAAAGTCGCTTTGGCGTGCGATGAAAAGCTCGCTCACGGCCTTGGTCGGGTGCGTCTCGACGAGGTGCGGGTCGAGGCCGTCTACAACCTCCTCGATGAGACGAAGGCTACGCGCACGCAATTTGCACTCTTGGGGTCCGTGAGTAGCGGCCGGAAGAGTTCTTTCCACTCGCGCTCGTTCTCGAGCAGTGCTTCGTACGCCACCTAATGCGCACTAGATGATAAGAGACATCGTCTCAGTGCTGCACGGGCCGACATGGATCTCGGTCTTCTCCGACGCCCGCTTCTCGCTCGCGTCCAAAAGACGCTGCAACGTCGTGAGCTGCTCGGCCAAGACTTCCTGGTTCTTGGCATGGACGCGGAGCCCTTGCATCTTTTCACATGGACAATGAGACAGGAGGCTTCCGTGCTGCGATCATCGACGAACCTCGTCCCGGTCGCGCTTGCTGGCCTGCTCAAGATCGGCAACCTTTTGGCGCAACGCTCGGAGCTCGGACGCGTCGTGGAGCGTCTGCTGGGCCTCCTCGAGCGCCTTCTGCGCGTTCTACATACACGCACATCATGAGCGTTTCCGTGCTCACGCGTTGACGCTGCACCGAAGCCAAGATCGTTTGCTCGTCGAGCTGCATCTGCAAGAGGCGAATCTCGGACGCCATGGCCTACAAGGTATTACATAGTGTCACATTGGGTGGTGGGAGGTAGCGAGGGGTACCGGCGACGACGACGACGCGTCGTTCTCGTCGTCATCTTGGCCGCTGTCGTCTTCCTTGTCGAGCTTGCTGTTGGCTTCGTCCAACTCATCACGCAGGTTTTCAATGATCGTGTTGGCTTCGTGCGCCGTGTGGTTGCGCTCTGTCTCGAGCTCCTCGATGCGCTCCTTGCACGAGGCGATCTCGTCCGTGGCCGTCCGCAGCTGCTGCTCCAAGTCTGCACGCAGCTCTTGGTACGCTCGCTGAAGGTCCGTGCTTTCTTCGTTGAGGATGTCCACCTTGCTACGCATCTTTTCTTCTTCGTCCATGGTCATCTTGAGCTGGCGCTTGAGCTTCGCGAGCTCGTTGTCCTTGGCGGCCATTGCGAGCTCGTGCTTGCTGTGTGTTTGCTCGTGGGCAATGCGCGCAGCTTCGAGCTCCTGCGTGAGCATGTCGATGCGGCTCATGGCGGCGTTCTCGATGCTGGACCGCGGGCGCTTCGAGCCGCTGGTGAAGCTCGCCGGCGATGGCGTCAGCGTGACCTCGATGCCAGACTCCTGGACCGTACCCCGGCTGCTGTCGACCAGTCCACCGCTGACCATGAGGTGTGACGGCGAGTCGCTGCGCTGGATCGGCGAGATGTAGCGCGTGTTCTGCAGGAAGCCGTCGCGGGCAGGCGGCGGCGTCTCCTCCATCTCTGGTGCTCGGGCAGAAATTACACTATTTTCGTATCTCTCCGGATAGACAAACGATGGGAAATTGTGTGAAGGGTTTGGTATCCGTACACGATGGCAATTATTTTGGCCAATAGAATCAATGTTGTAGATTCCGTCACTTTGATTGGTCAATAAGTGCTCTGCAGCAAGATGATTGGGGCACAGGCCCAAGATCGCCCTCCAACCTTGCCTTCGTGCCAACTCGAGCTCAATTGCACCCTCAGCTTGGACCCTCGGTTCCTCGGTTACTAGTACACTCCATGACCGATGGAAGGCAAGGCTTTTTGTGTACATACTACGGGAACTAGGGCAATAGAAGGTCGTCTGGCCTCATTCAAGCACGCACCGAGCAACCAGATCTATACCCTCCGTGGTGACACCCTCGATGTCGACATCGCGATGTCGATCAATGTCGTTCCAGCGTGTAGTGCAGTTGGTTTGTGCCGCTGGTTTTGTTGCGGTGGGCTACCAGTGTCGCCTCGGAAGCTTGTCTGCGCAGCGTACCGATTTCCATGTACACGACGAAGCACGTCTGCAAGCTGTCTCTTCTTGGCGTTCCACCGTGATCCGACGGAACACTGGCAGCGACGAAAGATGCTGTTGCGGTCGGCACGGCGGCTCTGCCTGGCGACGTATCGGTTGTCCCTCGACAAGACACCGTAAAGGGGAAAAGCAAAGTGACTGCAGCCGTGTGTGTCCCTCTCGGCCCCGAAAGTGCACGGCTGGCGCCAGACGATGGACGCTGCATCCACATCAATCCTTCGCATATGGATGCGTCCATGGATGGCTCGACCTCGCATGTCCTCCGACACGGCATCCTTTGCAACGCCTTATATTTATGCTCCTGTACGCCTTTGCCGAGCCAGCTCGAGCAGCCTCAGTAGTACGATTCCCTTGCATTATCCGCGGACGCCACTCGCCGTGCTGTCGCGCGTCTTGTCCGTGGATGCCCCGTCGTTCCAGCAGCTGGTCTGGCGCACTTGAACTTTGGGCTTGAAGTTCGTGAGCGTTTAGCTGCATTTTGACCAATCGTGTGCCGAGGCACGGTGATTTTGACCAATCGTTGCAAAGGGCAAAGTGAAGATTCGCTGGCGATCCAGCGGCTAGAAAGGCAGCAGTCTTCATTTTACCTTCGACAACTCACGACGATGATGATGCTTCGCTCGAGCGCCAAGCTCAACACGGTCCTCGCGCGCCGCCAGAGCACGCTCACGTTCTCCAAGTACCCGTTCCTGAAGGAGCTCGGTCTCCAGGAGGAGAACCTCGGTGTCTTTGACGGCGAGTGGTTCGGCAACGGCCCTGTCTTCAACAGCGTCAACCCGGCGACCAACGAGATCATTGCCAAGACGCGCACGGGTACCAAGGCCGACTACGAGCGCGTTATTGCTGCCATGGACAAGGCCAAGAAGGACTGGGCCGACGTGCCGGCTCCGATCCGCGGCGAAGTCGTGCGCCAGATTGGTGAGTCGCTTCGCGCCAAGCAAAAGGCGCTCGGCCAGCTCGTCTCGCTCGAGATGGGCAAGATCACGGTCGAGGGTGTCGGCGAGGTCCAGGAGGCTGTCGACATTTGCGACTTTGCCGTCGGTCTCTCGCGCTGCCTCAACGGCTCGATCATCCCGTCCGAGCGCCCGGGCCACTTTATGATGGAGCGCTACAACCCGCTCAAGGGCCATGTCGGTATCATCACGGCCTTCAACTTTCCGTGCGCTGTCATGTTTTGGAACGGCGCGCTCAGCCTCGTCGCTGGCAACACCCAAGTGTGGAAGCCCCATGACAACTTGTGCTTGACGTCGATTGCGTGCAACAAGATCGTCACGGACGTCCTCGAGAAGAACGGGTACAACCCCGCGATCGCGTCGCTCATCTGCGGCAGCGGCAAGGAGGTCGGCGAGCCAATGATCAAGGACAAGCGCATGGAGCTCATCTCGTTTACGGGCTCGACGCACGTCGGCCGCCACGTGAACGAAGTCGTCGCCAACCGGTTTGGCAAGGCGATCCTTGAGCTCGGCGGCAACAACGCGATGATCATTGACGAAGACGCCGACTTGACCATGGCGCTCCGTGCGACGCTCTTCTCGGCCGTCGGCACGGCCGGCCAGCGCTGCACGACGCTCCGCCGCATCTACCTCCACGAAAACATCTACGACTCGTTTGTCGACAAGCTCGTGACCGCGTACAAGCAGATCCCGATCGGCGACCAGCTCGACCCGACGACGCTCTGCGGCCCGCTCCACAACCAGCAGGTACAACACCCAACTCGATATCGCGAGCTGCTGTTCACGTGGAGAAATAGGCGGTCACCAACTTTGCCAACGGCATCAAGACGGCGACCGAGCAGGGCGGCAAGGTCTTGACGGGCGGCAAGGTGCTCCCGGGCCCTGGCAACTTTGTCGAGCCGACGCTCGTGGCGATTGCGCACGAGGCGCCGATCGTGCAGGTGCGTTTCACGGCTGGCACATGTGGACAAGTTGTCAATGGCTCTGTAGACCGAGATTTTTGCACCCATTACGTACGTGATGAAGTTTAGCAACCTCGACGAAGCGATCGAGAAGAACAACGACGTGCCCCAGGGCCTCTCGTCGTCGCTCTTTACGACCAACCAGGCCGCGATCTTCAAGTGGACGGGCCCTGCCGGCTCGGACTGCGGCATCGTCAACGTCAACATTGGCCCGAGCGGCGCCGAGATTGGCGGCGCGTTTGGCGGCGAGAAGGAGACGGGCGCCGGTGGCCGCGAGTCGGGCAGCGATGCGTGGAAGCAGTACATGCGCCGGTCGACGTGCACGATCAACCACAGCAAGAACCTCCCGCTTGCGCAGGGCATCAACTTTGGTTAAGCCACGAGCGGTTTATAGAGCAAGGATGAATATACGACTTGGTGGTGTGTGCTATGACGACGTCCTCTGGCTCGACGACGACGACGGAAGATACTGCTGCAGTTGTTGGCGCTGCTGCTGGAAAATGAGGTCCATCTGCGACGTGTTGTGGGCGATGAACGACTGCCCGACCTTGTGCACCCGAGCTTGGAACGCCTTGAACCATGCGTCGGGCTCGGACGGCATCGACGATACGTCGCAGCCCCAGTACGCTGCTTCCCTCGCCATGTCAAAGTGGCCATGCTGGTTGAAGCCGTGCGAGTTGATGTAGAGGACGCGGATGTGCGTGACGTGCTCGGACACGCGATCGAGCACGATCCTAGACCAGAAAGGAGGATGACGAGATCGAACCACATGTACTGCGAAGGTGCACCAGAGTCGGCGGTTGCACTGCTCGTCGTTCAGCGGCTGCGTCTCGTCGAACGGAATGTTTTGACACACAAAGATGCACTGGGTCGATGTCGCAAACTCGCGCGAGACAAAGTTGATGCTCTCGCGCGGACTCGACGCAATCCGCGTGTACGTGATCTGCGCCGCGACTTGATTGACAATCTAATCGTTTCATCATGAGTCGCTCGCTGCTCTACATCCTTTCTAGAGGTGTGGTAGTATTACATCTGGATCGAGCGCTTCGCCCGTGCCACTGGACCAGACGCCGCCGTTCACAAAATGCTGGACAAAGGCGCGGAAGGCCGCCACCGTGGCGTCAAAGGGCGCATTGTGCTTGGCCTGGTGCCGCCACGCGTACTCAAAGTACTCGGGATCGGTCATATCAATGGCAAAGTCGTCAAAGCGGTCGGTGCCGTACAGGGACTCGAACCCGCAATGCGCGAGCATGCGCTCCGTGTTGTGGTAGAGGTGCTTGGTGATCCAATCGAGACCGAGCTTGCGCGACTCTTTGTTGGCGAATAGCGTCGCGTTGCGCCACGAGTACGCCGAGGCCGTGATCGCCTTCTAGTACGGGGTCAGGATAACGTGGCAATGATAAAGATGACGTCGCCACCTGGATGGGCACGTGCTTCGTGACCCACGTTGTCATGACAACAACCAGATCTTGGTACTCTTCGAGCTGCGACTTGAGCGCCTTGTTCTTGTGCGTCGTGAGCGACGCCTCGTCCCGGAGCGCAGATGCCACGTCGACCCACGGCAGCTCGGTCGGTGCGTTCGCCCGGAGCTCGGTTGTGAGCGCGTCAACCTGGACCTCGAGCTCTGCGACGAGAGCCCGGAGTGAAGCCACTTCCGACGACTCACGGCTGCGGTACTGGCGCTGCTTCTGGCGCTGGTACACGCGCCGGCGCAGCTTGGCCGCTGCCCGCGCCGCGTCCCGCTCCGAGTCCATGCCACTGTGGCCTTGCTGTGGCCGGGCTGGGACAGGCGGTCATCCGGTTACAAGCCGGATACGACGGTACGATGTACGGCCGTGTCCCTATGCGACAGTCGCAGCGCCGAAGCCGGCGGCGCAATCTGTGGCCCACCAGTGTGTTCCGCGTTCGCTTCCTGTGGCGCAGGGCGTCCGTTTTCACCGACACACCCAAGCGCCATCCGTGACGCTCTTCTGGCCACCCCTCGTCACCTCTTAGATATCAGGCCGCGCAAATTTATGCAATGAATCCTCTTCCAAGCCAGTGCTACTGTACAGTGCTCCTCACGCTACCGGTAGTCTCATGGCGTGAGACGCTGGAACCGGCAAGGCTGGCACGTACTAGGTGGCAGACTCTAGGTGGCTTGCGAACGGTTGTAAAGAGGATTCATGGACACAAGGGTCTTCGCTACTGTAGCAGCTAGAGGCATTGGCAGCGGGCCATGGGCCCAGCGATCGACGAAAGCCAGAGCCAGCCGGGTCTCGTACATTGGCGTACATTGCCGTACGGGCCGCAGCGTACTTCAATGTACGGTCACTCTCGGCGACCGCAGGCGCACAACCGCTTTCGTCCATCGCCACGCAAATGCGCCGCTTCAGCTCCAACACGTTGACCCGCCGCCTGGCCGGCGAGCTCTCGGAGATCAAGGCCGCGGGCACGTACAAGTCGGAGCGCGTGATCACGTCGCCGCAGGGCGCGTCGATCGTCGTTGCGGACAAGGGCGTGCTCAACTTCTGCGCCAACAACTACCTCGGTCTCTCCAACCACCCCGAGGTCGTGGCCGCGGCCAAGAAGGCGCTCGAGACGCATGGCTTTGGCCTTAGCTCCGTGCGCTTCATCTGCGGCACGCAAGACATCCACAAGGAGCTCGAGGCGGCGATCGCTCGCTTCCACGGCACGGACGACACGATTTTGTACCCGTCGTGCTTTGATGCGAACGCGGGTCTCTTTGAAGCTATCTTGAACAACGAAGATGCGATCATCACGGACGAACTCAACCACGCCTCGATCATTGACGGCATCCGCCTCTGCAAGGCCGAGCGCCACCGCTTCAAGCACATGGACTTGAAGGACCTCGAGGCCAAGCTCGAGGCGTCCAAGCACTGCCGCACGCGCCTCATCGCGACGGACGGCGCCTTTAGCATGGATGGCGACGTCGCGCCGCTCAAGGGCATCTACGACCTTGCCCAGAAGCACGACGCCCAGGTGTTCATTGATGAGTGCCACACGACGGGCTTCTTTGGCGCCACCGGCCGTGGCACAGACGAGTACTTTGGTCTCCGCGGCAAGATCGACGTACGACGACGACGACGCTGCATTGTCTCATAGCACGATCTTGCGTGTAGATCATCAACTCGACGCTCGGCAAGGCGCTTGGTGGCGGCACCGGCGGCTACACGACGGGTCGCCAGGAGGTCATCGACACGCTTCGCCAAAAGTCGCGCCCGTACCTCTTCTCCAACTCGGTGTCGCCCGTCGTCGTCGGCGCGTCGCTCAAGGTCTTTGAGATGCTCGAGAGCTCGAGCGAGTACGTCGAGCAGATCCGCGACAACACGCACCACTTCCGCGACCGCATGGCCGCCGCCGGCTTCAAGCTCACGGGCGCTCGGTATCGTCTCCTTCCATCCGATGGATTATGACAAGGTGTCTCTGTAGCGACCACCCGATCGTGGCCGTCATGATTGGCGATGCGCGCCTCGCGTCCAAGCTCGCCGACGACATGCTCGAGCAGGGCATTTACGTCATTGGCTTTAGCTACCCGGTAGAATTGCCTTTTTTCCATACAAGGGGTGCTCATGCATCTATATCCATGTAGGTCGTGCCCAAGGGTCTTGCGCGCATCCGCGTCCAAATGTCGGCGGCGCACTCGCGCGCGCAAGTCGACAAGTGCGTCGACGCGTTTATTGCGTGTGGCAAGGCCAACGGCCTCATCCAGTAAATCTGGCTACATGACAATACATTGGAAATGGCAGCGTTTGAAATACCGTGTCTTCTTAGCTCAATGCAAAGCCGTCGGTATTGTCGATGGCGAAGCGCAGCTTGGTGACAAGCGTCGCATACGAAGAGTACGTTGGCAGCACGAGCTGGTTGAAGCACGTGTGGGACCGTGGCAGCGCGTCGTCGCTCAGATCTGAGAGCGTGATCGTGAGCGGCGGCTCCAAACCGTCGAGCGGCACCGTGCTCGCGCCGGTTGTAAATTGCAGAAAGCGCTGGCGCGTTGCGTTCTCCCACGAGCGCAGCACTTGCCAAAGCCACAAGATGACTTGGGCGCTGGCGTCGTAGCCACCTTGGTACACCGTCGTCGCACGCAGCTGGTCGACGTCGACGCACGGGTTGCCGCTCAGCAGCAACTGCAGTTCTTCTATCATGACATTATTGTTGTCAACACAAACGACTTTGAGACATGTGTATCATACGCCAGGAAAAGGGCTGCAGCGCCGCCGCGGGGAGGAGCGTGTGGAGGCCACTGAGAAAGGCATCGAGCTGCGGCCGAACGGCGTATGCAGTGCGCCACTGCCGTCGAAGCGCCACGTACTCGAGCTTGTTGGCTTCGGTCACATCAATCTCGCGCCCATTCTCTTTGAGGTCCACTATAGATAAGGCACCATGTGGAGCGAGGTTGTTGAATAGTGTCTTGCGTACCGAGGACGTTGTTGGCGCGCGTAATCGAGAACGTGTCGAAGAGCACGTCTGTAATAGTGTGCGTCTCGATCCAGGCGAGCGACTTGGCCAACTGCGGGTCGAGGGCCTCGAGGTCCGCGAGCGTCATGGTCTCGCCGAGAAGGTGCTTGAACACGATGGGGGCCAAAGGCAGCGCCACGACGTGTCGATCGTATATGGCTTTGGCCACAAACTTGCCTAGCGCAAGGAACATAATGTATCAAATGCAACGCAAGGAAAGAGGTGGGTACCGAGGAAACGAAACAACTTGAGGTGCGTGGGGGTGTCCGCATCCGGGTCCATCTCATACACCCCGCCGTCATCTATCGAAACAACACCCAAGTTCGCTTTGGCGCGTCGAGCATATCACTACCTAAAGGGCGCCAGAGACCACACGACGACTGCAGCGTCGCTTTGGAGACGGCCAAGTACCAGTCCTAGCGCGGTTGAATAGTCGAGTGGCGTCGACGAGGCGAGGATGTATTACATACCTTTGTAAGCCCCCCCGAGTCGATGCCGTCTTCGTCGTGGTACGTAACCCGGGGCTTTCCGAGAAGCTCTTTCTTGGACGCTGTGGCAAACCGAGCAATGGTGTCCGGCAGCACCGTAGCCCGGTGTACGGTCACCTCGAACGCACTTGGTGGCACGGGTGCGCTGCCACGCAGGTCCCGATGCAAGTGATATCGTTTCTTCCGAAAGACCATCTCGGGGGTCTCTTCCGGAGCGTCGCCTGTCGCCTTGCGCGCGTCCGCGATCTCGGCGGGCTCGTCGTACGTGCGCTGGCTCGTAAACTAGACACGTCACATTGGACGAACGCCTGCAAATCGTACCTTGTTGAAGTAAAACACCTTTTCCTGCCGCGGGTCCCAGCACTCGACCCACCTACACAATGCTGGAGGTGACGTCTTCAGTATTTCGTACGGCACCGCTCGCTGCTGCAGGACGCTGGTAGCTCCTGGACCTCGGGGCGGCCAAAGGCAGTCGTTCGGATCGCTCGACTCTCAAGCCATGGAGTAGAGCCCACAATGTTGGCCGCTTGGAGGCGAAAGCCGTAGACGGTTTCGGGCGCAGTCCGGTGCAGAGGTACTCTACGACGTCGCGTCGAGGCGAGAAAAAGATAAGACGCGCGCGCACCGCGGTCGCGGCCGGCGTAGACGCGTTCGAAAGGCGCATTGGTCTCGCTGATCTCGCGCACTTCCAGTGTATACGCAACGATCGGCGATCCGCGGTCGTTGACGGCGGCCCAACACACATGAATAAACGTGTCTGCAATGACCGCGGCGTGCAGAGCATGCGGCTTGTCGGGCGCCCCGGCCAGCGTGAAGAACGGGCCGCCCGTCGCGCTAAAGTCGCTCCAGCCCTAATGACCGCAATGGGACAAACGCGCCAACACGCAGGAAGTCAACCGCGGGGTTGCGACATCGTGCCCGGAAGAAGAAGCCTTCGTGGCACGTGAGGTCTGTGAGGGCCCCTTGCCGGCTGTTGGCGTCGTGGGCCAAGACGCTCCAAGCCTTGAGCACGGCGTTGGCCGCAGGCATCTTTTGGTATTGTACTTCAAAGCGGTCCAAAATGCTGCCGGGCGCCTCGGTCCACGCAACCTATATGCCGCCTCCTCTCGTGACGCTTTCTTCTTGCAGATACTTACGGTGAGACTCGCAACGGTGGCCGTGACGAGGTGCGGCGGCAAGGGCGGTGGCGGCGGCTGCGTCGCGGAAGCAAGTGCGAGCATGTCCTCTGCCTTGAGTTTGCGCTGGCCGGACGATTGATCCGTCACGATGGCGTTCCTATACAAACAATCTCTTTTCTAACGAGAACGAACGATCAACTCGAACGGACCCGTCGTGATCGATGGCGACTGCGATCGGGTACATGGCTTTCAGGTCGATCGAGACTCGCTTTTGCGTAAGGAGGGCTTCGTCCAGTGTGATCCAGAGGTATGTCTGCTTCTTGAGCTTGCCAACGTCGTGGCAGTCGTCCTTGGTCGAGTCGTGGGCCAATCGCTTCGCTTGGACCGTCACGGGCGCGTATGGGTAAATGTTGTCGACCACATATTGCTAGATCAGCAGCGAGCGCGTGAGGCGAGTAGTGGCGTCAACTGCAGTCGTACGACGATGAGCGCGTGCTTGGCCTCCAATTCGTGGATCCTATACGCGATTTCAACGTTGATAGAACGTGTCGACGCACCGCTTCTCTTCCGCCTCCAAATCAAAGTCGCTCTCGGTCGATGTACCATGCAGCTTGTCGGCGGCAATCTTGGAGATGGACCGCGTGGCCTTTCCGCCCATCGTACTGCAATGTGGCCTTTTGAAACGGCCAACGAACAAGGCCACCAGACAATATCTTCACAACTCATCATCCCGGGGGCGCGATGCGGCGTCCCATGCTGACTCGACTGCGAACGCCAGGTCGAGAATCAACGCGCATATTTATTATTAAGGAGGACTTGGAGAGGAAATTGGAGGTCAACGAGGGCGTCGAGTTAGAATTGCAGCAGCGCCGGGTGCACGATGGCGAGCATGACGCTTTGGGCCGCGGGGAAGAAGACGAGGTATCCGAGCAGCGCACCGCAAACGACATCCGATGCAAAGTGGCGCCCCAGTGCGAGCCGCCCAATGCAGTTCATGACGACCCAGATCACGCCCGTGAGAAGGATCTCACGCGACTGCGCGACGACGTCAATCTCGTCCAAGAGCGGTACCGGGCGCAGCGCGACGGCCAGCAGACGCGGCTCGTCTACATATCAGTTATCTTTTCGGCAACATGAAAACACGACGTGACGTACACGTGACGAGCTCGACGATCCACGCAAAGAGACAGCCGACGCGCGTGGCATGGCCGGACGGGAACGAGTACTTGTCGGGGCCAGGGAAGCGCATGTCGTGCTTGTGGTACAGCGGGCGATGGCGCCGAAACACAGCCTTCATGGCCAAGTTGAGCGCAAAGTCGAGCTATACGCGCATGATCAGCACGCCAAGATCGCATCGTGTCTACGTACGATGATGGTCACCGTGAGGTACGTCGCGAGGTAGATCTGGTCTGGCGAGAGCGCAGGCATGGCACCTGTCGCCCACGCAAGGCCAGCCAGCGGCGGCAACACGGCGAAGAAGCTACGGTGCATGATGAGTCGACAGGCGAGGCCACGGCGTTGTCGTACAAGATGCCATCGCCGGTGAACGTGATGACCTCCCACATAGCCTTGGCGACGAACGAGTCGCCGCAGTTCTTGTGGAAGAAGGTGACGACGTCGAGGTCGACGCCGTCGTTGAAGCGGTTGATCCAGCTCAGCGTCGACGTCGAGGCCATTTCGCGCTGTGTTGAAGAATGGTCGCAGCCGTCGGTCTGCCTCAACAAGTCGCCGATTACATCATCCCAATCAACTCGTATTTTTATTCAGCGCCTCGAGCAACTGCCTTGCTGTTTGTAGGCAGGATGGCCGATCGCGAAATAAAAATAGCCATGGGATGGACCACCGGATACAAAACACTTTGTACCAAACGACGGGAAACGAGATGTTTTAAACACATTTGGCACCTCGAACACCTCGCGTCCTTGTGCAGGACACGAGGACGCGAGGTGTACAGCGCTGTGGCGCTGCGCAGACGCGTGCACACTACCAAGACACCGAACCGAGCGGACAGAGATACATAGCGAGAGCGGCCACCGATGGAGCCGGACGATGAGATCGTTGATGAACCGAGGTCGTCGTCGTCGGAGCTCGACGAACCAAGAGGTGGTCTTGGATTCGTCGTCTTGTGATGACGGCGAAGCTTTCTGAAGGCTGCGGAAGCCAGAAAAAGGTGACGGTGGCTGCAAGCATGCTGGCGACGACGGACTCGATGCAATCCGCTGGGCAATGGTTGCTGTGTCAGTGGTCGTTATTTCAGTGGTCGCTGTGTCAGTGGTCGCTTCTGTTCGCCTACCTGTAATCCCAGCTATTGTATGTGGAGCCGAGCTCGGGCGCGGGGACGCACCTGCTTTTCTGCACGAAATTGGCTACTCGACGATTGCTGCACGATCTTGGTCAGCAAACACTACCCCGAGAGGCGTTTTAAACATAAGAGAAGGGTTTCTTGTTTGAAACTGTTTAGAACGCTCGGGTGACACCGTCCGGATAGCCTCATCCACGACGGCGTACTCGAATTCCGGATTCGGTATGCAGCGACCAGGCCGCACCGCCGACGCGGTCAAGCTCGAGAAGCGTTTGTACCACCGCGAGAAGCAGCGCATGTACCGCCAGCAAGAGGCCGACGAGGTCCAGTTCTTGAAAAGCCGGGTTCGAGAGCTCGAGGCGGCGATCGCACAGCACGCGCAGCAAAAAGCGCTTCGCACGCTGCCTTGGCGCGAGGTTGCGACAGGCCTCGCCGACGAAGCGCAGGTGGCCATGCATCAGACTCGCCTGCTCAAGTCGCAGAAGGCCGTGTACAAGGAGCTTGCGCAGCGCATGTCGACGTGGGTCGCGAAAAATCTGCGTGGCATCGAGGTGCGACATTGCCGTGTCCGATTGCGCTGACGAGGCTGTGTGTAGAAATCGCTCGACCCGTCGCGGCCGTCGTGGCGCAACTCGACGCTCTTAAAGGAGCCCGAAGCGCGCAAGCTCGGCTTTGACTGGATCTCGCAGCAGCTGTACCACAACGTGGACCGGGTCCTTGCCGACTGCGGCTTTCCACCGCCCACGGAGCACACGTCGTTTGACGAGTTTGCAGTGCGCGAGACGGCGGACGATACGTTTCAATACATGTGGCGCCACCAGTTGTATGTGCCCGTGTCGCTGGACGTGGCCATCGCGAGTGCCCGCAAGTCGATCTACTACTACCTCTCGGGCGTCGTCTGGTCGCCAGGCAACGGCAAGTTTATCGATTCGGACGTACGTGTTGCTATGCCTGTACGAGGCGCAATATCAAGATGCGATTAGATGCTCAAAGAAGTGAGCCCCACGATGCTGTACAGCCACACGGTGGTGAGCGAGGACGAGTCCGTGAATTTGATGTGGCGCGAGTTTCCCGTCCGCGACAACCGCTGCGTCATGGTGAGCCAAAACATCCACGACGACGAGACGCTTCCAGTAATCAACCGTCAGTGCAATCGCCAGTTCTGGTACGATGATGATGGACCAGATCTAGATCTGAAGAGCGGTTAGGGTCACGATGGAGGCGGTGGACGAGACCCACACCAAGGTTCGCGTCTTGTACGTCAACTCGCAGTTTTCAAAAAAGACGGCTACGTGTCGATCCACGAAGAGGCTGCGTGCTGGGGGCTTCTGGACCTTCCGACCGACGCAACGGACGATCAGCTCTCGCATCGCTTCAAGCGCCATGCGACAGTGGCCGGTCAGCAATTTCTCCAGTTTAGCCTGCAAACCTTTAGCGGCAAAGTCTAACCGCAGCGTTTGCTCGATTCTTGTCGGACGACGATAATGTGTAGTTAAAGCGTGAATGCAAAGAGAGTTCATGTCGTTCAACCATGCCCGTTGCAATGTCGGTCGCCGCTCAAGCACAGCGCGCGGTGCATGCACAGTGTCGTAGCAGCGACAGTATGTATTCCCATGGCAGTCTCGTGCCTCGTGAGGTTGCCTTTGTTCGCTTCTGCCATCATCACGTAGTCGAGCCAAGTAGGGTGTTGTTGATTGGAAGTCTTAAATTAACCTTAGCGGTGTTGACACAGGTGCACCGAGTGACGGAGTCGGTACTCGAGTTGAACGACTTGACTAGGACTAGATAACTCGAATGTTTCGAGTCGATTCTGCACTCCAGGTACCGGCACAACAAGAAAAGCATTGGATCTGGTGATGCGTTGACGAGCCGTAAACGTAGCCTCTTGCAGTCGGCAATTCAAACGCCGAGAGTCGACACACTGCGGCCCATCGTCGCTAGTGCTACTCCCTGCGACAGAAATCGAGGCGCCAGACCACAGCTTTCGTCGGCGGTTCTTCAAGATGCAGCGAAACGCACATGCATTCGTGAAACCTTTGACAAGATGACAGTCGAGGCGGTAAGGCTACCGGTGGTGGCTGCACTTGGTACATCTCCGCGTCTGCTTAGCGCATCGCTACGCTTCAGCAGCACGTGCGAGATGTACGTAAGTGACGACACCCTCTTCTTGTCAATGACCATGCCACTAGCTTCAGTCCGTTCCTCCAACGGACACCATTGTCGCCTTGACGCTCGTGCATCGCATCAACCAGCTCTTTCTTCAGTGTCCAACCATCGAGTACGTAGGCGTGGACGGATTCTCGACGGGACTCTCATTGTCCTTAGCGACCATCGCGCCCTTGTGAAAAGTATCGTGGTTGCCGTCCCGACACTCGTGCCCCGACTCGTGGAGCTCGTCACGCAGGTGCTTTCACATACCATGAAAGACGCTTGGTAGACGTGGTCATGTACTAGGGCGATGTTGCTCCCACCATGGTGGGGCTCCAAGCACTCTACCATCTCAGCTGCGACACATCGGGCGCGATGCACGTTGTGCATCACGGCGGTGTCGAGCTCTGCTTTGGCCTCTTGCCCATGGCGACAACCATGTTGTGCGCCATGCTTCTGGACGTGCTCGACCAGCTCGTCGCCATTGCACCGGCAGCAACATTGCGCGTTGCAACGCTGCGCCACACGCGGCTGCTGCTGGCCAAAGTGCACGACGAGCGCCGCACGACCAGCAATTCCGTCTCGTCGTGGGTGCCAGCCGCGCTGCGCCTCTTGGACTGCGCGCTGCACGTCCCCGCGGTCGCTGCCAAGGTGGCCACTCTCAAGTACGTATGTCATACATCGATGACCTGTGGCATGACGAGGTAGCTATGCGCACTAGCACGGCGCACGTGTACTCACTTCACGCGCTGATGCCCCTGCCTCGACCGCTGGCACTGCGTGTGGAGCGTCTACTGTGCTCCAAAGAAGACGAGGATTGCACCTAACCGCAACCAGCATCAAGGTCCTTGCGTCATGCTGCATGTACTGTGAGGACATCAATTCAAACAAAGCACTCGTGGTATACATGTACTGGACGACCGGTATATAATCTACGGCGCCATAGCATAGTCGTCGAGAATCGCGTCGACGTGCTGCCGCAAACTGACGTGTCGCTGGACCTACACGGAGAGCATGGTCGGAGTGCATGCGACCGTGTCGCACCGTGTGCTGCTCCTGGAGCTTCTCGTAGAGCAACGTGGCGGCGTGGATCGAGGTGCTGCTGCCAGAGACGCCGACGTCGTCGGTCTCCGGCACGTAATACGCGTCTTTCGGACGACTGAGGCGCGCCGTCGCTTTGGCTTGGGCGGCGGCATCGACGACGACGACCGAGCGCACAGGCACATCGGGCCCCAAGAGCATACGGAGCTTGGACTCGCGCCGGCGCTGTGCATGATCCAGCGTCTCGTTCATGGAGCTAGTACCTCGCCGTCTTTACGCCGACGCTGCAGAAGGGGTTATTGATGTACCTAAATCGCTTGGCGAGGCGTTGCGAGCGAGGATTGATATGGGGCCGGAACGGGTACGCAGTCGCGTCCCGAAGCGCGCGCTGGCGGCGCTACGAAGCCACGATGGCATACCGCAACAAGGCTCCTGCGAGCACGTACTTGAGTCTCGGCAAGGTACTCGCTCTGGCGCGCAATGCACGCATCCACCGCCGCTTTCGAGAGCTTGGACGAACGCTTGGTCACCGGCGGGTCCTACATTCTTGTACCGTCAGCAACAGGTGGGGAGTGCATTGTTGGACGACGTTGGGGGCGGGCCGAGGAACGCGGTCGGCGTACAACCGGTTGTAGACGTTGGGCTCGCTCGCATGGACTGCCACATTCCGGTTGATGGCCGGCTGGAACGACAAGACGGGCTCGGCGCGGGCACTACGCGACAGGCATGAGCGATGACGAACGTTTGAAAATGGCTTGGCCACCGAGGAGGCGCCCGCGGGTCGAGGTACTTGGACGTCACCCACGCGTCCATCTTGGCAATGCGCTGCGGTCGAAACGTGCACTCAGGATCGTCCGTCCTCGTTGTTTCCATTCTGCGGGTCGGGGGGGCCTGGGGGGGCACACCGAGGGGGGGTATCACAGTCGGGGGGACCAACGGCGCGGACGCGAGGTACTGACGCCGCTCGGTCGCCAACTGCCCCCAGTCCAGCAGGGTCGTCTCGTGCGTCGCGGCCATTTTGCTTGGAAACAAGAACCTTGGAATCTCGGTTACACGCAAGTGTATTCTGTGGACATTTGGAAAGTTTAGAGCAAATACGATCTTATGGCGCGACGACGACGACGACTTGCGGCTCGACAGTCTCACGGTCCCAAGGACACTGGATCGCGCCAGACTCGTGCACGTGCGACGCCTGGAGCTTGCCCAGCACTGATCGCACATTTCGTGCCCGCACGGCTTGAGCACTAGACAAAGATATCGATGACGCGTAGAGTCGTCGTTTGAAAGAAGGTGTACCAATGGCCACGCGCTGATCAAAGCAGAGATTGCACAGGTTCAAGTCGGCGTCCTCTACACTCATGCGCTCGTTCTTCGTGTAATTGTCCAAGATCAAAAGTACCCTCCAAAACACGCGGGGATGGGGCCGCGACGACGTTGGACGACGACTCGGCCGCGTCGTCGAGCTCGGCCATGGTCGGGAGGTCGGTGCTGAGCCGCCGTTGCCGCTTCGCAGCCTCTTCTATCGACATCGTTAGCGTTCTTTTTGGTTTTGATACAAGGGATCCATCCTACCATCCTGCGGCGAATCGACATCGCTGGTCGCTTGCGTGTCGCTGGTCAATTCGTCCCGCGATGGCGACATGAGGATGCTTCGTCGACGCCTCTTGTTGTGTGGCCGGGACGCATCTACGATCGGCTAAGATCCCAATTGCTATGTCGCGTGCTGCGAGATACCAAGCTGCACGGGCAGTTGGACGCCAAGGCTGCTAATGTACTGCGCATACTCGTCCTACATAAATGTCCATGATATCGAAAATCGACGACGCTGTCGACGAAGACACGTACGTACCTCGATGGACTGGACGGTGGTGTAGTGCTGGTGCGTGAGCTTGGCGATCGCTTGGTACAGCTCGTTGGTCGCGCGGTCGATCTGCGCTTCGTACTCGCGCATCTTGGCGGCCGCCTCGTCCCGCTTCGCACTGGGGACCGTCTCGGGCAGCGTCAGCAGCGGTGTGTCGCGCTCAAAGAATTGCGCGTCGACGATACAGCTCGCGCTCGTATCGAAGGACGAGGGGTGGTGGACGGCCAGTGACGACGTGAGCACGACGGGCGTCGACACCTGGAGCTGCTGCTTGTAGCGCACTTCGTACTCTTTCGGCGTAATGAAGTGGCTCGTGTTCGTGTCCAAGTACGTAATGTCGTGGTCGCCGGACCGCGAACTGCGCACGTGCGTCTGCTGCTCCAGAAGCGCCTCCTCGGCCTTCCACACGCGCTTCATGCGCTCGACCGTCTCAGCGAGCCGCGCGACTGTGTCCCGCCTACGTTGCGTCCGTCGTTAGGAGCGACGGGGATCTCATAGGCGTACCGATAATCCTTGTCGTCGAGGAACGACGCGCCAACGACGGGACCGATTGGGTACCCGTACTTGTCTTGAATCTAAATTGAGATTGAAAATCGGGAAGAGGTGACGCGTGCGAGTGCGCACCGTGACCGCCGCATCGAGGGCCTCGGCGGAGCCGCGGGGCAGCGCGAGATACGCCCGGACCAACGCGTTGCGTTCATCGACAGCTTCGCGCGAGAGGCGATGGGGACTGCTCCGCATGGGCACTGGCGACCTTGCGCTGGACAAGCGGCGCATGGGCGTGCGCATGGGCGGCGTCTGCGATAGGAGCGGCGATGCTTTCTTGGACGGCGTCGAGAGCGGCACTTTGGGCGACGACGCGGTCGGCGTGAGGAGTTCGAGAAGCTCGTTGCACTTGGACGGCTTGTGGTACGGACCCGGCATGAAGGTAAACTCAAACGCAATGTCAAAGGTCTCGATGGTCACGACAAGCGCCGACATGACGTTCTGCACACGCGCGCTCTGGGCACCGCGCACGTGCTTGCGCGGGAGCTGGAGGCTGTAGCGGTCCGAGCCATACATGTGGCCCGAGGCAGACGCCTTGGCGTCGGCGTAGTGCGCTGGCTTCCACAGCAAGATATTGTCATCAAGAAGGAGCTCGCCCAGAACAGAGACGGCGGCGCCCGCTTCGACGACGCTCGCAGCGACCACGTCGCCCGCGTCCGGGAAGCTAAAGGCGACGAGCTTGCCATTGCGCTTGATCTTGAGGCCAATGTGGTGTCCATGGAAGCGCGGCGTCGCGATGGCGCTGCCCGCGACGAAGAACCCGGCGTCCATCAAGTACGTTCCGATGGCTGCCGCCGAGACGGGCGACGTCACATCCACCAGCTTCCGCGAGCGTGGCGTGAGCGCCGACGTGATCTCTTCGGGGGCGGCTTCCTGCCCTGGCGCGCCCGTGGGCGCCGAGAAGACGTCGTCGTAGGAGCCAAACCCGTAGCAATCGTCGTCCTCCATCCCGGCCCGCAAAGCAGTTTTGGAATTCGAACCTTCCGGGAATCCGGATAAACCGAGTTGAATTTCAAGCCATCCGGATGCGAATTTGGCGGCAAGATCGCTGGCTCGGCAATAAGATCGCAGCTCGTTTCCAAGCGACTGCACATCCATGCTACTAGTATTAGCAATGGACAGCGAAGGACCATCACACGTAATGCAGTCTCGTGCCTGCTAAAATGAGAGGAGCGCAGAGGAGGTCGAGCGCAACCAAAGCACTGTCATGGCGCCTCTCCCGATCCGCAACATGCTGGTAGAGATCCAAGGTACAGTTTCTCGCAGCTTGTCGTTTTAGCTGCTGTCAGCTTTACCCGACTACTGCGAGCCACCACGAGAACTGCCTTTGAGACCTCATCATTCCAGCTCTCTTCCTAGTACGCCTCACATGTTGCCTTCGCAAACGAGCAGCGGCACGTTGTGGAAGTCGAGACAACGAACGATCAATTACTATGGCGACGATGCGGCGACCTACGTTGCCTCCTGCATGCATGCGAGAAAGCAAGAGCTCGTTGTTGTTGTTGAAGTGAGTCTATTTACATATAATTTACACTGAACTGGATTTGGTGTGGACTATCGATTCCAAGGTGCTACGACGAGCCGGCCGCCGAGAGCTCGTCGTCTGCTTCATGGTTAACGTTACACGCATTTCGACGGACGACACCGCAGATGCGCATCGCTCGGCGGGTTCTAAAGACACAGCGAGGCAGCACTGGCGTGGTAGGGGCGCCATACCACAGGGCTCTTTGCCACGCGGTTGCAGCGTGATAACTCGCGATCCTTCGCCACGCGACCACCTTGCATTCGCACCCTTCGGCCAACTCCACCGACGCTGTCCCACGCGACGTGCCCAGGCCAACGAAGGTGACCGTCTTTGACGCGGCGTGGCATTCGATCGATTGAGGCACCGCCGTGACAGCAGAGTAGCGCGATCGAAACAAGTGTACCGCTCTTGGGTGCCACGTGAGTAGCTGGCAAGCCGCAGGCCACTCTGCGCGGAGATCGGCGCATGCGACGAGGGGTCGCTGCGGTACAGTGCACGTGGTAGTACTCCGCGATGCCACGGTGCTCGGCGTTTCGAGGGTGGCAGCGTCACTGTGTTCAGGCGTCGATACACGATGCACATGTTGTCTTGTGCTACGCTGTCGCGGGCTTCGAGATACACGCCGGGTACTTCGTGCTGCGCGGGAAGGTATCTCTAAAGAATCCGAGCACCCAAGAGAGGCGATGGGTACCTTCAAGCAAGGCACGAACGGCACTGCAATGTGTAATCGAGGATCATGATTTTTAAAAATGAAATTGCACCAGAATTTGGCCAGGGAAACGCGCCACGAACGAACGAATTAACTGTTGTCGCCGCAGACGAGCACATCCTACTACCCATCCTCCCGCTTGGCATCGTTGAGGTCAACCAGAAATCGGACGGTCCATACCTGGTACGTTTGATATCCTCTGAAAATACGTAGACCAGATGGGGCGCAGGGTATGTAATGTTAGAGGTTATTGAGGCGAGCATCCCAGACTGTGGGCGCAGCCAAGACTTGTCAATATCAATATGGTGCGATGGGTGGTGTATGACTCAGTCTCATGTTGCCGTCCCACGGCGCGAGTCACCCTGTCGAGAATCCCACCTCGCTGCAAGGAGGTGGAGGAGAGTCGAAGAGTGCTCATTCTATCTCCCGTCGTACAGTTTTCGATTGGTACTACTACGTGATGACTAGAGCACACCTCCAACATCAATCCTGGCCACTTGTCATCAAGAGCGTTCTCTCGCTGCGAGTTCGGTGCGCATCGGCGGGTTTCCAACTTCAAATTTCTAAACACACCCGTCCCTTCACGGACCATCATTGCAACACCCAACGATGCCCAGCGATGCCATTTGCACACCATCTGCTCGGACGTGGGTTCTTTGACGGGGAAGCTTGGCCCGACGATCCCCCCGTGTGTCGTCCGTATGAAGGCGCGTCTTTTTCACGCTTCGTCCCGCGCTCGGACGTGCCTGACACAGCTATAGAGGTGCAGTCGCGACGCTGTGCCACTCTGGTGTAGCGTGGGATATCACAACCTGTCGAATCTGGGGCGCACAGTCCGTTTGTATGGTCTCAGCAGCTGGCCGCGAATATTCCCATCTGCCAAATAGACGTGCTCGAATCGCACCAATCGTGCTACTGTACACAGGAGCGAGCACGAAAGGCGAGGCTGCACATGGTCCAGCGAACGACCCAGCCGCGCGGCCGACGTCGTACTTTCTATTCAGATGGCCACCGCAGTAGCCAATCCCAGATTGATGTGGCTCGTGACAGCAGCCAATTGCAAGCAGCTGGCAGTGCGCTGATTGGCTCAAATCTGCATCTGATCCAACTCTGACTCGAGCGGGAAGACGTATTTTTTTAATTTGTTGAATCGACTCAGGTGCTGTACTGACGTCAGCGCCTTGAATTTTAATAAAAACGAAGGCAGTGGGATAAAAAATACCACTGTGCAACAGTATACAACGCTGTATCCACCATTTAAACAGCGAGAGCTCATTTCCCAATTCGAGTCCAACGGAGTTGGACATCGGCGCCGATCCCACGTCCACCTCTGTCCCCATGACGACGGGCCTCGCGCTGGACAACCTGTACCGCCAATACGGACAAGCACCTGCCGGCTCGGCCCCGCGGCCGCCCAAGCACAACGGCGCCGGCGACGACTTTGTACCGGACCCGCTCCCGTTCAACTACGAGATGCCGCCGCCGCCCGAGATGGACAACATGCCGTCCTTTGACGATCGGTATGGCCGCAAGCCGTACGAAAAGCACCCGGCGCGCTACGGCAGCCTCCTCTCGGGCATGCAGCCCTACGCGAACGATGGCCCATCGCAGTATGGCGACGCGCCGTCCCACCACATGCCGTCGCACCACTACGCCGACCGCCGCGAACCGCATGGCATGCAGCACAGCCTCAACATGGACCGGGGGCACCCGAAGGAGGCGCCGCCGAGCTACGGCTACGCGCCGCATGCGCATTCGCAGCACCCGGACCACGAACCGCGCCAGTCGTCGCACTATGGCAACAACGACATGCACATGATGACGCACGGCGGCAGCAACATGCACCCAATGTACCAGTCGGCTGCGCCAAGCTACAGCGGGATGCACAGCAACGGCCATGCGAGCCACGCGTCGTTCTCGTCCATGATGGACCACCACCCGCCGACGAAGAAGGAGGTGCCGCCGCCGTCGTACCATCAAGAGTACATGGAGACGGCGCGCCATGCGCCGCCGCAGCCCATGTCGTCAGCGAGCCTCATGAGCCACATGGGCTCGAGCGCCGCACCGTCGGGCTCGCAGTCGCAGAACCAGGAGGCGGTCATCAAGGTCAAGACGTCGCTCAAGAACAAGTACTGGCGCAACGGTCGCCGCAACTTGCAGTGCTTCCCGGCGTGCAAGGTGTTTGGCGACTACTCGCAGATCAAGATCGAGGACCTCAAGCAGCACGACTTTATGTGGGGCAAGTGCCGCGGCAGCCTTATCGCCGAGGTCTCGCTCAACAGCAACGCGACGTTTGACGACATTCTGCTCTTGGGCCGCGTCCACTCGCTCGAGAACATTCCCGTCCCGTTCGAGGAAGCTGTCTTGCGCGAGTGCATGATTGGCCGCGTCGTCGAGCCGGATGTCATGGACGTCATCAAGGAGCAGTGGATTCCCGGCGAGCGCCTTCCGGACTTTATCAACCAAAACACCAACCTCGCGTGCTACGAGTTCAAGCCCAAGGTGTGGAAGTACACGGACGACATGGTGCACGGCAAATGCAAGCGCCGCAACGTGCGCTACTACGTGCAGTTTGAGGCGTTCGTGCCCGTGCTCACGGGCGACCGCCGCTGCTACGTCTGCATCGGCTCGGGCATGTCGTCGTCGTTTGAAGTCGGCTCGTCGCGCGTGCTCGCGCGCCAGAAGCGCAAGGCCACTGCCATGAACGACGACCACGACGGCGACCACGACGAGCCCAAGTCGGACGACGAAAACGCCGGCGCAAATCGCCCGGCGAAGGCCATGAAGGTCAACCCCGGCAGCTATCCGATCTAGTCGGTCGCTGTCGTAGTATCAACTTATCGGGGTCGAGCGTACGAGGTCGACAACTCTTTTCTGTGTCTTGGAGTTCTGTCCATACTGTCAATACAATATAATTTTGTCCTGTGTCACCTCTATTGTCTGCATTACGACGGGCGCTGTAGACACTAAATGGACCTTGCAGACGTCTCCTGGCCGTGGGATGCTGTCCTAGCATCCAACTCTAACAACGTGCACCTCTAGCATGTCATCTTCATGCAGTCGAATGCCACCGTCGTCCTGGTCGACAGTTGCGTTGGTTTAGCCCGCCGCCATCTGCCTTCGAAATACGCATTGGAGACAAATAGACCAATGAAAGGCACTATAGAACGAAGTTCGAAGCTATTGGTATATTTTAGCCAATGAAAACGCTGCGTGGCGATAGCTCGCAGGAAACCAACCACACAACATCAGCATTCAACGGGGGGCGCCCCAGGTCAGGGGGGGCGCCCCAGGTCAGTTGGTAAAGTTTCTGCTTCGCATCCCGAAGGTCGCCGGTTCGAGCCCGGCTGCGCGCGCGCATTTTTCAGTTCTCCGCCCCCCTCCTCCCTGCGTCGCGCGATGTACCCGAACAGGGCCGAACCAGGTGGGTCCAGGCCACCTCCGCAAGTGTCACCCAGAATACATGATGACGTAATCAGCTGCTCCAACAACAGGCCAAGATGAGACAATTTCTTCCAGCGAGCTCTGCTCATTAAAAATTAATTGACCCATTTCAACAACAACATCAGCATTCAACTGCGTTCGGTACACGTCGTCCAAGAGCATGGCGCATGTACCTCATGCTGGCTGTAGGTCGACAGAAGAAGCATGCTCTCTGTCTCGAGTCGGCGCTCTCTTGCGCTCGCCAAGCAGCTCCAGCCGCGCGTGCTGGCTGGCCGCAGCAAGGTCTTTGAGCAGCACCAGCGCACGTTCTTTGGCCTCGGCGACTTCTTCAAGTCGCTCGTTGGCAACGACGAGCCGAAGAAGAAGCTTCTGGAAGCGCCCAAGGAGCCCAAGGCAAAGGCGCCCAAGGCGCCCAAGATCGACGTCGTCGCCGAGCCCGTGTACGTGCCCCGCCCGCAAGAGCCCGTGCAGTACGCGGTCGGCAAGTACGCGACCCTTGCCGATGGCAGCGTCATGGCCCGCTGGGGCGACTCGATGCTGCTGACGACGGTCGTGAGCGAAGTGTCGGCCAACCACGAGAAGGACTTTCTCCCGCTCATGGTCGACTACCGCGAAAAGTACTCGGCGACAGGTGCCATACTACGCCGTCATGACCAAGCAGATGCCCACATGCTTCGTCCTCCTCTAGGCACGATCCCGGGCGGCGTCAAGCGCCGCGAAATGATGGGCACCGACGCCGAGATCCTCAAGAGCCGTATCGTCGATCGCATTGTCCGCCCGCTCTTCCCCAAGGGCTACTGCAACGAGACGCAGATCATTGCGACCGTCCAGTCCTACGACGTGGACCACGACCCGGTCGTGCTCGCTGTCAACAGGTACCACGCGTCTTTCGTGCTCACGCTCAGCAACTCCCATGCAATTGCAGTGCATCCGCGGCGCTCACCACGTCCAACATTCCGTGGAACGGTCCCATCGGCTGCGTCCGCGTCTGCAGCGTCGATGGCCGCCTCGTGTGCAACCCGACCGCCGACGAGAAGGCGCGCGCAACGCTCGACGTGCTGTACGCAGCGACGGCGACGCGCACCGTCATGATTGAAGCTGAGGGCCTGGAGATCTCCGAGGCCGCGATGCAAGAGGCGCTCCGCTTTGCCCACGAGCACGTGCAGCCCGTCATCGCCGAGCAGGAGGCGCTGCCTGCCAAGGCCAAGCGCGCGTTCACGCCTCTGGTCGTGCCGGACGATCTCGCCGCGGCCGCGGAAGGTCCTGTGCTGTCGTTTTCAAGAGGCTGACTCAATACGAGGTTGGTTCCTGTAGCGCTCGTGCCCGAGCTGCGAACGCGCTTGCGCAGCCTGCAAGCGCCGACGACGAAATCGCAGCGCCAAGTGCTCGAGAACGACTGCTACTACTTTGTCAAGCAGCAGCTCTACAAGACGCACGCCGAGCTGCTCCTGGCCAACAAGCCGCTCTTTTCGATGGTGTCGCACGACCTGGTGCAAGGTGCACTGCGCGCCAACTTGCTCGACGGCCATCGCGTGGACGGCCGAAGCACCGACCAAGTGCGCCCGCTCACCATGGAGACGGGCCTCCTCCCGCTCGTGCACGGGTCGTCGGTCTTTTCGCGCGGCGACACGCAGGCGCTGTGTACGGTAACGCTTGGCCACGTCGATCAAGGCGTACGTAACGACGACTCTGTCTTGGGTCGCTTCATGGAGCGCGCGTAGCTCAAGGTGCGGTCGGCGATCCGGGACAACGACGACTACGAGCTCAAGAACGCGATGCTGCACTACGAGTTCCCGCCGTACTGCGTCAACGAGACGGGCAAGATTGGCGGCATCAACCGCCGCATGCTTGGGTACGCCTGTGGACGCCAACGACGACACTCATATGGTGTGATGGCTGCGTAGCCATGGTGCCCTGGCGGAGAAGGCGGTCGTGCCGCTCTTGCCGTCCGTTCTGGACTTTCCCTTTACGATCCGCATGACGTCCGAGACGATGGGCTCGGACGGCTCGTCGTCGATGGCGAGTGTCTGCGGCGTCTCGATGGCGCTCCTCGATGCCGGTGTCCCGATCAAGTCGCCCGTGGCCGGCATTTCCGTCGGGTACAGCGACCCTGACCTACGAAGCACATAAATGGTTGGCCTCTAGGCTTGTGACGCCGGGGGACCTCTATGACGGCACGGCGCCGATCAACGGTATGCAAGCGACGCTCGGTCCGTGCGTCCTCTCACATATGTGGCGTAGAGTACACGCTGCTGACGGACATTCTTGGCAGCGAAGACCACTACGGCGACATGGACTTTAAGATTGCGGGCTCGAAGGACGGCATCACGGCGATCCAGCTCGACGTCAAGCTGCCGGGCGTGCCCCTCGACATTTTGTGCGAGGGCATTTCCAAGGCGCACGTCGCGCGCATGGACATTCTGTCGCAAATGAACAGCGTGCTGGCCGAGGCGCGGCCCATCAACCCAATCAAGGTACGACGTCTGGCATCGGAGGTAGTACTTAAAACCACACAGGTGGCGTCGTCGACGATCGTGCACATTGATCCAGCGATGCGCGGCGCACTCATTGGCACGGGCGGCAGCAACATTCGCGAGATCGAAGCAGCGACCAACTGCACGATTTCGTGCAAGGACTCGGACGGCGTCGTCGAGATCTTTGGCAAGGGCGACGAGAACATTGAGCTCGCCAAGGCCATGATTGCCGAGTCGACGTTCATGTTCCGTCGCGGCCAGCGGTACACTATTACATCATGTAGTGTACTGCGATGCCACTCCTGCGCACGTAGGGTCGAGGTGGTCGTGCAGGCCATCATGGACTTTGGCTGCGTCGTCGTGCCCAAGTTTGCGTACGGCAAGGACTCGGCGAACGACAAGTCCAAGCAAGGCTTTATCCACATCTCGGAGATGGCGCACTCGCCCGTGCGCAAGGTCTCGGACGTGCTCATGACGGGCCAGACGCTCGAGGCGTGGTGCATATTCGCCGAGAAGGACTCGGCCAAGCTCTCGATCAAGGTGCGAATGGAGCGAAGAACGCATGAAGCGACGACGCATCGTTTTTGTAGGCGCTCTTGCACCCCGTGACGGGCGCGGCCTTGGGCGACGCGGAAGCCATGCAGTTTACCAAGGAGCGCGAAGACGAGCGCCGCAAGCAGCGGTCGGTGTCGGGCTTCGCCAACAGCCCGCGCAGCACGCACGCCAACCCGTCGGCGCGCCGTCCCCGCACCAACAACAACTCGCACCGACACCACTCGAACTCGAACAACAGCAACTAATCTTAAAATTGGATTGCATTGGCTAGTACTGGCGTCGATCGGCTTCTTTCGGTGTCACCAGCGGGCCGTAGAGTCCACTGCTCGATTGGTGATCGGCTTCGATGGCGTCGACGGGGGCGGGTGCCACGCGGAGGTTGTTCTCGGTGGCATCGATCATTTCTTGCAGCCGGCGTTGGAACCATGCGATGAAGCAGACACCGACGATGACAGCCGTGACGCCAAAGGCAGCACCGAGCACGATGACTGCCGCGCCGACGGCACCGGTCGCGGTCGGCTGGGACATTGGCATCGGCGGCGCCACGATCGTGTCTGTCGGACGCACAGTGGTGGGTGTGAGCGTCGTTGGAAGCACCACCGTCGGGTTGTGCAGCTGCTTGAGCCAGACGTCCATGAGCGACGACGGCGCGGGGTTGCACCAGAGCCCGGGTTTCGCCGTCGCGGCGTCGACGCACGGCACGACGAGGCCGCTCGGTCGATTGGGCGCGGGACACTTTCCGTACGAGGCGCTTGGCCACGGTGACGTGTGGATAGCAAACATCGACTGCGCGTCGTCTGTGAGCACCATAAATACTTGCGGCGTCGGCACCGTGAGCGGCCCGAGGTCGTCTTGGGACCACGCGATCGAGGCGCCGTTGGCGAGCGGCGCCTGCGTCGCGCACGTCCAATCAATGTCGACGACGCCCAACGACGACGCCTGGCGAAAGTACGTCGTGGTTGCATTCCTCGCGCTGTCGCAGACGACGGTGCTGCCACCATACTGTGGCCGGCGCACGGCGATCGACGCCATGCTGCGCCCCGTCGCGTTCACGCACTGGGTTTGGACTTGGACATAGGCCATTGCGCCTGCGGTACTTCGAACGTACCCGGCGTCCCAGAGCAGTGCGCGCCGGGCGAGCGATGGCAGCGACGACCATGCGAGCGGTACCGCGGCGAGGCGCTTGGCCACGGCGGCGGGCGGCGACGCGGGCAAGTCCTCGATCTGCGTATCAGCGACGTTCCGCTCGTAGAGGTCGTAGAGCCTGCGGACGTAGTCGGCCGACTCGAGCCACGCGGTCGACGCCATGCTGGTCGAGCGCAATGTATATCGCTCGCTGGCGATTGCACGCAGCACGGTTTATTAAATTACGCACGGCCACCTCGCCGTTTGTATGGTGTTTTGAACCGAAAACAATCCAGTAGCCACCGCGTTGGTCACGGTGCTGCGTATCCGGATGCGACATACCGTATTCTTCGTTGGAATTTACGGGAAATTGAACAAAGATCGCGCAATTCCCTTAGGTAGTACATTTTTTTTGTCTGGGATGGAAAACAGGCGGCGGAGGACTGAGTAGGCTTGGCGGCCAAGGGCGCGAGGCCATGTCACGGCTGTAATTGCTTCCAAACCGGCTTTTGTGTGCACTGCGGGAGACGACGATCCGGCGAAGCACCATGGTGCTCCACGGGAGAAATACTTGCGGGCATGATTCAACGAAGAACAGCCTGGTTGCAATCAATACAACATAAGCACACCGAGGTACGCTGGATGCGGCGTCATCATCTTACCGGTATGGCAACCCATGTTCCGTTGGCCAGCTTCCGTCTCTACGAGGCCAACAACAACGAGGCGACGACGCGACGACAAGCGTACTTTTCAAGGCAACTCGGTGCAAGCTACCCGGTAGTTGCAGCGCAAGGTCGCATCAGATACCGAGGGTGGAATGCCCGACCTGTGTAACCTGCGTAACCAGTAGAGCGCGTGCACTGGTGGAATGTGCTCCGAGAAGCGCGCGTAGATATTCAGCGAGGCGCTGGCTCCTCCTTCGTCCGTGCAAATAGGCTTGGACGATCTTGGCTGGGCGCGCCGCTTGCTGTACTAGCAGGTGGCCACGTGGTCCGCGTATCCGGATGGTCATCAGGAATTTTTGAATTGTACCGTACAAAAGGCTGGGCGAACAACAGAGACAGTAAAACTCATTTCCGCCTTTTCGATGTCGCGCCGCAACTATGCCCCGGCCGCCCGCGGAGGCAACGGGCCGCGGCCCAACATGAACCCGGCCAACATGGGCCCGCCGCCGCAGATGCCGCCGCCGCAGCATGGCTCGGGCCGCAACCTGCGCGCGCCGCCGCCGCGCCAGGTGCAGCAGCAAGGGTCGTTCGATCGTGACAGCGACGACGACATGTATGGGCAGCACGGCGCCAACGGCGTCCTCGGCGTGCCTGTCTGGCAAGACTCGGCTGCGTACGAGCACGGCTCGTACCTCCAGGAGAACACGCCGCCGTCCCAGCGGATTCCATACCCGGGGTACACTTGCCTGCCCGACGTTGTGTACCTTACGCCATGACGTAGGCCGCAAGGAGGCGGCATGATGCCACCGCCCGGCGGGATGATGCCACCACCACAGCAGTTTGCACCCGCGCCCGTGCGCATGCTCAACGCTGGCGCGTTGCAGAACCAATCGAACCAGCAGATGCAGGTGATGCGGGACAGCAACGTGGGCCAAGCCGTGCCAGCGTCGACACCCGAAGCCTTCCGCATCATCGCGTCGGGTGTCACGGCCGAAGCCGAAGCTCGGTACGCGCGCCCTTCCCGGTACCATAGATCTGATTGCCGTCATTTAGGTACCAAAGCGCGGTCAACGACTTTCTGGCGGGTGGCGAGATGCTTGCCCTCGTCTCAGAGCGCGAAGCCGACCCGCACATTCGGTCGCTCCTCAACACCAAGGCGATTCAAGTCCTCGAGTGGTCCAAGAACCTCCACGATTGGGTACGACCGCCTAATGGCGTCACCTCCTAACATGCACTGTCCTCTGTAGTACCAGCAGGGCATGCGCGGGCCCATGCCGCGACGGTTTGTTGGCAAGATCGGCGTCAACGTCGTCAACCGCCTCGGGGCGTGCGCCGGGCGGATTGACGCGGGGTCGCCGTCCGAGCTCCGCACCATGTACTACACGCCGGCCGCCAACAAAGTCGTGTCCGACTTTACCAAAGATGGGTACCGGCTGCAGTGCATCGAAGAAGGCCGGACGCCGCAGCTCATGGTCGTCATCACCATGTACAACGAAGACCAAGTCGAAATGTACTCGACGCTCAAGAAGGTCGCCAACAACATTGCGCACATCAAGTCGCAAAAGCTGCCGGGCTACGAGGGCGACGACGCGTGGAAGAACATCCTTGTCGTCATCGTCTCGGACGGCCGGACGAAAGCCAACAAGGGCACACTCGCCTTCCTCCGGGACGTTGGCGCGTTCGATGAAGACGTCATGAACATCCTCATGGTCGGCGTCGACGTCATGTGCCACGTGTTTGAGTTTTGCGTCCAGCTCAAGAAGGCCAATACGATCGAGGCGTCGGCGAGCAGCTCGGAGCGGTATCCGCCGACGCAGGTCGTCTTTGCGCTCAAGGAGCACAACGGCGGGAAGCTCAACTCGCACGAGTGGTACTTCAACGCGTTCGCGGAGCAGATCCAGCCCGAGTACACGGTGCTTCTGGACGTCGGGACCATGCCGACCGCGAAGGCCTTCTACCTCCTCCTCTGCGCGATGGAGATTGACCCGCAGATTGGCGGGACGTGCGGAGAGATTGCCGTCGACAAGCCGATCCCGCACCTCTGCAACTGGGTCATTGCGGCGCAGCATTTCGAGTACAAGATCTCCAACGTCATGGACAAGTCGCTCGAGTCCGTCTTTGGCTTCATCTCGGTGCTACCGGGGGCGTTCTCGGCGTACCGGTACAAGGCCATTCGTGGCGCGCCGCTCGAAGCGTACTTCAAGAGCCTCACAACGCCGATGAACGAGCTCGGGCCGTTCCAAGGCAACATGTACCTCGCCGAAGATCGCATCTTGTGTTTCGAGCTCCTCGCGCGTCGCAACTGCCGCTGGACGATGCAGTACGTCAAGGACGCGATCGCGCGCACGGACGTGCCAACAGACCTGGTCGCGCTCATCGGGCAGCGCCGCCGCTGGCTCAACGGGTCGTTTTTCGCGCTGGTGTACACGATTCTGAACTGGGGCCGCGTTTACACCGAGTCGAACCACTCGTACATCCGCAAGTTCTTTCTCTGCATCCAGTACGCCTACATGACGGCCAACGTCGCGCTCTCGTGGGTCCTTCCGGCCAACTTTTTCCTCGTCACGTACTTTCTCGTCATTGTCGGCTTCAAGCAAAACAACTGGGGGTACATTCCGACGTCGGGCATTCCCGAGAACACCAAGGACATTATTGTCCAAGTGTTTTCGCTGCTGTACGGCACGTCGTTTCTGATTCAGCTTGTCGCAGGTCTCGGCAACAAGCCCAAGCACATCAAGTTCGTTGCTACATTGCTCTCCAAAAATCTCATCTTTCTCTGTCTGCTAGAGGCGTGTACCGCTTGACGGCGGTCTTTTACGCACTCGTGATGCTGCTCACGTCGGTGATCGCCTTTGGTTTATCATGAAGCCGTGGATCGACAGTCTTCGTTCCGGGTACGCTATCCTCTTCGTGTGGAATCTAGATCTGAGATCTGATGTGGCTAGCGTCCCGTTTGCTGCGATGGTGACGAGCTTCGAGATCAAGGACATTGCCGCCTTTGTCGCGTCCGTCGGCGTCTTCTTCCTCGCGTCGTGCTTGCACTGCGAGATGCACCACATCGCCATGTCGTTCATCCAGTACATGTGCCTTCTCCCAACCTTTGTCAACATCCTCAACACGTACTCGTTCTGCAACTTGCACGACTTGAGCTGGGGCACGAAAGGCCTCGAGAGCTCGGACGGCCACGGCCCCAAGGCGGTACGCCGATCGCCGCTTTTTGTTGTTGTCGTCGCATACGATCTCTGAACCTTGCTTGCTTGGTAGGGCGGCGGTGGCAACTACAAGGACGCGGCCGAGGCCAAGAAGGCCGAGGAAGCGCGCAAGAAGAAAGAGGGCGAGATCAAGGACAAGATGGAAGGCGACTTTCAGTACTTCCGGTCCAAGCTGCTCATTTTCTGGCTCCTCTCGCAGATGGGCTTTGCGTACCTCATCATCTCGTTCGACTCGGTGAACGGGCAAGAGGGCGCCAACTACCTCAAGTTTCTCTTCTACATCGTCGCGGGCTTTAACCTCTTTCGGCTCTTTGGCTCGACGTACTTTTTGCTCATCGAAGCGCGCATTTGCGTCGAAAAGATGTGCATTCGCGGCACCATGCGCGACCGCCTCAAGGCCAAGAAGAAGAAGCAGGCGATCCGCGCGGCGCAGACGCAGCACGTCTAGCACCTACCTCTATGTCCTTTTGCTGCGTTGATGGATGCCCTGTTTAAATACCATGTGCCGTGTTGTTTTCCACCTGCCTTTCCCGAGGAACGGACCTCCCGACGAGGTCCAAAGCAACGGCAAGTGCAATGTCACCTTTCGCAAGAGGGGTTGTACTCGATACCAAGAGCTTTGTGGCATTTTCACCAAGAGCTTACGCGGGCACGAGATACAAGTAGACGGGCGACGTGCCGGTCGCCGAGAGAAACGCGACCGTGGTCGCCGTGGCCACCGGCGTCCAGTCGGCGATCGGAAAGACGTACGTGACGACGCGAGTGCCGGGCTTGCACTTGGCGCGCAAGAGGGTCGCAATGCTCTTGTGCGGCAGGAAGAAGAGCGTGATGACACTCACGCCACTCAAGTCGACGTCGACCCAGTCGCTGAGGAGAAAGAGCGTTGCGGAAGTGCAGCGCGGGTCCTTCTGCGCGTGCCGAACCAACGCGTCGTCGATGTCGACGCCAATCGCCTTGGCGACGCCGAACGGCGGCTCGACGGCGGCAAAGACGACGCGCCCGTCGCCGCTGCCAATGTCGAGGAGCGTGTCGCGTGGGCCGGCCTTGGCCAGCGCCAGCATCGTGGCCGCGGCGTCGGGCTTGCACGGCAGATACGGCGACCACGCTATGCATCATCATCTCAAGATACTATCAACTGCGATCGTCTCGACGTACGGAGGTCTTTTTGGACGCGCGTGACGTGGAGCTTGCGCGCTCGCTGGCCTCGGAAGAGCGCTTGGAAGCGTGCGAGTCCGTCCATCCGAAGAGAAGAGGAAGAAGATGTCGATGGTCGTTGCAATTAAGATTTCGTCGTTACAAGCGAGGCGTCGCGGGCGTCGCAAAGGCAAACTCGCCGCCGTCGAGCACGATCGCGTCACGCTCGACGACGCGCGTCTGGAAGGCCACGTGGCCCGGCGACGTGAGCCACATGCGCGTCTCGAGCGTCTCGCCCGGAAACGTCGGCTTGGAGAACCGGACGCTCATCTTGCGCAAGCTGTCACTCTCGTTGTGGCCATACGCTTGGAGGAGCGCCCGCGCCGCGACACCCATCGTGCACAGACCGTGCAAAATGGGCTGCGGGAAGCCCGCCGACGCAGCAAAGTCGGGGTCAACGTGCAGCGGGTTGTAGTCGCTAGACACTTGCAAGTGAGACCACACAGAAAACATGGAAGCGACCGACGACATACCCCGAGAGACGGTAGAGCTGCGCCTGGGCAAGCGACGTGGGCAGCGCGAGGACGACGTCGGGGGTGCGCGCGGGCATGGTTGGGCGCCGCGGCGGCGTGCGGCCCTGGCCCTGAAAAGAGGCATCGAGGCCGCGGTAGAACGAGCCCATGACGAGCGTCGTGAGCGGCTCGCCGGCCTCGTCGACGATCTTGAATTCCGTCTCCATAAGCGCGCCCGACTTGCCTTTCGGGTGGAACGAGAGCACGCGGCGGTGGCACGTGACGCGCCCACCCGTCGCTGGCAGCGGGCGGTGGACCTCGATGCTCTGCTCGCCGTGGAGCGTCATGCCCGGGTTGAAGTCGGGCATGCCGTTCGGGATCGTCGACATGCTTGGCGGCGGGAAGTCCACAACGTCGTGCGCGTCGCCCTTGAAGAGGAGCACGACCGGGTACAATGGAAACGCGGCAAAGCGCGCGTCGAGCTCCGAGGTAAAGCGGAGGTCGGTGCTGGCCTGCTCCGGCGTCTTGTAGTAGCTGCAGCCGATGCCAAGCGCGTACGTGATGAGGTCGCGCGCCGTGTACGTCGCTGGGAACGAGTCGCGGCTGGCCAAGATGTCCCCGACGTTGGCCGCCATGTCAAAAGTCAAACTGACCCGAGATTGCCCAGGCCACGACAGACGCGTGCGATTGGCCGAAAAACAGCCAATCAAAAGCAAGGTCCATTCGCGATCTTCAACCTGGTCCCGCCCACAGCCGAGTTGCCATGGCCACGCAGCCACCCTGCGACGAGTGGCAGGATGGCATGGGATCGTGCACGAGTGCAAACCTCGGTTTGTTTGGTTCGTGGCGCACCGACGCCGGGGCTGCAGGCTCTGGCAAGCGCAGGAGGAAGCAGGTGATGATGAAATCGGCGAGCGCAACCAATCAAGAAGCCCCGATCGTCTTCGATGATGCCGTCGACACGATCACGCCGTGGCGAATGCAAATGCACTCAGTGAGCTCGCAGTCAATGCGGCAAGAGGCACTACTTTCACGCCCATCGAAGTATTTTAGATCCCGACAGTTGTAGTTTTCAGCAACTTCACAATACGTATAGCTCTTCTCGTGATGTAACATCTTCTTCAAAGTCGTCCAAAGACGGTGCGAATAAAGCAGGGTTTGTTGTGCACTCTTGGTGCTATCAAGGCGGTGGCACGCATCCCTCGCCGCTTCCAAGCAAGCAGATCCAAGCCGCCCATGGAGCACTAGAGCCATGAGATTCTGCGTTTTTCCAGCCGTTCCGCAAGCGAAACCAACCGACGAGTGGCCTCGTCAGTCGATGCCTTCGCCTGCTGAGAGCCGAGCCATCAGACCAAGCGACGCTGAGCGATGAGGAACTCATCGCCACGCTGTACAAGACGACATATCCGAGGAAGACGACGACATGCTCCAGCCAGACAATAACAAAAACAACGGTCAGGGGGACCACAACCAACATCAGATCCAACACAGAACCAACATGAGCACCGAGCACCGAGCACAGAGCAAAGAGCACAGAGCACAGAGCACAAATCAGCCAGCCGCCGCCGCCACCGCCACCGCCAACGCCATCAACCATCAACCTTCAGCATCAAGATCCATATCATCCTACCCCGAAAACCAAGAATCGACCCAAAGAATTCAAATCCAACGCGCCACGCCGCCAAAACGGAAACAAATTCATCCAGTCAACCGCCCAGCTCCACGCCTCCAGAACGAAAAACAAGTCAACAAGCCCAGCGCCAAAACGAAAACACTTTCATACACCGCCTGACAAGAGCACTAGAGCCATGATCATCAACCTGAATCGCTCCGCTTCATTTGATGTTTGTCAACCATATGTAGCATATTGCATCATCCACTATAGACTCTCCTGGACATGATCGCGGAAAATGTGCGCGAGCTTGTACGCAGTTGGGCGATCGTTCGGCTCGGACGCCACGCACTGTGCCGCGACGTCGCGGAGCCAGCTCGGCATCGTGGCCGAGAACGTCGGCTTCAATGAGCCCGCAATCACCATGCTCATGATCGCCGTGTCTACGAGTGGCTTGCCGTTCTTCTCGTTGATGACGCCGGCGTACGGGATCTGATGCGAGTCAAACTCGGACAAGAGCATCCCGAATGAAAAGATGTCGGCCGCCACCGTGTAGTGGTTGAACTGGAGGATCTCCGGCGCCATCCAGCGGTACGTGCCGACCCCAACGGTCATGGTCTCATGCGTGTCTTCTTTGGAGACGCCAAAGTCGGTGAGTTTGGTCCCTTCGCCGAGTCGAGAAGCACGTTGCGGGACTTGAGGTCGCGATGGATGATCTGCATCGAGTGGAGGTACACCAGTGCGTACACGATGCTATGGATGCACGAGATCTTGGCCGGCCACGAAAACTCGTTTGGCTTGTGGCTGGCGAGGTAGTCGCGGAGGTCGCCCATGTTCATGTACTCGAGCACACATCGGATCGAGGACGGCGTTGTCCATGTCGCACCAATGAGAGACACAATGTGTGGCGAGTCAAACCTATGTATGGCCAAGTCGAGGTGAGCATTCCGTGACCAACATAATATGAGAGAACGCACTGGGCCATGAGCTTGATCTCGTCCACAAGGCCTTGCACATCGACCGCCGACGACCGCGTCGGCAGCAGCATCTTGACAGCAACCGTCTTGTGCTTATACTCAGCGCGCCAGACTTCGCCGAACGCCCCGGTCGCGATCTTGTCCTTGATGACGACCTCGGTCGCATCCAATCGGTGCATGGCGAGCTCATGGAGATTGAACGTCTGGTCTTGAGACCCTGTTGCGGTGCGGGGTGAAGCTGACGCGTGCGAATACGGTGCCTCGGCCGTCGTGGCGGTCGTGGTAAGTTCAAGCTTTTGCTTGCGCCGACGACAACAGCAGTAGGCGCCAAGTGCGAGGAGCGCAGCAAGGACGACAACACCGACGACGACACCGACGATCGTGGCCGAGCTCCCATCCGATGCAACAATGTCATTAAGATTGGTGGGCGCCGGCGTCGTGTCTAGCGTGCAGAGTTAGCAAGAAACGAGACGCGAGGTTCAACCCGAGAGGACGCAAATGGTGTTGTTGGTCCAGATCGTCTGGAGCGCGCCGTTGGCCTTGGCGCAGAGCGTCGCGTCACTCGCAATCGGGAGGATCGAACAGCTTTTGTTGAGTCCGTTGAGCGCTCGATACGTGCTCGGCGACACGATAAAGTTGGTGATCGCGACCGTGCCTTGGCTGCTGCCACAGTCACTAAAGCAATCTTACATCAGAAACGGGGGCGCAGACGCGTGCTACAAAGTCTGGAGCTTGGACGAAAACGTCACGTTGGTGATGCTTCGAATCGGGTTGCCGTTGGTCGCAAACGACTCCAACTGCGACAGATCGGCGTTGGCAAGCGACGTCATCAAGTTCGACTGGAGGTCCCTACGACCCACGAAAATCGTCAACATGAGCCCGATGCGATACCTCAAACATGCAGGAATCGACGTACAGGCTCCGAATGGTCGCGGGCAAGCTGGTCGGCAGCGTCGTCAGGTTGTTGACCATCAAGTTCCTACCACAGGTACATCGTCACGATGTGTTCGACGCCATCCCTCGTACAGCGTCTGGAGCGCCATGGGCCACGTCATCGACGATGGAATCTCCGTCAGTTGGTTGTACGAGAGCTCGCTACAGACGTTGTGAGGCCACGCTTTATGACTCGGCGTGGCTACAGTTGGACGAGACCGGCCGGCCACCGCAGCTTGGACCTATCTTGCAGCACCTTGGGCGAAAAGCGGACGCGCCTAGAATGGCCCATGAGGCGCGTCCTGGCGGCGATGCGAGGCGACGTACAACGATGGGTTGCGGTAGTTGGTGAGGTCGCCGATCTGCGTGATGCTGCCAAAGGACGCGCGCGTGTCGGTCTCTTCGAGCGTGGCTTGGCACGTAGCGTTGAGGACGCAGATCATCCCTTGGCTGCAGTAGCCACCCGTGCCGATGGTGAGGATCGCGAGGTCCGGCGGGTTCTCCGTGCCGGCGCAGGACCCGACACCCATGACGCCTGCGTAGAAGAATTGTTGCACGCGGAGCGAATACCGGATACGGTGAATTGGTATCCGGAACTTATGGGAAGAATTGCGCTAACTACACCGGCCGTAGAGTTCAGCTGATGAGACCTTGGTCAGCAACATAGGAAAGGCAAGCATCGATCTATACTGGGTGTGGTGGTACCATGCCATTGTGCTGTTCCCGTGGCAGCGGGACTGCTGCCCGAATCGAGCGGCCAAAGATGTCGGTGGGCGGATCAGATCGATTGTAGAGGGTCGAGCTCGCAGAGGCATTCTTAGAGCTACTACGCAAGTATGCAACATTTTAAGTTGACATGAAGACGCGCGTCGAGGTGGTAGACTAGAAGAGCTTGTGCGTCAAGAGCTGCGTTATCTTACTGCGTTGTGATATTGGTGCCCCTGGTGTAGCTGTTGGCTTGCAAGGAGCGCTGCAATTGGCGAATGACGGTAGCAAGGACATCACCGATTGCGCTGGAGCTGATACTGGGGTATTAGATGCGGTGAGCGTGGTCCAATCTTAAGATTTTCCTCGTGCGATAGTTTAACAGCACGCACGTCGAGTACCAACTACTATTAATAATACGTGGCAACGAGTGCTGGCAGAAAGCGTGGTTGCACTGATCGCATTGGATACGACTATCTTAAGTACGCTACGTACCTACAGGAAAAACGTACTTACAAGGAAGCACTTAAACGGCCATCAAACCAGACACGTCCAACATTCGGGACGCAGGAGAGATGGCAGGTACGCTGGTCGACGATCATCTTCGTCGAGCTCATGGCTGCATGCAGACGTTCCTCAATCCGCATCGAGAAGTATCAAGGTAGATGAAATGGATGCGATCATCCAGCTTATCCTGCGCGTAGGGTGGCGACGAAGCCGCCTCCGGGTGCGCCATCTGCGGCCTCGACAACAACGCCGACAACATCCTGCTCTGCGACGGCCCCAACTGCGCTGCTGAGTACCACACGTACTGTCTGGCTCCTCCGCTGAACGATGTGCCAGAAGAAGATTTCTACTGCCCAGCTTGCTGCGATGGGCCGGCGTACGAGTTCCGCGCCCGCCAAGAAGAGCGTACGCATCGTTGGCGTCGTATGGATCTCAACCGAATGGCGTAGAGGATGCTGTAAGCGCCGCGTCCGACCGGTTCGAGCTCCGGCCGTGCAAAGGCTTTGTCGGCGTCTTGCGGCGCTGGCTCAAGCGCGAGAACGGCAAGTGCTCCAAGGTCTATTACAAACCTTTCGTGGCCGACATCCCGACCATCCATCTCCGCCTCAGCAGCCACAAGAACGTCAACGCGTACGAGACGGAAGCCGCGGCCGCCAAGGCGTACGACCAGTACGCTTTCGACCTCGCGCTCACCGAGGACCGCGACGTTGGCGCCGTCAGCTTGAACTTCCCGGCCAAACTCGAAGACTACCGCCGCGCCGGCAAGCTATTGCGCACCGATGTCGACGACGCCGCACGGCGGGCCACCCGTCGCACCAAGACCGACGTGCGCGGGCAGAAGCGTGCGATTGAGCCCGAGCCCGTTTCGGCCAAAAAGCGCAAGCTTGACGGCGAGATCCCGACCGACTACATTGGCGTCCACGTGTTCGCCGACCACTCGATCGCGCAGCTCAAAATCATCGAAAAGCTGGTGCATCTCGGTGAGTTCGAGTCGCCGGAAGAAGCCGCCGAGGCGTACGACCGGGCGGCCGTCAAGCACTACTGCCGAGGCACGCAGCTCAACTTTCCACACCGTCTGCCCGAGTACTTGGCCGAGACGGCGACGGCGACAACGTACGTGATTCCAGACAATCGCTACAACAAGAACGTTGGCAAGATCCTCGAGTGGACGAAGAAGCTGCACCAGACGCGCAAGCTGATGGAGGCCACACGCCGCGTGCAGTGGCCGTCTCTGGACGCCGAAGGCATCGAAGCCGGCCCCGAGATTCTCGAAGCGTTTAGCTCCACCGACAAGAAGGTACCGCCCGATATAAGAGGATCCTGCAGCGCGATTCCTCTTGTAGTTGCGCGAGGCATGCGCGGCCGTGGATGCGTCGGTCGACAGTATCGTCCAAGAGTCCAAGTACTACCAAGAAAAGTCGCCGACGGGGCTCTTCCTCAACCCGCCGCCCGCCGGCTGCTTCATCGAACTCTTGGCACCGACCGAGTACATTCTGTACTGCAAGGCCATCAACGACTTTTCGACCGCCACCGACTTGGACGGTGACATTTGCTTGCACATGTCGCATCTTGTATTGACATTTTGGATAGGGATAGATGTCGAGAAGCTCCAGAAGGCTCTCAATGCCCTCTTCGGCACCCGCACGAACTTTATCCGCAAGAAGTCAGCCGAAGACATTTTGATCCAAGAGCTCGAGGACTTTATGGCGACGGCCATCCGAGTGTTTGAGCCGTCGGCGCGCCCCGTGGACGACTCGGGCTACTTTCCCAACTGCAAGTACGTCAAGACGACGCCGCTCAAGCTTGAGGACGGCACGATGCTCCTTGATGAGTGCTGCCTCGCGATCGAACAACCAGTGGGTGACGTCTACGAGCTCTTTCCGTTGCAGACGCTGATGCGGAAGGAGCTCGCTGACGGAACGCCCTTCCTGTGGTCGGCCGACGACGTGGCGGCCCATAGCATCAACGAGATCGACGCGTTCACGTACAAGGTGGACCTCTCGCCCACGTCGCAAGAAGACATCATCTCGCTGCTCACGACGGCGTTCGACCACGAGCACTCGCTTCGGAAAGACGTCAAGAGCCTCTTGGAAACCAAAAAGAAATGTGTCGAGAAGATGCGAGCGACGGAGATCAAGCACGGAGCCTTCTTGGAGCAATGGCCGGCCATTGAAGCGGCGCACAGCGCCGATGTCGACGCGCAGCGCGTCATCCGCGAGAGCGCCGAGCACGACCTCGACTTTTTAAAGACGATCGACGCGTTTGTGTCACCGAACGTGGCGGCGGTGCTCGACACGTGCATGCAGCACCTCTCGTCGTACGTGGCTACGCTCTCGCGCCGCCTCAAGACGTTCCAAACCGAGTTTTCCTACTACGTCTCGGCCCTCGCCGAGCTCATGGAGGGCGGGCTCGACGCGGACTTTGTCTCGGAGAGCTACGTACGCTTCTTTACGCGCGAGCTGCACGGGCTCTGGAAAGAAAAGCACGCGGCGACCGAGATCCTCTACCTCGTCGCACGCTCGATGACCAAAGCCCTCGATACAAGAGGCGCGGTCGGGGACGTCCAGAGCCTCCAAGACAACGTGCGGTCGCTCGTCCACAAGTGGGAAGCCTTCGAGTGGCCAGCAACGCTTCTTGAAGCGGCCAACACCAAAACCTACCTCCAGGACGCCACGTCGGCGCCAACGATCATGATCAAGGCCGAGCCGACACATACGATCGACGAGCTCCAAAACTTGCTCATGTCGACGCTCGAGTCGCCGTCGACGGTTGCAGTGGCGAAAGCAGACACGACGCGGACAACGTCGACACTTGTGCTGTACCACCCGGTGTGTGTCAAGCACGAGACGCCCAAGCAGCATCCCGAGTGCCCTGCCCGTCTCACGGTACTCTCCTTGTCAAAAGCCGTAGGCTCACCCCTCTGTGTCAATGTAGCGTGTCGTCGCTACGCTCGCCGATCTATCAAAGGAGCATCCGCGGACGCTTCACGTGCACCGACTCGATGCGGAGGCCGACGCGCTCTCGCCGTCCGAGGCCATGTTGCTCCTCGTGCACTCGCCGCAGTACCTCTCGCAGCTCAAGGCGCGCGCGACCGAGGCGTCCAGCGACGCGCTGGTCTTTGAGACGGACCCTGGTGACGACAATGACGGCGCGCAGCAGCCGCTGCCCGATGCGATCCGGCCGTTTGCGAACGCGGGGGCGCGTTCCGCGTCGCCGCGCTGCAGCGCAGTAACGTCATGGACACGTACGTCAGCGCCAACTCGTGGGACGTGGCGCGCATCGCCGCCGGCACCGTTTGTATGGCGGTCGACAAGGTGCTCCAAGGCGAGTACAAGAACGCGGTCTGTTTGGTGCGACCGCCTGGTACGCTGCTGCGATTCTCTGCGGTTCTTGAAGTGGACGAACATGTAGGCCACCACGTGGGGCGCCATGGCCGGACACCGACGGCGTCGTCGTCGGGCTTTTGCCTCCTCAACAACGTCGTCATTGGCGCGCTCCATGCCCGGATGCACCCGTCCGTGACGCGCGTCGCCGTGCTCGATTGGGACATTCATCATGGCAACGGCACGGAAGAGCTCCTGCGTGGCGACCCGCGCTCGTTCTTTTCGTCGGTCCACTTGTATGTGGAGCACTTCTTCCCTGGCACGGGGCCGACGGGGTCGGACGCCAACATTGTGAACGTTGGCCTCACCGACACGGGGCTCGGCTCGGGCTCCGAGTACGAATGATCGCGTGCACATATGTGCGAAGGACTTACGTCGTTCGTGTAGGGCGTTCCGCGCCGCACTGCGGGATACGGTGCTGCCTGCGATGGAAGCGTTCCAGCCCGATATGATCTTCATCTCGGCCGGCTTTGATGGCCACAAGGACGACATTATTGGCGGGCAAGCGGCCGTGGGCAAAACCTCGACGGCGCCCGCCGGCTACGTGGAAGCGGTACCACGACATACCATAGGGGATTTGTAGATACAAAGGCTATCTGCGTAGGATTATGCGTGGGCGACAAAAGAAGTGCTGGCGTTGGCAGACCGGTGCTGCAATGGCCGCGTTGTTTCGGTGCTGGAAGGCGGCTACGATGTCCGAGAGGAAACCAACTCGCTGGCCAAGTCGGTCGCTGCCCACATTGACGCGTTTTGCGACGTTGGCGACGACGAGGAAGAAGAGAAGGAAGGAGAAGAGGCCATCGTCAAGACCGAAGTCCCACAGACCACCTCGACGTCGAGCCGTTTGGCTGCGCTCTTGGCGCGCGAGATCGACGAGGATACGATCTTCATCGACGACGACGAAGACGAGATCGCGCGCAAGACGATGGCGATCGCTGTCAAGCGCGAAGCCCTCGCGGCGGCGGCCCAAGCGCCGATTCACGCGTCGCTCGCCTTGTCCAACAACGAAGAAGACATCCCAATGGACACGGACGACGCCGTGGACCTAGAGACGGCGGATGACGAACCTCTGGCGCAGGACGCTGCGGACGACGAGATGCCCGCTGCCGACGAGATTCCAGAAAACGACCACGAGGCTCCTGTGCCTGACGTTGCGCCGATGGTTGATCCCGCCGCGATGGACAAAGCTGCCCTCGTTGCCGACGAGACGGCTGTCGTCGAACCTACCGCAGTAGTCGAAGCGACATTGGCGGTCGCTGAAGCTGCTCCGGTCACGGGCGAGACAGCGGTGGCCGAAACGACGCCGGTGGCCGAAGTGACGCCGGTGCCCGAAGTGACGCCAATGATTGACGACGCTCCTGTTGTAAACACTGCCTCGGTCGCTCAAGTCGTTCCGGCACCGGAAACTACAGAGACGACTGACGCTGCTTTGGTGGTCGAGAGCGCTCCAGTCGTCGCATCGGTCGAAGCTCCGTCAGCGTCTGCTCTGACCGCGGACGCTGCGTCGGCGTCTGTCGACGCGCCGGTCGGGGCCATGGAGATCATCGAGAATGCGCCGGCGGACGACGCCATGGACGTGGTCGACGAGCCAATGGGCGATATGTACGAAAGCGACAGTGCGATGGACGTGCAAGTGCCGACGCCCGAGAGCTCGGCGATGGAGATTGTCACCGACATGAACGACGAGATCGAAGACGTCGTCATGGACGGGACACCCGACGCCGCTGACGAGAATCAAGACATGGACGCTGGCTCCGAAGCGTCCATGTAGCCGCCTCCCGTGCGTTGTTTGCGTGTCTTCATTCTCAACGATCACAATTTGTGTGTTTCCGCGCGATGAGGGGTAGGGGATACCAATGCATTGTTGAATGCGACGACCTAGTCGGCCGCAATGCTCTTAGTAATAGGATAGGGTTCTCGACAGCACACTATGCTCAGCATGTGTATTAGAATGGCGTAGTGTCGTTGCACGAACGCAAGCAGCTCTGGATCGCGACGGCGGCTTCGTCGGCGTCGGCCACGGTTGCGTGTATTTAGCCAAACAACCCAGCAACGGTGCCACCTCGGTTCGTTATGGAGCCCACGCCACTACCACTGCACGCCTGCATCGTTTCGAAGCTTCTTTTGACTATGTGTGCGTCATTCTGGCGCGCCTTGCGTCGCGGATCCAGGCACGCATGCAATCGCAGGGGTCTTTTTCGAGCTGTTTAAAGTTGCGTGCACGTAGCCTCGACGTGCGACAGGTCGAGAACCTCTCACATTTGATGCTTCTCGGATCCAGATCTGGTCGCGAAATCGATTCATTCTCTTCTTCGTCGCCGCATGAACCTCTTCCAGAACGTCCGCGAGTACCTCACGCCGGTGCTGTCCGAGTCGGGCTTTGTCGCGGACGGCGTGCTCACGCCCGAGGAGTTCGTCGCGGCCGGCGACCAGCTCTGCTACAAGTGCCCCACGTGGCGCTGGGAGGGCGGCGACGTAGGCGCGCGCAAGGCGTACTTGCCGCCGCACAAGCAGTTTTTGCGCACGACGGGCGTGCCTTGCCGGCGCCGCGTCACATCGCTCGAGCAAGATTACGCCGGCGAGACGGCGCTCGCCGACGACGAAGACAGCGACTGGCTCGCGACGCACAACAACAACAATAGCACGCTCGACGACGACCAAGTCGAGCGGCTGCAGCACATCTCGCTCGACGCCGACGCGCCGTCCGCGGGCAGCGTCAACATTCTCAGCGCGCTCGTCGACGAGCACTTTCACATCACGTCAGCGACGGACGCGGTGCCGGATCTGAGCTCGTTTGAAGATGCAGACAACATCGTCGACGACGACGAGGCGGCGCTGACGTACATTGCGGCGACCGAGCCCGAGCCGCTCGAGACCGATGCGGATGGCAACCTCGTGTACACGCGCACGTACGACCTCTCGATCACGTACGACAAGTACTACCGGACGCCGCGCGTGTGGCTATTTGGGTACGAGGAGAGCGGCACGCCGCTCCAGCCCGACGACATGCTCCAGGACATCATGCAGGTACTTGTACGAGTGCGAATCATGAACGACGCCACTGAACGACATTGATACGTGCTAGGACTATGCCAACAAGACGGTGACGCTCGACCCGCACCCGCACATGCCTGGTATTCCGCACGCGGCGATCCATCCGTGCCAGCACGGCGCCGTCATGAAGCGCATCGTGGCCAACCTCATGGCCGGCGGCAAGGAGATTCGCAGCGACCAGTACATGTTTATCTTTCTCAAGTTTCTGCAGTCGGTCATCCCAACGATCGACTACGACTACACGATGGAAGTCGAAGCCAAGTCGTAGATGCGCCGGTCCGTCGTCGCGTTGGTACACTGGAATAGATACCGAAACACGTTTGTCTAATCACTCTACGCTGCCTGCACGGCGAGGTCGTCCAGCGCTTCTTGCACCCAGGCGCCGACAAGGTTGTTCTTGGTCGCGAGGTAGTGGGCGTAGTGCGTGTGGAGGCACTTGACGGACGCGCGGTTGCGAATGCCGGCAATGCCCACGTGCTTGAGCGCACGCTCCCAGCGCTTGGCCTCGACAATGGCTTCATCGCGGGGCGTCAGAAGGTCGTAGCGCAAATCGGCGTAGCTCTGGTGCGCCATCGCCATGGCCTACGTCAGTGGAATCAATCGACTGTACAGGGAAAAGAGTACGGACCTCGAGGTACTCGGGGTTGGATGTTAACCGTTCGGTGAAGACTTCAACAAACCCCATGCCTTCGAGCACCGACACCTTTTCCTTGAGCTCCGTGGACGCGAGCCAGAACGTCGTTGGGAACGGCTCAATGTACGCGCGCTCGTGCTTCTTGTATGCGTCCATGCAGTTGCGCAGTGGGTAGAGCATGAGGACCGCGGGCTCGTGGCCGTGCTCGTCGCTCTCGTGGAACGCTGCGACCGTGATGAGGTTCGTGGGCACGTAGCCGAGGTTGCGCTCGATGGCGCCGAGCGTCGCCGGGTCGACCACCTCGCAGGGCACGCCGTCGCACTCGGTCGTGTCCATCGGCGTCTCCTGCGCCGGCGGCTGCGCGACGTCGCCCATGCTCAGAAACACGCCCTGCTCTTCCATGTCGCTCATCTTGCAAAATCAACCAAGGAGTGGACATCGGCCGCATTTTGTAGCCAATGGCATCGCTGCGCTCGTCCAGCAGTAGCCAATCAAACGGCGTGGTAGAGGTGCTTGATACAATCCTCACGCGCGCGCTTCGTCTGCAACCCATCTCTCTCGTAAGAGCGCGAGTCGTGTTGCGAGCAAACAACGCGGGCTCTAAGTCTCGAAGCTAAAGCGCCCCCGAGTACCTCGAGATGCGTACTCTTCCTGCTGCATCATGTACAGTCGATTGACGTCTGCTGACTGCACCAGAGCTGCGCCGATCTGCGCTACAGTCGTTTGACGCCCCGCGATGAAAACAATCGTGGAAGCCAAGCGCTGGGAGCGTGCGCTCAGGCTCGTGGGCATGAACGCGTCACCGCACTACCTCTGACATGTCCTGGCGTAGCGAGAGTCGAGATGCGAATATCCAGTGCTGACGTATGCACTTGCAACGGGTATGTAGCGCAATGTCAACCTAGAGCTACCGACTGCAGTTTTCCATCGACATAATCGTTTTCGCCAATCACATCTTATGGTCCTATTGATAGCCATTCCCAACGATGGAGGCAGCTGCGAAGAAGTACGTGGCGCTCGTCGCCAAGGCCGCGCCCGTGTCTCTCGACTCTGCGGCGCAGTGGGCGGATGACACCAAGATGCAAGCTCTTCTGCGGCACAAGCTGCTTCCAGGGCTCCAAGCGGGACTCCGCGCAGAGAACACGAGTCTTCTCGCCCTTCTCGGCGCGTTTAGCATCAGTGCGCCTTTTGTACAGGCACTGGTATGTTCCTTTCTACCAAACTATTGAAACGGGTCGAGTAGACTACCTGCGAAGCGCTTCTCGAGGAGCTAAGACGCCACGTAACGCAGCCCGCCGTCGCTTCACGCCCGGAGTTGGTGGTAGCAAGTTCCTCAGGCTTTCCGCCACCGAACCAACTTGGCATTGGAGTAGGTCTGCGTGGCTCGAGTATTCTACACTGTCGCGCGTGCCATCAACCAAGGCTCGGTCCAAGACAAAAGAGTTTGCGCGTTGCTGTTTTCTGGTCTCTCGAACCTCTGGCCCGTACACCGCAGCCTCTTCCTCGCCTTGAATATCGGATGCATCCTCCCATAGATGACCAAGTCGGTGGAGAAAAGTGCGTCTGATGCAGTGGCGCCTCTACGAGAGGCAATCCTAGTCTTGGCCGTCGAAACCCTCGCCTTGGCGCCCACTCCAGAGGCCCGCAGTACTCTACTGACCGAGGTTGCCGACGCTAGCACGGCACTACAGCTTGTCTCGCCGTGGAGCACGTGCGTCGAGTCCAACGTGTGCTTTTACTTGTACCTTTGGGTGCTTTCGCCGCACCTCTCATACAGCGAGCAAGCGCCCGCACTGCTCGCCTCGTGGCTCACACGCCTCGAAACGGAAGCTGGGAACGACATATCGGCCGCGGGTCTACTTTGCCCCATGCGGTGGCCATCGCCTCTGCCGTTCGCAGCCAACGTCCAGGGCAAGAGCTTTCTCGAAGTGCTTGGCACCGCGGCGTCGACGTCGGTGCTTCCTGCGTGGCCTCCATTGACCAACGTGTGGGGACTGCTGCTTCTTCCTTTTGTGCCCGACGAGCCGTGGTGGTCGCTTGCTGCGATGCTGGGCAGCTACATTACCAGCGGCGACCGACCACAATTGAATGAAGCGACACTCTTGACGACGATTTTAAACCGGTTTGCATCCTCCGCACCCACCAAGCAATCCGAACGCCTCGACAGCGTGGCGAGGCTCGTCCAAGCGTACGACCTGCCGCCCCTCGTCCCGGCAACGACGTCTTTCGATGCGTCTGTGCTCACTGCCCTTTTCCAAACGACCTCGCGCGCGGTGGGTTCAAGTCCTCTTCCATGGTGACTTTTCTGACGTGAAACGCAGATGGCGACGGCCACGCCTGCTCTCTCGGTCAATGACGCATCCGCACTGCTGTGCATGGTGCACTTGTGTTGCCGCGGCGCATCAAACATGCCCGTCGTCGCCCTTTTCTCAAACGCCAGTGCGTCGCTGCCTGCGAGGGCCTTGGCCGGCGTGTGCGAGATCCTACAATTTCTTGTGGATCCGCCAGCGCCATACCAGACCCGCGTGACCGTCGGAGACGACTTGGCGACACTCGCATCGACGACCGTGCGATTTCTCTTCTGCACGCCCCCGAGCACAGAAAGCTGTCTCGAGCTCTGGCGCCTTCTTGTGGTACTGCTGCACCAGCCAGCGTATCCTTGGTCCTTGACACTCAGCGTTCGTATCACCTCTATCAAGCTCCATTGAAACAGTCGCCCGTCTTATCACGTAGAATACGACGCTCCTCGACGTGTGCATCAGCGCTCTCGCCGGACCTCATTCGGACGCAGAGGCCAATGTTGCGTTCCGCGTCTGGGCCCGTGTCTTGCAAGAGTCCAAAGACGCGACGTCGTCGCATGACGTCCGCAGCGTTCTGCAGCAGCTGCTCGAGACGCTTCCAAGCGCGCTCGGTACCGCGCCGGCATCGGCAATCGTGGCGCGTCTCGCTGTCATTGCTCACTATGCACCTTTGTACGACCCTCTCAAAGCTGCTTGCTGCGCACCTGAGAGTAGGTTTGCTGAGGAGCACTTGGAGTAGGTACCCGGAGATGCGTCCATTGGTGCTCTCGGCGGTCAACGCAGGAACGGAGTGGGTGCTCTGGTCTTATGCCGCGCCCATGGCGCCACCATCGCTGCTTTTCCCACACGCAACCTCATCGTTGGGACCGGACGACCTCGAGGATGTTCACCAGAGTCTCTATGACAAAACGCTCGAGCTCGCGACGCCCTTCTCTCGTGCGACAGCGCCGCCTGCCTGCGACGAGACGCGCCCACTGGATGATTCAGCGACGTCGCGTTTGGCTCACAGCGTTGTACCGGTCGATGGCACGGCGGCGAGTGTCTTCGTCTTTCATATCCTGCGCGACTGTAGCATCGCAATGCTTCACGACAAACCGTCATCTCTCTCGGACGTCCTTTCGCCTTTCCTGCGGTCGCTGCGACTCACCTGTGCGCTGCCGCTCGTGGCACTCGGCGACCCTTTGTTTGTGTTCGATCTCGTGCAAACTCTTTGGTGCGGTTTTGGGCTGTTGGAACGGACGCTAATGCAAATGGTGGTAGGCTCGTCGCCGCAGCCACCCGACGTTTCGATGCAAGTACGGCCTTGGAGGAGCCCACGGCATGGCATCGCTGCGGCCGCCTCTTTCGCTTGTATGCTGCCATCTTCCGTCGCCTCGAGTTGGGCGAGCTCCCGCCTCGGACAGACCTCGTTCGAGCGCTTTGCATGGCTCTACTTCCGTGCGTCAAGGCGCTCGGACTCTTCAAGGCATCGGGCGGGCGCTGGAAACGGGACTATAAGTCCGTACTACAACGCCTCGTGAGTAGCCTGACGTGGAGCCTCGACGCAGTGAGCTCTGACGACGTGACTGCACTCGCAGCACTGCTTCTTCAGCTTTTGGTACGGGATGGCTTGGAAAGATACATGCTCATCGAGGCAAGGTAGACCGCCATTGCAAGCAAGTTTATTGTGCAAGCAAAATGGCTCATGCGAAGCCACATGCCGCAATTGGTCGCCCTTCTCGGGCATGCAGACGCGAGCGAGCGGCAGAGCTTTGTCATCGACATCCTCGATCTTCTTCGGTTCACAGCCATGCCCACTCAAACGTACGGACACCTCGACCGTTTGGCTTTATAATGGCTGCTCTGGTCTAGGGAGCTCACAGCCGCAATGCGGCGACCCTCGGATGAAGCGATGGCAACAGCTATGCCAACCAGTGACCATGCCATTTCAAGTGCTTACTTGGCCTATTTGGAGTCGACGCTTCCTGCGTAGCGACGCAGAAAGCAATTCTGTATTACGATAAAAGACAGTGACGTCGCGGTTTCTCAACTTGGTGGAACGTCATCGGGGTAAACGACACTACAGCGTGCAGCTCGGGGGCACGAACGGCGTCCAGATTTCGTCCGGCGCCGTGCCCTGCTTGCACGTGACCTTGGCCGCGAGCGCCTTGAAGGTGCCGACGCAAGGGTCAACAAAGAGAGCATTCTTGGCCGGGACAGCGCAGGACGCTTGGCCGACGCAGAGTTGAGTCAAGACGTTGACACTCGACGCAGCATGGCACCACCCGTTGGTGTAGGCCGCTGTGGGCAGACCGTACGATGCATAGTCGACACTCGCAATGACATAGCCATTCGCGCATTTGAGGTTCAGCGTCTCGTGCTCGGCCACATGGGCCCACGTCTGGTATGTGGGGCGGCCGTGCACTCCGCGGTAACCGTCAAGCGCTTAGCTGTGCCCGGGCATGGGTCGCCGCCAAAGTTGCTAGCATAAGTTTGAGCTACACATGTCATAGGATCAAAGACAATATGTCATATACCCGTTGTTGACGGCCACGTTGCACGCCTGCAAACCGGCGCATGCGCTCGTGACAACCTTTTGCGACACCCCGGAGAAGCACGTGCCGAACTTCGCGCCGAGGCCACTGCCGCTGGGCGTGCCGTACGAGGCGAAGATAACGCGCGAAATCTGCAGTGTCGGGCTGCCACAGTCCAAGCGCATCGGGTCGTTGCCTTGGCTCGTCGTTTGCGTCAAGAGCGTCGCGCCCGACGTCAGAGTCAGCGCAGGGGTCGGCGGGGCCGTCGGTGCGGGCGGCGGGGGCGGCGGGGACGAGTTGTTGTTGCCCATGCTGTTGTCGCGGACCGAGTGCCAAATGTAAAATGAGCTCGTGGGCGCTGCTGTCTCAAGAGTCGACGAGCGAGAAACAACAAGATACGCTTCATTGCATCGCAGTATACTCGCATGGGTTCGAACCGATTGCAATAGTTGAAGAGCTGGCGGCGCGTATCTTTCGAGATACGAAACAGTCGCCGAAAGGGTGCGCGGCGTTTCAACAAAGATATCAAACACGCCATTCCATTGGTCAAAAGCATTCGTCTTTTTAGCCAATCCGATGAATCTCCATTCAACGACGATGGACGAAATCCGAGCGCTCCAGCGCCAGCTCGCGGCCGTCCAAGAGACCAAGGATGGGAATCTCAAGCTCTCCGAGCGCCACGTCGTCGACCTCGTCCTCAAGATGCAGCAGCTCGGGAAGCTCGACGTCATCTTCACGCGCAGCGCCAACGCCATGCTCACGCCCGCCAGCTGCGCCACGAGGTGGCCGACGCGCTGCTCAACCACATGGGCCGCGTCTCGATTGGCGACCTCTGTGCGACGACCAACGTCGACATGGCGTATGTCGAGAAGGCGTGCGCAGACCTCGCCTCCGAGAGCGTCGGGCGAGACCGCGTCACCATGATGGGCGACGAGGTATTCACGGACTGGTACCTTGATGGCATCATGGAGGACATGAACGAAGTCCTCCAGGAACATGGCCATGTACATACGCTACCTGCGCTCACCTCATGCATGCTCATTGATGCTGGTAGGTGACGATCGGCGATTTGGCGCAGCAGTATGGGTTCCCCGTCGACTTTATGATGTCTGTCATCACCCCGCGCCTCGGCACACTCATCCACGCGCATGCCAAAGGCAACAGCTTGTACACGGAAGCGTACGTCGAACGACAAGTCGCCCAGATCCGCGGGTCGTTTTCTGGCGTCACGCGCCCGACAGCGATCCCCGAGGCGTTTTTTTAGGCCAGACGCCGAAAACCTCATGCACATATGTCTAGATCGTCGCGGCGACAGGTATGGACGAGCGACTCGTTACCGATACCGTGACCGACCTCATCGCGAGGCACGTGCTTCGAGGCTCGCTCCGCGGGCGCGAGTATGTTCCCACGATTTTCTTGGACGTCCAGCGAGAGAGCGTCGATGCTTTCTTTGCTGCGAACGGATACCTCTTTCATGCAATGGCCTCCCAGCTCCACGTCGCGCGGCCCCTCGAGTTTGTCAAGCGCAGCTTCCCGCATGCGGTCGGGCTCGCTGACGTTGTTGTTGCCGAAGCGTTCCTCACGACCCTTGACGGCGCTATCGACGCTGCCTGCACTGAAGACTCGTGGGTCGACGCGCGATCGGTGTTGCCGCCGGCGCTGCCGGATCGCAGTGTGGCCGAGCTTTTGGCGCAAACGACGAGCCTCTCGACGCGCAAGCACGCGCCGGCCGTCGCGATCGCCTCCGTGTACGTGGCAAGTCGGGGCTTCCTGAGCGCAGTGCGCGACAAGTTTGCCGAGCACGCGGCGGTGCAAGCAGCGGGTCTGGCGGCGGAGACAGTGCGGCGCAAGACCCAAGGACGCAAGCTCGATGCCAAGACGAAATCCACCAAGAGTAAGCTTCCCGCGCATGACGATGACGACGATGACGATCACGCGTCGAGTGGCGTACCGTCGACTGCGGCCATGGCAGAGCTCGTGATGACGTGGTTCGACGAGTGTGCAGAAGACGACGCTTTTGTCGCTGGGCTCGTCGCCGAGCTGCGACCACGTGCTTTGTACGAAGCCGCTGCCACCAAGGCGCTGTCGGCGATTCATCGGGGCGGGTCGTCCACCAAGCAGGAACTCGACAGCATCTTTGAAGACCGCTTCGACGCGCTGTACGTCCAGCTGCTTTGTTTGTCCAAAGGCTGGCACAAGCTCGTCACGGTCGTGCGCAAGACGGCATCAATCGCGTGCGTCGAAGCCCTTCTCTTGGAGACGACGGCGCTGGATCTGTGCAACCTCGTTTTATCGTTTGTGCAAGAAGCCTACGAAGTCATCGACTTGGTCGGTGTCGCGCCCTTCGTGCCCGAGCGCCACAAAACGCCGCTGCCTCGCTTGACGCAGCTCAGTCCGGAAAACCTGACAGCGCTGCAAAAAAGCACTTCGTTTGCGTCGGCGATGGCGACGATGTGGGCGCTTGCGACGGGCGACGACAAATCCGTCAGCGAGTTTGTGCGGCACATGGCCGTCCTCGCTGATGCCCTCAACATGCCGCTGCGCAAGTGCGATCGGAAAAAGGAACGCGCGGTCCTCACTGCCCGCAAGACGGCGCTTGAGCTGCAGCTCCAGAGCGCTGGTACGGACCGCTTGGCGCTTCTCGCGCTGGTGTCGCAAGGCATCTTTACGAGTGTGACCAACCTCGCACTTGACTTCCCTCCCCATGGCATGCCCACGGTCTTGCCTGCCCTTTCCGAAGCTTTTCAGAGCAGCGTGCCGTCCAATACGATGGAATGGCTCGTCTCGTTGCTCGAGTGCGAAGAGGATCTGACGCCAGCAGACGTTGCGCGCCTGCAGACGCTCGCAACATCGAAATCACTAACGCTCTAACCCAGTTCTGGCACTTTTAACACTCTACTACATGGTACTGGAGACGGAGTCGGACCACGTGAGGTGGAAGAGAAGACACTCTTCGTTTTGGTCCTGGTGGTCGTTGATGAAGAGGTAGACCTTCTTGGAGCACGGCAGCGAGTGCGGTGCGAACGCCAGTCGAAGGTACCCGTCGCCGTTCCCACGGAGCTGCAGCCGAGGCTCGCGCGGCTTCATGATGCTAGCGTCGTTGCTCCGCAAAACAAAGTTCCGGTCTTCGTCCCACGGATTCCGATAAGATATTTTCTACGAGGTAATTCAACACATATTGTCCTGCAGCATCGAAGCACGGTACCTTGAGAACGGGCACGCCCGTTGGGAGCGTCACGTCAAAGACCTTGGTCACGACCGGCTCGCTCACTGTTGTGTTGAGGAGCCACGCCCCGACAAGATCGCGGCTATCCACGTCTACGCAGCAATTGGTTGCTTTGTGTTCGTGCTATTTTCTTACCAACGACGTGAACGACAATCTGCTTGGCGCATACTTGCATGGTCGCAAACCGCACCTCAATGCGGTTGAACGCATGCGGAATGAGCTGGAAGATGCCACTTGGGTTAAACTAGAAATCCGACATCAGACATGGAGCTAATCAGGACGACACGCTCTACCTGGAGCTCGTTGGGGTGCGAGCTGAAGCACGAGACGCGTCGTGGCATCGCGTCGCCTTTGATGATGAGTTCGTTCTGCACGCCTTGGCCCATCGTGGCGTGCAAGTCGAGTCTGAAGAGAATGGAATCCCATCTCGCTTTCCAGTACATGTGCATACCGCATCATGGACTGAATCTGGATGCGCCAGATCTCGTGGAGGCGCGCGTGGTACATGTCGTCGTACAAAAGCAAGTAGAAGACGCCGAGACTCGGGTAGTCCCCGACGCGGTACTTAATGTAAATCTCTTGCGGCGCGTAGGGCCGCTATCGCAAGCCCCCTTGTTGTCATTGTCAACCTGCAACCTGGTACGTACCTCAATGGGCCGCGTCTCGACGACCACATTGGCATCGGGGCACATGACGAATTTCTCCACGCCCAACTCGGCTCGATTGTTGTCGCTGTCGTCATTGGTCGCCGGCGGCACCCACTTGAGACAGCGCCGCAAAATCGCAAGCGAAAAGTGCTGGAATCGATACGTTCGGTGCACGACACAGGGCGCGGCGTGCACGTGCAGCTGGATCACGGCGATCGTATGCCCGTGAGCAACGCTTTTGATCGATATCGGGATCGTGCGCTCGTGCGATCGCAGTGCGAGCGAGAGAAAGCGAAAGGGCAGCGCGACGTAGTCACCGCCGTCAAGGAGCAGCTCGTGGAGGCTGTCGACCATGTCGCGCTCGACAGGTGTGCTCGGTGCGTTAGGAATGTCCACGGCACGGGGGACGTGATCGCGGTAGTAGGACCACTCGGCCGCGTCCGTCACCAATTGGAGCTCGGCGTCGGCCCACTCGATGCGGAAGCGCTCTGCGTGCCCGTACGGGTTGCGGACGGGGAGCTCCAAGAAGAGCATCGAGCCAAACATCGCATAAATGTGCACCGTCGTCGTCACGTGATCTTTCAACAGCGCTTGAATCAGAGCCTTCTTGTGGCCGTCGCGGTAGTACTGGACGATTTGAAGCATCTTGTGCTTCTGCGCCAAGTAGGCGTCGACAGTCGCGCGGCCAGAGGCGACGTCGTGCTGACGGCCGTGGTTGGCAAGCGACGCGGCGTCGACCAGGTCACGCTGGGCGCGGGTCGTCTGCTGCTGTTGCTGCCGCTTGTACATGCGGAGACGCTCGAGCTGCCGCGCGTACACCTTGTCGTGCATGAGCGATGGCGCGTCCGCGACATACCCCGCGGACCCGAGATCGTCGACCAGCGAGAGCCCGAGCTCCATGAGAAACTCGACGAAGCGAACGCGTAGAATCTCGTCACTCTTGCCCTCTGCGTACTTGGTCAAGAGAGCCGGCGCGCGGACACCACGGGCCGCCGCCGCAATGGCTGCTTTCCGCAGCTTCATTTCCACGAGGCGCACATTGGGCTCGGCACTGAACCGGTACTCGACGCTCGCTGTGGGTTGGTCCTTGCACCTTGGTATCTCACTGCTACGTTCCATCGATGTCACTGGTGGCGGCTTGGAGGCACCCGTCTCTGTCGTCATCGGCTTGCCAGAAATCTCGGGTGCCGGACCAGGCTTTGGTGTTGAAATGGTTCGTTTGATGTCTTTTGGTTCAAAAGATGCCGGCGCCAGTGTAGCCGTGGACTTTTTTTGCTGCGGTGCGGGCCGCGTCGCCGATGCCGTTGGCGTTGGCGTGGCCTGCTTGGCCGATGCAAGGACTGGGTCGGATGTTTGTTTTTCGAGCGCAGGTTTGGCCTTGGCCAAGTTGAGTCGTGGAATCGACTGGCTCTTCTGCACACCGCCTGGCTGGGCGGTGGTGGGTGAAACAACTTCGGAGCGCGTTGTCGGCTTTGCTTGCTGTACAGTCGTGGTATAGAGCGCTTGGAACTCGCTCAACACAATCGCACCGCTGCCGTCGGCGTCGAGCCACGTCCGGATCTGCGCAATGTCGTCGCTGCTGAGCTGCTTGTCCAAGCCCAGCGCAGATATGCCTTGGTCAAACTCTGCGAGCGTGATCTTGCCATTGCTGTCCTTGTCGAAATGATTGAACGCCTGTCCAACGTCGATACCTTCCGCCAGGGCTCTCAGAAGTAAGTTCGAGAGCGCTGCGACGGCTGGTGGCGGCTCCTTGACGGTCATCGCCCTAGCCGACGCCTTGGGCTTCAACGTACGCGCTGACGTCACGGGTGTCCCTCGAGGCTTGACGTCGGTGCCACCCACCGTGTCCGACGACGCTAGCGTGACCTCGCTGCCGCCTGTCGCTGTTGCGGCTGACTTGGGTGGCGGCTTTTGCCACGGCTTGCCTGAGACTGCCAAGGCACAGTGTTTTGACCAACCGGGGCTTTGTGTACAGTTTCTTGAGCTCGACAAGCGAGATCGATCCGTCCTTCTCTACGTGGTTGCCAAGCAGCACGGCGTCATCCGGTGTCAAGTCGGTGAGGGCGAGGGTTTGCAACCCCGCATCAAAGTCCGCCCGCGATATCGCGCCGCTGCCTTCCTTGTCGTAGGCAGCAAACGCATTGTCGATGTTGACACCGCTTTCTTTGGCCTGCAAAAGCAGCTGCTTGATGGCGTCGATTGTTTTAGCAGCTAGGGGGGCTGCGACGGCCTGTGCTTGCTGCACAACGGTAGCGTCGGAGCTCCATAGTGCCGCAAGTGAAATGCGTCCTGACTGAGACGGATCCAGCGCCGCTCGAAACGCCATCACGTCGTCGTTCGTCATGTCGTTCATTTCGAGCTCAAGCAGGCCCGTGTCGAGCTCCGCATATGCGAGCGACCCCGTGTTGTCGACGTCCAAAGCAGTAAAGACCCGACGTATGTCGACGCCTCGGGCTGTCGCCACTTCGATCCCGCGCCTAAACTTGGCAACAGCGGGATTTGCGGCAGTTGGCGAAGACGCTTCCGATCGTGCCGACGTCTTGGCGTTCTCATCGAGACCCCAGAGGTTGCGGAAATCCGCAACCATAATGATACCAGAGGGCCCGAGCATTGCACCTGCCGCCACCAAGAGCTCTGTTGTGACACCTTCAACGCCCAGAGACAAGAGGACGGACTCAAAGGCCGCTTGAGGTACGCTCTCTGCGTGCACTGCGCTGAGCGCTTCGATGGCCTTGGTCTGCACCGGTTGTAGCAATGTTGCAAGATCCGACGTCGCTGTCACGCGGCGCGCCGACGACGGCTTGCTTGGCGGCGTTCGAGCTGACGGCTTTGCAGGATACAAGGCGCGAAACTCGTTCAGCGCGATCGAGCCACTGCCGTCCTTGTCCAGCGCGACGAGGATGCCCTTGATGTCGCCATCCGAGAGCGGGCCCAAGCCAAGGCTCTGAAGGCCGGAGGTGAACTCTTCGTTTGTGAGGACGCCGTCACCGTCAGTGTCGAAATGGGCAAACGCCTCATCAATTCGAATGCCTTGGTCGCTGGCACGGGCCAAAAGCGCTTTGAGAGCGTCGAGCGGTGTCGGTGCGTACAGCTTTGAAAACTCAGCGAGGGTGATGATGCCACTGCCGTCTTTGTCGAGGGCCTTCTGTAGCTGGTCGATGTCGCTGGCTGTCAAATCGGTAAAGCCCAGCTCACGCAGCGCGGGCGCGAATTCAGCGTACGTAATACCGCCGTCTCCGTCCTTGTCAAAGTGGGCAAACGACATTGCCGCATCGACGCCTTGCGCTTGCGCGCGACGCAGTAGCGTCTGAAGCTTCTCCAAGGGCGACGACTCGGGGGTTGTCGAGGCACCGTAGAGGGACTTGAATTCTGCAATCGAAATCGACCCGCTGCTGTCCTTGTCCAGGTGACGCCGAATGGCCGCAAGGTCCGAGGCACTGAACGCTGTGAACCCGAGCTCGGACATGGCGCTGTCGAACTCTGCGTGGGAGATTTGGCCGTTCCCGTCCTTGTCAAAGTGACCAAAGGATGCTGCAATGTCGACGCCTTGAGCTTGGGCCTTGCACAAGAGCGTTTGCAGCGCGTCCAGTGGGGACACGCTGGTCGTTGACGGCTGTGCAACGTCCGACGTTGTTGCTCCTGGCGGGTACACAACTTTGAACTCAGCCAGCGAGATGGACCCACTATTGTCCTTGTCAAGGGTGGCTCGGATGCTGGCGACGTCGGCAGCGCTGAGCGATGTAAACCCAAGCTCTGCAATCGCTTGGTCGAATTCTGCGTGGCTTATCGAGCCGTTGCCGTCCTTGTCGAAATGGGCAAAAGCGTGCTGCACGTCGACGCCTTTTGCGCTCGCCCGACCAAAGAGCTCGCGTAGCTTCTCCATCGGTGGTAGCGGGATTACGGCCGGGCCTGCATCGGACGCGCCGCCTAAAAACGCCTTAAACTCGGCCAACGTCACCTCGCCCGTTTGGCTCGCGTTCATGGCAGCAAAGAGTCGGCCAGCCTCGTCGCCATTTGCGTCGCCAAAGTTGAGTCGGACCAGACCATCGTGGAACATGGCGGGCGTTAAAAACCCATGACCGGCCGAGTCGAAATGGGCGAACGATTGGTCCAATGGCACGCCTTCGCCCGTGGCTTTGGCGATGAGCGACCGAAAGCGCGTCTCCAGCGACACGGTCTTGCCGAGAAACGTTCCAAACTCATGCAGCGAGATGGTCTGCGACTTGTCTGCATCCAAATGCGACAGAATGTCGGCCATGTCGGCCGCGCTCCACTTGTGCGTGCCGCCGAGCTGCCGCAGTGCCGTCTCAAAGTCGGCGTACGAGACGGCACCTGTGTGCGCTACGTCAAAATGCGCAAAGGCGCCGTGGACGTCGATGCCGCTGGCCATCGCCTTGGTCAGCATCGTCCGGAGCCGCCTGTGCGGTCGGTTGTTTTCTCGCATCGTTCGCTGGGTCCGCGGCGTCGCTAGCGCGACAAACTCATTAAGGGCAATTTGTCCGTCGCCATCCTTGTCGAGGTGCGTCACGATCGCAGCGATGACGTCGTGCTCGAGTCCGTCAAATCCCAATTCGGTGAGCGCCGACGCAAACTCGGACGCCGACACGTGGTTGCTGCCGTCCTTGTCGAAATGCGCAAAGCACTGCAGGAGGTCCAGGCCCTTGGCCGCCGCCGCGTCAAAGAGCACCTTGAGCTGGGCTTCAATCGGGGAGGCAACAATCGCGGCCGACTGGTCGCCAAAGCAAAAGAAGAGTAGCTCCTTGTACGAGACGGACCCGTCGCCGTCGCCATCCAGCTTGCGCATCACGCGCTTGAGGTCGCCATCCGAGATGGGGCACTGAAGACTCGCCAACGCGGCTTGAAACTCTTTGGGCGTGACGCTACCGCTGTGGTCCTTATCGAATTGACGAAACGCATCGGCGACACTGACTCCGGCGGCCGCCGCTTTGGTCAAGATGCGCTCGAGGCGGCGCTGGACCGTGACCGCGGGGTCGTACGCGAGGCCCACAAACGCCATGAACTCGGCGACTTCGATCGTTCCGCTCTTATCCTTGTCGATGCGACCTATCAGTTCTTGGAGCAGGGCGTCGCTCAGCTGTGTGTTGACGTCCATTTCTCGGATGAGCGCTCGGAGCTCGTCGTACGAGACCGTGCCCGACCCGTCCGTATCCACGTGGTGGAAGAGGTCTCCAACATCAATGTTGTTGGCCACCGTGCGCTGAAGAATTTGCTGTAGAATCGACACGAGGGCGTCCTGGGCTTGCAGCACGAGCCCCATGGACGTGATAAATTCCATGTACGAGATGCTACCGTCGCCATCGGCATCGAGTTGCTTGCAAAATGTCTCAAACATTGGTCGGTCCGACACTTGAAAGCTGAGCTGGGCGAGCGCCGTCTCAAATTCGACGTACGAGAGTGTCCCGTCGCCCGACGCGTCCAAATGCCGAAAGATCGACGGCACATCGAGGCCTTTCTCGAGGCCGCGCAGAATCACTTGCCGCAGCTCGTCCCGGAGGTCGATACAGCACGCTTGGTGCACAAACGTGAGAAATTCCTTGTAGTTGACGAGCCCGTCGCCGTTCGTGTCAAAGTAAGACACACAAGCTTGGACGGCCGCTGACGGCAGCGACGCAAAGAGCGGTCCGAGCTGCCGAAGGCCCTTGACAAACTCGGCCGGTGTCACAAACCCGTCACCGTTGGCATCCAGAAACTCAAACATGCTCTTGAAGCGAAGGCCTTGGGCATGGGCCTGCAGAAAGACAGCACGGAGCTGGTCGAGAAACTGCTGCGTGTCAGCACGGCGCGACGCGTTCGAATGCGGCTTCATGGATGGCTGCAACGAGATGAGCGCCAGCAGTGCGTTTGCGTCGAGCCGGTTGGTTCGTGTCGCCTGCGTTGCAAAGCGAGTACAGAGCAAGTCGAGCTCGTCGCGCGTCAGCGACGCCCCGTCGCTGGACGTCGCTGGGCGCCGAGACGTTGCCTTGGTGCTCCCCGTCGGTGCATAAAACTGCTCCTTGATGAGAAGCTCGCGTAGTTCTTGGTTCGAGTCGGCAAGCGGCCGCGCGCGTACTCGGTGCCGCGGCTCCCCGGGCACACTGTCGCCTATAGCGCCCGCCGCGAGCCGCCAGTTGATGTCGCTGTCCATAGCGTTGGGCACGACAAGGTTGCGCGGGCACGGCGTCGAGGCTGACGCAAAGTTACTCATGAGCACTTGTACGGACCCGATCGTGGCTTTGACGACGCAGTCTTCTGTCGGCAGCGTCTGCACCGGATACTCGGCATGGTGCTTCTTGACTTTTTGTCCCTGGCGCAGAAGCGCGTTTAGCGGGATCGACATCGCACCCAGCGGAAGCAGACTGTCGCCATCGTAGACGTCGACGATCAGAGATTTGCGTTGGAGGTACTCGGCAAACGCCCTCGGCTCAAGCATCGAGTGCCGTGTTGTGTGCACTGTAAACGCGAGGGCTTGGGCCGGCTTGGTTTTGGCGCCGTCCTGGCGGCAGAGGAGGTACGTTGCCGCGCTGTGCGTTGCCGCGAGGACGAGACGGTCCGTTTTCGTTGGTTCAAACGTATAAAACTGAAACACAAAGTGGACCGACATGGGCACGGGTCGATCGGCGGCCGGGCGGAAGGCGGCAAACTGAAACTGAATTTCGAGCAAATTGAGATTGTCGGCGAGCTCGTCCGCAATCGACGTTGTGAGTTTCGGCGCTCGCACCGGCTGGCCGTGTGGCGACGTCGGTGCGCCATCGTCGTACATACCATGGCGTGTCAAAAGTGCCTTGGACGCGCGGCTGAGCTCGTGCGCTGGCGCCACGTCGTCCGACACAATGGTTGTCAAATGCGGCTCGACGCCCACGTGTTGGTCGTACAGGGGTCGTGCGGCCTTTGGTGTCGGGTTCATGGTCGTTTGGAGCGCTTGTGAGAGCGCCGCATCCCGCGCCGCCTTGTCGACAAGGTCGTCGGCCCACGTATCGGGTTTCTCGACTTCGTTCTCGGATGCGTCAGCGTTGTCCTCTTCGTCCGACGAGCTTAGGGACGCGCCTTCGACGAGCACTTCGACGTCCACGGACGCAAAGGTCTCTTCCAGCTTGCCTTCTTTGACGCTATTGGGCCACGACGGTGACGTGTACAAGACGTTGTCCGAGTACGGCCGCGCATACGTCCCGCTCTTGAGCTCAATGTGCAGCATGAGATCGTCGGCTTGATTCGTCTCTTGTAGCGTCGGCGTGCTCTTGTCGTGGTAGTAGAATTTTTTACCGTCGCTGGGTACAATGGCCCGCGCGCCCATGGTCACGACGACAACGTCTTCGGTCGGCAGCGGCTCCTTCTCACTCTTGGGTTTTGCGTTCTTGGGCCACACGAGGCGGAACTGCACGGTGAATTGCAGCACAAGTACGATCGCGACCAACGAGCTCAGCGTGTAGCCCTTGAGCTTGACGCTGTGCTGGACCGCCGAGAGCGTATTCGACCCGTTCTCGGCCTTGAGCGGCACCGTGTGCTGGCGCGTGCGAAAGCACCGACCGTTGTGCAGCGCGACCTTGAGCACACGGGACGTGACGACGCCGTCCATGCTCTCCACGATCGGGTACAAGGCGCGTCGCGTCTTGGCGAGGCGCGCAACGAGGTTGCGCTCGAGGTTTTCCCGTAAATGGACAAAGACGCTGGACGTGGCGACAGTGACGGCAAACTCTTCGGCCGTGCAGATCTCGCGCGGAAGCTTGACGCGCGAGAGGTCCAATTTAGAGGGCAAAATACCCACCAGTGACAAATCTTTCAACCCCGGGACGCGGTCGATTCCTGAGATCATCTCGTTCTTCCGCACCAGCGCATACGCTTTGAGAAGCGGGTCGTACGGCCGGATGTGGTACAGAAATTTGCCACCCGGTACTTTAGCCTGTCCCTGCCACTCGGCCTGAGCGACAACCCAGAGGTTGCGCGGACTGCCCATAAAGATGTTGACCGACTGCGCCTCGGTCGTTGTTGGCAGCATCTTTTGGCCAAAGAGCGGGAGGATGCACCAGCCGCAGCCGTGCGACGTGGCCGTGAGCGAGGCCGAGCTCGTGCTCTTCTCGTGCGCAATGAGTTCAACGATGGCGACGCAGTTGGGGTCAACGACGTCTGTGAGAAAGCAGACGCTCATTTGGAAGCTCACGTCAGCGAGCGCGTTCGCAGACACTTCGGGACTGCGCCACGTGTTGCCAAAGAAGCGCCGCGTCACCGAGTGAAAGAAGGTCACTTGAAGGCCGTACTCGAGCCTTGCTTGCTGGAGCTTCTCCGTGAGCGGCCAGTTTTTGACCATATGCAAATCGATGCAGTACGCCGACGTTTTGCTCACGCGCGTCGGCGCGACGGGTCCTTCAGGCACAGGCATGACGATGTTCTCCGACCGAAAATGCTCGAAAGCTTTCTCGCGCTCCAGCCAGAGCTCGGAGCCACTTTTTCGCTTGGAGCGGGGTACAGAGGCCCGAAACGGCTTTGGAATCGGCTGCCGCAGGGACGCGTCACCGTCGTCGGTGCTCGAGCCATTGGACGGCGGTGGTCGCGGCGCGGCTTTTCGCGGCGGGCGGCGTTTTGGAGCGTCATCGCGCATCGAACTGGCCTGCTTCTTGGAGGGTGACGCCTTGGACTTGGCTGGCGATGCGGTCGCCTTCTTCTTCCTCGATGGTGACTTCTTGGGTGATGTCGCCACGGCAATTGCGGTGGCTACGGGTGCCGTGGTTGGCACCGTTGCATCCCTCCCAGCGGCTGCGGGATCGGGGCTGGCCCGTACGGCTGCAGACGTGGTCGGACGACTTGCATCCCCTCCTTGCACCGGCACCGCGCTGTTGCCAGGACTGGATGTGCTCATGTCGTCACCGTTTAGGCTATTTTCTAGCTTTGTGCGCGCCGACGCGTCCTTTGCTACCACGACAGACACCTCGGGGGCTTGGGCGCTTCTTTCTTTTGGTGGTTTGGCATCTACGAGGTCATTAGCCTTATCTCCTCTACGTACAAGTACGACGCCGCCATACCTGCAGCCACGACGCTGGACTCGACTGTTGCTCTTGCAGACGCTTGCTCTCCAAGTGCCTCCGTAGCTGGAGTTTTCTTCTTTGGCGCCAGCACCGTCACGTCGCCGCTGTTGGCACTACTACTCTGGTCTTTTGGGGCATCTACGTCGGCGGTCGGCGGCTCCGACGCAAGCTTCTTGGTCGGGGGCTTCTTCCACGGTTTCTTGCTGTCTTCTTTACCAGACGTTGCCGGCGAGTCGGTGGTTGCTGGCTTTGTATTGGGCTTCTTGGCCACTTGAACGACGTCGTCCGTCTCGGACATTGGAGCGTCCGCCGTTGCACCCTTCGTACCGGGTTTCTTCCAAGGTTTCGGGTCTTCTACCTCACCCGAGGCCGCAGAAGACTCCGTCGGAGCAGCCTTCGCTACAGGCTTCTTGGCTGCGACAACGACATCGGCGGCCTCGGCGTCGGTCGGTGGTCCTGCTGCCTTCTTTTTCCATGGTTTCGGGCCGTCTTCCTTGCCCGAGGCCGCAGGAGACTCTGTCGTAGCAGCTTTTTCCACCGGCTTCTTGGCAACAACGACAACATCGTCGGCCTCGGACATGGCGGGAGACTCGGTTGGTCCTCTTGCGGGCTTCTTCTTCCAGGGTTTCGGACCGTCTTCCTTCCCAGATGTCGTTGCAGAGCTAGCTCCGGCGCCTTTTGCAGCTGGCTTCTTCCACGGCTTCGGTCCATCTTCCTTGCCGGACGTGCTGGGCGACGCCGTAGCGCCCGGAGGACCGCGCTTCGGGATCATTGACTTGCGCCGGGCCTCCGGAGCCGTCGTCTTTGGCGCCTCGTCGTTCAGGGTCTTCTTCCGCGGACCTTCGTCGTCGCTTGCCTTCATCGCCTGGACGACGTCCTCGTCCATGGCCTTCGCAGCCTTCGGGCTTCCATTCGACATCCTTTCTGATGCAATCTTCGATCTTCCACGGCCTCGGCGTTGGATTGGTGGAAAATATGCGAATAGTACTATCTGATTTGCTACTATTTTATATAATTTTACTTCGACGCATAAATGATATCTTGTAGATTCTATTGCAATGCGTGTAATATAATACAGCGCACTTGGAGTGGCCAAAAATCAAGCATTTAGAAACCATGCGAATCCTCGCGCAATTTCGGCGGGCGACGACGGGCCGGCGGCTCCTCTCGTCCGCTTCACGCCCAATCACAGCGCTCAACTCGCTCTCGGGCAAGGTCGAGGCGCTTCCGGTAGCTTCCTCGGGCCCGCTCAAGTGGTACGTATGCGGGCCAACGGTCTACGACAGCGCCCACCTCGGCCATGCGCGCAGCTACGTGAGCCAGGACATCCTGCGGCGCGTCTTGACAGGCTACTTTCGCCATGATATCAACTTGGTCATGGGCATGACCGACGTTGACGATAAGATCATTGCCACGTCGCTCCGCGAAGGCAAGCCCATGGAGGCGGTCGCACGCCACCACGAAGCCGCTTTCTTGGCCGACCTTGCGTCACTCAACGTCTTGCGGGCCTCTGCCATCACGCGTGTGAGCGAGCACATTCCCGAGATCCTCGCGTACATCGAGACGCTCGAGGCCAATGGCTTTGCCTACACGACGTCTGACGGCGTGTACTTTGACACGGTCGCGCTCGGCGCCGAGTACGGCAAACTCGCCCCAACGCCGCGACCGAAGCCAGCGACGCTGCTGCCGCCGATGACTCGGGCATTGGCAGCGAGAAGCGCAACGTGCGGGACTTTGCTCTCTGGAAGCGGTCCAAGACAGCGGATGAGCCCGGGTGGGACTCGCGGTACGGCCGCGGCCGCCCAGGGTGGCACATTGAGTGCTCGGCCATGACGCACCACGTGCTCGGTGGCTCAATCGACGTGCATTCGGGTGGCATTGACCTCTGCTTTCCGCACCACAACAACGAAGTCGCGCAGTGCGACGGCTACCACCATAATTCCGCCGGTATCTCGTGTGTCGCGGACGTCGTCTCATCAAGCGCATGTCGATAGGACATACGTGGTGCAAGCACTTTATTCATTTCGGGCACTTGTACATCAAGGGTCTGAAAATGTCCAAGTCGCTCAAGAATTTCATCTCGATCCAAGATTTTCTGAGTGCGCCGGGGTCGTCGTCGGATGCCTTCCGCCTCTTTTGCCTCCAGTACAAGTACAACACGAACGTGCACTTTTCGGAGGACCGGATGCGCGACGCCAACGTCCTCTTGCAGCGTTTCACGTCTTTCTTCCAGGCGGTCGTCGGTCTCACAAAGGCGTCGACGCCCCACCGCCGCCTCGAGACGCCCGACGATGTGCTCCTCACAGCGCTGGCCGAAGCCAAGGTCGAGGTCGACCGCGCCTTGCGCAACGACTTTGACACGCCGGCAGTCCTCATGCAATTGACGCAGCTCATCTCGCTCGTGCACCGTGAGGTCCAAGCCCGCAAGATTTCGATCGAGGTCGTTTGCCGACTGGCCGCCTACGTCCTCGAGACGCTACACCTCTTCGGCCTTGACAAGTCGCTCACGGGCTTTTCGTCAATTGCGCTTGCGGCACCGGTTGCTGCCTCGGACGCGGGTGCTGGTCTTGCGCACGCCGAGAACATTCTTGACGAGTTCACAGCCTTCCGCGCCCGCGTGCGCCAAGTCGCGTTGGCCAACCCCAAGGACCCGCAAAGCCAAGCAATTCTGGCTCTTTGTGACCAGCTTCGGTAGTGCTGTCTGCATGCAGCGGGTATAAAAATGTATGCTGCGTGGGATAGGAACGAGACGTTGCCGCCACTCGGCATTCAAATCGATGACGTGGCGCCGGGGACGTCGCACTGGAAGGCGCAGGCCATGATCGAGGCCGACGCTGCGCCGGAAGACCCGGTAAAGACCCAGTTGGCAGCCAAGCAAGCTGCGTTCGAGGCCGAGATGCAGATTGCACCGGCCGACTTTTTCCGGCGCTCGAATCAATTTGCGGGCCAGTTCCGCGCGTTTGACGACGAGGTACATCGTCTCGTGATAAAGTGCACTACGCTAAGCATACGCTGCAGGGCGTGCCAACGCAGGATGAGCACGGTGTCGAGTTGACCAAGACGGCGCGCAAGAAGCTGATGAAGAAGCTCGAGAAGCACACCAAGTCGCACGACAAGTACTGGGCGACCCATCGATAGACTAGATCCACGCAAGTAAGCACGTCAAGTACACAATGTGGCGTGCATGCCGTGTCCTTGTTTCTTTTATCTTTCCTCCGAAACAGAGTCGCGAATCCGTCATCGAGACAACAAATTGCGATCCCCATGTCGATGTTGGCACGAGCCAATCAGCATGCGCTTGATCATTCATACATCCAATCAAAACACCGCAGTTGATTGGCTTTACCCAATCACGTGGCGCGTCCGTAGAATCCAGTCGCCTATGGCAATGTCGCTGCCAACACGACTTGGAGAAGAAGAAGATGGTGTCGATGATCAGCCGCTTCCGCCTGCCGCGGGACCTCAAGACGCTCTCGTGGCGCTTCGAGCACCCCTTTCGCTGGTCCACAATTCGGAACCTCGTCTTCCATCCGTTCAACTGGGCTCTCTCGACACTCAGCCTCGTCCTCGTGCTCGGCTCGGTGCTCTCGCATCTCTCGTTTTACGCGCTCACGACACTCAAGTTTGGCCTCGAAGAGAACTCGAGCGAGGTTGACATTACCATTCCCCACAGCATCAAGCACGCTGCGACCACCGACCTCGTCGTGCACGAGTACTTTCAGCTCGAGCGCAACGAGGACGACAGCAGCGCGATGGCCGGCGTCGACCTGCGCCTCAAGTACACCATCGCGCACTCGAAAGCGTCGTTCGAAGTGTACCTTGCAGTTCTCTACTTTGTGTCGCTCAAGCCCATTGTCGCAACCGTCTTCTTTACGCTGGGCCCTATCTTGTTGCTAAGCACGTTGATCAGCATCTTCCAGCCCGGTCCCAGCGACGTCGCGCTCTTCGTGTCTCTCATCGAAACATACGGCGGTGTTGCGCTCTCTTCCGAAGAGGAGGCATGGATCGCCGGCAGTCAGCATGTCTTTCTCGTGCTCTTCTCGCTCATCGTGACCGAGTTCTCGGCCGCTGTGTCCCACGACCTCATGCGACTCTTCTGCTGCGAGTGGCGCATCGTCTACGACGAAGACCACGAAAATCAAGTCGCGTCTGAGTCGACACCGTTGCTGTTGTAGCATGCTGTCATGTATCACTCGAAGCATAAATCCCACTTTATTCTTATGTGTCGACAAAGAGTCTGCCATTATTGGTGTGGCTCACCTATTGTCGTAGCCCACACCTCATTCTACTGTACAACCCTAACCTTGGTGCTAAAATTCGACAAAAGCATCGTCCATGGCGGCTGTACATTGCACGGATCGCGGGTCGCGCGCGGGGACCGACGGCGCATCAAAGCACGTCACATCGCCTGGCCGATGTAGCGAGGGTATGATCGGTGGTAGGATCTGGTGCGCCTCGACGTCCGCCCAGACGATCGATGTAAACCACGGATGCGCGCGCATGATGCTTGGGTCCACGAGGCGGCGGCTGCGCTCGGGTCGCAAGAGCTGCGAAATGAAATCTACGCGCAATTAATGGCTGGTCCTGAAATTCCAATGCATAGAAACCACCTTTGGCGTCTTTTGAGATGGTCTTTGGGCAAGAAAACGAGCCCTGGACCACGCGCGTGTAAATCTCAAATGGCGAGTCGCCTCGGCCCTTGTAAAACGGCGTGCGCCCGACGAGGAGCTCAAAAACGACGCAGCCAAGCGCCCACCAGTCGACCGCGCGGGTGTAGCCACCTTGGGGCTTGAGCTGCTCAGGCGCAAGGTACTGCGGCGTCCCGAGACTCGTGTACGTTCGCGTCTCAAGCGTCATGTGCGGTTTTGAAAAGCCAAAGTCCACGAGCTTGAGATGCCCGGAAGCGTCCAAGAGGACATTCTCCGGCTTGAGGTCTCGGTAGACATAGTCTTCTGCATGAATGCGCTCCAAGCACACGAGCAGCTCGGCAGCGTAAAACTTGGCCTCCATATCGGAAAAGGCGCGGTACTCGTGCAGCCTCATGTCATACATCTCCACTGTGCACCATCGAGAGCAGTGGGATGTACCAGTGAAAGAGCTCGCCGCCAGGGACATATTCGAGCACGAAAATCACTTGGTCTCGTGTCTGGAGCGTCCCAAAGCTCTGGACGACGCCAGGGATCCCGCCTAGGTCCCGAAGCGCTTGCTTCTCCCGGAAAAGACTTGTCACCATCTTCTTCGCGACCGCGTCGGACTTGTAGACACTCTTGAGAGCAAAGTACTTTTTTGACGCCTTGTGCTGGGCTGTCGCGACCGACCCGACGAAGCCCGTGCCCACGATCGTTTCGATGCGAAAGACATTGAGACTCAGCGCGCCTTTGACCTTGAGCGCTCTGCCTACGACACGGTGAGGACGGATAGGAAGCGAGGTCATCGACAGTGCACCGAGCCAGTCGATGGCGGCCGCACTCTGATTGTTGGAGGTGCATGTGATCGTATACGCGCTCTCCCGGTGGCGCGTCGACGAACCACCGCCCATGTAGCGGTCGGCCGTTTTGTTGATCAATTGTGTTTTACTGGCAGTTGAACCGATGGTATGCAAAATAGAGAAATACATAAATGACAGCGGTTGTGCACTGGCCAACATTTAAATCGCTAAATTACCCCATTCAACAACTTGAATGTGGTCTTGCTCATGTGGCGCTGCATCTTTCTTAGGATTGCTAGCGTCCTTTGGAGAATGAGCAGGCCTGCCACCCTTGCGTTACGAAGGCGAGACGACGAGGGCAAATGTGATGGAATTAGAGCTTTTGACCAAACACGCCAATGCGATAGAGACACGTATACTTGTCGTGGCCATAGTTGGAGAGCACGTGCAGTGTGACGCCGTCAATCGGGGTCCGCGAAGCCTAAGAAATGCACAGCCCTCGTCAGCCCGAGTACATGAATATATCGGAGTCGTACGAGGGCACTCAGCGCAAACTCTTGCGTCGATGGACCGTCAGCCGCAAACTCGAACGTGCCCAAGTCGACCGAAAGGACGCGCTGCAGGACAGGATCAAGCGCGAGTCCCTACGTCATACCAGTTTGAGTCGATGCAGACATTTCTTCTGGTTTGCGTACCGTAACTTGGAACATCTTGGGTGCTGTCGACGCATTACTGTTTCCAGCACCGTCATTTGCCGTCTCGGGGCGGTACAGTTGCACCGTCTCGGCCACAATCGGGTCTCGAAACTGGATTGTGAGCTTGCCGGAGGACCCTTGGAGACTCCAGCAAGTTGGCAATTGACCAACGGGGCTGTCCTGTAGGTTAGAGGTCAGCCAACATGATATTGACAGTGCTTGAGCACCGCGATGGTTGTCTCGGGGTTGGAGCTCGTGAGCGGGCACGATGTGCCCAGAAGTGAGCAGAGCGGGAAATCCGAGTACGACGGTGACGTGTACGGGGCCGGCGACATCCAGTTCATCAAGAGCGACTCGAGCCACGAGCCAAAGAAATCACTAGGTGCCATCAGCATACGAAGTGAGATCGGTTTTCGGACCTCTTGTACATGGCGACGCGCGCGCCATTTGCACGGCTGGCATAGTCGATGCGACCTTGACTGGAACGTCGCGATGTAAGGGTCGCCCGAATCTCACTCGAGATGCGACTCGTTTCTTCGCGAATCCACGTCGCCAAATCGGTCTTGAAGCGCGCCATTTCTTGCGTGAGCTGCAAATGGGCCTCCGTGTAGTCAGCGGCCTCCAGTCGAGGGGCCTCGGTCGCTAATGCGTCAAGAATCCCTTCGGCCGCCACGAGACGCGTGTGCTGAACGCGACTGCTTTCTTCAAGGGCGCTCACTTGTCCCGAGAGCGACGCAATAGTCGACTCGAGTGGGCCAAGCATATTCTGGACGTCAGCTGTCTGCAGGAAGAATCCATCAGCCCAAGAATACACGGACGATGCAAGCTTCGTACCATGTCGCGAAGCGTCTTTTGGACGGCACTGGACACCATTTCTTCCGTATGCTCCGCGCCAGAGCACGGAAACGATTCGGTCGAGACACGCTCGGCGTCGGGCATGCGCTCGGCGGTCTGCTCATGGAGGAAGCGCAGCTCGTCCATCTTGCTGGACTGGTCGCGCTGCGCCTTCTTGAGCGCATCCATGTCGTGGATCATCGCGTCTAAATGCACTTGGATACTCGAGATGGCTTGGGCTTGGCTGTGGCCGTGGGACGTTAACGATCCGGACGATGACTGGACGACGCGGATCAAGTACCTATGCGCACCGCATGACGCATCTACAAGCACGCTCGGTAGCGTACTGAGGATAGATAAAGGCCACGGCAAGACAGAGACCCGGTAAGAAGAGCCACGTATACTCCATGACGCGCGCAAGCCCGTCCACTGCTGCGCGCTACAATCGAAGGTCATCGTACCGCGTCGACGGCGTTTGCCAGCGTACCATGGATGGCTTGGTCCGGTACCACGGCAAGCGCTTCTTGCCAAGTGGTCGGTTCGCCATGCGCTGCATGGCCTCGTGCTCGTCTTCGGAATCATACGCTTCGCCATCCTCGTCGTCGTCGTCGTCGTCGTCGTCCAGCATCGATCCATACGCGCCGCTCACGTCGTCGCGGAAGAGCGTCCGCTGAAAGGGCGGATCAACGCTGTCCTGGGACGCAAGGCGCTGGCGCACCATGAGCGGCGGCGTCTCGAAGCCCGGCGATCCGCTCTCGCGCCGGCCCTTCCGGGCGCTGCCTGGCGTCGCTCGGTGCATGGTCGGTCGGGAATGCAGTATCCGGATACGCACCACAGTCTTGCACGTGGCCGCAAGCCCCAGTTTAAATACATATCGTCCAATATAAAAAGCTTGCGGCCATTATGTCAAGACCGCGCCAAAATGGCAACAGGCTGCGACCACACGGTCCGCGTCCTGCTCCCCATGCGCGATCTTCGACATTGGCACCCGTGCGAGGGCGGCAGCTCGCACACTCAAGTAGAAAGGGCGGTCGGCCTGTACGGATTGGCGCTTTGCTGGGTCTAGTGCTACTCCACTGTACGAGTGCTTTGGCGCTTCCCAGTGCTTGGACCATTCAATGTCCGCGAGCGACCCATGTAGATGAGAGAAACGTCATCTTGTCAGCTCCACAAGACCTGCTCCAAGAGCAAGCGTTCCTTCGACGTTCTCCAGTTGAAGCCGGCCGCCGGCTGTCGTATCCGGATTCGCGAGTGCGGAAACGATCCATCTACTATCTGCGAAAATGGAAAACTACAACATCTACGACGAGATCGGCCGCGGGTCGCACTCGGTCGTGTACAAGGCGCGCCGGAAGCGCAGCATCGAGTACGTGGCCGTCAAGAGCACTGGCAAAGGCCGGAAGGACAAGGTGCACAACGAGGTCCTGCACCTCATCAAGCTCGAGTCGACGTACGTGCTCAAGTTTTACAACTGGTACGAGTCGAGCAACCACATTTGGATCATCTTCGAGTACTGCATTGGCGGCGACCTCCTCAAGCTCCTCGCCCAAGACACGGCGCTGCCCGAGACGTCGCTGCAGGTACGGCGAACGATCGTATAGGCTAGCGGCATGGGCCATACTAGACCTTTGGCCACGATCTTGTCCATGGCCTCCACTACGTCCACTCGCACGGCGTGCTCTACTGCGACCTCAAGCCGGCCAACGTCCTCGTCGACGAGTATGGCTCGCTCAAGGTCGGTGCATTTGCGCCACGTGCTTGCTGCTCAAACTGTCCGGTAGTTGGCGGACTTTGGCCTTGCCCGGCGTATACCCACGATCGAGACACTCGAAAAGGTGAGTGTTTCCATGCACAGAGGTGCATCGCACGAACCAGAGAGTAGGATCCGCTTGCTCCCGGGTCTCCGCACTACATGGCGCCCGAGCTCTTTGAGGCGACGCCGGTGCACAGCTTTGCCTCTGACTTTTGGGCGCTGGTACGACGTGTACGTGGTTGAACCGAGGCCGTCAATCCAAGCGTAGGGCTGCGTGCTCTACGAGCTCCGCGTCGGCGTGCAGCTGTTTCCCCACCGTGACTTTAACCAGCTCCGGCACTCGGTACACGCTCGACATACCTAGTCTGTCGCGCCTCAAGTTACGCGTCTTTTCCAGATCCAGACGACGCACCTCGCATTTCCAGAGGCAGTGGACATGTCGGAGCCGTTCAAGGATCTGCTACGCCGGCTCCTCGAGCCCGACCCTGCGCGTCGCATGACCTGGTGCGTCTCTTCGAGCTTGTCTCGTGCGCTCAACGTGGCTAGGACCGAGCTCGTGCAGCATCCGTTCTGGGACGCCGCGCTGGCGCTCGACACGAGCGCGCTTCCGGCACAAGACCTCTTTGCTGCCAAATACCCCTCGACGTACGATCGTGTTCATGGTGACTCTTCACGAGACAGGAGTAGAGTCGAGACAACGACACTGTGGGCAGCCCCCGCTGAGAAGGCCGGTCGTCCGGCGTCCCCGCAGCTGGCGTCTCCTGCCAAGCCGCATACTAGGGATACGCCGCTCCTGCACTCGAGCGACGACAACGTCAAAGTGCGTCCTGCGACCGCGCCCGACCACGTCGCCGACAACCAAGCATCCCATGATGACGCTATGCCGCGTCCTCCAAGTCCACCGCGGACGGCGCCGGCGATGAGTCGCCCGACGCCGATGGACAAGATGCAGCACGTCGCGCTGCCCGGCAAGGCGGCGCACCAGCGCATTTACACGACCGCCGACTGCGCCGTGCGTCCGATCGTGAGCTGCGACGAGATCGAAGTCGTGTCGGTGCCGCGCTACAAAGAAGCGAGTTTGCCAGTACGACCCGCAGTACGCTTTGACGTCCCCGGCGAGCTCGAAGCGCACTTGGAGCAGCTGTATCTCTTCTTGCGCGGCGATGCGGGTGCGAGCGAGAAGCACAACGCCCTCGCCTACCTCTGCACGTTGGTACCAACGCCCAAGGTGTGTGCCTCGCATTCGCTGATTATATGTCGCGATACCATTGTGAATAGATTGCCAATGTCGTCGCCAATAGCTCGCTCCTCACGCTGCTCGTCAAGCTCCTCGATCGATCGACGTCGTCGGCGCTCTCAACGCGCCTCGGCTTGGTCCTCGGTCTCATCGTGCGACATGCTGCGTTCATTAGCACGGACGCACTCCTTGCGACCGATGGGCTTGTTCCCGTGCTGCTCCGCGTCTTGCCGTCGGCGTCCGAGGCACTGGGCCGTCGCGCCACGGCCTGTCTCGGCGAACTCGCATTTTACCTCTCGACCCTGCCCAGTGCAGCGTTTCCTTCGACCCTCGTCGATGCACTCGTGTGCGCCGTGGATGTACCGGACGCCATCACGCGCCACTACGCAACGCAAGCGATCTGCAACATCCTTGCAACTGCATCGACGGCCACGGCTTTGCGGGACGCGTTTCTCAAAGTGTCGTTGCTCGACGCGGTCTTTCGGCGCACCACCGACGCCGACGCGTTGTCGCTGCGGGTCGCCTCCATGCACCTCGCGTCGCAAATCCTCAAGCACGCGTCGTGCCCTGACCCGTTTCTCGAGCGCACGGTGCTCGTCTTGCCGAGTGTGTGGGCGTGCGTCCTTGTCGGCGACGCCGCGCTGGCGGTCCCGTCGCTCAACATCCTCAACTGCGTGCTCGCGGCGAGACCGTCGGTGCCCGTCACATCGATCGTGTCCATCAGCGACATTGCGCTGCTGTTGCAAAAGAGGAATTGGACCTCGACGCTCATGCCACGACGACCGAAACCCTCGGGCGGTTCCAACACACGAACGCGCGTCTGCGCACGCTCCTCCAAGGCAAGCTCCTTCTGCTCTTGTACTTTGGTCTCCAGGCCAGTCGTGACTTTGCACTGGCGTTCGTCGCGGCGCATCTCCTCGACGACGTCGAGCGCTGTCTCCATGCGGCGCAGACGTACGTCGCACACTCGGCCGCGCAGGTCGTTTCGCTCGCCGGTCGCATCGCGCTCGAGCTCACGTTCACACTCGCGTCGTCGTCGTCGCCGCCATCGAGCGTCGTCGAGCTCTTTGAGACGCTTCTCGGCCGCCAGCTACTCGCGCTACCGCGCTGCCGGCACCAGTTTATGGCGATGCTCCGCGCCAACGAGCACGAAGAGTTTGAGTGTTTCGTGCTCGGGTCGACCGAGCTCTTGAAACACCCGGAGCTGCAGACGTGCATGGTGCAGCTGCTCGTGCCTGTGTTTGCGACCGACGACATCCTCCTCGGCACCGAGCGCGACGGTCTCTGGTTCGAATCCGCGCTCGTGGCGGTCGCGGACCTTTTGCTCTCGGCGCCCGACATGCCCGATATGCTCGTGGCCGCGATCCGCGTGCTCTTCAGCGCTCTCAACATCCTGCCACGCACCGAGAGCCGCGACGTCTTTGTGCTGCAGGCGCTGCTGCCCACGTATCGGTCGCTTCTCACGAACGGCCACCACGTGGTCGTCCTGCGCTTCGCCATCGAGCTCCTCTTTGACTTGGTGCAACAAGACGCTTCGTATGTGGCGATCGTGCACCGCCTCGAGCTGCTCCCGTCCATCTTCCGCTTGCTGCTCCACCCTGACACGATCTCGGCCAGTGCGACGCAGCTCGTGCGCCGCCTTCTGGAAGCCCACGACGTCTTGCCGACCGAGGTGCTCTACGAACTCGGATTGCCCAAGACGCTGGCGGTCTGTAGCGCGCACTGCGCCGCCAACAAGCTCTGGAGCTGCGCGAGCGATGTCGGGCAGAGTATGTACAGTCTGCTGTACGCCCAGTACGACGCGCCGACCGACGCGCGTCTGCTGTATGCGCAGAGCCACGCCGTGCTCGTCGAGGCGCTTCCGAGTCTCCTCGTCGTGTGTGCCGCCGACATGGCGGACAACGAGGACGCCCACGAACACGCATCGCGCTGTGTCTCGCTTCTGTGCCAGGTAAATTTAGACCTCTTGCTGCACGACTCTCGAGGCGACGAGTGGAATGCATAGCTCTTTGGGGCCGAAGCCAGCGCAATGCTTCTGCGCAAAGGACTCGCGTACGAAGCTCCTCGTTCCTATTCCAGCGGTGTCATGCGCATTGTAGGAGCTTCCTCTCGGCGCTACGTGCCTCGTGCGCCGCGGTGCTTTTCCGCTTGCTATTAGGTCTCAAGAGTCTGGTCAGCGAGCACCGATCCAGTCTGACCAAAGACCCGCACTGGCCGCACCTCATTGAACGTGTGCTCGGTATCGGCAGTGAGGACCAAGGCCGCAAGTCGACGCTTCTCGCGCGCGAAGTCTACCATCTCATGACCGCGCCATAGCTTTTCTCTACTGTATTACACGCTGCTTGTTCTTGCCATCGACCAGCTCATGTCTACATGGCGGACGGCTCATCTTGCCCTTGCTTGCAGGTGTCGTCGAAGCGGTTGATGGGACTGTCACATGTGGCGCCATCATCATCGGTATCCGGAAGCCGGGCCGAGCGCCACCCAAAGCGAAGGCCGAGGATCATTCGGCGTGTCTATCCGGATGAGCGCTGTTCACGAAACAGCCTAAATTAATATTTGAAACCCGCGCCATAGACAAGCACTTTGCATACAAAGGTTGCGTATAGCGACGCGACACGGCATGCATTTTGTGTAAAATAATATGCACACCAAGAGAAAAAAGAATGTGCCACGGCGATGTTATCCGGACACGTGGCGGCCATTTTGAGCGTGGCATTCGTGGACGAGGCGAGCATGGCGGACGTGAAGGACATCCCGCGCGCGGACGAGATCGCCGAGGTCATGGACTTCCTCAAGTTCAGCATCAAGGGCAGCTCCGGCTTCCTCGGCAATATCTGCTTCAACTTCCGCGTCGAAGGCGCCGATGAGGACACGCGCCTGCGCTACATTGTGCACGTCAACGCCAAGAAAGGTAGTTCGAGGCGATGGCCTCGCGGTAGGCTCATGCGCATGGCTTCCTTGTAGAGGTCAAGACGACGCTCCTCCGAACGGACGTGCCGCAACATGCCAACATGAAGATCGACTGCGAAGTGACCATGACGATCGACGACTTTCTGCACCTGTATTCGGGCAAGGCGACGATCGGCGAGGTCTCGCGCCTCTGCTACTCGGGCCGCGTGCATGTGTCGGGCTTCCAGTTCCGCTTCCTGACGCGGTTTGCGCAAAGTTTCGAGTTCTCGACCGACAAGTGGAACGCGTTTTACGCCTGGCAGCGCGACCAGCAGCAGCAAATCCTCGACGAAGCGTCGCTCATGGCCGACAGCGTCGAGTACAATCGCTTGCCGCGCCAGATCGCGCTCTACATCCGCGGCGGCGTCAACATGGCGATCCTGCAACGCCGCTGCTTTGAAGCGTCGCTGAGCCGCATCTTTGGTACGCGTCTCCTCCTCTCGTACACATCGCTCGCGCACAGCGGCAAGCAGTTCCAGCACCCGCCCCGTGCCAAGAAGCTCCTGCGCATCTCGCGCACGCTCAACGGCGTGCACCCGCCGACGCGCAAAGCCAACGGCAAGGCGAACGTCAAGTCGCTTCGCGACGAGGTGGAAGGCGTCTTGGCGTCGTCGTATACGCTGCTGGCGGACGAGGACCTTCTCTTGGCACCGAATTCGATTGACGACGAGATGGTCAAAGTGCTGCAGGGCACCGCGCGGTACCCACTGCGTCGGAAGAAGGGCAACTGGATCACAAAGCTCAAGCAGTCGACCGACCTCCACAAGCGCGTCGATCTCACGGACGCGACGCGCAAGCAGATCGACAAGATCATGGCCAACCTCATCGGCCCGGACCAGCCCATGACGAAGAGCAACTTTATGCCGGCGCCGCAGCGCGTCTTGCACGAGCTCAAGAATCTCATTTCGACGTCCCAGCATGAGCCTGCGTCGCCGCCGCTCTCATCGGTCCTCCGGGACATGGACGCTGCGATTGCGATGGAGCTTGGCCTTGTCGAGAAGAAGCAAGCCTTCGTACGCCCGGCGCCGCCCGTCGAGATTGGCACGCGCGACATCATTCGCTACAACACGAACCGCGAGTTCATCAAGGGCAAGAAGGCCCTCAAGAAGAAGATTGAGGGCCTCCGCCAAGGTCTCTTGACCCACCGCCCCGTCGAGGCCGTCCCGGACAGCATGGCCTTTCTTATCGATTATTAGACACGCCCCTATTTAACCCTCTTTATGTCATTTGTCCTCGTATTCAAAAGTGGTTCATAATCGGTTGGAAATTATTGTCGCCACGGCTACGCTAATCGGTTCCGAAATGCTGGCTCTTCGCCCAAACTCAATTCTCAATGGCCATTCCACGCATTGAATTGAGCTGTATCGGATGGGGCCCCCCATGAAGGGGCTGTTTTTACGCCGGATATGGGGCGTCTCGTATGAAAATTCCGCCAATGAAATCGACGCGTGTTTGAATTTTTAAATTGACGCCACCCAGCGCAAAGGAGGGGGTCATCTGTTTTCATACAATAGTTGTTGATCTTGGCATTTGTATGCAGGACCGAATAAAATTGACTGGGCCTGCTGGCTGGTTTTGAGATTTTGGCACACAAACACGGTTGAGGGAAGATCTCACAGTGGACGCCACGCAGTACAGTAGTCGACGACGACGAGCCAGCCACCCGAGACCATCATGCAGCAGTACCAGTCCAATGATGAGAACGTCGTCCCTACCGCCCTCCGCGCGCGCCCCACGCGCGTACGCCCGCGCCTGCCTCGCCTCGCCGCCTCATGCGCCTCGTAGGTGTTCAAGCCGCTCGGTAGCCGGAGCTTAAAGCAGCACGGCGAGAAGGTCGGCCCGCCCAAGGTGGCCCAGACCTTCAAGCGCTCGGCGCTCGGCGAGATCACGAACAACAAGCTCACGGTACGCGCCGGCAAGAGGCCATGGATAGGCCATCTCATGCTGCGCAGGCGCAAGTGGCCCAAAGCACCAAGCTCCTCCGTGACGGCCAGAAGGTGGCCCGTCGCCAAGAGGTGATTCGCCGCACGTCGCTCGTGAAGGAAGAGGTGCCGATTAAGTCGGAGCTTGGCATCGAGCCTGAGCTGGAGGCGTACAACCCGTACGACATTGACTCGAAGGACAAGGGCGATGAACTGGCCTGTTCGCAGTACGCCGCCGACATCCACAAGTACTACTTTGAAGTCGAGGTACGCTCTGGCTTGCGTTGGCGCTGGCCATTTATGATCGCACGCGTAGAAGACGCGCATGCCCAACCCGTCCTACATGACGGACCACTGCGACGTCAACATCAAGATGCGTGGTATTCTCGTCGACTGGCTCGTCGATGTTCACTACAAGTATCACCTTGAGCCACAGACGCTCCACATTGCCGTGAACCTCGTGGACCGCCACTTGGAGAAGAATGTGACGCTGCAGCGCGCACGCCTCCAGCTCGTGGGCGTGACCTCCCTCTTCATTGCGTCGAAATACGAAGAGATCTACCCACCCGAGGCCGAGGACTTTATCAAGATCACAGACAACGCGTACGACCTCAAGGATCTCTTCAAAATGGAAGAGGAGCTCCTCGCGAGCATCGGCTACCGCGTCACGTCGCCGACGTCGTTCCAGTTCATGAACCGGTTCCTCAAGGCGTCTGCCACCGAGGACCCCAAGATGCGCCACTATGCCCACTACATTGTCGATCGCTGCATGCAAGAGTACAAGTTCCTCAAGTACCGGCCGTCGATGCTGGCGGCGACGGCCGTGTACCTCACCCGTACCTATATGTCTGCGTCGCCCGTCTGGGTACGTGATTTTCTCTCCACGCAAGACCACATGGCTCATGTGTTGATGTGTAGTCGGCGACGGCGGAGCACCACTCGACGTATTCGGAAGCCGCTCTCGCTGCGTGCATGAACGACGTCAGCACCATGCTCCTCACGGCGTCGCTGGGCGTCGGCAAGTCGGCCAAGCTCACGGCCGTCAAGCGCAAGTTTGCCAAGGAAAAGTACCACTCGGTGTCGCTCTTCCAGCTCAAGCACAGCGACGCGTAGACCGTGTCGATAGCGGAGGTGTACGCAGTATATCCATTAGCAGTATAGTTTACGTTTAGTTAATAATTAGTCCTTGACACGATTGTACATTGAACATTCGCTGCTTTCATAGCAGGCAGTTCTCGGGTTGTGCTATTGTACGGGCGAGCTCCCTACCCCTGCAGTGGAACAAGTGTACCATACGAGTTTGTGTACAGATTACCCCGTTAACCTTATCCACAATAGCTACCGGGTAGCACTCAGACGGAGCTCAAGAGCGACTTGAAGACGCCCGAGGTCATCTTTTTTTCCAGGAACTTCTCATACTCGGCCATGATGGCTTCACGACTCGCCGCTTCCTCTTCGGGCGTCTCCCAGAAACGCGAGACGTCGACAGCCACACCCGGCATGCTCTCCTGACGCGCAAAGAGGCGGCCCGTCACAACCTTCTCGGGCGCCGAGAGCAGCGTCGAGAAGGCATCGAGGACCGTTCGGTGCGCATGGTTGTCGAGCTCGATGCGCTTCTCCATCGAGACGTACGTCGGCCCGTCGCTGAGGCTATAATACACGGGTTTGTACGCCTTGATCTCGGTACTGGCGTCGTCCCAGAGCTGGTGCTTTCCCGTATACACAGCCTCGTGCGAGAGCTTGAGGTCCCAGCGTGGCACGTACACGCGCGCAATCTTAGTCGGCACCACGTCGCAGACCATGGACGCCACAGGCACGTTGCGGTAAATGGCTGCCGCCGCCCGTCGGGGCGCCTAGTATCAATGTATCAGATCACACACACAAAATGTCGCATCGCGTACCTCTTGGATCTCGGTTGCGATCACCGACGTCGGGGCCTCCACGACCGAGTTGCGGCGCTTGACGTCGAGGGTCACAAGCGACGAGAAGACGGCGGCGACGGCCGACGGGTTCCGGCGCAACTCCTGCAACGGCACTTGCGGCACGGTAGCCTCGGGCGTCAGCTGGTACAAGCGCGACGCCCAGAGCCGTTCGATGCCAGTGACGGGGCAGGCCATCGACGGCTTGGGTGCCTTGAGAAGCGCGCGCACGACTTCTTCGGTCGCTTGGTGCACGACACCGTCGCAACGCTCCACGAGGTAGTCGACCGGGATCGTTGGTGGCGCCACAAGGAGGCGGTCGCCGTCGGCCACGAGGATGTCGCGCACGCCGTCGTCGGTCCGGTGAAGGACGACGCGGAAGGCGTCCGGTGCAATCGCAAACACATCGTGCAGCAAATTCATGGCGGCGGCGAGGTCGAGGCTGGACAAGTTGACATAGACCGTCGGCATGGCTGGCGTTCCTTGCAGAAAGGACGTGAGCTTGGGTGGTACTTGAAAAGCCTGCGACGGCGAAAGCTCGGGGAACCCGACAACCGACACTTCGCGGCCCCAGTCGTGCGCTTTGGAGAGGAGCGACGGGGACCAGAGATACGTGATCGGGATTTTCCAGACCGAGAAGGACGGCGGGAGGCGGTGGTGCCACGGCGGAAGACCCAATGTCTCGACGCGAAACTGGTTGAGTATGTCGCGGCAGTTGGTCCACGCGTACTCGTCAACCGCAGCGTACGAGAGCCAGTTGCTCCACTCGCTCCAGGACGGCGAGTCCTCCATGAGCGGGTGCGGGAACTCGCTCGTCGGACTCCATGGCGATGACGCAATCAGCTGCACGGGCACACCGAGACGCTCTGCCAAGTACCGATGGACAATGACGCCAGGGTGCGACAGAATCAGGTCGGCGCGGAACCCGACGCCGTTCACAGCCTCCCACGTGGACTGAAGGAACGCGAGGGGGTCGTGCCATGGGCCGTCGATCGTCGTCATCATCCCAATCCGGCCCATCCAGTCGTGGACGCTCGTCGGGTTGCCCTGCAGCGCAAAGAACTCGAGGCCATGCGATCGCACGAGAGATTCGTAGAGCGGGTTGGCGGCCAGACGGACATGGTGGCCGTCCGACGCGAGCACGGACGCGACCGCGACGACGGCTTCGACTTCGGAGCGCGCCCCGATCGCAAGCACGCAGATGTTCATCTGGAAGGGCACGGACGCCGGTACATCCTGCAAGGACGACGACGACACCGAGTCGAGAAGGCGGCGCGTCGACGGCGCCCGGCGCAAGAGGTCGCCACGGACGTCGTAGTCCATGTGGAACTCCCCCGTTGCCGACCAGCGCATGCCACGCACGACCATCGGAACACCCGACGACGACGATGATGATGATGACGCTTCGTTGTTGTCATCGTCGTCGACATCGTCGTCTGTCACTGTCACCGACGATGACGACTGTAGCGATTCGGACGCTGGTGGCAGCGACTCGCACTCTTCCTTGAGCGTGATCAGTTCCTTGAGTGCCGCGAGGATCTGCGCTTGCTCGGCGGGCGAGACGTGGACGCCGACGAGCGGCGCGAGGCTATGCCGGTGCACGCGGTCGCGGTCGGCCTCGTCGCTGGTTGCCGTCGAAAAGGTCGCGTCGTTTCGGCTGAAAAGCTGCTTGCCGTCAAAGCGCGGTTCCTTGCGCTTGCCCTCGTCGCGGTGCTTGAGGTTGTAATGACCGACAGCGACGCGATCGGTAAAGAGCGCGATGCCATGGAAGGGCGCGAGGGCAAAGTTGGCGAGGCCCTTGACGGCGCCGATCGCCGCGCCTTTCGCGCCGTCCTTCTTGTAGCCTTTTGCAGGCTCGGCGACGATGCCGACCAGCGACGACCCAATTTCGTGAACGAACGCGCCAGCACCGTTCGCTGCGCCTTCCAAGCCAGAGTTGGGCCCGCTGCGGGCGTAGCCCATGACGTGGTAGTCGAGCACCGCTTGGTCCGACGCCGATCGGATCACGTACGCACAGCAGTCGCACACTTGGACTTGGTCTTTCACGAGCCACTTGGTCGCGACGTGGGTGGGTGTAAATGCACACGTCATCTTGGGCGGCAAATGCTTGTAGAAGCTCTCGACCGCGGCTTCGACGCCGTTCTCGGCCCGCATGGCAGCTTGGAGTGCCCGCGCGTTGGCTGCGAGCTCTGGTGATGAGAGCTGTTCGAAGGCTTCAGTGAGTAGCGGCGTGGTGAGGTCCGCGATCGGGCATGGCGGCGCGCCGACGCCAGCGTTCACGACCGCCCAACCCCAGAACGGCTGGTCGCCAAAGAAAGGCACAATAAAGGTCGGCTTGCCCGCTAGGAGACCGGCAGCCGTCGTGCCGGCGCCGCCGTGGTGGACGACGGCGGCCATGTGCGGGAAGAGCCAGTCGTGCGGGCAGTTGCCGAGGAGAAAGACGTTGTCCGGAATCGTAATCTCGCCGCCCTGGGTCATGTCACTCCAGCTGGACTGGAGCACGACGCGGACGTTGGCCAGCTGTGACGCCTCGATGATCGTGCGCGTCGTCGTGGCGGCGTCTGGGATGACCATCGAGCCAAACCCGACAAAGATCGGCGCCGGACCGTTGGCCAAGAAGGCGGCAAACTCGGGCGTTGGCGTGTGCGCAGGGATGTCCGAGTCGCAGACGGTGCCAATGACGTCGTAAATGCTTGGGTCCCAGTCGTCGGGGCGCGGCACGAGGTGCGGGCTCCACATGAACGAGTGCGGAATGCGCAAATCCAGCAGCACATTCCGCCCGGCGTCGCCCATGCGAATCTTTCGGAGCCCGAGAACGTCTTCGCGGAACCGGTTGACCATGTTCTCAGTGCCTTGCCACATGAGGAGGTCCACAAGCTTGTACGAAATGTGATTCTTCTTTTCGATCTTGCCCGTGTACGCAAGGTTCGAGAGCGGGTGCGGGAACGCCGCCGTGGGGACCCAGGGCTGCGGAAACATAATGTGCAGCGGCACGCCAAGCTTCTCGGCCACGTGGATGTGGCCGTACGTCACCGGGTTGGAGATGATCGCGTTGGCGCGGAAGGGCGGCAGCACGCGCGTGGCACCCGGATCTGCAGCGTGCACGGCCGGCCACGTCGAGAAGAGGATCTCCTCGACCATTTGAATGTTGCGCGGCATGTCCTTTGTGAGCACGTCGTACCCAACAGGGATCAAGTGCCCACCCGTCTTGACCATGTACGCAGCGAGCTCCTTCGGGTCGCCGCCGAGGGGGTAGAATTCAAGGCCGCCCTCGAGAACCATCGAGCGGTAAATGGCGTGGGTCGCGAGTCGGACGCGGTGGCCGTCGGCGACGAGACGCTTCCCAATGCCAATGAACGGCTGGACGTCACCGCGCGTGCCGACGATCATGATGCAGATGTGCATCGGCGGCACGGGCTCGGAATAGAGCGACGGCGCCGACGACGAGGTCGGGCTGTGGTTGACGATGACCGCGTCCGAACGCGAGAGGTTCCAGTGCTGTGTCGCCGAGCGACTGATCTCCGACGGTGGCGGCAGCGGGATGCCATCGGCGTCGTGGATCTCGATCTCAATGCGACCGTCACGCGTCGTCATGGCCGTCGCCGCGGGCTGGATCGTTGGGTGCGCATCGTCATCATGGTGCTTGCCCTAGACACAAGCGCGAGATGAGCATGCATGCGCCGTGGCCTGGGCATGGCGCACAAGGTTTTTGATCTTGGACGAGAGGTCGTCCATGGTCTTCTTGACCGGGATGTCAATCTCGGCCATCTTCTCCTTCGTCCTCACCGTAAAGTCGCCGATCGAGTCGAGCGTCTTCTTGACCGGGATGTCAATCTCGGCTATCTTCTCCTTCGTCTTGGCCGTGAACTGCTTGAGCTTGTCCATCGTCGCAGCGCCCCAAAGCGAAAATGACGCCTTACTTCCAATCTGTGTTATAACCCACGTTACATGTCGCGTTATGATGGGCCTAGCGTGTTAGACGCATAAATGTTGCACGTCGCAGGGTATCTGTGGCGTTTTAAGTAGTTTAAACATGTTCTCGCGCACGCTGATTGGGCACATCTTGCATCACTGTCTGTGATTGGACCGATCTTGCTCGAACACTTTTACGCCTCAGCGGCTGACGTGAACCCATTTTTTCATAACGCGATGCCATTGGCTACTCGTCGACCAATGGCCTTGAGCGAAAGGCGATCCTACGAAATCACTTGGTGTTTGTATGCTGTCCATGTTTACTCATGTGGACCATACTCGGTATCACAGGGATGATGGACCAGAAGCGTTTGTCCTAAAATGGTTTTGGTACGATTCCATACAAAAATGTAAATAAAAATTGCATTGCCATTGAATCACGCCATTCGACTCTAAAAACTACGGCGGCTCGGCAAGCATAAATAGGCACGCGCTTAGAAGAGGCAGTCGTAGAGCGGTGCGAGGAAGACGTCGGCGACAGGCACGTCCGCGGACGAGAGCGGCCACATCGAGTCAGCGTGGTACAGGTCCATGACGGAGGTCGGCGAGAGCGCCGCGTCCAGCTCCTCTTCCTTGAGCGGTGCGTGCAGCGCGTTGGCGTCGTGGAAGCCAAACGGGTCAAACGACGAGACGTCGCCGAGCGCCTCGGGGATCCAGCAGTCGCTCATAAAGTCGAGCTCGCGAAAGTCGCGGTCGAACGCGCCGTCCTCGTCCTTGAGCGGATCCGCCATGTCGAAGCTCAGGCTCTTGGCACGCGACGCCAACTGCAGTTGCAGCTCCTGGATCTGCGTCGACGCATGTGCTGTCGCCTTCTTCGTTGGCGTCAACGATGGGGCTTGCGCCGGCTTGGTCATCGAGGGCACGCTGTTGATGCGCTTCACGGGCCCCCGCGGCGTCATCGCCACGTACGGCTTGACGCTGGTCTTGATTGTGAGCGCCGGTTTGGCTTCGGTCTTGATCTTTGATGGTGACACGATCTTCTTGGGCATCGTGGTGCACTGCGATGGCTTGGTGATGACGTTGAAAGGGGGCCGCGTCGTCGGCGCCTTTAGCATCGGCGATGGGCGGTGCAGCATGGACGAGAGGCTCGACGCGCCCATAAAGTGGTTGTTTGGCGACGGCATGGACGACTTGAGGGTGCCCATGAGCGGCGGCTTGAAGCCGTGAAAGAGCGTCGCATTGCTTGATGCGGTTTGCTGCTTCTTGATGGGCGGGATCGGCAGCCCGTTCGCGTCCTTCTTCTTGTTGCGCTTGCGCTTGCGCGTGCCGTTGGCCTTGTTCTCGAGGCGCTCCTTCTCCTCGCGGATCCAGCTCTCGCAAAAGTCGTCGTGGAGCTTCTCGATCTCGGCAGCACGCCGGCGCTTCTCGTCGTCATTCATGTCGTTGATGCGCGACTCGTTGCGCTCAAACATGCGCTTGCCAATGCTTTGCTCGCCGACAAACTTCTTGCTGATGCGCATGGGGCAGCAGCGCAGCTTGGCGCTGAGCCAGCTGCGCATGGTCGTGCCGTTTGTCACGTCCGTGAGGAGGCCCGCAGTAAAGTCGCCAATGAGCCGCGTCGTGTACGCCTCTTCTTCGCGCGTCCACTTGCCCCAGCGCAGCTTGTCCTTCTTTGGGGCCTCGGCGTCGTCCGTGGTCACTGTATCGCTCGGCAACGCGTCGGCCGTGGCAGCTGCAGGAACTTCCGTGGGCACTTCCTTGGCCGGCAGCAGTGGCACGGCCGTGGTTGCCAGCGCCTCGTGGGTGGTCGTCGGCGGCGGCGGAGTGCTCGTGCTCTGGGGTTTCGGGGCTTGCACGGGCGTCGATACCAAGGGTGTAGTCATCGCACGAGATTGCTTGCGCGTCAAGCCTCTTATTTAAAACTAAGGTCCAAAGCTGCGCAGTATCATCGCGGCCACAAGCCGCGTGGGAACAGATCGTGGTCCCACGCTGCCTTGGCTCCTCGCTTCGATAAAAATCCTCCCAACAGCTGTGTGGGCGAGAGGTCCATTCCCTCTTTGCGTCCGACTTCGTTTCTATATTCTGCGTCACCGGTTTTCAACCAATCCACATGCTCCATATTCCTAAACGGCGCATTGGATTCGTGGGCTCCAAAAAAGTAACTCCTTCAAAACACAAAGTAAAAGCTCTTTTCAGGGGAAGAGACCGAATAAGATCTAATCGGGCTTCGATTTTTGATTTGCATGGGTGGACAATAGCCCGAGTGGCGACGACGCCTGTGAAAATGGAAGGCTTCCGACGCGGGAACTTCTTAGCGGAGGAGGAGGAGCCATGGATGACAGCAGCAGCTTGCTCCTCGTAGTACCATGTACCATAGCAGTGAGTTCCAGTAGCATCCGCCATTCTTGTGGGCGCACCCCGCGTAAACTCCGCTCTGGCCACCCGTCCATCATAGTAGTCGCTATCCGTGCCCATGTGCGCCCTAGCCATTCGCTCCATCTTCGGTCGCGTGTGACGATGTGGGACCGAGGACCACTGTGGCTGGAAAGGCCGACACCCGATCGAGTGGCGCCAGCCATCCACAAAGCGGTGCGTGGTCCGTGGGAGGAGGCACTCACAACCAGAACGACGACACTAACGTATGCGATCTCTGCTGCGCGGTCGAAATGACGTCGACAACAGAGCGATAGCCCGGACCAGCCATTGGCGTGCTGACGCCAAGGCGCATTGGTAGCTAGTTACTCTTTGAAGCCTTGCAGGATACGCGACTGATATGCGCTTCGATCGCGCGCATGAGATTCGGTGCCAACCAACCAAAAGGAATACCATAAACCAAGCACGACGCTACCTTGCGCTTCATTCGCTCATAGTACATCATATTCCTCTTCACCGTTTCTCGTATTTTGGGTCCTGCGCGCCTAGCCACACGACCGAATCTCGGTCGCAGTAATCACTAAAACGACCTCGTTCGATATTTCATTGTAAAAAAATCGAACGCGAGATCTTCTGGTTCGGGATGTGACGTGCCAAAGTGCAATGTGGTAGGATCTGGGTTCAGCGCCAGGTGGTTGCACCTACGCCTTTTGGGTCTTGGTCGCGACGGTCCGTGGCACCAAAGGTACTTCTTATTCGCTTCTACACGTACGCCCTCCATCCCCTACCTAGAACCGCCTCGTTAAATTTGCCTTGTACACGATTGGAGCCCTTTGTAGTGCCCTTCAACCAACCTCGTTCTCCTGCGCGGAAAAGTGCTGGAGGTGTATACACGTGTATGTGGGCGAGATCGAACGGTTGTGCGGCTCCCACAGCCGCACGATGCAAAGCACCAAGTGTTACGCAAGCGTCCGTCCAGTGTGTTACAAGCCACTCTAATCCTCGTCTTCGCCGTCGTCTTCCGACTCTTTGATCTCGTTCATGTCGACGTCGAGGCCCTTGGGCGCCTTGTGCCCGATCGCGCGCCCCATGAGTTCGTTGGATTCGGCCGACGTTTCCTTGGCGCGCATGAAAAGCGGCGAGTTTTCCAGGATCGGGCCCGCAATCGCGAGGAAGACGGCGAGGATCTCTTCGTCGTCGGTCGTAAAGACGCCGTCTGTCTTGTTGATGAGCTGGAGGACGCCAATGACGTCGGCCTTCTTGCCGCGCAGCGGCAGCGCTAGAATCGTTTGCGTCTTGTACCCGAGCTTCTGGTCGACCTCCTACATGACCAAAAATGCACATATAAGATTGACAAGGGCCAAGGATGAGACCTTGTTGAAGCGCGCATCGTCGTATGCGTTGAGGAGGTTGATCACGTTGCCTTCTTGGGCCACTGCCCCGGAAATGCCTTGGTGCCACGGAATGCGAATGTCGACTTCGCCTTGCAGCGTCCACAGCTCGCCCTTGTTCTTATCCACAAGGTACAGCGAACACCGGTCGGCGCCAATGAGCGTCTGGATGCGGTGCGCAACCGTGAAGATAAGCGAGTTGATGCCGAGGTCGCCGTGCATGGCCTTGACGATATCGAGCACCTCGGTCACTTTCTTCTGGGCGAGGAGCGCAGTCTTGTGGTTCTGGGCGTTCTGGAGCGCGATGCCCGCCTGCGCCGCAAGGATCGTCATGACCTCCTCGTCCATGTCGGTGAAGCCGCCGTCCTTTTCATTTCCGACGCGGTTGAGCGCCTGCATGACGCCGACGATCGCGCCATGGCCGTTGCGCTAGGTAGACTCTCAGGACACACACGGCGGCGAGAAGAAGACGTCTTACCACCGGGACGCACAGGATCGAGCGCGTATGGTACCCGGTCTGCATGTCGTACTGCGAGTCAAAGTTGGGGTCGGCGTATGCATTGGCGATGTTGACGAGCTTCCCGGTCGACGCGACGACGCCTGCAATGCCCTGCGCGCAGCTGCGATCGAGAAGCTACATTGTAGGCGGAGTACCTTGCCGACAGGCACACTGATCTCGGCCACGCCCTCGGCGACACTGAGATTCAACGTTTGGCGCGCCGCATCCTACGCCTTCTTCGTGGCGCGGCTGCGAGGAGTAGGACACATTTACAAGTTTGAAGAGCGTCGATCGCTCGCAGTTGAGAATCTTGCACGTCTGCTTGATGATCGAGTTGGTCGCTATGAGGAGAGATAGACATGTAGGAAGAGGCGAAAGGATCATGGCTCCGTACCTTCAAGCGGGTCGAGCTGCATGGTGATGACGCGGAAGGCCTGAATGAGCTTCTCGAGTAGCGTCAGCCGCTTGTTGGCTGCGTTCTCGCCGCTGCTCGCGACGACGCTGCGTGGCGCATGAGTCTTATGCGGCGACGAGCGCGCATACCTGTCGCGCTTGGGCCGAAGGCAAAGCCGTCCGTTCTCGTCCGCCGACGCGCTAGCGACGCCGATGACGTGGCAAGATGATGGCCGAAAGGCGTACCTCGCTTCCGCGTAGCACTGCTTGATGTACGTCATGGCGTGGTCTGGGTTGTACGACTCGCCCGACGAGCGCTACACCCAGCACTACTAGAGCGCTCTTTGCATCCTGATCGTCATACCAAGGCGAGCTTCTCGGACGCGATCGTGCGCATGAAGGCGAGAGGGTCGTCCGGGCGGCTCAAGAGCGCTTCGGCCGTGACCCACTCGATGAGCGACCGAAAGTTCATCGAGTTGAGGTACTCCTCGCCGCCCTCGGCCGTCTGCGCCTGGCTCGCCATCCCGCTTCGTCTTTTGGTTTCTAAACCGACGAAAATGGAAGTTTGCGTTTCAAATCGCCAACCGCCGAGTCTTCACGCGGCAGGCAATGACCCAGCGACCATGGCCCCGAACACCATCCCATACCTCGTCGGCACGTGGCGCTCCAAGGCTACGGACGTGTCTACTAGTACCCACTCGATGGAGTACTTTTGCGCATTGCACATCCATAATGGCCTATCCGTCGTTGTCGTGGGAGCTGACGTGGGTCATCGTCCCGGATGCTGCTCTCTTCGACCACTCCATGTCCGCCTCAGGATCATAAAGCGGTGTGGCCACTGCCACTGGGAGACGAGAGAGGTCGTCATTGAAGAATGTCTCTGATGAGCGATGCCAATCCCAGAACCGGTTCCAAAAATCCCTCGGATAGGATGATGATCCAGCTTATCCTATTTATCCTTTTTAGCGTGATGGACGACGATTCACATGTATCCAAAATCCAAAATCCAAGCGTTGGCACAGTCCAGGTCCTCTTGGATAGAGGTACTAGTACCGGTAGAAGGACGAGTCCTCTGCGACGAGAGGCCTTCGACTCAAAGCTCGTAGTCGATGGATTGGATAGATTGGATAGTATGGAGATTGCAGTCTGCCTCGAGCGATGAGATCTCGTATCGACGGCGTCGCCGTTTTCGCGCCGCTGTTCGAATTAGGATCTTGCCGATTTGTACCGTGCAAAGTCCTAGTTAGGACCTAAAAATGGGGCGAAGAATCGCCGAGCCTGGATTCGAATCTTTTGCAGAGTTCAAGCAACGACGAACCGATGGAAGACGAGGAAGCGCCGACGAGTTCCCGCGGGGCTCGCCATCGACGCACGCGCAGCGTCGGCTTCCCCGACGAGCATGAGACCATGGATTCTGCGGTGCCAGATGATGTGGATGTGCAGCCGGAGCGCGCCACCGGCGGACTAAGAGCTTTGAGAGCCACGAGCAATTCCTCGGCATGCTGCAAGCACCACGCTCGCGAGGCTACACCAAGTCGCTCAAGAGCTTGGTCAAGCACTTGGCTCCAGACGGAGCCCAGAACATCACGGGCTCGGCAGTCTCGAGCAGGGCGACGCCCACCGGGGTGTCGAGCCCCGTGCTACCGTCCCGGCGACAGAGCAACATGAAGACGCATACGACGAAGGTGTGGTCGCCGCACCAAGACACGGAAGCGCACAAGCATCTCCTCGACTCGAGCAAGCCATTAGAGTACGAATTTGCGCTCGTGCTCCACAACAAGCCCGCCCGCGCCCGCGAGCTCGAGCTCCACGGTCTCGACAAGGTTGGGAACGAGCAGCGCGATGTGATTCGGCGCTGCGTCGACGCAGGCTTGGACGTGACGGTGGTGGCCAGTACGGTGCACACGCGCAAATACCTCTGTCTCCTTTTGCGTCCGACGGCCCAGCGCATGCGCATCGAGCGCAACCGGCTCGCGGTCGAGCGCTGGCTGCAGATCGGCGCTGTCGGCGAGGTCCCGAGCGAGATCGAGCAGCTCATCTACTCGAGCGACTTGGGGTCGTCGCCCGCGCAAGTGGTGGCGGACGACATGGACGACATGGACGACGAGTGTGGAGACATGAAGTTTACGCCGGCCGAGCGCATTCAAACGATCGGCCGCATCCTCACGTCCACGGACGACATCCAAGAACTCAACCCGCCGGGTGCCAACATCTCAATCGAAGACGAAAACACCCGAGACCCGATCATCGCGGCCTGCTTTCCGCTGCACAACCGCAAGGTCGTTCTCCACCTACATCCTGTATGAACGTGTCATGATGTAGGTCAATGCGATGCTGCTTGCCAAGAAGCACTCGTGGTGGATCAAGTCGGACGAGATCTCCAACGCGATTCGGTAGATCACGGACAATGTACTCCATTGTCGCCAGTACTCAAGACCAATGGACATAGGTTCCACTATGGCGAGCGCGTCGCCTTTCACTTTTCGTTCATCTTTTATACACCAAGTGGCTCCTCGTGCCAGCGCTCGTGGGCACGATCCTGTACCTCTCGCTGCGCTGGTACAGCGCGATCTACTACATGACGAGCCTCAGCATCTTTGGCTATGCGACCGTCATCATCTGGGGCACGCTCTTTCTCAAGGTATCAATGTATCAATATGTGCTTGCATCACTATCATACCCTGCGGTGCTAGTTTTGGCAGCGCGAGAACGAGCACCTCAACGACATTTGGAACGTGCGCCTCTTCAAGGAGGCCGAGTACCCCAACCCTCGCTTTCGGCCCCACGGGTTTCGTGACATAGTCGACTCGAACGGCGTCCTGCTCTTCAAGGAGCCGTACTACAACCCACTGTACCGGATCCCGGCCATGATGCAGACGCTCTTCATCTTTACGCTCTTTACGCTCACGTATGTGGTCGGGACGACGTTTTTCGTGCAGTGGTACACGGCGGCGATGCTCGCGCCTGTCTGCGACGAGTGCCCTCACTGCCAAGGCTTTCTTTCGTGCTTTGATACAGTCGGCGCGACCGTCGGCACGTGGCGCTGGGTGTACATCCTCGTGCAAGGCATTTTCCTCGGCGTGACGCTGGACGTCTTTGTGTATCTCTTGAGCGTCAAGCTCCTCCGGTTCTTTGTCGTGCGCGAGAACCACGCGACGGAGGCGCAGATCGACCGCACGATGATCAACCGCCTCTTTATCATCAACTGGATCTCGTTCTTTCTCTGGTTCATGCTCATCGCGTTCGTTGTCGTCCCGTTTGGCGAGCCCGTTGAAGACTGGCTCAGCGACCGCTTTCGGTGGACGCGCATCACGGTGAGCTGGCGCGAAGGCCGCATCGATATGAGCACGGCGCTCGTGACGCCGCTGCTCATCACGCAGGCGCTCAACTTGCTCATTGACACGGCGCTGCCAAATGCGCTTCGAAAGCGCCGACTGAATGCCTTCCGCATGGCGCGCCGGCTCCGCGCCAACCCCGCCGACACGATGCTGGCGCTCTCGGAGGCGCAAAAGCACGCTGGGAGCATGCGCGGCGGTCGGCGGTCGGCGCCAACAATGACAACCACGTCGTCGTCCATGGCGCCCGACACGCCGTCGCTCAACTTTCAGACAAAAATTGAGGTACGAGATTGTCATGGAAGGATTGAGATTGAGAGATGGATGGGTTGTAGCTCCAAATGATCACGCCGCTCCGCATCCCGTACATTGAGAACGACCTGCACATTGGCATCCCGTCCATTGAAGGGTTCGAGAACGACAAGGGTACTCCAATGTCGTCGTCGTCGTCGACTCGCGTCTCATCACAACGGTACCAATAGAGTTTATGACGGCCGACTCGATCGTCGAAGAGTCGCAACTCGACCTCTACGACGCCTTTGTACGTACATCTCGCCATCCTCGCGGCTCAAAGCCTTGTCTTTGTAGCCCGACTACCTCAAGATGGTCATCCAGTTTGTACGGCTTCAGGGAGCAAGCATCGTCTTTTGATTTCGCACCATTGTCTAGGGCTACGTGGTCATGTTTTCCGTCGTCTGGCCGTTCTGCGGCATGGCGGCGCTGGTAGAACCCCCGAATTTGTATCAATCTATCGAGCCAGTGTAGGCCAACAACGCGGTGCACATTCAAAACTGCTTTCACAAGCTCTGCCTAACGCGCCGACGCCCGGTTCCGCGCAAGGCCAACAGCATTGGGCAGTGGGAAAAGACACTCTACAGCACGCTCTTCCTCGGCGTCTTTGCAGTCGTTGGGCTCATTTGCATCAGCTCTGGCCAGGTCGAGTACTTTGTCGGGCACTGCCTCGCGCTCGATCGGTTCAACGGCACCGACTACAGGTACTAGACTCTGTACGAACGATGGATATGAGCTCTATCGTGCAGCATGACACCGGAGTTTTCGTGCTTTGATCTGCCATCGCGCTTCCTCATTGCCCTCGTCCTCGAACACGTCGGGCTCGGTCTCATTTACTTGCTTCTCGACAACGTCTCGGGCACGCCGGCGTCGCTGCGGTCGTCGTTCCAGCTCAAGCGCGAGCTCATTCGCCGGGCCATTGGCGGTCACAGCCACAACCATTCGGGGTCGCCCCACTCGTCCAGTACGTCGACCTCGACACGTCCTGCCTCTCTTATCGGCTCTGCGTTAGGTCGGTCCCAGCACGAGTATGTGTAGGCAGAGAGAAGGATACGTGGTCGTTGATTGGCTATAAAGATCCACCAATGAGCACATCGTGTTTTGCACAGTAGCCAATGGCCTTGCGGCGTTTGAGTGGATAAGCTGTTGGGCTTGATCATCATTGAAGAAGAGAAGAGATGGACACGCAGCAGACGCAGACGCCCGGCGGGATCCCGGACCTCGTCCTGGACAGCGACGTCTTCACGCTCGACTTCCACCCGCAGCGCAACATTGTCGCCACGGGTCTCATCAACGGCAGCGTCCAAGCGTATCGCGCCTTCCAATGCCCTGCATGGCTGGCTCAATTCGCCGTAGGTTTGCCTATGCGCCCGAAGGCCACGCGAGCGTGCTCAGCTTGAGCCACCACCAGGATGCGTGCCGCAAGGTCATGTTCTCAGAAGATGGCAACAGTACGCTTATGCAATCTATCAGCATCTGATGGCAATGGCGTAGCGCTCTACACGGCGTCGACGGACAAGTCGATCCGCGCGTACGACACGACGGGCGGCGTCATGTGGGCTGAGCTCAACGCCCACGCGTACGTGTCTTCTTGCTCGTTCTCTTGGGCTCATGGCGAATATTGAGGTAGCCACCCGGTCAACTCGATGCACCAAATCTCCAACAACATTTTCACGTCGGGCGACGACCAAGGCTGCATCAAGATGTGGGACGTGCGTCAGCACCGCTGCGTCGTCGAGTGGAACGAGCACACGGTGCGCATGCATGGATCGAAGACAACTTGTCCAAACCCAGAGCGTCTAGGACTACATCTCGGACATGACGACCAACGACGCCAAGGACACGCTCTTGGCGACGGGGTGCGAAGGACTATCGATCGACGTGACGTTGCTGACAGAGTGCGTAGTGGTGACGGGCGCTTGTCGGTCTACGATCTCAAGAAGAATGCGTTCGTGCGCAAAAGCGATGAGCTCGACGACGAACTCTTGTCCGTGCGCATTGTCAAGGTCCGTTGGCATGGTCTGTGGTCATGATGATGTGACCGTTTTGTGTGATTAGGGCGGGAAGAAGGTGGTTTGCGGCTCGCAAGACGGCGTCCTCGTCATCTTTAGCTGGGGCACGTGGGGCGACATGTCGGACCGGTTTCCCGGGCACCCGGACTCGGTCGAGACGATCCTCAAGGTCGACGAAGACACCATCTTGACGGGCTCGAGCGACGGCATCATCCGGTGCGTTGTCCCATTTCTTTGGGTGTCGATTTCTGACGAGTTGGTTGCTAGCGTCGTGCAAATCCACCCCAACAAGCTCCTCGGTCTCATCGGCGACCACGAAGACTTTCCCGTCGAAGTGCTCGAGTTCTCGCACGACCGCCGCATCGTCGGCAGTGTCTCGCACTCGGACAAGGTCCAGTTCTGGGACGTGGGCTACCTCTTTGACGAGGACGACGAGGACGACGACGACGACGATGGGCAAGACGCCGCGGGTCTCTCGTTTGAGCCCAAGGACGACGAGTCCATGGACGACAGCGACGACGACAGCGACGACGACGACAACGGTCAGGCGTTTGGCCGCAAGGCTGCACCGACGCAGCGGGAAGCCTTCTTTTCGGACCTCTAATAAATTACTCAACACGACCGCAGACTGGCCACGTTGGAGGTTTTGTCTCGAGACGCCTCGTACCTGGCCCGTAGCCAGCAACCCCCGCGCATATGAGGCAAGTGCCAAGACCAAGTGCTGCGAGGTGGGCTGTCTTCTCCAGAAAGAAACGACTGTGGCGTGTACGTATAAAGTATATTGGATTGCGGGTGTTACTTGGTCACCTTCTTGGTCTTCTTGGCCGGCGGCTCCTCAAAGTAGCCCGTCTTGTTGGCCTCGACTTGGCGTTTGATGTACTTCATGCCAGCGAGGTTGAAGCCGATCTGGTTCTTGGCCGAGACGAGGTTCGTTCGCAGCGAGTGCCACAGCGTGTCGAGCTCGCCGAGGAGCGACGCGTTGGCCACAATCTGGTTGTGGTGGACTTTGACGAGGAAGAGAATGCTGTTGCAGCAGAGCTCCACCTCGAGCTCGGCCGCAATGAGCTGCAGCAGGTACTTGATGAGCTTCTGAACATAGTCGAACGGCAGCACGAGCAGCGCCTCCTCGAGGTCCTGCGCGCGGATCTCGCGGAGACTCCGGAGCACATACTTGAGCGGCGAGAAGCCGAGGAGGAGGATGTTGCCGCCGGGCGTCGCGGATTTGGCTTCGTGCTCGGCCAAGTCAATGGCCTCAATGAGGCGCTCGCCGCTCTTGACGGTCTGGATCGTCTTCTTGGTCGCGGTCGCCGACTCGGCTTCGACGACCGTGCTGGCGCCGTTCAGCGTCGGCGCGCTATTGTTGCTCGGGTTCAAGTCGGCTTCAAACATGGCTTCGAGCTCCTTCTCCTTTTCTTCTTCGATAAAGACTTGGTCGTCCGAGCGCGCGTACTTGACGAGCGACCGATCCTGCGACGCCGAGATGACAAACGACCCGTCGCGCGCGACGGCGATCGCCCACACTTCGCCAAAGTGGTTGTTCTCGAGCTTGAGGATGCGCTCAAAGTGGTCGCCGTCCCAGTACGAGACGCACTTGTCTTTGGCGCACGTGAAGAAAAAGTGCGTCCGCGGCACGAAGCAGATGCCCATGATCGCCTCGTCGTGGGCGAAGAGCGACTTGTGGCAGTCGCCAAAGTCGAGGCCCCAGAGCTTGACGTTCTTGTCCGCGGACGCGGTCACGAGCAGCGTGTCGTCGGTCGAGATGTCCATCGCCATCACCGGCAGCTTGTGGCCGTAGAGCGACAGAAAGAACTTGAGCGAGTCGTCGTAAAACACCTTGACCGTGCAGTCGAGGAGCGCGACCGCGACGAGGAGCTTGCGCGGGTCGCTCGAGTGGCTAAACTTGACGCAGAGCACGTCGTCCGACATTTTGAGCATGCGGACGTGCGCGAGGCCGAGCTTGAGGCTCCCGCCATTGGATTGCGCCGCCATTTCAAACTCCCAAAAGTTGACCATGTGGTCGGCGCCGCCCGTCGCGAGGCCCTTTCCGTCCGGCCGCACGTCGATCGACCAAATGGCACCCGCATGCGCGTCCGTCTTTTTCCAAATGCACTCGCCCGACGCGAGTTCAAAGAGGAGGAGCTCGCCGGCCTTGGTGCCAACGACGACGTGCAGATTGCCCGGCGCAAAGACGGCCGAGAGCGCCAATGAAAAGTCCGTGAGCGTCCGGACGCACTGCATCGAGCGCGCGTTCCAGACCTTGACGGACGCGGACGAGACACTGAGCACGAGCTGGTCGTCGGACGAAATGTTGACTTGGCGCACGTCCGACCGGTGCCCGGGCAGCGTCACCGCGTGCACTTTGGCGAAGCGCGCGTCCATCGACTCGGCCGACGGCGTCAGCGCATACGTCTCGATCGCGTTGTTGTGGAGCGAGACGAGCACGGAGGTTGTGCCGTCCTTGGCGACGTCGGGCGAGAAGGCGAACGACCGGACCTTGGCGCTGCAGCGGATGATGCAGAGGAGCTCGACCTCGTTCGCGATCGGGTTGGCGTCGTCGTCGTCGTCGTCCTCTTTGTCGTTGTCATTGTCAGCCTCGACGGCCGGGATGGACAAGCCCGGCTTGCCGTCCGCCGCTTCCTTCTTGCGGGCCTTTTCACGCGCACGCTTGAGGCGACGCTGTGCCTTCTTCTTTTGCTCGTCGGCCGACCGGAGACGGAAGATCTCAATGGTCTTGCCCGCGCCCTGGCAACCCAGCAGCGTGCCATGGCTGTTGTACGCGACGTGCATGGCGCGGTCGTGGGTCGAGCGCTGGATCGTGCCGAGCAGCGAGATGCGCTTGTCGCCCACGTCGTCGCCTTCGTTGACGCCGTAGACGCGGAGCTTGTTGTCGGATGCGCCCGTGAGGATGCGCCGCGTGCTTTTTTGCATGTCGAGCGACCAGACCTCGTTGCGGTGGTCGACGCACGTCTGGACGCAGTGCTGTGTATCGAGGTCCCACACCTTGAGGAGCGAGTCCTTGGAGGTCGAGAGCAGCGATCGCTGGTTCTCGACAAAGCCCACGGACGTGACCGCGTCCTTGTGGCCCCGCAGGCGGTACAAGCCCGACTGACTCACGACGTCCCACACGATGATGTCCGTGTCGCGCGAGCCCGATGCGAGGAGCGCGCCGCCTTCGCCAAAGGCCAAGCACTCGATCGCGTTCTTGTGGCCATCGAGCGTCACCTCGACGTTGCCGTTGCTAAGCTTGAAGATGCGAATGATGCCCGTCGAGTAGCCGACCGCGACAAAGGCGCCATCGATGCTCAGGCGCAGCGCGGTGACTTGGCCCGCCGTGTCGTTCTCCGTGTCGGCCTTGAGCACACGCACCTGCGTGCCCGTGCGGATGTTCCACACAATGACGTTCTTGAGCGCGCCGCAGATAGCGAGCTGGCCCGTGAGGTCATAGACGACCGGCGCGCCCGGGCTCGCAATGACGCCAAAGGCGGCTTCCGGTGCGTACTTGAGGTAGCTCTTCATAGCGCGTCGCTTCGCAAGTTCACACTGCAAGCACTGGCGGGGCCATTGGATGGAAATGATTGGTCCGTACACAGATCCTGTGGAAATGCATACGCCATTTTGCGACGGTTTTATCCGGATGCCAGCAGCAAGCCTGCTGCTGACAACCAAGGTCAAGCACAGGGTCCAGCTCGCCCATCGCGTCGGCCTCTGTCCCTGCGACGTGTTGCCGGCGGTTGAAGGCAGCCGTGCGTCGAGGCGGGTGACCCTGTCGTCATCGTATCGCCAGGCGCAAGCTGGCCATCGGCGCTTGTTTTTACTAGACGGACGAGGCGCGTCATGGGTCATCGAAGCGCTAGGAAAACATTGCGGCGTTCGATTCACGCATGTCTAGGCACCGGCTACATGAACGTATCATCATGTAGGTGCATGATGTGGCCGCGTCCGATGCGACGATGCTCTCCAACGTGGGAGCGGCCGTAGCACCGTCCGTCCACGGCTCGTCTTTGCGCAGGGCCCGGTCCAAAGACGTGGCAACCACAGAGAAGAGCAAGTACTACTACAACTACATGTGAATAAATAAGCTTCAACCTACGCTATAAAGGACCGACACTAGTTGAGCATGGCCTCAACCGAGAGACGCCGGCGCTTGTTGTCGATGACATGGATGTCGCGGCGCGACGCCACCTTGGGCTCGACGTCCCGGGACGACGACGACGACGACGAGCGGGGATGCGCGGGCAGCTGGCTCTGGTACTGGAGCTGGTAGTGCATCTGCAGGTACAATTGACGCTGGCGCTGCATCTCGAGCTGCATCATGTGCTGGCGCATCACTTGTGCTTCGTATTGCTTCTGGCGCATCTGCTGGATGTACTCTTGCTCGCTCTCGTGGCGCTCGGTGCGCGCTTGGTTGGTCTCGATGCAAAAGACGGCAATCTCGTCAATCGAGAAACCGAGGTCGCGGAGGCACTCAATGCGCTTCATGGGCGCCAGGTACAGCTCTTCGTGCGAGCGGGGCGACCCGAGGCGGTCGGCGACAGGCGCCGTGTGCGTCGCGACTGGCTTGCCCATGAGGCCAAGGCCAGGCCCACCCGTGCTGGGGACGCTGCTCGGGCTGTGGCCGAGCTCAAACTCGTGGACCGTCGTCGTCGCCCACGTGACCGTCTTCGTCGCCTTGGTCGTCGGAACAGTCGTCGTGCTCATGGTCGTACTGTCGCCGGCTGGGAGGAAGCTCAAATGCGAGGCTGGACGGACCACGCAAAGCATCCAGAAACCAAGATCTGGTTGCATTACGCACGCCAATTACCCCGCGCGTTCCGCTCGTGTTGATGGCAATGCGGAAAGCGTTACGTCGGCTGTGACATACATCCTTTTTATTCGTACATTTTATCTTGGCTTGGTGCTTGTATGCAAAGGCGCGTGAATACATTGTATTACCTCTGGCATTGCATACCCTGTCACAATGCATATTCAAATATTTAACATACTTTTAAAAGAGCGAGAGCGCATTGAAGGCAGGCGGCGATGAAACCTCTGCCAATGGCATACCGCAGCCCGCGTGCGTTTGGGTGCCTTGGCCAGTGGCCGTCGTGACGAGCGTGCAATGGTTGTGACTTGCGTATTCGACGCAGCAAATCCAATGCGGTGGCAGCTGCGTTATCGACCGAGTAACTCGTGTGTAGCGAGCGTAGGCAGCCGCCGGCAGTCCGATCGCATCGATGACACGGCGCTGGTCCCTTTTCACGCACGAGCGGTTCTTGAAGCGCCGCAGCTGCGAGCGAAAGCGACAGGCGATCTTCCTCCTCCTCCTCTGTGGGTTGAACGCCAAGATTAATTTCGACAGTGACACATCTGATATGTGTAGCTCGCTGGCGTACTAGCTCCGACGCGCCGTTAACTTGCCAACGCCAGCGCTAGCAGCGCGGCTACTTGCTGCTTGTCGCCAGAGCCAACGCAGCCATCGGCGGCTTGTCGTCAGCGGCGCAGCCGCCGAAGAACTGCGTTCAGGTCGCTGGCGCGGTGGCCGGATAATGCGGTGTCCGGATACCGCAGATTGGACCAAACGGCAAACTGGCAGCATGGCGTCGTCAACCAGGTGGGCCGACGCGCCGGGAACGCTCGCGGCCGTCGGCGCCTCGGTGGCCCTCGGCCTCTTCTACGCAGCGTTCCAGCTCCACTGGCTCCCAGTACCGCTCGCGCGCATCGCCGGACGGCTCTACTTTTACCCGACGCTGCCCTTGACGTACATTGCGCGGCGGAAGAACTACTACACACTCGTCGACTCGCATGTCTTCCTTGGCGCTGTGCCCATTGCAGCGTTAGGCCATGTCGATCAGCTGCATGCGCGGGGCGTCCGCGCGGTCGTCAACCTCTGCGACGAGTACGCGGGGCCCGTCGAGGCGTACCGCAAGCGGGGCATCCAGCAGCTCTGGCTCCCGACCGTCGTACGATTTCTACATGCGTTACGACCTTTGTTCGACTGCATGGCACTTGTAGGACCACACGGAGCCGTCGCTCGAAGACATTCGCAAGGCGATCGACTTCATCTCGTTCCACAAGGACCGCGGGTCGCGCGTCTACGTCCACTGCAAGGCAGGCGCCGGGCGCAGCGCCACCATCGCGTTCTGCTGGCTCCTCCACGCCAAGGAGACGTGGAACCTGTCCGAGACGCAGCTCTATCTGAGCGACCGGCGTAAGGTGCGCAAGACGCTTGGCCGGCAGCCGAATGCCATCGCGTACTTCGCGTCGCTGCACCCGCCGCCCTCACCGCCGCTCTTCCCCGCGACGCCGTCCACGACGCAACAACAATAAGCGGCAGCAACCTACCTTGAAGCGACGTCTACTGAATCGACTGTGTCTTGTTGTTTTATAAAAAAGGTTAGTACTCGTAGTAGACGCCGTAGCCGCCGTAGCGCAGCTCACGGTCGTACTTGGCCTTCTCATGCGCGTCGGACAGAACTGCGTACGCGGCTGTCATGTCCTTGAAGAGCAAGGCGTCCGCCTCCGACTTTGCCTTGTCTATAGAACCACCCATGAGCCCATCCGCGCGCTAGTAGTGCAGTGAACCTGGGTGATGTTTCAGCGCGAGCTTCCGGTACGAGATCTTGATCTCGGACGCTGTCGCAGTGAGGGGCACGTGCAGCACTTCGTAGTGGGACCTGACGCGAACGGGGACAGGTGGCGCCTTGTGCGGCTGCTGCCTGTTCTGCGACGACCGACCGCCTTTCTTGGACTTGTTCGAGTCAAAGTAGTCGTTGTACGGGTCGTGGCCGCGACGCGACTGCTCCTGCTTTTGGCGCTCCTTGCGTTGCTTGGCCCTCGCCCGCTCCTGCTGCTCGTACTCGTGCGCCGCCGCCTTGGCTTGGGCCGCGCGCAATTCCGTTGCGAGTGCAGCACGCTCCTCCTCCGTCGCCGTCTCGTCGACTGCTTCCATGTAGGCGCGGAGGTCGGCGATGCCGTCTTTGAATCGGAGCAAGCTCACGTAGCAACGCGCCTTTCGCAGCAGCGCGCGGGAGTACGTGGGCTTGCGGGACAGCGCGTCTTTGCAGTCGGCGATCGCCGGCGTCCACTTGGCGAGACCCATGAGCGCCGCCGCGCGGTTGCAGAAAAGGACCGCGTTGTACAGGTCGTGGTCGGCGTCGAGGCCGAGACCGGCCGAGTAAAAGTTGATGGCGCGCTGGTAGTTGCCACACGCAAACGCGTCGTTGCCCATGGCCTAGCGCACTCATCGTCTCACGCACAAAGATACGAAGGCTACCTTGGCCTGTGCCATGTCGAGCCAGAGCTGCTTGAGCTTGAGCACATACTTGCTCGTCGGCGCGGCCTCTTCGAGTTGGCGCAGCACATGCTCCGCAGGTTCGACCTACGACGCTCGAGTCCGCTTTTCCTCCTCAGCATCCTGCGCGCGTACCTCGTCGAGGTAGTGCAAACTGCGCGCGTACTGCAAGCCAAAGTCGACGCCAAGGGCCACGATCGTCGCGTGGAGGTGCAGCTGATGCTTTGCATAGGCCACGGCGTCGGAGAAGCGTCTATCGTTTCCGTAGGAGCGTTCCCACCGCAACGAGGCGACGTACTTGAGCGCCACAAGAGCATTCATCTTTTGAAGCACGAGGTCGCGGCTGTACGGCGCGTACGTGAGGGCGCTGGTCGTGTGTTGCAGCGCCTTGGCTGTCTCGAGCACATCGAGGCACCACTTGGCCTCGTGGAGCGCCGACACGAACGCCTCGACGTCACGAATCGCGAGGTCAACCTGCGGCTTGTACAAGGTCTGGTCCGCCGCGCTGGCATGCGGGAGCAGTTTGTAGACGCCGAGATAGGCGTTGCGAGCGCGCGCGTGGTCGCCGACGAGCAAGTGGCACCGCCCGTAGCGCAAATGCGCCTACGCATATATCATGTTAGTACCCGCGCACTTGGAATCGACGCACCCGAAGGTACGTAGAGTCGAGCGCGATCGCAGCCTCGGCGTCTTGGAGCGCCTCGCGGATCTTGTGCAGCATCATCCAGGCGGCGGCGCGGTTGGCGAGCATTTTGGCATGCTCCGCCATGACGCGGTCGAACGCCGGCTCTAAGGACAGGCTGTGCACGCCGCGCGTATAGCACTGGACGGCCTGCAGGTAGTCCTTCCGTTGGTACGCGGCGCCGCCGTCGCGCTTGCACTGGATCCAATCGGGCTCGATCGGCGGCGGCGTCGGCGGCTCTGGCACAGGAGCCGGAGCCGGAGCCGAAGCGCGTTTGGAACGGGGCACACGGCGCTTGGCGCCTTTCGTAGTGGATGATGGTTTGGGTGCAGTGCCAAAGGAAAAGCCAGGGGCCGGCGGCGGCGTCTCCCATGGCGACTCGAAGAGCTCGCGGCTGCAGTTGCGGAGGGGCAAATGTTGCCGACCTCGGCGCACGGCGCGCAGAGATGCAAGTCGACAAAGACGGTTCGAAGCGGCTGCTGGCAGCACGAGCAGTGCACGAGGAGTGGCGCGTGCGGCTGCGTGCGCGCGTCGAGCCGGTGGACCTCGCACAGCCGAATGTACTCGCAGTCGCCGCCGTTGGGTTGCGGCTCGTGAACGTTAAAGGCCTGGAATTGGTGCACAAATGCGTCGTCGATCGGTCTACGCAGGTAGTAGGCTTACGATGAGCTCAGCAACTGAAGAAACGACGTACGCTGCAGTGGTGTGAGGCGCGGTCGCAGGCTGCGGCGCAGGTTGACAGCCCTGACGCCCCATGCCCGGCGACTGGATTGGACTGGGGGCTGGTTGCGACGCTGCTGGAGGGACAACGAACGTAGTATCTGCCTGAGGTGTTGCAAACGGATTTATCACGGGACTTGGTGACGAAGAGGATCGCACGAATGCAGCCTTCTTTGTCTTCTTCGAACTGCGCTGCTGTGGCGTGATGTCGGGTGCGAATGGATTGGCCGCCGCGACAAAGACGGGCTCGGCCGTGTCCATCGGGACGCCTTCGTCGGGCGTCGCATGGTTGGTACTAGGAAAGGTAAAGCCAGTCGGAGGCGGCTGCATCGGCGAGAACGCTGGAGCAGCGGGAAAGGCCGCGGTGCTGAACGCGAACGGCGGTGGCGTCGAGGCCGCCGCAGGCTTTGGCCGCGTGCGCCGCGCGCTGGCATTCTTTGCTTTCGTCTTGGTGGTGCCAAAGGAGAAGAGCGGCGTGTCACTCGATGGAGCAAAGGTCGTCGTCGCAGGCATCGCCATCGGGGTCTTGGGGCACTCGTACGCTTGTGGGTCAGAGTCGTCGCTGGAGCTGTCGCTGTAGTCTACCAAGGTCGGCTCGTCTGCATGCAGCGCCATGAGATCCACGAACGCACGCGATGGCTTCGCTCGCACCTGGCATCAACTGCGGGACGAGGCGGCGTGGGATCCAACAAGGTGAACGTTATCCAAGCAATTCCGGTTGCTTCACCGCGTATCCGGTTGCTCGTATCCGGAAATCGCACCCAAGTTGAAGCAGGCACGAGATTTTGGGCCCGTGCAAGCCATGGTCTGACCCGCTGAGGCTACCACTGCGGCTGACGGACGGCCGTCACGTGGCGTGGGCCTCAACCAAACAGCTCCCTTCGCACGCTGGAAGGTTCCAGACGCGACATCATGAGACGGCCCTTGTTGCGGCTTCCACCGCCGTGCCAAGCAGTCTCGTCGCTCTGGTTGAGCTTGCATCGCACAGCGCCACCTTGAAGCGTCGGCGCCGATGCGCTGCAATCTGTGCTGTCGGAGCGACCGAGATGCATGCGCAGAAGCGACGCACACGGAGAATCGATCGTGTAAAGGCAGGTTGGGAAAAGCGACCTCGTGTACACTCGCACAATCGTTGTGGTTCATTTGCTCGTTCGTCTTCATTTTGCTTTGGACAACGACGACGCAATCGACCATGCAGCTGCTTGGGCTCTACTCTCTCTTCTCCGCACTCGGGTATGTGGACGCGCGCCTCAATGCGTGGACGCCGACGGCCTGCGACATCTTCACGTCGGGGTATCAATTCACGCTCTTCAACAAGAAGTTTGGGTACTGGAACTTTGATGAACCGTCCAGCGGCCTTGGCCTCGCCGACGAAGAGGTACCGACAGTCATGCACACTGCGCTTCAGCCCGACGGCACGTTCTGGCTCAAAGTGGGCGACACGCACCACTTGGCACCCAACCCAGACGCGACCGCGTACTTCTTCCGCACCGTGACGATCGTCTCGGACGAAGCCGCGGTCGACTCTACGTTTGGCCCCGTCCTCAGCAATCGTCGCTGGAGCTGCCGGCCGATGGGCCCCGGCACGGTGGCACTCATCGACTACAACGGGTACTCGCCCAAGCCGACGCCGTACCACAGCGAGAGTGACAGCCCGTGGCCATACCTCATTAGCGCCCCGGTCGACGTGCTCTTGGGGCCTTCCCCCGACCAAACATTCATGATCGATCGCTATGCTTAGTAATAACAAGTTGAATCTTTCTTCGTTTGTGCTTGATAGGGTCCTTAGCTGTGCACCCAGGTCCTACACTGCTAATAGCAGTGTCGGACCTTGAGGCATCATCTGCAGTGTCGAGATTGAAGGCCCTTGCTTCAGTTCGACGATACCGTCTTGCCATGCTAGAGTCGCAATGACCGTTGAAGCGTCCCGTTGAGGTCGATGCCAGACATCCTCGTTCAGTGCATACGATCCTCACCCAGTGCCCTCCTCCTCCACGCAAAGTCCTCACGCTACTAGAAGGGCCGCAAGCGACTTGAGTCGAGATTGCACCATCCACTGCCAACGATACCGATCTGTGATTGCCGAGGCTTTGTACGGCAGCGCCAGGTCAACTCTTGGTGTCCGCAAGTGGCCCGATCTACTTTGTTTCTAACTCAACCAAGCACTGGTGCCATGTCTGGGTTCAATGTTGGTGCGTTCAGAAGCAAACGCCAACGAGCTGCATGGGCGACAGCCCCATGCACCGCGATCACTCCACGTGGCCACAAAAATGCGGTGATTAAACCCACCCAACTTTCGGTGCTGCACAAAATTGTCTGTTGAATAAGGTCGTTTCGAGTGTGCAAGAGACATACACTGGTATCCTATATATACTCGTGCGTCTTTGCGATGGCGGGAGCCTTGCTCATGGCGCGATCACTCGCGCTTGACGGGCATTGAAGCGGGGCCAAGTTGCGTGCGTTTCGCCAGTGCGCCGACACGTGGCCGCCTGCGTTCGAAGTAGGCGGGGTGATACCTCATCTGTATACAAACATCCAGTGTAAAAGGGCGGACGACATGGCGACCTGGCTTCGAACTTCGAGACCCACGAAGATCCAAAGGTTCGAAGTGTGGCCAATCGTACATTTGAGTGAGTGCACGCACAAGTGGCATGCGCTTCTGGACCCTTGCGCTCCTGGCGCCGCTCGTGCGTCGTCGCCGCCGATGCTAATGGTCTCATGACATCGACATATGTAGCTGGCCCAAGTGGCGCCGCAGAAAACGGAGGCCAACAAGCTCCAGATTGCAGCCGAGAATGCATTTGCGAGCGGCGATCTAAAGAAGGTACCCAGCATGCACGGGATCGCTGGCGCCTCATGCCGCCTAGGCCATCTCGCTCTTCACGCAAGTCATTGACCTCGATCCGAACGAGCGCGTGTACTACAAGCGGTACCGCGCCTACTTGAGTGATCGCAAGTACGGGTCCGCCTTGGCAGACCTCACGTCGGCCGTCAAGTTCAAGCCGACGTATACGCAGGTTGGTCGAGCCTACCACATCGGAGCTCGAGCCACATGCGAGGATGGGATTGCTAGGGCTTTCTGCAGCGCGGGCGGCTGAACCTCATGATTGGCAACTGCGCCGACGCCGTCGCTGATTTCTCCGCTGTCCTCAGGTACGCTCTCGCACCATCGACGCTACCTCATCGTCCTCGTAGCCTCGAGCCCAGCAATGGTCCCGCGAGCGTGAGCTTGGACAAGGGCCGTGAGTGCGCGCAGCTGCTCGCTGATGCGTCTGCAGCGCAGGTAGCCTTCCTCTCGCCGCCGCGTCTTGTCTGCAAGTTGCGCCTAGCAACGCGGCGACTATGCGAATGCCCATCGGTTTCTCTCTGGCGCGATTGACGCCCATGCCATCTCGAGTGCGCAGCTCCTTCTGCAGCGCGCCGAGCTCAGGTACGCGATCTGCGCCACGAGATACGCACGGACCAACGTCACTAGCCGAGCGATGGGCCAAACGTTCGACCTGATTTCGGACACGGGCAGCGTCCTGCGCATCGACTCGGCCAACGTGCGCGCGCTCACGATGCGCGGCCAGGCGTACTACTCGCTTGGCGACGTGCAGTCGCTCGAAGCCGCGCTTACGCACTACCGTCAAGGGCTGCACTCGGACCCTGAGCACAAGGAGATGAAGGCCATGTACCGCAAGGTAGTTCAACCTACCTCTGGCGTCTCACGCGACGCACGTGTCATAGCTCAAGAAGCTGCTCAAGTGGATGCAGTCGTCGACGCGCGCCATGGAGTCGGGCCGGTAGCCATATGCATTCCCGATACGTCGTGACGATCGCGGTAGGTACGATGACGCGGTCGAGGACCTCGAGCTGGCGGTGGCCGAGGACCCGCACCACGACACGCTCAACAAGGACCTCAACTTCAAGCTCTGCGCGAGCTACAACCATGTCGCCAAGTACACGCTGGCCAAGGCCGCGTGCTCCGAGGTACCCATCGATCCGGTGCCCGTTGTTGTATCAACGTATCAATTCTAGACCCTGCGCGTGGACTCCAACCATGCAGCCGCGCACGCGAAGCTCGGCGACGTGCTCATCAATCTGGAAGAGTACGAAGACGCCGTGCGCCACCACAAGCGCGCGTGCGAGCTCGATGGGGAGAATCGCGCGGTACGTTCTTCTTGTGTCTCATGAGGCTCTTCCTCAAATATTTTGTGTAGTTTCAAGAGGGTTTGCAGCGGGCCGAGACGGCGCTCAAGCAGAGCAAGAGCAAGAACTACTACAAGATCTTGGATGTGGCCCGCGACGCGTCGAGCCAAGCCATCAAGAAGGCGTACCGCAAGAAAGCGCTCGAGTGGCACCCCGACAAGCACGCCGACCGCGGCGTACGTCCCATCATATCGTCTCGGCACGTCGAGAGAGCACGCTGCAACTAGGACGAGGCGTCCGAAGAAGCCAACAAGAAGTTTCAAGAGGTCGCGGAAGCCTACGAGATTCTCTCGAACGAAGAGACGCGCGCCCGGTACGATCGCGGCGAAGACGTCAGCGGCAACGGCCAGCAGCAGCAGCAGCACAACCCGTTCCAGCACTTTCAGCAAGGCGGACGCACCTTCCACTTCCAATGGGGCTAACCATCTCGAAAAACCTCCTCATCATCATATTGCAGCCGTAAGCGCGAAACATGGAGCCTACAGAATATTGTTGCCTCCGAGTCGTCGCAGTAGTAGCATTTGAAGTAGTACAGCGATGCCCACGTACAAATGTAGTGCATGTAGAGCGGTCGGTGCATGCCTCCACGTGTTATGGCTCCCGCTGAGTGGCATGTTGTCGGTATGCGCCGCAGCAGTCGCGTGGCAACTGAACGCGAGAGGGCACGGAAGCCCGGGCATGTTGCGACCGGGGGCTCGCACGCATGGACCTACTAGCGCCGACAGGCGTCACACATGGTCACACGTGCGTCGCCCGTTGTTTCTCAGCAAGCGACGCGACGATCGCCAGCTGGTTCTCCTCTGCAAGTGAATAAAGTATCGGGAAATACAGGATTTCGAGCCCACGATGGCTGCCCCGTGCCACCAGCTGGACCGCCATGCTCGACACAGGTCGCATGCTGGCGCTGGAGCCGGCCAAGAAGAAGTACAACAAGCGCACGTACAACCGCGAGCGCCAGCGCATGCTGCAGCTGGAGCGCATCAAGGAGCTCTCGTCGCTTAAGCAGCAGATCGCGGACCTCGAGAAGACGATGGCTGGTCTCTCGGGCAAACTCCCGGCGCTGGCACGCGTCGCATCCACCGCCACGGGCCCGCTCTCGTGGCGCGACATAGCTGGTGCGCTCAACGAAGCGACGCTCGACTCCAGCGCACTCCACGCATCGCTCCGGCGCAAGGTCGCTCGCCAAGATGAGCTCGTGCGCCACATGTCCAAGTGGGTGACCTCCATGCTTCGTGTCGAGGTACTAGTAGTACATGCATATTTGCGCGAGCCAGCTCGTTTACATGTTGAGTAGAAACCACTGGACTTTGCCGACGCGTTCTGGAAGAACATTTCGCTCACGGCGGACCCGGACGCGCGCAAGCTCGGCTGCGAGTGGATCGCCGACCACTTGTTTCACAACACGGACAAGACGTTCCAGCAGTGCGGGTTTCCCGACCCGAGCTGCCTCGCCGAGCTCCACCACTTCAACTTGGTCGTCGACGAGCACGAGCGCTGTCAATATGGCTGGAACAAGCAGCGACTGCTGCCCGTCTCGTTTGAGAACGCCAGCCGCGCCTTCCAGAAAATCCACGTCGACAACTCGATGGGTCTTGGCCAGCGCGACTTTCTCGACAGCGACGTAAATGCATCCCATCGCGCACTCTCGAGACTCACAAGCTCGTATGATCATCTAGTTGCTCCAGACAGACGCCAAGCGGATCGACTACAGCCGTCACTCGTTCGTGCTACCGGACCGCAACGGACCGCGTGTCGACTGGGAAAACTGGCTCTGCGGCGAGTACCTCGCGCAAGACCGGTATGTGTTTGTCATGCGCAGCATCCACACCGACCCTAAGTACCCGATCGGCACGGTCCAGCGAAATCGCATGACGTGGTACAGCCTCATCTCGGTCGGTGAAAACATCAATATGTATGTATTTAGGGTCGTTGTCGACCGGATTGGCCCCATGACGACGCGGACGCGGGAGTTTATGACGCTCTCCAACTACTGGACAAAGGAGCACGGCAACCTCTCGCTGGAGCAAGAGGCGCGGTCGTGGGGTGCAAGCTCCAGAATGTCCCCGACCACCTCAAGTACCAGACGTTCAAGCAGCACATGCAGCGCGGTGGCGAGATCCACGCCGAAAAGTTCACCAAGCAGCTCATGGCGGCTATCGAGAGCACGCGTGCGCAGTCGTCGCCGCCCTAACTTTAATGTACACGATGCCAATCGATCGATCGAATGAGGTCCCATAGAAGGAGATACGAGTATGGATCGTCTTGGCTCGTGCATATACGTGGCACGACGCACGGCCATGATGACTTTAGTGTACTCATGTACGGCAATTCCAGAGTGTTGGTGCAACCCAGAAAATTTCACACGTCGACGCTTATTTTTACAGAGCCGTCCACCGAAGCATGAGCCTGCCGCCCAACTGGACCGCGTACAAGACCGCGGACGGCAAGGTTCGATGCCTGCGCTCTGAGAGCGCCACGTCATGCGCTATCCCATTAGGAGTACTACTACAACGCGCAGACCAAGGTCACGACGTGGGACCGGCCCGCGCCCATCTCGACAGGCAAGCCCCAAGCCGCACCGAGCCCTGCGCCGAGTGGCGGCGCGGGCCGCGGTAGCCTCCTCGCACAGATCGAGCAAGGAAAGAAGCTAAAAAAAGTCACGACGCGAGAAAGCTCGCCCCTCGCTGCTGTCGAGCCTGCATCGTCGTCGTCGTCGTCGGGCGGCGGCGGGGGTGGCAACCCCCTCTTTGCCGCGATCGCTGGCGGCGCCGCCAACCTCAAGAAGACCAACCGCGGATCACCGTCGCATGCAACGGCGCCTGTCAACAACGATGCAAGTCCGAGCAACGGCAGTAGCAGTGGCGGTGGTTTTGCCGAAATCATGCGCAAGAACCGTGAGGCGGCGGCCCGGAAAGCGTCGTCTTCCGGGGCGCCCCTGAGCAACGGCAGCAACGCAAGCTCTGGAAGTCCCATCACACCGACGCCGACGCCGATGCCGGCTTACCGCAAGTCGGTGTCGATGGCGCCATCGGGGTCCTTATCCAACCTCCTTGCCGCCGAGGGCGGGTCCGGTCCGCTCGAAGAGCAGCTCAACCGCATCGAAGCCAAGCTCGACAAGATCATGGCCGCCCTCAACATTGCCTGAACTCGTAACACATATAACACACACAAGGAATGCAAAAACGATCTCGTCGAAACATCGTCGAGGTTAGGGCAGCGACGGCTGGCAGGCATAGTGGAGGAGCGTGCCTTCGTCCTTGTCGTAGAGGAAGGCGCCGCGCTCAAGCTTGCGGCTGCAGACCGCGCACGTCGACTGGGCAGAAATGTCGACCGACTCTTGCTGCGCGGCGTGGAGCTGCGATCGCACGTGGAGGTTCTCGATCTTGAGGAGCTGCGTCTGCACCTGCGCCGTGCGGCGTGCCTCGACCTTGAGCTCGAGCACGCGCTGGAGGTACGCGCTGAGTGCAGCGGCCTCGGTGCCGGGAGGCAATAGCTCCAGCGCCGTCGCGACGTCGATCGTGGCCGCATGGCGCAGCATAAACTTGGCCACAAACGCAAGCCCAATTGACGAGAGCGCGTGGTTGCTCATGCGATATGGCGATGTCTTGGCCGATGGCGGACGCATGTACGTCTGGAGGAAGAGTGTGTAAATTGACGCGTCGCCGACTTTGGAGGCGTACACGTCGTTGCAGTAGGCCTCCGCGACGGCCGCGTCCTTGATCTCATGCAGATACAGCCGAAGCACCTCTTCGTGGCGACCCATGTTGGCGAGAAGCACCGCGCGCTCTTCGATCATCTCCATCGGCGTGCGGCTCAGGAGGCGCTCAGGGTGGTGCTGGCTCAGCGGCGACTGCAGAAACGCCAAGAGCTGTCGCCGCAGCGCGCCAAGACGCCCTTTCTGCATGCGCACGCGCGTGTGAAAGACGATGAGTGACTGCTGGTCGCGCTTCTTCTTGAGCAGAAGGCTCACGTGGTGGTTGATTGCGTCGAGAAGTAGGTACACGAGCTCGTCGTGGAGCGTCGATGGCACCCTGCTTCCGTTGGCGTAAATGACTTGGTGGAGGTACGCGATCGCGAGCGCGCGGCCGTCGTCAAGCGGCATCTCGTCGTCGCCGCCGTTCTCGTCTTGCTTGGCGTTCGAGCTGACCTCGATCGACTTGAGGTGGTCCACAATCAAATGCGGGTCAATGTCAACCTCGGTCGGCGGCACGAGCCGGTGCGTAAAGATCGAGAGCCCGAGCGCCGGCGCCGACTGGAGCACCGGCTTGGAAAACTCAAACACGAGCGGCGCCTCCGAGAGTGTCTTGAGGTACGCCACCATCTCGCGACGCGGGTCCTTCTTGGAGCTGGCCTGGAGCTCTTCGAGGAGCTCGAGACCTTTACGGTGCAGACGCTGCGTTTTGTAGAACGCAAGGAGCGCCGGCCACTTGGCATGCGCGCGCAAAAACACTTCGGCTTCGCCGACATCCGCGGCGCTTGGCGACGTGCCGCAGAACGCTGTGAGCGCCGCATCGTTTGTGAGAACGTACGCCTTGAGCAAGACCGTGTCGACCAGCGACGCCACGTCGTCGTACTGGACCTTGGCCAGCCCTACGATTCATTCAATTTGGCGATAGCTCGGATAGATGGTTTAGACCTTGCCGAGGCAGCGTGCGGTACGCCACGAGAAACTGCACAAGGGCGCTAAGCGCCGCGCTGAGTGTCTCGCCGGCGAGCGCTACCGAGGGCCGCGGCAACGTCGCCAGCGCCAGTCGATGCCGGCTGCGCGGCAAGAGCTCATCTGGAAAAAGGGCGAGGACCTCCTCGGCGGGCACGTGGCTTGCGAGAAAGTTGTCCATCGCGCGACGGAACTCGTGGCGTTCAAACTGCTGCAGCGCGAGCTGGAGGTGAATGCGCCGAAGCTCGTCCGCCGAAAGGTGGCACTCGACGGGGCAGAGACGGCAGAGGTCAATCGCTTCCTGATACCTACGTACGTGCTTGCATCAATCTCTGTTTGATGTACATGGCGCTCGTACCGCCCGGCGTCCAAATGCAAGCGAAGCTGGTCGCTTAGCGGTCTCATGCGCAGCGCGGCAAAGGCAACAGGCCCCGTCGCAACGAGGACCGTCGGAGGCGCGGTCACCGAGACGGTCTGCGCTTGAGAGAGGAGCGGGGCGAGGAGCAGTGCTCCCTTGATCGCGACGCTTTGGACGATCTGGAAGGAGAGAAGCACGTCTACGTGTTCGGCGTACGCGATGAGGAGGAAGGGGTGGTGCCCGAGAACGGCCTTGGGCGGACCCGCGCCTGCCGGCCATGGCACCGGCGCCCCCGTCGTCACGACAGCGTACTCGGAGCGGTCGTAGCGCAGGGCAATTCCGTGCGTACGCCAGAAAACAAAAAAATCGTCCTGGGATGGCACGAGACCCGGAAGGCGGACGGCCCCGAGGACGGGGTCGCGGCAGTCGGGAGGAAGATCAAGGGATCGCCCCGTGTCGAGATGGAAGAGCGTCGTCTTGCGCTTGTAGATGAGAACGGCCATGTCGCTCGAGAGGCAAAGCACGCTCTGGAGTGTGCTTGGCTTGTCTGGCACCTCGTGCGTCGAGCGTGGAAGGAGCTTGGCGTTCTTCGGAATCCAATCGTACACGAGGAGCGAGTGCTGCTTCGTCGCACAAACCAAGGTCCCGGACTGCTCGTGCGCCGAGAAGAAGACGGCGCCTTTCGTCTCGTCCAAGGGCGTGGCGGCCGCGTCCTTGGGCAGCGGAAGCGCCACCAGCGCGAGCTTGCCATCGACAATCGTCACGCCGACGCCCCAAGCGTCGAGCAGCTGGGTGCTATCGTGGTAGACCCTCTTCGATTGCTGCTGGAAGCGCAGAGCAATAGGCTCGGACGACGTGGTCGATGGCAAGGTTGTCGTAAAGGTGTGGAGGTTGCTGGACCCGTCTCCCATGCAGACGGTCGCCGCCAAGGGGCTCGTCGACGGCCCCTTGAGGGTCACGAGGACGCGCTCGGCCTTCTTGCAGCCGCGGTAGGACCGGTCGTTCTCGACCTCGAGGACGTCGTAGGCCGTCGTCGTCGACATGGTGTGCTCGCGATCCAAATTTCCGACTTGAGGTTTTGCCGTCAAAAAGGGGATGAACGCACGCAACTTTCGCCATCAACCTGGCGTCGGTGCAAGCCACAACGGTGCGAATGAGACCGCAAGCGCAAAGGCAGTAGCCCGTAAATTACACCGGAAAAAAGTGCTGGCGGTACTGGCGTAGCAGTGTGGGGATGCGAGCTCATCGGCTGCCTGGGTCGATATGGTTGCGTGAAAATAGATTGAGAGACAGCAAAGGAAGCATCAAACTTTAGTATTAAAATATGAAATCGGAGCTCCGACGACGCGAAACTCGGATCGAACTACACTCTAATTGTGCACTCGGACCACTACTTCTTGGCGCTGGCACGAGTCGTCTTCTTGGCCGGCGCAGCAGCCGCGACCTTCTTGGGCGCAGCCTTCTTCACCGGGACAACCTTCTTGGCCGCGGCCGCCTTCTTGGCAGGCGCAGCTTCCTTCTTGGCAGGCGCAGCGTCCACCTTGGCAACCTCCTCCTTGGCAGGGGCCGCCTTCTTGGCAGGGGCCGCCTTCTTCGCAGGGGCAGCTTCCTTAGCGACCTCCTGCTTGGCGGGAGCCTCCTTCTTGGCGGGAGCCTCCTTCTTGGCAGGGGCGGCCTTTTTGGCGGGAGCGGCCTTCTTGGCGGGAGCGGCCTTCTTGGCGGGAGCGGCCTTCTTCGCAGGGGCAGCTTCCTTAGCAGCCTCCTTGGCGGGAGCGGCTTCCTTAGCAGCCTCCTTCGTCGGGGTCGCCTTCTTGGCAGCTTCCTTCGTGGGCGTGGCCTTCTTGGCGGCTTCCTTCGTCGGGGTCGCCTTCTTGGCAGCTTCCTTCGTGGGCGTGGCCTTCTTGGCAGCTTCCTTCGTGGGCGTGGCCTTCTTGGCAGCTTCCTTCGTGGGCGTGGCCTTCTTGGCAGCTTCCTTTGTCGGGGTCGCCTTGGTAGCTTCTTCCTTCTTGGGGGTTTCGGCGGCCTTGGTTTCTTCCTCGGCTTGCTTGGCCTTCTTGGTGGCCGGGGCTTCCGTCGAGATGTCGTCGCTCTTGCGCTTGATGTTGATTTCGGTCGGGAGCTTGGCCGAGTTGGGCAGCGCGTTGTAGATCGGGAGCGCCATCGAGTCGTTCGTCTTGATGCTGATCGACTTGATGTTCTTCCACTTCTTCGGGACGTAGCTCACGATGGTCTCCGTGCCGTCCATGATGTTGTCGACAATCTGGCTCAGCTCGAGGCCGTCGTGCGCGATCTTGACGTTGAAGCACGGGCCCGTCGAGACAAACATGGCGGTCCCCGCGAGCACGCGGCGAATCGGGTCGCTCACGTTGTTGGCCGAGACATCCACCGTGCGCGGCTGCTTCTTGGCGTCAAAAAACGTCTTGCCAAGGAGCGTCTTGAGGTACGGGAGCACGCGGTCGTCGGCGAGGAAGGTCGCGAACGACACCTTGAGCTCGCGGCGGTCCTTGAACTGGTGAAAGTGCTTCTTGAGCTTCTTGATGCCCATGACCTTGGTGAGGCCTTCGACCGGGTCCGCCTCCAGAGCCTCCTTGATGCGCTTCTTGTCGGCGTCCTTGACGAAGAGGCAGGCCTCGCCATCGGCGCGGATCGAGTGCGGGAGGTCGATCAGAATGGGCTTGAGCGACGCCTTGGGCGGCACCGAGTTGCGCGTCACGATGAGGCTGAAGACGTTGGCATCCTCAACGAGCGCCTGCTTGGCGGCCGACGCCCGCTTCTTCTGCAGCACCTGCTGCAGCGCCACGACGGCCTTCGTCACTTGTTCGCGGTCGACCTGCTCCATTATTATCTGCTGCTCCTTGGATTTACTGGTGGGGACCAATCGCGCCCCGGGATTTTTATCCGCCCTCGTTATCCGGACACCACGCGGGTGCTTTCTCGCCATCCAATTGGCTGGCGTCCCGAAAACGTGCTTTTTACACGCCCCGATGCACCGACCCTCGCACCCCACGTGCAGATACCTTTGTACCCGACCGAGGTACCTTTGCACGGCACGAGCGCACATACAGCGCGCGAACGACGGACGCGGAGACCGCGCTCGCCAAGTTTGCTACCGGTACCGTCTTCGCGCCAAAAGGAGTTTGGCGTTTGGTGAGAAAACCACGTGTGTTTTTCACCGGGAGGTGGTTTTTACCACACGACACGGAAATAGTGTGCCGGCAACCCACTGCAACCGCGCGCGTGAATGATTTTACGACGCTGCATGAACATGCATCGAGGCGATCTGCGCGGATATGCTGTGCTGCATGGAGATGTCGGTGCAATGGACATATGAGGTTGGCTGTCTTCAGAATGACACGGCCGCGGACGCACCACGGCAGAGCGAACGATGCGCGTTCACACGGCTTCACTGGTAGCCAATGTCGATGGTGGTGATCTATGCGTTATATCGACTTGGGCGAACAGCGCTAGGGAGTCGATGGCTATCCCATGCCGCTTGCTAACGCGCATGGATGCTTCGCACCTCTTTCTCGCGGGCGACTGTCAATGTGTCGGTTGAATTTGTTGCCTGGCTCCACCAAAAACAACTTCCAAAAGCTGACTCATAAGTTGACACAATCGCTATTCTTCAGCAGTTGTACTCGCCTATGGCCGCGTAGCGTGGGGCGTCCCATGCTGTTAGTATGGCCAGTGAAATGCATGCTAGCCACAGAGCTAGAGCTAACCGTCGACATGCAAGGTGACAAAAAAGCTCAAGTCTTCAACACTGCACCACGTCAACCTAGGAAATGATGGACCTGCGTACTACACCAAGAGACATCCGTTGCAAAGGGTGCTCCTAGTGCTCACAAGCATGGGTCTCCTTGCTTTTACGACTCGCCGCGCCACAGTTCTTTAGTAAAATTGAAGTAAAACAATCGACACCTTCGTAGGACCGTACCGTATATACTGTTAGAATATCGTCCAGACTACTCGTCCCACTGCCCGTCGATGGGATTTTCGTGTGAGCGTTTATTGTCGATCGCTGGTATGACATTGCACACAATTGTCCGTGCTCTGGCCACGGCCTCGCCGCGCTCGTTCGGTGACGAAACCGGCAACACGGCTCGCGCTGCCGTCGGGCATACGAAAAGCAAGTCGGTCAAGCCAACTCTTGTCGAGGCCGGAGGCGACGGCACCAGCTGGGAATGTGTCGCAGCTCGCATGTGACTTGGTGTTTGTATGCTACACTTGACATTTGTATGCAACTGTACCATCGCAGCTGGAGTGTGAAATCGGCAACCTCTCAGATCTGATACATTTGGGCAATTTAAACCGGCACAACGGGCCTTGATATGTTTTATTCTAAATAGCTTGCGCTTTGTATGGAGTGGAAATAAAATAGCGAGGTATTCGTTTTTTGCTTTATCTTCCGAGTGCTGATGACATCCCTATTTGCAGCTCGAGGAGAGAACGAAGAGGAGGAAGTAGCAGCAGCATGAGCTCGAGCCCGCCCGCGAAACTCAGCATCGGCGTCCCGCCCGCGCGGCCGCTCTCCGAGAGCATTGCCATCAAGAAGGAGCCGGAAGACGCCTCCATGCGCAAGGACAGCATGGGCTGGATCTCGGACGACTTTATGGGCATGATCAATCACACACCGCCGGCCTTCTCGCCCGGCAGCTTGACGCTGCCATCGACCAAGCGGAATCGCAGCGGTAGCATCTCGGGCCGTCTGCTCAGTGCCTCGGACCTTGAAGAGAAGGGCTTCATTGACAGATACCAAAAGGGCGTCTTGAAGGTAATACTGTGTAGCCGTTGCTCACAGCCGCTCATGGTATCTGCAGGACCTCATCATCAGCGGCGACGAGAAGCTGCAAAAAGCCCTTGAAACATTCGAGCAAGGTGACCCTACGGCGCTCGAAGGTACGCTGTTGGCAGCCCTCTCGTCGTCGAGCTCACGCCGACGTAGCACTTCTCGACAGTGGCGCGTTGAACCGCAAGACGTCCGTCGACTTGCTTGACGACCTCGACCTTGGCTTTCTCAACGTGGGCTCGCTCGGTGACACACCCAAGGAAGAGGTATGCACCCATTTGCGCCCACTATCGAGCATGGGGCCCATGGCGTCGGCTAGTACACGGCCCGGCAAACGCTCGACGAGTGGGATGAAATTGGCTTTGAGCCGTTCTCGGAGATTACAAGCCGTGATTTATTGGAAGGTAGCTCGTGCCTTGGACTGCCCATGAGGACTCAATGGACTGTGTAGCGGGCGACTTTTACTCGTCGTCGCTCGGCAACTCGCTGCCGAACTCGCTGCCCTCGATGGGCATGGGTATCACGCCGCCCAACGCCTTTAGTTTTGCAGATGACTTTCTGGATCAGTCCTCCAAGGTAGCGTCTAATCGAAGACGATGCATCACACGTCTCTAGCTGTCGAGCCCGACGTCGAGCGAGAACGTCAAGGCCGAAGACGGCAGTGCCGGCATGTCGACGTCGCGCCCGATCGGCATCCCTGGCTCGGCCGCGACGCAGCCGCGGCTCGGCGCGTCGGCGTTCATCGGCGGCATGGTGGGCCTCGGCGGTGGCCTCAACGACTCGGAGAAGAAGGCATTTGTGGGTGCGTACTCGCCTGAGTCGCGACGCAAGCGCGTCGAGAAGTTTCTCGATAAGCGGCAGAAGCGTGTGTGGCGAAAGGAGGTCAAGTACGACGTGCGCAAGAACTTTGCCGACTCGCGCCTCCGTGTCAAGGGCCGGTTCGTCAAGAAAGAGGACGAGCAGTTGCTGCGCGAATTGCTTAGTTTTACCTAGTCGCGCTTTGAACCTCTTGTTGTTGTCGTGGCGGCCGTTGTTGTTGCTGCTGCATCGGCCTTGTTGCAGGCGCAGTCGCAGTCGGTCGAGAGACAGTTTTCGAGCGACCACGTCACGTGGAGCGCGTGCTTGGCGTGGCACTTGGCCGCACACACGACACAGAGCTCGGCGAGATGGCACGTGCCGCAGGTGTAGAGCACGCGGAGGCAGTCGGAGCGCAACGTCTTGGTCGTGGTTTTGGCACTGCACTCACTCGAGGCTAATGGACGCCATTACGCGCGATTCGATACTGTCGTCTTCATACCCGAGAGCAAGCTCGTATCGAGCGGTGGTCGCTCGGTCGCGTTCAACCCCGCTACCGATAGAACGTCGCACACAGTCCGAGCAGATAATCGATGAGACTAATACCTCGGTCGCCCCACACAAAGGTTCGCTCGCGGCCGGCGACAGCCCCAATGACGTGGATGCCTTGGAGGAACACCTACAACGCAGCCTGGCTCGGTCGCCAGAAGGGATACGTGTGACGCACGCGACGTGGGTACAGAAGCGACGCGGCTCGAATGTCGTGGACCATCGAAGCGTCGGGCTGGTACCCATGGAGACCGTGGCCCCAGACCCACACATCGCCGTCCGCTAGGACAGAGTGACGATGCTACAAGAAGAGGTCGACGCACTCGTTACGGCCAGCGAGTGCCGCGCGCCGGCGCTGACGCTGGTAATCTTTTCGCTCTTGAGCTCGTCGATGGCGCGCGGCACTTTGCTGTTCCAATTGTCGCGGTGCCCGAGCTGCCCATGCGCGCCAAGGCCCCACGTGTAGACGAACGCGCCGTTCTTTGGCGTCGGGATTGCTACCATCCTAAAGTCGCGAGGGCTCGCTAGTGCCAACATTCTACCCGAGAGTGCAACGATGTGGGCACCGCCGCACGCGATGGCTTTGATTTTCTAGACCACACATCAGATGCACGGTGCCTCGAGAGACGACGCCGACTTTGCCACGCAGCCCGCCGACGCGCGTCGGCTTGGGCTGATCTGCGCGATCGTCGTCGCCATTTCCAAGAACGCTAGAATGAGAGCATCGGTCGTGCGAACTTCTCGGGTGAAAGCGCATGTACCCGTGCTGCCCCGAGCCCCATACGAACACTTGGCGCGCGGCCAGGTTGTCTGGTGCAGGAACCTTAGATGCCAAAAAGTGCACAGTCGATCGATCACCTGTGAGCGCAACCGAGAACTCGTCGCCGGCACCGATCGCCGCCACGAAGAAGCGGTCAAACGCATCGAGTCGGACGGGTTCCCAGTGGTCCTCGGTCGTGCCTACATCTCTACGATGTCCTCAAAATCTGCTCGGAACGGCGTACCCGTGCCGAGCTTGCCGTGTCGACCATCGCCAAAGGCAAAGAGACCGTGGTGATCCGTGAGCGCCAAGACGTGCTGACGGCCGGCCGCGATCTGCGTGACGCGGAAGCTTGCGAGTGCAGCTATCACGCGCGGCGTGGCCTCGGACGCCGTCGAGCCATGCCCCAAGACGCCGCGTTCGCCGCGTCCCCACGAGTACACTAGACGGACGGCGTGAGCACACATCGTCGAAGCGTCTCGTACGCCGGTTGTGTTCATTCAAGTCTTTGGTTGCGTCCACGGTAACCAAGGCGGGCCGCTTTCGCCGAAGTATGGCGGGCTCCTATAGAAAAGTAATGATATCCCACGTCCCGGTCGGCGGCACCTACTTGGGCCTCGCGCTCCTTGGCCTCGACATCAATGCTGGCTTCCTGGGGCTTGTCTACATTCCGCGATCAAGTCGAGCCGCGCCTCGCTACCAGCACGTACCGACAAGCGCAAACGAAGCGTACTCGGTGGCTGCAATGGCAATGATTTTGGAGCCGCCGAGTGGCGGGAACGCGTGCATGACCGAGAGGGGCACGAGTTCTTCCGTCTCGGCCGACGGCGTCGGCTCCGTACCAAGGGCATGGTACGTGTTGTCTCCACACGCGAAAAGCTGATGCGAGTCTAGCGAGGCCTTACGTTAGGCAACATATCGACTCGAGTACTGTCTAGTACCTGCGAGGAGGAGTGTGTGGTACTTGCCTGAGGCCACCTACGACGACTATCGGATCGAGACGAGGACAGGTCTTTACAGCGCGAAACTTGGCTTCGCGCTCGATCTTGGTCCTGCGACGCGACGCATCTTCAACGAAAATCGTCTCCCGTATCGGCGGCGCGACCTGCGGCTGCAGCACGGGCTCTGTCGACAGAGAGCAGAGCGCGCCCCGCTCGGCGCAACCCCAATGGTACATGATCCACTACACGCAACGCACGATCGTGCTAGTATAGGCATCAGTAGTAGCAACGTTGTACTTGGTCGCGCGGCCCGACGACTGTCGCGTTGATGTCGCCAATGCGCCACTCTTCCTTGCGCACTTTGAGGCAGTCGCGGCAGTAGCAGCCCGTTTGGCCGGGCGAGTGCACCGTCTTGTCCGAGAGCTATGACGTGGCAGTGTCCGCATTGATATGCGAGCACATAGACGCGACGTACACCCATGTATTCCTTTGATGGCTTTTTCACTTCGTTCAACTTTGCCTGCAGCTGGAGGCGCGCTCGGACTTGCTTGCTAAAGTCGTCCATCGCCCTGAGAGATATGACCGTTATTTCCGCCGTGCACACCCGCCGATGGGCTGCATGTAAACGTTATGTTCTCAACAAGTTCTGATGCGCGGGGCATCGACAACGCGGCTTCGTTTAGTAGCTTGGGACGGCGGCCACCAAGGGACGCGTTGTTGAAGGCGAAGTGCAAATGGCGTGTTTTTATCCACCTCAGTCGTGTCTTTGGGGAACCGCTACTACCAAACCGGTTGACATCGGCGCAACCTTTGGTCACCACACACCACCGCCGCCAAGTGTCTTTTAAAATGAACGGCCAGTATACAAATCGTGAATGATGCGTGCGCCGGTCACCAATATGGAATTAAATTTTTGACAGCCATTGAAATATAATATTTGAAAGACCCACGGATCTCCATTTCCGGACTCGCTCCTCGTCGACGCACGATGACGGCAAGGACGCCCTCCAAGGCGCACATGTACGAGCGAGATGCAAGCGAGGACCCGAGGTTGACACCTGTATGTGCATGGTATGCTAGGCACGAGCTGCACAAGCGCCAGTCGCAGTCGACGACCCACGCCGTCCAGACCGAGACGGTCGCCACGCAGACCGACGCGACTGGCAACCCGGGCACGGGCAGCAAGAAGAAGAAGAAGAAAAGAAGAAGAAGAAGAGCGATACGATCAGCGAGCTCGCGAGCGAACGCGCAAGCGAGATTGGCCTTGAGGACGAGGAAGGCCACTCGGAGAGCGAGGTAGAGTACATCTATGGAGATGACCGAGTAGCCGCACATCCAGTTCCGACGTAGGACGAGTCGGTGACCGTGCTTGTGCGCAGCCACCGCTCCAACAGCGCCGAAGTAGAGATCGAGCGCAGCCAGCATGGCACCACCGTCACCGAGATCCCGTCCGAGCGCGAAGCCTACTTGAGCCTCCCGCTCTCGGTGCGTCTCGAGAAGGCAGCGTCGCACCCCGACTTCAAGGCGGGTCTCCATGGCCTCGTCGAGTGGAGCAATGCGCACCTCTCGCCCGACGTCGTCGACATCTTTTTCCAGAGCAAGGCCTTGAAGCTCCTCCTCGAGAACCTCTTCCGCGTCTGCCCCGTGCACAGCCACCTCTTTGACAGCCTCACGGCGCTCTTCGCCAACCTCTTTGCTGGCACGTACCCGTTTGAGCTCGCGGACGGCCGCAAGACGGGCAACGTCAAGGCCGCGCGGCTTGTTGTCCAAAGCATCCGGTCGACCGTCGACTCGCTGCGGTCGCTGAAGCGCTACAAGGACAAGGCTCCGATGGTCGCATCGCTCATCCCGCAAGTGTCGGCGTCGCTCACCAAGCTCATCGTGAGCCACCAAGCGCAGAACGCGCTGCAGCCCTCGGACGGCTACGACCTCGCCACCAACATTCTCAAGCTCGACGAGACGCTGCAGAGCATGGTTGCGACCGAGAATGCGATCCGTGGCCAGACGATCCGCGATACGTTCCGCCGCCGTGATCTGCGTGCGGACGCGGTCGCCGTCAGCGGTCAGCGCATGACGTCGCTCCTGTCCCTGGTCGTGCAGGCCAATGCAAAGCGTGCGACGAGCGTGGCCGTGACGCCCGAGCTGGCGCCGTCGGCTGCCGGCGGGAGTCCCGGCCGGCCTGGGACCCGTCCGACGGGCCCAAGACGTGACGTCGATCGAAGCGCGCTTGAGCCAGCTTCACAAGGAGAAGGTCGCGCAGCTCGCGCCGTGGCAAGAGAAGAAGGAGAAGGTCTCGAACGAGCTCATGGAACTCAAGCTCCTCCAAGACGAGCTCCGTAAGAAGCTCGCGGACGTCGACTCGCGTCTGCACATCTTGCAGCACCTCCACGGCGACGTACGTGACTCTCTAAGACGATTCAACGGCGGGCGGCTCATTGTTTTCGTAGATGGTCGGCGAAATGGCTGCGATCGAAGCCACGTTTGAAGACGAGATTGGCCGCTTTGGCGCGGAGAACATGGGTGTCGTGAGCCATCTCCAGGGCGTCGAGAAGAAGCAAGAGATTGTCGGCGCGTTCCGCGGGCTCCGCACGACGCTCGACGACCTCTCGGCGTCTGCGCTCCGGCACAAGATGGTGGGCACGACGGCGCAGCACCTCGAAGGCGTCCTGCGCTACGTCTCGGCGCAGGCCATTTGCGTTCAGTTTACCAAGAACCGCCTTGTCGACGCCGACACGAAGCGCACCAAGCTGCAAATGGAGATGCAGGCGACCGAGTCGCTCGGCGACGACGCAACCAGCCTCGTGCAGCAGATTACAGAGCTTAGCGCGCTCATTTCCGAAGACAAGAAGAGCCTCCGCGCCGACATGGCGCGCGATGCGGACCTTCGGACGCAGCTCGACGCGCTCTTGGCGACGCTGCAAAAGGAAGGCGCCAAGGACGACGCGACCGTGAACGACGGGACGGTGGCCGAGATCCACGACCTCTTTGCCAAGATCTTCAGTGTCTATGCGCTGTACGAGGGGTCGGACGACGACAACGACGATAGTACGGCCGTCGTCGAGCCGCGCGGCGCGGCCTCCGTGCCGGCGACCGAAGAGGACGAGCTCGAGATGCAGATCACGCAGGAAAACCTCGCCCGCCTCGAACAAGGTACATCCTAGTTTTGGCTGCACGGTCTAACTGACGATTAGGGCAACGACCGACCCGAGCGGCCAAGCACTAGTCGGCCCCTTCCATAGACGGACAAGCGATAACCATATATCTACTACTTCTACTATACCTACGACGACAGTCGAGAGTGTTGCAACTAGGATTCGTTGTGGAGGAGCGAGTGGTAGCCCGACGTGATCATGTTGATTTCTTCTTCGAGCTGGTACGTGGCGTCGGCTTCCTGTTGTAGCCGCTCCTGCAACTGCTTGTTGCGGTGTTTTAGTGCGCGCAAGATGCTGTGGTCCGTCTCGGCGCCCGGACGCCCTTTTGTCGGTGCACTACTCCGCGGCTGCTCGTTCTCGGGGCCTCTCGACTCGATCGCCTCGGGCCCTCGTTGTTGTTGTTGTGGTTGTTGAGGCATTGGTGGTTGTCGGTAGCCATCGTCCGTCAGCAGCGACGGCGCGCGTGGCTACAAGAACCATCGTCAACACTCGATGCCCATCATGTTGAGACGACTTCGAGCGCAGGAGCAAAGGGCGACGGGCGGTATCGACTGTGGGTTTCGGCGGCAAGTGGCGCCGACATGGCTTGCGGCATCGTGCGTGACGACGAGTACGGCAGCGGGTGCGTCGCGCCCCGGTGCACCGAGTAGTCTGAAATGATGGCGTTTTGCGATCGCTACAGAGAGAGACACTACGCACCGCTCGATACAAACGAGGTCTTACCAGTGCTTGCATCTCGGTCTCGAGCTCGCGGATACGCTTGGAGAGCTCTTGGTTGGTCGCTTGGGTCTCGTGCAGCGTGCCTTTGAGGTCGCTCACGTGGTCAAAGTGTTGGTTCTTGAGCTCGCGAATCTAAGTCGGACTTATGGGCGCAGATGGAGGCTGTGTTGTCGTACGGTCTTGACGAGCACTTCGTGGTCCCGCTCCGCGTCCAGCACTTGCTGCTTGAGCGTTTGCGCCTGGCCTGCGCTTGGTCTTGAGTGTTTTTGGAGATGATCTACCTCGGTCGCAAAGGTTGAATTGAGCTTGAGGCGCCGGACGAGCGTGTCGCAACGACGCTGGAGCGCGTCGTTGACTTGGTGCAGCGTCGCGATCTGATGCTGCAGGGCCTCCTTGATGTTTCGCTCTTCCTTGACAGTCTCTTGTGCGAGCTACGCACTCTGTCGTTTGACGCAAACGCTCGGATTGACGTCGTACGTGCAACTTGTGACGGTCGCTCGACTGGAGGGCGGCGGCGTCGCGGAGCTCCTGTGCGGCCTTGGCCGTTGTCTCTTTGGCCACGTGGGCTTGCTCCTCGACCGCTTCCAGCATGTGTTCCAAGTCCTTGATCTTGGCCTTGTCTATATATGAGGCTGAGTGCGCGTAGAGATCGTAGAGGCACCAACCCCGCCGGCTCGTCTCTCGGAACGCATCGACTTGGTGGTCCTTGGCTGTGAGCTCTTCCTGGAGCTCGTTGATCGTGCACGACAGCGTGTCCTGGATCTTCTGCATCTGCTCGCGGTCCCACTTGGTATGGTGGTCGACAACGTGCGACGTGTCCGACTCTATTGGCCCATGGAGTGCACTCTGTCTTGACCAAAGGAAAGTTGTCGTACGGTAGGCGTACGCTGTCCGAGGCTTGAAGTCCATCTGCGCTTGTGCGAGCTCGTCTTTTGTGATCGCAAGCTCTTCTTTGACTCGGTCCAGCTCTTCCTGGAGCGACCGAATGTACATCTACAATCACATATATACAGCATCAATCGGGCGCCTTCCACGTGCTACGTACCTGCGTGTCACTCCGTGTGGATGAGACGACCATGTTGGTGTTGCCTAGTACACATCCCCACTTCACGATGGTGCATGCAAAAATGACAGCATGCGCACCATCGATGATGGTGTTGAGCCGCTTGATTTCTCGCTCCGCGTCCTCTCGCAGCTTGGCTTCTTGCTAAACAGCAAAACGCTCTGCGATGCAATCCCATGGGCGACGACCGAACCTTGACTTTTTCCGAGAGCACGGCGAATTTACGACAGAGGACTTTGAGCTGCGTCGTGGCAGACGTCACGCACGTCGATGGCTCTGCCTGCACCTGCAAGCTCTCGCGCAATAGCGCGTCGTTGGTGGGGCTCGGCTTCTTGACCGTCGCACTGCGTGGGTCCAAGTAGCCCGCCTACGGTGTAGCATAAAATGGCCGTCGCAGGTCGCTCCTGGACGCACTGCCGCGCGCTCTGTCGTGCGAATGTACGCCGGCCGCGTCTTGAGGCTTGACGCGCGCTCGGGCTGCGGCGGCGCGGCCTTGGCCGTAGCGTCTACGGGCTCGGACATGGCAGCAGTGCTCGACTCGATCCTCGTGCCGAACGGTCGCGCGATAATTTTCTAGCCGCGCTGCGATTGGTTGCTTGTATTGCTTTTTATATATTACTTAAAGCTAAATAGCGAGTGGGCTCGATTGGTATCCGGATTACAAAGAGCCAATGAGATGCAGTCGCACAGTGGCCGATTTCTGCGCCGACGATGGCCGATCTTCCCTTCTTCCGTGCGTGGGCCGATGACGAGCGCATGGAGGCGCTCTACAGCTCGAGCGTACTCAACGACCATATGCTCACCAAGCTCTGTAACCCATAGCAGGTGCTGTCTCGACGGCTAACGCTCTTTCCTAGGGCTCCCGCCGTGCACTGGAGCACCCAGTCCGTCGAGTACACTACCTCCTTCATCTCACTCATGGTGTTGCATGTAGCGGGCTGCGATATCACATTGATGGCGCGTTTGTCCAGGCGTGGCGGCCATCGTTGCTTCTGTCGCGGGACGAGCTGCCGCGGCGCTTTGAGCGACAAGGCATTGAACCAGTTCCCGTGGTCGTCGACCATCTTCTGGTAGTGCGACGTTGTATAAGCTGTGGACAAAGTCGTGCCAACGTGTCTACATAGACCGCGCTAGTGCAAGCCCACGAGCTCGTGACGCCGTCAGCGCTCCTCGAGCGGTGTCATGCACAGTCCAAACTCGGGTACGACGATTCTTCAAACGATATTATATAAACTCGAACCTCTCGATATGCAGGTGGCTCGTCGACGTCGCCATCAAGCGGCCAATGCGCTGGGGCTGGACGTCGCTTTGGAGTGCGATAGCTAAGGAGGACGACGATTGTCCGTCGCACGACAGCCCGTACCTCTCGCTTCCGACGCTCGCAAGCCTCGCCATGCATGTGCACACCTATGCGCTATCAACGCACGAGCCATTGGCACGCGTCTTTTGCTTTGGCATTGACCACGCCACGTGCGCCATTAAGGACCATGCGTTTCACGCGCTTTGCCGGGCGGCAAGTCAACACGACGAGGCGTCTGCTCCGGCGCAATTCCTGGCCGCCGTCGCCGCCGACGAGCTCGACTACATCGCGTGGTACCTCGTTTACACCAAGCGCGCTGTCGTGCAGCCTGGGGTACGATGTCATGGAGATATCGATGGTGAAGCTCTAGACGGTGCTTTGGCTAGCTCATCAAGCTCATCGTTCCGGAGGCAACGGCCGAGGTGAGCGATGGCGACCGCACGGTGTTGCTGCTACACCATACCATTGCTACTGTTGAGAGCTCTCTTGCCTCGCTTCAGACCCGCGTACGGTTTCGATGTGTGGATACTCGATGCTTATGGAAGGGCCTAGGTGGCCACCGTCACGCGAAAGGCTCTGGAGGCCAAGCGCCGCGGCAGCGCGTCCGAAGCACTCGCGCTCTGGCGCCACGCCAAGACGCTACAAGCCGACGTGGACCAGCGCCAGAATGCGCTCTTGAATCTTCTCTCGACCAAGCACCAGCTCGGCGCCATGTCGGCGCAGGCCACGGTACGGGCGTCAACAACCAACGACAGGACGCACGTCAGTGTCTGTGATACAATACTAGATCCTCGATGGCTACAAGCTGGCCGCCGAGAGCCTCCGTAGCGTGCGGGCGTCCTTGCATCTCTCGACGGAGGAGGTGGCCGAGACACTGGCCGACTGGAGCGATGTCATGGACGAGCAACGCGACATGGACGACCTCCTCGCTGCCCGTACACTCCATTTCGGTTGCATTAGCATCACGCTAGCTTTCGTAGACGCAGCCGACTTTACGGTGGACGACGCAGCGCTCGAGATGGAGCTGCTCAGTCTGGCCCCGCCGAGTCCCATGGCTGTCGAGATCCGAGACGAGCCCGTCAAGCAAGGGAATTCCCTTGCCGTCGAGACGCCGGCAGCCACGCCACCTCCAGCAGCCACGCCGCCTGTGCCAAAACAACTGGAAGGGATCTCTAAATGAAACACTTGTATTCTTCTGTTCAAAGTGCGAACCCTACTACTCCTGGTATGCGCTCTCGGCAGAGGCGGCTTAGGCGATGTCAATCTTGACGCCGCGGCGAATCTCGCCCCAGCCGATAAGGCGCCAGTGCTTGTCGATCCGTCGGCTCAACGCAATCTTCTCGCCTTCTTGTGTGCACACGGGCTGCGTGAGCAAGATCTTGGCCAGATCCTGCTTGACGGCAATGATCTTGGCGCCCGTCGTCGTCGACCCAATGTTGATCATGAGCACTTCGGCCTTCGTGAGCTTCTGGACCTTGGAGGCCTTCGAGCCCTCCGACGTCTTGACACCGAGGAGGCGGCGGAGGAGGTAAAAGTTGATTTCAAGCTCTGTGAAGATGTCGGGCAAGCTGCCCTTGAGGCCAAGCACCTGGCCGACGAGGCGATCCGACCGCGTGAGCGTCGGGTCAATGAGCGTACCGACACCGATGAGGCCACCCGGCACCGCGTACTGCAGCTCGTTGTGTTCGGCCTTGAGCGACACGATGCGCGAAAAAATGGGCGTGCACTGCACCTTGCCATCTTCGTCCTTCGAGTAAATACCGGGGCGGACTTCAATCTCGTCGCCAATGCGGAGAACACCCTGGAGGATCGAACCACCGGCGACACCGCCCTGGAGGTTCTCAACGTCCTGGCCGGGCTTGTTGACGTCAAACGAACGAATGACGATGAGCTTGGGCTTGGACACAAAGTCGCGGCGCGGGATCGGGATGTTGCGCACAATGTACTCGCAGACCACGTCAATGTTGTACTTCAAGACGGCCGAGATCGGGATGATCGGGGCGTCGTGGGCGACCGTACCAGCGACAAACTGCTTGACCTGCTCGTACTGGGCCTTGGCCGCATCCGGCTTGATCAAATCGACCTTGTTCTGGAGAATGATAATGTTCTGGAGGCGCATGATTTCGACAGCGGCCAAGTGCTCCGACGTCTGCGGCTGCGGGCAGGGTTCATTACCAGCGACCAGGAGGAGCGCGGCGTCCATGACGGCGGCACCGTTCAACATGGTAGCCATGAGAATATCGTGGCCCGGGCAATCGACAAAACTCACGTGGCGCTGCAACGCCCACGTCACGCCCTTCTCGTCCGTGAAGCGGTCCGGCTTGGAGCTGCCAAAGGCAGAGTACATGGGGCCCGTCGGCGCCTCGTCCGCCTTGGCCGGCGCGGGCTCCGAGCGGTAGATCTTGGCGTTGGCATACCCGAGCTTGATCGTAATGTTACGCTCGAGCTCGTTCTTGAAGCGCACGGTCTGCACGCCCGAGATGGCCTTGACGACCGTCGACTTGCCGTGGGCGACATGGCCGATCGTACCAATGTTGATCGTCGCCTGGCGCGAGATGACCTCGGGCGTGAGCGGCGTGAGCGTCTTCGGGTCGAGCGCCGAGAGGTCCTGGACGGCCAGCTGCTGCTGCGGCGAGTTGTTCATCCTCGAGGCTTGCGAATATGACTGGACGAAGGCGTAGTCAATGCTATCTCAGCCACTGAAAATCCCCGAAACCCACCATGTCCGGATGGACTTTACCGGATGACGGAATTTGATTGTGGCCGACCGCGCGGCCGGAGCGACAGGGCTGACGGCGACCGTCGCCTCGCCGGGCAGGTCGTGCGGGACGCGCCAGCGACGGGGCGCAGACGCTTCGTCCATCTCATGCGAATGCGCTTGTGGGCGATAGCGATCGTAGAAGCTTGGCCATCGCGTTCGTATGGCCTTGGACTACACCCAGATGCGTGCCCAGAAGCGTGGAGGAAGACGACTTGGCACCGGCAACACAACCACATCTCGTCGCCGGTCCTCGACTGTCTTGCCGTCGTGTGCATACGCCACAGGAATCGCATACACCTGGCGCGACCACAAAGAGGAAGAAGTACACTTGGACGCTTTGCTGAAAGGAATACCAGGGGTAGCATGTTGCGACCACAGCAGAAGACTGTACTAGCTGTCATGCTAGCACTGTAGCAAAAGACACACAGACTGTCGCTGCCCTTAGAGTAGCGGCGACGCTTTCCGCTTGTTCGAGATGACGTTGTACATGGCCGCGTCGACGAGCCCCATGACCTAGCGGGCCGTCCTCGACAAAATGGACAAAGATGTAAGGGCGCACGTACGGTGAAGACGCCGCCGACGATGGCGCAGACGCTGGTGAGGAATGGGACGAGCCCCTTCTGCGTCTGCTCGATGCGAAACTTGATGGGCGAAAACTCGTACGCAAACGTGATGCGCGGGAGGCCCTTCTGCCCGGTTGGCGTCATCTCCAAAAAGTGCTCGGTCGCCGAGTACTGGTTGGACTTGATCTCGTTGCCGTTCAAGAACGAGTAGTCGGTCGAGACCACCTAGACAAGATGGACCTCGAAACTGGAAGAGGAATCGAAAAGAAGCGGACCTTGAGAAAGTACTGGTACGCGCCGCGCATGCCCTCCGGAAGGTGCTTGACGCGCGCATTCAGTGGGTTCTTCATGTTCTACCATGCCGCGCTCGTCACGAGGAGAAGATACAAAGAAGTTAGAAGGAGGACGTACGGGGTACTCTTGGCCAAACGTGAGCGCGTGGATCGTGTGCGAATTGTCAAACACCTTGAACGTCGAGTCGAGGACATCGTCGGCGACGAGGTATCCGCTTTGAAAGATCTTGGACGGCGCAAAGTAAAACTTGCCGGCGACCTAAATACGTCACCTAGTGCATGCGACCGACGAGACTGTCGGAGAGGGTAGGTACCTTGGCGACGTCCAGATGACCCGTGATGCGGCAGCCTTCCTTGATATCGCCCTTGAGGATCGCCTCCAAGTCGGCGTTCATGCACTATTAGACAATGTTTCATCGCATGCTCGTCGTCGTCTCTGGTGAAATTACCTGCACCACGGTGTGCAAGCTCGGAAGCGCCCAGTTGCGGCGAACGTACGCGTTCTTGACGTCCTCACACGTATTGCAGCACTAGAGGTAGTAGCTTCGTACGAGGCTTTCCCGGGCCTGGTTGAATACCTCGCCAGGGTCGCCGGCACCGTAGCAGTTGCCGCACATGGAGCTACTCTCGCATCAGTGTCTAGGTACATGAGATATACTTGCACGGCGCACCCATCGGTTTGAACGGCGAGCTGCGATTCGTTGACGAGCGCACCACCAATCTAATGATGGCACCGAGGAGCGGTCAGGAAGGAAGTCCCATGACCATAGGGATTCGCCCACCGTTTCTTTGATCTTTTCGCCAATGGTGTTGCCTACGAGCTCGTGAGATGGATGCTGAACGTGCAAGATGCTTTGCCGTACCATGCAGGTCCAAGCGCATCTTGTGAATGTTGTCGATGACATCGAGCTAAAAGCCAACGCTGAGATTGAAGGGGCAAGGAGGACGAAGCGCTACTTGAACGCGGCCGGCAAGATCAGCATGCTCGATCGAGACAATCTGGCATGGCATGCTAGACATGGAGCATTGCACGTTTTGTAGCCTCGGCGCGTGTCGTTACCGAGGAAACTCAATGTCAAAGTTGATCGACAGATTCACGTTGCGCGTGCCATCCACATACATCTTGTCGACCGTATCCTATGCACGCATGTGAATCCTGTCGCAAGAAAGCAGGCACGCAGGGTCACGCACCACGGCCAAGTGGTAGGCGAGCTCCGAGAAGAAGAGATAGGCCATGAGGATGAAGGCGCAGAGCGAGACTAGCCGCGCCAGCATGAGACCATCATGCATGGCATCGAGGGTAGCGAGGTCGTACAGAGGCCGCCCTGTGTCGTCCGGACCTTGAACTCCTCGAGCGTCTTGGGGTTCGCGTCGAAGCTCTTGATCTTCTGCCACACCGACGCCATGCTCGTACTGCTTGTCGTTGGGCGCTTCCGGGCGGAACACGTAAGTGCTCGAAGTCGAATTTTGTGACTACGAACTTCGTTGAACGACTAAAACACCCAAGTCCATTTGATTTTAATTGCAGTGAGAAATCAACCCGCCCACAGCCACTGCGATCGCCGAGGCCGTCGCCATGGAGTGCGACGCGCGTCAGTAGAGGCAACCAACTCGACTATAAACGGTCGTCATCTTGTGCATCTCTGGATTTCGGTTTCACATCCTACGGCTGGAAAGCAGGTAGGATCAAGCACTTGTTTATTCCCTCGGCAGGATGCACCAACTCGCGCGTTGGCTTCTTGCGCTGCTAGTAGCGATAGCCGCGGACGTGACCGCCGATGGCTGCGAGCAATGTCGTCTCACGGGACAGTGCGCTCAAGCTGTGCTCAACGTATCGGGTCACTACTGCGGAGAGTACTACCTTTCGCACGACGAAAACGCGACGTCGTGCTGTTGCCCGACCGGTCGTCTCTGCAACGCCACCATGACCACTTGCGCCTGCGCCCTGCCCCCAACGACGAGGGAAACGACGGCCACAGCACCCCTGCTCTGCCTTGCTGCGTTCTTTTTCGTCTCCGTTAGCGGGCTCGTCTGGTGCAACAGCCGGCGCAGCACCGCCGTCCACGATGCGTCATCCTACGTCCTCTACAACGACCAGTCGTTCCCCGACTCGACGGAATCGTCGGCGCGGGAGAGCGAGGTCGGCGAATTCATGGGCAGCCACAACGACGACGCGACCAAGCAACTCAAAGTCCAGTAGCAAACGACGAGTATTCACGCCAGAAACATGTTGTATGGTTGGCTGTCGAGCGCCAGGTCCATTTCCACTCACGTGTTCTGGTGGTTGGGTGGCGGCAGAGAGCGAAGCGAGTCCAGCGCGTTGACGTGAGCGGTCGACTGATAGGGTCGTCGTGTCGTGCACCCAATCTTGCGGTGGCACTTGAAGTGCCACTCGACTCGTCGCGCGACCAAGAAAACAGCGCAGGCATGGCCCGCCCTTTGGCTCGCGTTCAGCAAGGACCATCCATGCTTCAATGCCACGCGTATACAAACCGGAGCAGCTGGTGCAACGTTGCAAAAGACGTGTCATTATCTTCGTGGAGGCGGCTTCACGGGCCTTCGCCGCCAGCCATACAGCACCACTCGGATGCAACGCACCGACAAACGTTCACGGGAGTCGCCGTTAAATAAGGATCCAGCTCGGATGAAGCATGCAGCACTACCTACCTCTATGCTCGTTGCAGCAAGCGCTAAAAGAGCGTGGTCACGACCATGAGAAAGAGGCCAAGGAGCAAGAGCTTGAACGCGAGGTCTTTGTCTGGCACCGCCTTGGTCTTCTTCTTCTTCTTCTTGAGCGGTGGTGCGGCGGGTGACGGTGCCAGCGAGAGGTTGAGCTCGACGCGCGACTGCTGGCACACGATGTCGATCGGCAGCGCTGCGTCCATGAGCGCGAGGCGCGGGCATGTGTCTAGCGACGACTTGGACGTGGTCGTCGCGATGACGAGGAAGCCGACGCAGGCCATGAGCACGAGGAGGCTCCGCGGGACGTCGTACAGCAGCATCTGCCAGGCGCCGCTCGAAATCGAAAATGGACGCTTCCCCGTTGGGTTCCAACCGGTGTCGCAGTCGAGATACAAACGCCGATATCATGTCTCGTATCCGGATAGTCCGGTATATCTTCCGGTTGGCACCGTTTCGGCTCTAATCTTGGGCGTCGCCGCGCCAAAATGGTGGCACCCTAGGTCTTCCAGGTGCTATCATGGGCTGTACGATGGAGTGGACAGGGCATACGACCTATGAGCTCATTGACCAAAGAATATGGTCGACGAACCCCCGAGACGCGCCGTCGCAGGCCATCGGGTGGTGCATATCACTGTGGCAGAGCAAAATCCGAATGCATTGGTCACGACGATCAACCAAGCCGACGGGATCGCATTCGGCGAGGCTACTGCCACTATTTTCACGCATTAGCACCCCGCAACGAGCCTCTCGACGACGGAGGTATATGGGCCGAAACTCGGTTGATCTCTCGCTCGTACTAATAACATGGTAAAGGTATCTGTTTCTGCAAATGGACTCGTGCAGCTTCGGCACTGCACATGCTGGCGCTGGACAGCTGACCCACAAGTGACCATCATGGGCTCCAGACCATCACCTACTTGAGGTGGCGCGTGAAGGATGAGGGTGCCACGCAGACTGTAGCCTCCCTTGGGCTGCGCTTGCACTTGGCGCTACAAAGCTGGACTTGCACGAACAAACAAACCTGTGCAATACTCTGGAATCGTATATTCTGGTATTGTATTTTAGAGGTTATTGCCTTTTTGTCAACGATGGACGCGGAGCCGAAGAAGAAGAAGCGCCGATGCATCTCCAAGGCCGAGCGCTTGGCGAAGCGTATGCAAGCAGTATCGCTGCAAGAAGACGAGAAGCTGACGCAGGTCGAGGCGCTCTGCGCGACCGACTCGAGCCAAGACTGGGACGCTGCCCACCGACTGGCCACGTCGCTGACGACTCGCGCCGCCTTCCTCGCGATCTTGCTCCAGAAGCATCAAGCCAAGGCTGCTGCGCACTACACGCGCCGGTGGGATCCACCCGAGGACCTCTCGCGGCTGCTGGGGAATGATCGTGTCTTGGCGGCGTTGCACGCCCATGCGGCGACGGCCGCGACTTTTCTGAGCGCTTGGCGCGACGCGCCGGTCCCGCCCGCAGCGCTGCGCAAGCTCCTTCTCGCGTTTGTGCTGCCGCGGATCGAGCGCAAGGAAGACGCGCCGCTTCAGATCCTGTTACACCAGTTTGCCGCGCTCAAGTGGCGGCTCTTAGAACACGCGCTCGTGACCACGCAGGGCCAGCACCTCGTCAACCAATTTGCCCATGTCGTGCGCAGCCTCCACGACGAGCCCAATATTGCGCGGCCACTGACTCCTTGGCTCGAAGCTGTCGATGGGCCCATCGACATTCATCTTCGCGAATCGGTGCGCAAGCTGGTTGAAGACGTCTTGCAGCGCGTCTGGCCCGACGCGCGCGTCCACCTCTTTGGCTCGTCCGTCACGGGCCTCTGCGCAGAAGATAGCGACGTGGACCTGTGCGTCGTCGTGCCGTCATCGCCCGGCCGCTTTGCCGACTCGGTCGCACTCGCGGTCGATATGCACGAACACCTTTCGCTCTACCTGCCTTCGCCGCACTCGATGGTTGTCAAGAACGCGCGCATCCCCGTCATCAAGACGCAGCTGCATGGCCTCGACGTGGACATTTGTGTCAACAACACAGCCGCGCTCTGGAACTCGCAGCTGCTCGTGGCCTTTCTCCGAGCCTACCCCGCACTGCGCCCGCTCTGCGTGTGCCTTCGGTCGTGGGCCGCGCGCCGGTCGCTGCTCAAGTCGCCGACATGCGCCCATTCGCTCTCGCCGTACGCGTTTGTGTTGCTCATTCTGCACTGGCTCCAGATGCGCGGGTACCTTCCGTTCGTCGATGTATCCTTTGATGACAGTCTGGTTGTCTCCATCGCCACGATCGATGACGCGATCGCATCGGCGCTGGCCGAAGCGCTGCCGCCACCCAAGACGCTCGCGACCGCAGCGGTCCCGTCGCTTCTTGTCGACTTTTTCATCTTTTACGCGGCCGACTTTGCCTATGGCACGGACATTGCGTCGCTCCGGCGCCGCGATTTGCGCAAGCTCAAGCCCAGCAGCACGCTCCAGCTCGAAGACCCGATCGAAGTCGACCGCAACCTCGGTGCGTACCTCAACAAGCTCTCGCAGCGTACGCTCCGCATGGAGTTTGTGCGCGCATGTGTCTTGTTGCACGAGGCGTTGCATCCGGAGACGTACGATGCGCGCGAGGCCGTCGGGAGCCTCTTCTTTGGCCATCACGCGCGCCTTCCCGCGCCGACAGCGTCGTTTCTCGAAGTCTTGATCCGGCCGCGCGCGTCGCATCACTTTGGCTGGAATATGGCCGGTGATGCGATCGCGTCCGAGGCGTTCACGACGGTCGTCGTCACGACACGGGACGCGTTCCCGAGCCTAGCAGGCGTTGATGTCGTCGGCGTCGACTGCGAAGGTGTCAACCTCGGCCGGTCCGGGTCGCTCGCCCTCGTCTCGCTTGCGATCGGGCCGACCGTGTACCTGGTGGACGTGCTCTCGACCCCATCGCTCCTTGACGCGCTCAAGCCGCTGCTCGAGAGCCCGTCGATCGTCAAGGTCCTGCACGACTGCCGAAAGGACAGCGACGCACTGCTTCACACGGCGGGCATTTCGCTAACCCACGTCTTCGACACACAGGTACCATGTATCTGCGATTCGGAGAGCTCAAAGTGCTCATCCAGGTCGCCCATGCAGTGCTGCACCAGCTGCGCAAGCCCGCTGCGAAGGACGACGGCCGCCATCTCGTGGTACGCCACACACGCCCCCTTCATGTGCAAGCGCGAGATACTATTTGTGTAGGGTCCCAGTGGCAGCGCCGTCATCGCGCTGGACAATGCCAACCACGAATGCATCGCGTACGCTGACGTCTTGAGCCACTACCTGTCGCTGCCGCCGTCGCGCGTCAAGACCAGCGTCAAGGAAGCCATGACCGGTGATGACGCCACGTGGACACGCCGGCCTTTCTTGCCCGACCTCATCGAGTATGCCGCGATGGATGTCGCCTATCTCAGCGTCTTGTATCGCATCATGGCGCATGCGCTTGGCCCGCACATGCCCTTGTGCGACGCGCGTGCGGCCATGTACCTTGGCTGCCGCGATTGGTCGTTTGCGTCGACGCTCAACATGGGCGACATGGTGCCTGGGTACATTCAAAACATTACGTCCAAGTGCGTGTACGTGGCGTTGTCGCCGTCGACGGTCGGGCGTCTCTCGACGAGCGACGCGGTCAAGGCACCGGTAGGCGACGACGTCCAAAAGCTGACCGTGGGCGCCGCGATCACTGTCAAGGTCGGACATGACCGCAGCGTGCAGTGGACGATCTAAACGAACGCCTCGGTTTCAAGGGACCGTGAAAACTCAGCTGGATTAGGAGGACGAAGATTTGGACGCTGCGTCGCTGTCGTTAAATATTTCTTGAAGTGCGCACCGGTTGAGCATTTGGTGTTTGAGCAGCAGCTGTCGCCGGTTGATGTGCGCGTCAAAGGTGTTGATCCGTGACGAGAGCACTTCTTCGCGGATGTCGGTTTGCAGCGCCTTGAGGATCTCGACCATGGTCGGTCGTGCTTTCGGGTCGTCGGCCAAGCAGCGGGAAATGAGCGCGTGCCGCTTGGGTGGACACGTCGACGGAATTGTCGGTCGGCGCACGCCGCGCGCGACCTGCGCCATGATATCGATGGTGCTCATGCCGTCGCAGTCAAAGTACGGGTCCTTGCGCGACTCGAGCTCGATGAGGACAATGCCAAAACTGTAGCAGTCGACCGGTGTGCTGTACGGCGTCTCGCGCAGGATCTCGGGCGCGAGCCAGTACGGCGTGCCGACCATGGTGCGGAGACACTCTTCCATGTGCACTTGTTTGGACTCGCCAAAGTCCGAGACTTTGCACGCATACGTGGCCGAACACAGGAGGTTGGCGCTCTTGAGATCGCGATGAATGATGTTACTGTGGTGCAAATACGCCATCCCCTAGTAGAGAGCAACCGCGTATGAGGACACTGTAGTTGTACGTAGATAGCACAACCTGCGCGGCGTCGTTGGCGATCTGCAGCAGCGGATCGTTCCACTCGAGCGTCATGGACGACTGCAGAAGTGAGTGCACGTCGCCTTTCTCCATGTACTCGAGCACGATGCAGAGATTCGAGATCGAGTCGATGCTCGCACCAATAAACTGCACGACGTTCGGGTGGCGCAGGCCCGCGAGGAGCTCGACGTGCGCCTTGAACTCGACAATGGTTTCGCGTGTCAAGATGCTCAGCCTAGCGAAAATGGCATATTCGTTGCAGCCATTGATGATACGAAGCCTACCGCTTGATGGCGACGCGGAGACCCGTGTACTCGCCGCGCACAACGTCACCCTTGACGTGCTCGCTCACGAGTTCGTGGAGCGTGAGTTCTTCAAACGGGATCGACACGTTGTGCAGGAACTCGTTCTCGGGCGACTTGGCGTGCAGCAGCTAATACACATGAACGAAAGTTCAACGTGCCATTGAAATGGACGCCAACGCTCGTACTTCTTGGAGCAGCTGCTGCTCAATGGGGCCGACGCGGCCGCGGGTCGCGAGCTGTTGGCGGTTGACCGTGACGCCGTGCTTGAGCGCTGTATTGACGCGCTCCGCGTCCATCTTGGAGTAAAAAGTGTAGCGTGCGGCGCGGTCGAGGAGGTAGAACGCCACCAGCGTGAGCACGATCGGGAGGCAAATCGCAAACACAAACGCGACAAAGTTCATCGACATGAAGATCTCGTACGAGCCGACGTTGACTTTCCAGTTGATGACGTAAACGAGTGCAGCCGAGAGGAGGACCACAATGACCTATGATGGGTCGTCAGCCAAGCAGAGGACCTCAGATCGGATGAAAACACCTGAGGAAAATCGAGCTTGAGGCTCAGGCTGAAGAGAATCGTGTCTGCGACGGCGTTGCACGCAAAGATGATCGAGATGTACTCGTTGAGCATGTCGATGTACTCGAGGCGCCACGCGGCCATGGTCGTGGACCCGTTGTTGTCGACCCAGTAGGCGGGCGCGGCCACGTTCCTCCCGCACGTTTGGTTCTTACTCCACGCGTTGCGCTCGGTTTGCGACCGTTGGAAGACCGTGCCGAGGTAGATGAGCTTGCCGGTGCAGTAGAGCGTCACGACGAGCGTCATGCAGTGCTTCCAGTAGCGACGCGCCCAGTACATGAGCAGCTTGCTCTTGCCCCACGAGTTGAGGAGTCGAAACGGAATGAGCGCGAGGCCGACCGCGAATGGAAAATACATGAAGTGCACGACCAGCAAGTCCTCGCTCGCAAGGTACTCGAGGCCATGGAGGCCCTTGTAGTACCCGGCATAGTTGATGAGGCCGCTGGGCGTCAGTCGCGGCGACTCGCACGTCCACCAGACGGAAAACGCCAAGTGCGAGCCAAAGACGAGCGCCAAGATAAACTGGGACTGCCCGATCGCTTGCTGGCTCACGTCCATTTGATAGAGCTCCTCCGTGCGCGGGTTCCGGAATCGGTTCGAGAACGGCAAGAGAAGGCTCGGTGCGTCTGGGCGCATGGACGCTGTCGTTGTGAGCGGTCCACGGAGCGACTTGGCCTCGCTCTCGAGGGCGGCGCTGGCTTGGCGCTTGCTCGAGAGATGCACGGGCGTCTCGAGCGAGATGGCCACATGGTCCGAGTTGCTGGAGCTGTCCATGTCGCTTTGTATCCTCGGCGTCTCCACCATGTCATGCTGCAAGGTCGGGCTCTTGGCCCAGAGCGACCACGGGTTCGTGCAGAGCCGCCGCAGCATCGCCGGTCGATGGTCCAAAAGCTTCTGTCCCGGCGCAGGTGGCAGTAATGCTGGTGCATAAAATACAGAGAACTTGGTGTTTGTATGATGTTTAAAACTGCGGACGTTCAGATCCAAAATGAGCCGCGCCAGATCCAGATAAAGAATTAAAATATCTTGGATGTTCTATGTCACATATTGTTTTAAAGAATGCATCTCGCCGACTCAGATCTGCCCTCGGATTCGACACATTCGTTTCGGGATGTGCCGAAAACAAGATTGGGATTGTGTTGCTCTCGAGTCCTGGGTCTCGCGAACGAAGACGACGACCACGCAAGGATTGCCTCCACTCGATTGACTTTGGGGATGGGAAGGCGCAATCATAATAGGTTGGGCACGCGAGATACTTCATTCGTCGTACGTACCTGAACCTCGCAGCGAATCAAATGCAGCGTTTGGCGTGGCCATGGACCCAACAAGAAATCATGTCAATGGCATCAGATGAGATCCGTCCGTGCACGTTATACTTTCAGTACGACGTTTACAAGCTGTGTCTCTCTAACCTTTAGACTTGGTACTAGCCGTCAAGCACGTCAAGCAGCAAGTCGAGAGTTTAATCGAAAGGTCATGCCAGAAGCTGCTCGATCGCAGATGGTATCATAGAAATGAACGTCCAAATCGTGTCCGCACCATACAGTGTATGTAAAAAGGACAGATCCGAAATGGCCCGAAACAAAGCCAAAGAGAATAACCCGTTAGAATACATACCCTTGGACATTGAATTGGAAGGTCGCTCTCTCCGATCTTGTGGAATATCGAAAGTGAGAGGTCTCTTTTGATGTGAGGGGCTTGTTCCAGTTTGGTGTCTTGGCCGGAAGCAACATGATCTTCCTCGAGAACGAGAGCAAGATTGTGCAGGAAGTCCTGCAAGGCCGTCTCGGAGAGACGTACGTACTGTTCCATGAGGTCCATGCTCCAAGGCCATGCGTCTCATGCTGCATGCATCGTAGGGCCCCTCGCCCCGTCGAGCCTCTGGAGATCCGCCTTTGCGACTTTGACGGTAGGCGCCACGCCAAGGCTCCGCGCCTCATAGCTGTCCGTAGATGTCCAATATGACCTCTCGATCCAAGAGAACACGCTGTCCGTGTCCATGTCGTACCCGCCTGTTGTGGAGCTCGTCAAGTAAGGCCCATGCCCTGGCAAGCATGCGCCGATCAGAGCGTAGGTTTGGCGCAGCCAACATGCTGGCCAACGTCTACCCCGAGTTTACGCTGACGGCGCCGAAGCCTGGCTTTGACATGACCATGGTGGCCAACGTCGATGCGATCACGCCCGAGAATGCCAGTAGACCATCATGCGTCCCTCTCTCGATCTCACGGTCACGTGGTGTAGCCAACGTCATTGATCGCATCGCGCTCCTAAAGCGCAACCTCCTAAGCGCCCCCTTTGACCAGTACGTTGGACGCGCCCGACTGGCGCGATGAAGAACGCCTTTGTGTAGCTGCTTCCTCGCACTCCACGCCGATGCGAGTAGCTCTCTGAGCCCGATCCAAATCCCGTTCCGTCGCCAAGAAACGATCTACGTGTTGCCGCAAGCCGACCGCATTGTCATCGTCTTCTCGGTCGCGTTCCAGGACAAGACGGACCAAGCGATCGCGCGCATCTTTCTCCAGGTCCGTGTCTCTACACCCTCCAATCGCACGCGTCAACCATGCCTAGGAGTTTGCCGAGGCGCGTCGTCACGTCAACAATGCGCCGCCAGTAAGCTTTGGGAAGGACCCGCCGCTCGAGCTCCGCGGCGTGCCCAACCTGCGCCAGTCGACGGACCACGTGGGCTACCTCAGCTTTGGTACTGCGTCTCTCTTGCCATAGCGCCAGACACACCGTGTGTGTAGCCATCTTCAAGACACATATCGACTCGGATGCGAAGCGCGCCAAGGCCTGCACGTTAGTCCAAGGCTTCCGCAACTACTTGCATTACCACATCAAGGCCTCCAAGACGTATATGCACATTCGCATGCGCAAGCGCGTCGACTTGCTTCTTCAAGGTGCGCGATGTGATGCATGTCTTTGGCTCATGCGACGATGCTGCTCTAGTTCTCAACCGCGCGCAGCCCGCGAAGGACCCGTCCAAGGCCACGAAGAAGACCATTACGGGCAAGACATTTGATCGCAAGGTGTAAGCTGCTCCCGTGCCACGGTGTTGTACCTACCTGCAGCGTCGTACAAGAAGGATGTAATGCAGTCGCATGTCGTCGTTCTACGTCTTGATTGAGCGACTACAGGTTGCGCGCCGCCAAGTAGTCGGCGATCGCTGTGCCCACGGTTGCGTCCAGATCGAGCTCCATGATACCGTCGCTCGACTCGGCGAGGCCCAGCTCTTCCTCGGAGCAGATCATGCCCTGTGAGACTTCGCCGCGGAGCTTGGACTTTTTGATCTTGAGCACTTTATCGACGAGCGCGTTCGCGTCCTCGGGGTTGGGCACGCGGAGCGTAAGGCGTGTCCCGATCGTCGCAACCGGCACCTTGAGGCCCTCGCGTACGTTGGGCGCACCGCAGATGATCTGGACAGGGTCCACTTCTACATCGTCGGTACATGCGATAGTTAATATGGGGCAAGGACGCGTACCTGGGCCCACGGCGACTTGGCAGACGTGCAGGCGCTCGGCTTGCGGGTGGCCCGTGACCTGGAGCACCTCGCCGACGACGACGCCGGGCAGACGCGCGGGCTTGGGCGCAGCGATGGTGCTGCAGAGGCGGACGAGGCCGCGCGGGCGAAGCATGGACCGCAGCATGGGATTGATGAGGAGCGATGGCCACAGCTCTCGAGTCGTATCCGGTTCATCCGGATAACGCGAATTTGGCGCGACGATCAGAACACAAGCAAAATGAATTCCTTGATCGCAAGCATCAAGACGGAGCCGACGAGATCACACCAACTTGTGGGAAAACAATGGAAGCAATTGCTGCAGGTGTCGTTAGGTCGACAAGGTGCATCATCATCCTAAGGCGGCAACAGAATGCAGGGCCAAAGGCACATACATGTATACCCGTGGTAGGACGACCCACAATTTTAGGGCGCCTGTAGTAGGTAGCGTTGGACGCAATGAGCGAGCTACTCGTTGAACATCGTTGATGCGTCGGCGTCTGCTGGACCTGGGTCGATCAATATAAACAGCTTGGGCAGCTGCGAGAGATGCGCTCGCTCGTCCGCGCGTGCAGCTGCGTCGTCGTCCTTCACCGATGGCTTTTCCCACGCAACTAATCGACCACACACTCGTCCATCGAGCTTTTGTCACATCTCGTGGTGCCACGTCACGGCCTCGTCACGGCGAAGCAAGTGCACGCGACACGTCGATCTCACGTCGCCCGAACGGCGCGGCACAACCGTCTCAGACGGGCAAGCTGAGCCTGGGTCCGAGAATGGAAGCTTCGGCTGGTTCATCGTGCATGCATCACGCTGCTGCTTTGGTCGTGACGTAGAGACTTGTGTGTAGAGGGCTGGACCGCGATGCATCCTGTGTTTGAGCTGCGGCGGCGGCGGCGGAAGATACTTGCTTGCCATGACGAATCGCGCACCACGTAGACACTTCCACAGTGGTAGCTCGCCATCTTCTTCTTCTTCTCCGTGGGCTCCAGATCCAAATTTTCGCGTCCGGCGATGAAGGCGCCCGAGAGCCCGGACCGCCTCTCGTGGTCGTCCGGCATGCCCAGCATCACCAACTCGCTCACGGCGTGGACGATGCCCGTCTACGAGATGGACGGCGACTCGACGTTCGGCGAAACTTCGTCCGGTGGCTTTACGCTCGAGATCGAGTCACCGCGCCCGAGCCGGGCGCGCTGCTGGCTCGTTACATGCCTTTGTGCCTGGCTCGTCGTGTGCGGCGGCGCCTCCATTGCGCTCGTCGTCACGCTGCAGCGCACGCCGTCTGCATCTGCAGCGCCAACGCCAGCCACCACTAATGGCGCGACGACGACCATTCTTTTCGTCCTAAACCAATGCCAGGACGCCATCGACATCTACTACAGCCTGGACGCGAGGGACGACCGTGCCGTGGTCAACGGCAAGGCGAGAATCACGCTCTCTGGCGAGAGCCCGGCCAACGTCTCGGTGCGTCTTGGTGCGTCGACGAATGCGACACGTACGTTGACCCTTATACAAGGCGCGGGAGCTTGAAAGGCTCCGTTCGTAGGGTTCGTGTGGCAGCGTCGCGAGGCGCCGCTCGCGAGCTACAGCATCACAACGATCGACGGGTTCAATTCCGCCATGTCGGTCAAGCCCAGCAGCGAGCCGGGCGCATGCGCTGCAGTGACGTGTCTGGCACCGCTGTGCTCGACCACCGCCGTCTCTTGCCTGTCGACGACGTCTCTCGAGATCACCTTCTGTCCCGTCGTCTCGGCATAGCGTGCCTTAGTATTTAGTCTAATAATTTAGTTTTTCGCCATGGATTTACTGGTAGCTGCGACTCGCATCGACTAATATACTCGTTGCATACTGGCATTTGACGCTCGACCGCACGACGCAGAGGATCAGACTGGCGCGGCGACGTGGCCGACGGTCCTCTTTGTGCGCTTCCATGCGTTGGGCTTGTGACGTGGCAAAAATTTCGAGTCCCTCGGAAAGTTGATATTACACCCTATCCAAAATGAGGGTATTTTGTAGAGTCAACTGCAAGCGGAAGGATCCGAGGTACACGCCGAGCACATCGCGCGTCGGGCTCATGCACATGGCCGCGTAGGTAGATAGCTCTTGATGCACGACGCAGTGCTACGCGTTGGCCTCTTCTGTGGCATCTTTACGCTACAATGGTACCACGCAGCATGCCATCATGCGCGTGCTCATGGACGCCGTAGCTGCATCACGGTGCTGGGCAGTGTGACCCGCGACACGATCTTCCTGCGCATCTACGACTCGCGCTACATCTCGCACATGACGGTGCTCATGTCGTTTGCGTCGGCGTACGCCATGACAGCGGCCGCGCGCCTCCTCCAGCGCGGTACGACGACCTCTATCTTATCGCTGCGCCTCACATGCCGCGACGTAGGCATGCGACCGACCGTTCTCGCATGCGGCTTTCCATGCCTCTCGTCGCTGATTATGGTCGGACTCTGGCTACTTTTGACGCAGCTCCCGCAGCTGCTGAACGTCTCGAGCATCGCGCTCTACGTCTGGATCGAGATTGCGATCCAGCTCCTCTCGCAGCAGTTTTGGGATCTCTGCGCCGCCGCGTTCACGGTCGCCGAGTCCAAGCAGTACTTTGGCGCCATCACGTTTGGCTCGACGCTCGGCACGATCCTCGCCAGCTTTGCAATCATCCCGCTCCTCAAAGCGTATGCGATTGCGACCGAAGGCAATGTACTCGTGCTCGCTCTGCTCATGGGCGTCCTCGGCGCCTTCATGTGCCTCGTCACGCCCCTCTTCGGCCTCTCGCCGCGCGTCAAAGCCAGCGACGCCTCCTCGTACACCGTCTTCTGTCGCCGACATATATCTGAGTGGCTGCCATGTAGGAAAGCTGCGTCGACGTCGTCGATCGTGTCGGACATTCAGAACCGGTCGTACCTCAAGCACGTGTGCTTTTTCGACATGGGTGCCACGTTGATTCGCGTTCTTATTGACTACCGGACGCTCTCGATCCTGAGCTCGCACTCGGAAGAGACGCTCAAGTACTCGCTTGGCGCTATCAACGGCGTCCAGAGCTTCTTTATGATCCCGCTCCAGGTAGGACTGATTCCTCCAGAGAGTGACGACTGATCCAAGCGAGTAGCTCGTGTCGGGACCGCTTTTTCGTACTTTGGCGTCATGTACGGCATCTCGACGCTGCCGCTGGCGATCGTGCTCTACGGCGCGTCCACGTACTTGTCTTCGGTACTCCACTCCAGTCGATATATGTTGCACGAACGTCGTCTATTGTAGTCGCACTTGCTTTTGATTGGCACGCGCGCGCTTTACAACAGCGTGTCGCACGCGATCTTCAACCCGGCGCGGGAGCTGCTCTGGCTGCCGCTCAACGCACCCGACCGGACCAAATTCAAGAGTTTCGTTGTCGGCCCGTTCCGGTCGATTGCGCGCGTGCTCGGCGCGCTCATTTCGATTGTGCTCACGTCCGATACGATGCAGCGCTACTGCGGCCCTAGCTCGGTCAGGTACCCCACTTTTTTTCTTTTGTATCAACATACTATCAAGTTGACACACTGCGGTAGTGTGGTCATGGTGCTCTTTGGTGTGGCGTGGTTCTTTGATGCACTTGCCGCACGGCAGTCGTACGCGACCGAGTTTTACGCGTCGCTGAAGAAAGGACACATGGACCTGACGTCGCCTATCATTGACTTTACCACGGACCAAGTACGTTGCTGCGTTGAATGACGCGTCGTCGTCATGACGATGTTGAGGTCGAGCTCGTCCAAGAGACGCTTCGGAGCGGCGCGTCCAACCAAGTGGCCTTTGTCCTGAGCTTTCTGCAGCCGTCGCACGTCCCGCTCTTCCGCAGCGTACTACGCTCGTTGGCTTGCATGGGTTTGAACCTGGGGTATATGTAGGAATTACGCGCCGTGTTTATCATGCCGGATGCGTCCTTTCACACGCAAATGCGCCTTGTGGAGCTGCACGTGGCGAGCGCCGAGACCGCCCACGACGAGGCCAAGCGCATCTTTCCGTCAACGACCTCCTCGCCGTCTACGACGATCGCTCCAAGCCGCAGGAGCTGCGCCTCGCGTGTCTTCTTGCGTGCGGCCACGAGCGCGGCGCGTCGACGGTCGCCCTTGCCGACGCATTGCACAATGCGACCGATGTCTCGATGGTCGTCGGCGCTGCGATCGCGCTGCTTCGGCGGACGCAGTGGATGGACGAGAAGGCGACGGTCGTGCTCCAGAAGCTGCTCCACGAGCCCCGCGACATCGAGGCCAAGGTCGTTTGCCTCCGCATCGTGGGCAAAGAACTGCCGGAGCTTCTCGGCAACGGCTACCTCGTGTACCTTCTCCACGAAACGCAAGCACCGTCGATCGTTCGCGCTGCCCTGCAGTGCTGTCGGCAGTCGAAGCGAAATTCGCCGATGCTGCTGCCCGCGCTCCTCAAGTGGCTGCCCGACGCGACGCTGCGCACCGACGTCATTGACGCACTCCAAGCGTTCCCGCCCTCGGTGCTCTGGGAGTACGTCATCGACTTTCTCGACAAGGCCGTTGCTGACGTGGCGCTCGAGCGCATCATTGGCGGCGTGCGGCTCGTGGAAGCCGCGGCGTTTCCATCGGACGCCAAGCTCGACCTCGTCCTCAACATGATGGACTCGTTACTCGCCAAGTCGAGTGCGACGTCCGAGCTCCACCTGAGCCAGCTCTTTGGTCTAAGCCAGGTCGAGCTGCCGCTGTGGGAAGCACTCGCTGACGCTGTGCTGCGAATCGTCGACCACCTCCGGCACGACGATAGCACCGACGTGCGTGTGTTGGTCAAGCGCATGGACCACATTGTGTCGACGCACGTCTTTCGCGGATACCAGATGCAGCACTTGCGCCTCCTCTTTGAGGACCCGCACCACCACACGCTACTTTCGCATGTCGTGGAAGATACGCTGGACATGCTTCTTCGCATGGTGCTCAAGCTCGTCTCGGTGCGGTTTCCGAAAGGCTTCAACATCCACGTCCTCCTCGAGGGCCTCCACGCTGACGTGCCTGAAGTGCTATCGGCCGTCCAAGTAGTCTCTGGCATGAACCATAGAGCACATGCAACGTGGATCCATGTAAATTAGGAAGTCCTCGAGACGCTATTACCGACAAGTGCCAAGTACACGCTCTTGCCGCTTTTGTTTCCGCACGCACCAAAGGCCCCGATGGCGCTCCAGGTTGCGCGTGTGTCGATCGATCGATGGGTTGATTGTAGTACACACGACATTAGCTGCTCAAGGACGTCAAGAAGATCCAGGGCACGCTGCGCAACGACAGTCTCATGCGTACGATGCAGGACGACAGCATTGCGCTCGAGCTCTCGTGTCTGGCGCTCGAGTACTACCTCCACGCGATCTCGTGCCATGACCACGACGACGTGGCCGAAACGGCGCGCGTGCTTACGGAGGCCGAGGCGGACCGTCTCTTGGTGCATAGCATCACGAAAGACTTGGTGTGCCGCGCGTTCCAGTGCGTCAACGACGCTCCTCTCTGCCGTGTAACGTCACGTCGGTGTAGGGACCCGCAGTGCCGGCGGGCCAAAGCGTTGGAGCATCTCTTTCAACGGGCGACGATGGACGCCGATTTAGCCCCACTGGCCTTTACGACCTTTGACGTAGCTGTTGGAACGTGACTCTGTGGTGCCATCATTGGCTGTGTAGGTGGTCATGAGCTTGCGCGCGTGTGCGCTCTTCCGATCGATCGCGGTGCTGGAGCTCGTGCAGAAGATCGCTTGCCACTTTGCGCCGCGCCGTGTTGCGGCGGGTACGACCTTTGTGCAGGAAGGCGACGTCGGTACGTAGCTCTCTCTATCTGAGACGCCAGGGCGATGGCGCATGGAATAGCGTCGCAAATGTACGTCTTGGCCAAGGGCATTGTGGAGCTCCACCAAGCCAACGGCAACGCTCTCACGACGCTCCATGACGGCGCGTGCGTCGGCGAGCTCGCGCTGCTCACGAGCAAAGGCAAGCACTTGGCCTCGGCGACGGCGACGACCGACGTTGTCGTGCTTGAAATCTCGCGCGCCAATCTGCACGCGCTCATCCACGACAACACGGGCATCGCGCGCGGCGTTCTGGACGCGCTGGCGTCGACCTTGCGCTGGGCCTATCTCCAGGTACGTACACTTCTCGCTGATGCTCTTTGTGGAAATGCATCGCGTACGTAGCTCGAGTCGACGGAAGAGACGAGTCGACTAAAGCGCCTCGTCTTTGCGTCTCAAGTGTCGGTGGCCGCCAACGTGGATCGGGCCGCAACCACGTTGCTGGCCAAGATTGGCCGCGCGCGGGCGCAGTCGGCGCACCTTCCACCGCGGTCCAAGCCGCACGCGCACTTGCTCGAGTACTCGAGTCTGAATTTGAGTGCCAAGCACTTTACGGCCGCGCCGCGTGCGCAGGACGAGGTCACGTACTCGCATTTGGAGAAGTGCTTGCATCTCAAGGCGTCCAACCTCATGAAGGACGTCGACGACGACCTCGTATGTGGCGGTTGTACTTGGTATATATCTCATCGAGGCGTAGATCTCGACGGTCGCGCAAATGGCCCAAGTCGTGGTGCTCCAGCCGCGCGACGTGCTTTTCGCGGAGGGGTCGCCGGCCAACAGCATCTACGCGGTCGTCGACGGCACGATTGTGCTCTCGATGACCAAGGACGAAAAGACCACCGCGCTCACGCACTGCGGCGCTGGCATTTGCTTTGGCGAGCTCGTACGTTCTTCGCTGTCTTGACTCGACTGGATTCTACTGGACGCGTGATTCTAGTCGTTCATCAAGGGCTCGACGCACGTCATGTCGGCCACCGCGGCGATGACGACGACGCAGGCCCGTGTGATCGTGCTCCAAATCCCGACGTGGGAGTTTGTCGAGCTCGCCGAGAAGCACACAAAGCTCATGCACCTCGTCATGACGTGGATGTCGCGCAAGATCACACTCAAGATGAAGAACGACGCGCTTGCCGTCATGGCCGAGCACACGCACCTGCCGCTGCGGACGCTACCGAGCTCGCCGATTGGCAGTCCGCGCGGCAGTCCACGCAAGAAGCCGACGCAGTGGGGCGACGATGCCGTCGATGACCTGACGGACGGCACGACGGGCCTTCGTCTGCGCCAAAATACGTTGTAAGATGAGCCTACAGGACCCTAGCCCCGTCGACGGCAAACGGTGGCGATGGATCCGGCGGATTGAATAACTGTTCGGTTGCAATAAAACCGGTTATGACTTTATGAAAACCGGCTACGACTATGTAAAACCGGCTACGATGCCATGAAACCGGTTAACGCGTGTATCATCCAGTTTCGAATCCAGCTTGAAGCGCGAACGTGAAGCGCGATGGTCTTCCTACACGTCCTCCATGTACATGCGCTCCGAAGCATCATCTTTGCGTACCAAGATGGGATCTATGAGGACCTGCGCCCACGCTTCCTCGAGTTCCACCACAAGGTCCGGTACAGCCTGGCGCACTACGCCGGGCGCGGCCACGACTGCTTCGTCGGCGGCCGGCTCGTGGCGTCGCCTTTCCACAAGACGCTGCTCGGGACCGTCACGGACCGCAATCTGTGCTTGGACGAAGAGACGATGTACGATGCTCGCTTCCCGCTGCACCTCGCCATTTACGAGGGCCAGCTGCATGTGGCGACGCGTATCCTGGCCTGTCGCCCGTCGCTCGTCTCTGCCGACGCCATCGACTGCGCCTTTGCTTGCGGGAAGCTGCGCATTGCTCGGTACCTCCTCGATCAACGCAGTCGCATGACAAATCTCTGTCGACAGACTCCGAAGCGCTCGTTCAAGAGCAGGAGCCTGCCCAAGTACGTCGTGTACTTTGGCCGTGTCGAGCTCTTGCAGCTCTTAACGACGTACATTGACGACCATGGTTGGGACGAGACGGCCATGCAAGCAGCGATCCGACGGCGCCATATCGCGTGTGCTGAGTACCTCTGGGACACCTTTCCGACCACTGTCGTCTACGAGGACCTCTATCACGACGTCGCGATCGCAGGGCTCTTCTCGCTCGTCGTGCGCTGCGAGAAAGCCCACCTGCCTGTCTCGGCGCATGTCCTGGCCGGCGCCGCCAGCAGCGGCCACCTTAATATCGTCCGGTTTCTGCACGAGCGCTGGCGTCACGGCAATGCAGCAAGCGCGGTCCGCGCCGCCTACGCAGAGGGGCATCGACACATCGTGCGCTACTTGCTGACGCACCGAACCGAGTTTGCAGGTCAGCGCGGCGTCGACGCCGCCGCCAAATATGGTCTCTTGGACATTGTGCAGTCACGTCTCGCTGCGGGCCATTGTGGCAGTAGCGACGTCGCGTTCCAAGCGCTTTGCCACGGTCATTTGAGCGTTGTCCGGTATCTGCTGTACGTCGGGTACAGCCTCGACCTCTCGACCGTCTCGCCGCTCCTCGTGTGGTGCTGGGCCGAGTATAAAGTCGCCCGCGCGAGCACCGTCGAGATGTTGGCTTTTCTGCACAGCCGGTCGTTTCGGTTCAGCGCTGTGTGGGTCGATTTTGCGGCCGCCGAAGGCTGTCTTGAGGCCATCCGCTTCCTCCTTGATGTCGTGCACGCACCATGCTCGCCGCGTGCGATCGACAGCGCAGTGTTCCACCCGCACGTGCTCTCGTACCTTCTCTCGCACACATGTGCGCGCTGCACAACCAAAGGGTTTCTCAACGCACTGCACTGGGAGACGCCGCTGAGCGTCTTTGCGACGCTTTTGCAGCACTTTCGCGCCGAGTGCACGCTCGAGGTCTTGAGCTGCGCGCGCCTCGAGAACCGCCTCGACGTGCTCGAGCTCCTCGACCGCGACCGCGTGTTTACAAGCGCGCACTAGCATGCCAGAAGAGGAGTCGGCAGCGGAGCCAGCATCGGCGTCGGGAGGCATTGTACGGTAGTCGCGTCGTCCTTGGAGCGTCATCACTCTGGCTTTGCTACCGCAATCGCCATTTGATGCAGCGATTCATGCATGTGGTCGAGATGGCGCGCAGTGACCGTGAAATAGTTAGGTACCCGTGAATGAGCTATGTACTAATACACGGCAAAGCTTCGCAACACAACATGGACAAGATGGCACAGTGAATTCACATCAATCGGAGGGGTTAGCGGCAGCAAAATGTACTTTCGGAAATGCGAAAGTTGGGCTTCATCGACTTGTACGTCGTTGTTGTCTGCTGCCGCTGGTGGACGAGCGAAATGCGCGGCGGCGCCAACGGCTCGAACGCTTCGAAACTCGGCTGCTGGGCGGTCGTCGGCCGTCGTCGCGGCGTCGTTGGCGTCGGCTCGTCCGTGACCGTGAGGGCCGCCAGTCCGCCCTCCACCACGTTCGCGTCATCACCGCCCATGTCGTCGGCGCTCGAGTCGCTGCCCACATCAGCATCGTCGAGGGCATTTTCATCGCCACCCAGTGTCGCTGCACGACTCGCGTCCGTGGCGAGTGGCGTCGTCGGTCGCGGCGGGATGGGCAAACGCTGGAACGCGGTCGCTTTCGGCGAATCGGGGCGCTTGATCGGCGAGAAAGGGCTCACGAGGTGTTTGCGGCCCGACGACTTGGGCCGGCGCTGCAGTACGTTGCTACTGCTGCTGCTCGCTTCGACCTTGGCCGGCGCGAGCTTCTCCTCCGCCGGCGTCACAAAGTTCACGGTTGTCACGGCGGCCGTGGGCGGGCGAAAGTGAAATTCCCGCCGGTCCGGTGTCGGGAGGTCCGCGAGGCTCTGGCGCGGCGCGGTCGAGCCTGAACGCGCGAGGGTTGCCGCGATCTTTTCGGGCGAGAGCGTGAACTGCACGGTCGTCTTGGTCGCTTTGAGGTGACTGCCACTCTCACTTTGTCGGTGGTGGCGGCGCGGATACGGCTTGGGTGGAATGCCCTTCGCCTTGTTGTAGCCGTGCACGCGCTTGCTCGACACGAGGAAGGACTCGGTGCTTTTGGCGCGCTGCTGCTTCGGGTCGACATGGCGGCGACCCGAGAGCGGCTCCTTCTCCGGCGGTTGCTCGGTAAAGAGGCCGTTGGGCACATAACTGTCGTGGGGACCGTCGGTCGTCATGACCGATTTCACAAACGCGCGCACGTCCACGGCGCCGCCGCGGTTGAAGGGCTTGAAAAGGTCGTGCATCTGAACCTCGGTAAGCGCAATGCCCAACAGGTCCTTGATCGTCTGCCGGAGGTCGACGAGCGAGACGGCTGCGTTCGTGCCGCGCTGCAGCAACTGGAAGGCCTGTCGCGTCTGGTCGACCTATTTTAATCTGCGTCAAGCGTGCCAAGCCAGCGTTCAAGTCGCGTACGCCGGTGGGTGTTTTTCGTGCAGCTTTTTGTAAATCGCGAGCCGCATTTCGTGCAGCGTCGAGTCGGGGCGGAGCTCGCTCGCGTCGTGGGTGGAGAGGAACCGACCCGCGAGGTAGCTCGCGCGATCTCGTTCGTTCGCGCGTCGCCGCTCGGTCGCCATGCGCTCGTCGCTTTGCTCAATCCACGACGTGCGCTCGCCATAGTCGTGCGGCAGTACGTGGTTGATGAACTCGTAAATGTCGATGCGGCCGTTCTGGTCCGTATCGTACTTGGCAAAGAGGTGCTCGAACTCGGCGTCGACGAGCGTGAGCCCGAGCTTGTTGACCATTGTGTCTTTGAACGATGCCAAGTCAATGCCTACATTAGGGTCTGCAGCGGAACATAGACGAAGAAGGAGGCTTACCGTGGCCTCGGTTCTTCTCGAGGAGGCGGTAGGCTTGTTGGTAGATAAAGTTGCCCCGGAGTTCGGTGCGCTCTTGGATTTTCGCCCGGAGCTTCTCTTCCACTTGGTCGAGGTTCCAGCGAAAGTACGTCGTCGCCGGTGGCGGGTCCGACCGGGGCTTCGGAGCGCGGCGCAACCGCGGCTGCTCGTCCGGGAGGCCGACGTGGCCCTTCTCCGGAAGAGCGACCGTTAGCGGCGCCAACGTCGTCGGGCGGAGCGACTTGGCTTGCTCCATCCGAGCCGGATGGGAAGTAATCCGAACCACCACCGACGACGCGCTGCCTGGCTATTTCGGCAAAGCGTTTTGCGACGCGCTGATTGGCCCCGACTATATCTTGAACGGTCGTGCGCGGGATTCACTGATCGACGCGGCCGCATCGGTGTGCGTTTGCAGACTGTTGTGGTCGCTCGCTGGTGCCCATCGACATCCAGGGACTACAAGTCCAGTATCTTGCACTCCATACAACCACGTCTACCCCAAGGTTGAGAGGTTCGAAAGTTGAAAGGTTCAAAAGCGAGGGACAAGGGTCAAGTGGGATCTCTATTAAATGGCACTACGGCTATGCAACATCATGTGTACGACTATCAGACGCTCCACGAAGGGTGTTTCTCTACAAGGCTTGTGTCGGTGGCGTTAAATAGCGTCGTGTCAGATGACGGACGTAAGGTCACTCAGTGCCATGAGAATGCCCGGGTTCTCGAAAAGGAAGAATTTGAAGTCGGGCTTCTTGATGCAGAAGAGCGTGCCCGCGGTCTTGGCCACCAGCATCGACCCAAACGCGCACTCGTCGTCGCTCGTAAGGGCGTTGACGTTGCCAATGAACGCGCCCCGGCGAAAGACGGCGTGCAGACACTCGCTGCTCTGGCCGCTCGTGACCGAGTCGATCGGCACCACGCGCTATACAGTCCAGGTGCTGAGTCGCCGATATGTATAGGCTCCAAGAGGCGTACGTTGACAGAGCCTTTCCGCTTCCGAGGCGGGCCCCGGGGCTCGGTCGGCGTGTTGCCCTCGGATGAACTGGCGCTTGTGGGCTTGGTCCATGTCTTCATGACGAACTCGCCGTCCGCGACAAAGACCGCAATGTCGCACGCCTCGTCCGTGTTCCACACAATAAAGTTTTCGGGGACGTTCCACTTGCCGAGGGTGAGCTCGAGCTGCGTGCGCTGGATTTGGGTGAGCTTGGTAAAGATACTGTTCTCGGCGATCGTGTCCCACGCAAAGTTGTGCCGCGTCTCGACGAGCTTTTGAATGCGCTCAAAGACGCTCGTGTCTTGAAGAAACCAGTTGATGTCGGCCGCGTTGAACTCGAGGAGACAGAGCGATGACGCGGCAATGATCGAGCACCCGGCGCGCATGTTGGGCGTCAGCAGATACTGCAGGTCGAAATAGTCGCCGGGGATGTACCGCTTGGACTTTGGCACCGTCGAGAGTCGCTTCCGATCGCTCGTGTCGGTGCGCGCGCCGAGAGGGGGGAAGACCGCTTGGGCTTCGCCGGCCACGACAATGTAAAACGAGCGCGCGACGCTGCCATACTCTTGGACGGTCACTGCCTTGGCGTAGTCGACGCGGCGCGCCATCTGCGTCGCAGATCTGAGTGTGCTTTCGATGGCAAGTCGCAGGTACCTGGACCAATTCGTAGGCGTCGGCGAGGGTTAGGTCGACGAAAATGTCCACTTTTCGCACGAGGTCGAGCACTTCGAGCGTGCTCGCGCTCTCTGGTTGCTCCTACATATAACCTTGTTGATCGACTGAATCGACGCATTGAGTGGGGTTACGGTCGGAACGATGATGGTGTTCTGGACGCCCTCGGGGGCGGCGCGGAGGCCGCTGTCGGCGGGGATGTCCTTGGCCGCCGTGTGGACGACAAAGATTTTTCCGAATGTTCTCGTCGAGGGCCATGAGCGTCTTGACGGGCGTGTGAATAGGCGGCACACCGGCTTCGTGCAAGATGACGTCGCAGTCCCACGGGAACGCTAGCAGCTCGTTGCACCTACACCATATATCCTGCCACCTCCGGTTGTAGAGGGTACGAACTCTACCGATGCTCGGAGAGCACGCCTTCGTCCTTCAAGGCTCGGATTCGCTCGACGTCGTTGAGGTGGTCGCCCGAGAACACGATGCGCTTGGAGCCATACGTGACTTCAAATCCCACGCACGGAATCGAGTGCAACGAGTAGAAGAACCGGAAGGTCGCGCCGCGGATGCTCGTCGGGTCGTTGATGCGCACTTTGCGGTAGTTGAGGACGCGCTTGAGAAAGCTCTCTTCAAATCCCGAGAGCGCCGCGTACTTGCGTAGAAACGACTGGTAGATGGTCTGCGTCGTAATCAGCGACACGCGGCCTTCCTGTAGAATCTGTTCTCGATATCTTAGACACTATCTTCCACATATGTGACACACAACCTTTTGGAACGTGCCGGCGTCGTGGTCGGCGTGGCAGTGGGTCACAATGACACCGTCAATCATGAGCGGCGGGATCGAGTTGGCGATGAGGATCGACGTCGAGAACGGCGGCGGGTCGACCATAATCCCGCGGTGGTTGATCCACAGCACGTACCCCGACGTGTTACCGTTCGGGTCAAACCCGTGCGAGTTGCCAAGGACCGTGACGCCAAACGCCGGTGGGTAAAACACGTCGCGGACCGTGAGGCACTGCGCGGGAGGCGGGAGACGCACAAAGTCCTCGATCAGCGCAGACGCGGCGCCATTGTCCGTGATGACGAAGCCGTGCTCGGTCTTCTGGATCGTGACCTTGTTCTCGCCCGAAAGCAGCGTCGCAATGTTGTCGTCTCGAAAGTGCGTAAACTTGAGCAGCATCTCGAGCGTAATGAGCGTACTGCCAAATTTGCGAAAGTACCCGAGCTCCGCTTCGAGGTTCGGGTACGAGGAGGTTGGCGCTGCGTGGGGAAAGTCCACGCGCATGTCGATGACTTGCGGCCCAAAGAGCGTCTCCTGGAAGACGCGGCGGATGCGATCTTCGACCTCTTGCGACGCAACGATGAGGTTGACGCACTGCCGCTTGAAGAAGAAATTGCAGTACGCTGGAAACTCAAACTCGGCGACGTTGACGCCCATGTTGGGTCCGAGCGTCTTGGTAAACGGCTCGGAGGGTACGATGAAGTACATGGGCACCGGGAGGCCGAGCGCCATCGAGTCCTTGATCGTCTCGGGTGGCATGCCGTACTGGATCGGACCGATCGAGGTCGAGACAACCGAGCCGCCGCGTGGTAGCTCCGTCACCTTGAGCGTCGCTGCCATGTGTACCTGCGCGCGTGGGGCGTACTTTCCAACTACAAAGCGACGCGGGGGTTTCGCGCCTATTTGCGCGCAACCGTTCGCAATCCACTGGAATCCCAAAAAACACTGTTTGCGAAGACAACAAGATCCAGCATTTTGGCGAGCGTCGAGCAAGATACGGCGTTTCAAGTGGCAACCGCCAATGGCATCGATCGTCGTCGTCGCCGTCCTTGTCTCGCTGCTGCTACTGCACGCTGGCTCGGCGCGGGCGTCGCTCTGCCACGGACCGCCAACTCTCGTGCCTATCGACGGCCAGGATCGTAGGGAGGGCGTGGCGAGCGCCGCAGTGAACGCACTCGTGCGCCTTCATGGTCGGGACCACGTGTGCACGGGCTGGTTTGTGGGCAGCCAAGGCCACCTGCTCACGGCGCACCATTGCGTTCATGGCGCCGATACCGCTGCCATCGTTCTCGAGGTCCACGACGGTTCGATCGGTCGCATGTACACCGGTGTCGACATCGTCGCAGCATCGGAAGCGCTCGACTATGCGCTAATCAAGTCGCGGGATGGCACCTTGCGTGGGCGCCACTACTTGGTGCTGCACCACGACACCACGGACCTGCTCGGTCGTTCTGCGATCGTTCTGCAGTTCATTGACGGCACGTCGCCGCCGTCCATGTCCCGTGATGGCCCGATCCTTACGACGACGTACACTGGCTGCGATCGCGGTGGCCGTCTCGGGTACGCGCTCTCGACCAAAATGTGCGCGTCCGGGTCGCCAATCCTGTCGACGGCGACGGGCGCGGTGCTGGGGTTGCACACTTGTGGCGGTATCGCCGTGTTGGTCCGCGCCGTGCTTAGAGTTTATGTCTAGGCTGCAACACGGACCAAGGACGATTGAACAGCGGTGTCGCTGCCACCGACATCATTGCCGACTTGAAGATGCAACAGGCGCTGCCCCCAGCGGCGCTGGCAGCGGTGGGGCCGAGGGCCGAAGTGCCGCCCATAACGACAACGGTCGAGGTGCGTGGCACACTCGTCCACGAGTCGGGCGCGCCGTCGGTCGACACGATGCTTCTCTCGGTCGCGACGCCGGGTCGGCTCCGCATTGATGTTGCTGCGTGGACACAGGACGCCCATGGTCGGTGGTCCGACGTCCGAGGCGACTGCGATGGCTCGTATTTCGACTCGAAAGTGATCCTCGCCTCCGTCGACACCTCCGACGGCCGCCCTCGCGCGTTCGTCCTCGTCGAAAACGACGACGATAGCGGCAAACATGGAGCTTCCGACGGCTCCATTAGCGCCCGGGATGCGTACGTCGACTACTTCATCGCCGCACCCGGCGACTATTACGTCTTCGTCGGTACCTCGGGCATGGCACTCGCTCTAAAGGCGCCGACCGCCAGCAACAGCAACAGCAGCGCTCTCTACGGTTGCGGCAACGTGCTCGCCGCCGCCGCCAACTACAAGGTCTCGCTCACGGCGGACGCAGGGATGCTCGCGCGCGTCGAGACACCCCACGCGCGTTCGACGTCGCCTCCGTGCAATCTCATGGCGCATGGGCCCATGCACTGCCCCAGCCCACGCGGGGAGGGAGCCGTCGAGCTCCGGCTGCACGCCGTGGTTGCCGGGACGCTGCGTCGGACAACATCGGCCACGTCCACCGATCACATTCGCCTCAACATTACGTCGCCCGGCCGCATTGGCATCGACGTGGCGTCGTACCAAGAGTTTGCCAACGGGTCCATCGCGCAGCGTGGCCTCCCAACGGTCTGCGGGCGGGCGTACGTGGACACGATCCTCTACGTCTTTGAGCGCTACCCCGACGCTCTGATTGCGGCGGTCGGGACTCGCCCCATCGCGCACGTCGCATCCGAGCGCTACCGCAGCATTAGCACGCGCGACCCGTACCTCGAGCTCGAGCTCGGTGTCGGCGTCTACACGCTCGTCATCGGCCAAGAGCCGCTCTCGCTCTACGAAGCGTTCCATGCGCTGTACCCAGACGTGCGCGAGGCCAACGCGCCGCTGCTCTGCGGCCGCCCCCACCCCGTCGGCCACTACCACGTCTTCTTCCATGTGCAGCACGCGCACATGCTCGCGCCGCCGGCGCCGCCCGGGTCCTTTGACCATGCGTCGTGCACGACCGAGGTCTGCGCGTACGAGAAGCTACCCTAAGAATACAATTGATGCAGAGCGGTTTCGTCCAGTTGCGTTCAACAAGGGCTTGTTGGCAATGGGCGCTGGCGGGTCGGTCGACGATGTCCCGCGGAAGCTGCAGAACTTCATCGCGATGAAGGCGTACAACCTGCGCCAAGCGTCCGGGATGAGCATCACGCAGCAGTTTGCACCGCTCAAGCAGACGCATCCGACGGTCCGCGTTGGCCAACGACCACAACTGAACGATGTCTCTAGACCAAGGACGAGGTGCTCGACTTTGACGCGCTCTGCAGCTACCTCCAGATCCCGAGCGCGCGCCAAGCGAGCCTCCGCGCGCTCTTCCAGCTCCGCGTACGAGTCGCTGGAGTCTATGGTGGATCACAGATCGGGACGACTAGGACAATCACCTCCCGTACGCTGACCTGTTGCGCCTTCTCGAGCAGCCTGCCGCCGCTGCGGTACATATCCTCGCACGCGTTAACAGCAATATGCAACTGCAGCCTTAGCCGACGCGGGCGCCAGTGCCGTTGAGTGCACGGCCAGCGCCGCCGCCGGCCACGACGCAGCTCGCTCGCATCCATGTGGCTCGGCCGTCGCTCGCCTCCAGCGGCGCGTCGTCGATTGCGCTCGTGCCCGGTCTCTGGAAGAAGCGCGAGATTACGATCCAAGAGCGCATCGTCGAGTACACCAAGATCGACGAGCATGGCGTGCCGCAGAATCTGATCGAGAAGGAGAAGCACCAGCACGAGGTACGTTCAGTCCTTCTGCACTGGACGAGTCGGAGAGATTATCGATGTAGATCATCCACATGGAGTCGACGACGGGCGAGTTTGCCCACCGTGAAGTGACCTACTTTGAGCAAACCGAAGAGCTCAACAACGAAGTCGTGCACCACGACACGGGCAAGGAAGAATTCGTCCATCTCAAGTCCAAGGACGACGAGATCTCGCACTTTGAGTCGAGCATGCCGCAGCGACCGCCGGAAGCGTGCGAGCAGCCGCCGCCATCCCCGACGCTCAAGAAAGACCCCAGCGGCAACAACGACCACGAGACCGACGAGCCGTCGCCCCACGACCCACATCAAACGTATGAGGAGTCCAACGAAGCTTAAGATCTGGATTGTCATATATATCAACGTCGTCGTCTACTGGGCGGCGTCCTTGAACGCGATCGCTTTGCAAATGTAATCTTGAAACTCTTGGCACGTAAGCGAGTCGCGCGACACGATGTGCAAAGGCGATACGCTCAACGGTTTCTTGGGGCTGAAGTCTACGAGCGGGTTGCCCGTGGCGCCCGGCGACAGCGACAGCTCGACGCGGAAGCGCCGCGGGTCCAAGCTGTTGAGGCCACCTAGGTACATCGAGAGAGTGTGAGTACAGTAAAAAGCAAGGGATAAGCGTACATCGTTCAAAGACACGAACGACAATGTGCGTCATGTAGCACAGCTCGGGGATCTCCTCAATCCACTTGCGCCCGGGCACCGAGATGGGACAGTCTTCCTCCTTGCCTGTGACGCTGTGCCGAAGGACGTTGAGAAGCGTGTGCAAGTGCGACTCGCTCGTAAAGTAAAGGCGCGTGCGCACGGACCGGTGCGTCGACTTGATGTCTTTGGTCGCGTACGACGGGTCGAGGCGATGCGTAATGTTGAAGCCCCGCGCGAGGTCGAGGTCGTCACGCATCTTCTTGAGCAGCGACTGGCACATGTCGGTGCCAATGTGCAGCTTCTCGTGCACATCAATGCCGTACTCCTACGAATTGCTGTTGGAAGAGGCGTCTCCGAGACCACAGCTGTACCTGCGGTACGAGGGCGTGGGCCAGGGAGGCCGAAATGTCGAGAAGCTCCTTGATACCGCTGAGGTACAAGTGCGCATTGTGCATCGCATCGTAGCGGATGCAGTCGTGGATGTCCGGGATCTTGGAGAGGTCAAACGTCTTGCCCTTCTTCGAGTAAAAGTCCCGGTACAGCTTGGCCCAGCGCTCGCGCATCATCTCGAGCGTCTCGCGGCCGCACGGCTCGCGCTTGGTGTGCCCCGCCGACCCGATGCGGGGACGCGGACTCGACATGAGCGAGTTCAGCGACGTCGCCGTCGCCGTCTTCGGGCGGCTCTTCGGCGACAACGCCTCATCCGTCGAGTTCTTGTGCGCCTTGGGCGTCTTCTTTGTCGCCACCGACGTCGGGCTGAACGCTTCAATGGCCTCGGGCTCGAGCTCCAAGCACGAGCCAACTGTCGTTTCCGAGCCCTGGCGCTCCATGGGCTTGCACTCACTATCGTCGCGGAGACCGCGCTCAAACTCGGTGGCCGTAAGCACGCGCTCGGCCTTCTCCGTGGCCTCGGCATCCAAAAGCTTGGTGAGCTGGTCCTTCAAGTGGCCCAGAAGCTTGTGCATGCGCTCCATCTTCTTCATGGGCTGCTCGACGACGTCGAGGGCGGCAGCGACGCTACGAACGAGGCGCGAGTTGGAGTGGGTGCGCAAGAGGCCGCAGTCGTCATCGCGGTGCAAAATGTCGTGAAGTCGCTCCTTCACGGCCATGATCATTTCCTGCGCCGACGAGCCCGACTGGTCCAGCATTGAGTCGGCGTCCTTGGACTTGAGCACCAAGCTCACGAGAATCGGAATGATATCGCCCTCGAGCTCGAGCAAGCCTTTCGCAAACGACGCTGCTGTCTTCTGGACCCGTCCTTCGTCGCTGGTGTAGATCTTGAGGTCGTGGCGGTACGTCGAGTGCAGTCGGAGAAGACCGCCGTCGCCGCCGGGGTACATGATCTGGCGAAAGTGCTGGCCGAGCGTCTCGGCTTGCTGGATGCCCGAGTGTGTCAAGTCACCGCCCACTTGACGATCAGCAAAAGCTGGCTAATGCGACCGCAGCTCTCCTAAATGGATACAACAACAGGATTGGATGGGTGCTTGGTCATCTGGAATACCTTGTCGCTGCCTTTTGGCGACGAGCTGACGTTTGTCAGAGACTCGAGGCGCACCTGACGTTCCACCGGCACGGGTGTCGTTGGCGCCACTTGGAAGTCTACAGATCAAACCATTAGAATGGACGAGGTGCGACGCCTCGACGCACCATCGGTCCACGCGCGGGGCTTCATCTGGACCTTTCGGTTGATGCCACAGAGCTGCCAGCGCTGGAGAACGTCCCGGAGCGTGTAGATGCCCTTCATTTGCTCGGCGTCGATATCCTCGTCGTCATCGTCGTCCTTGGCATCGGCGTCCAACGCACGGCGCTGCTTGGCTTCGTACGCTGCGATGAGGTCTTTGCTCACAGCGAGAAGCTCTTCGAGGTCCTTGATGGTCTTGATCTTGAGGTCCTTTTCTTCCCGCGCCCGACGCGGCTTTCGTAAAAGTTTAGTAGCTGCGGTGATGTCACGAGCATCTTCATTTTCTGCTTGGGCGTGCGATCACCGTGGCGAATGACGGCGAGGACGCAGCGCAGCTCTTCTTCTTCCATCATGCCATCCGCCGCACAGTCGTGGCTGCCATCGAGCCCACCATCAAACTCGCTCTCCGACTAACCACATACATCTGTGAGCAACTAACCACAAAATGACCAGAAGCGCGTACCGCCGTGCCGTCAGCCAGTAAGAGCGACATGGACGAGCTGTTGGTCATCGAGCGCTCGCGGTCGAGCGGCGGCGAGTACATGTCGGCGTATGGATCTTCGTACCCGGCGAGCGCGCGCTCGAGGTACTGACGGAGGAGCACGGCGCAGTCGTCATAGTACTTGGGCGAATTCTTCACAAAGCTCCAGCCGTTCACGTCGCACACGTACGACTCATTTCCGACGCGCAGAATGTCAAAGCCGCAGACCGTTTGGCTGAACGCGCGGCAGACTTTGTGTGCAATGTTCTTTTCGTTGGTCGAGAGAATCACGGGGTACCGGATCTCCTTCCCGACCGAGTCGCGCATGACCTTGCCGTCAAGGACCGGCGACTTGCGCGCTTCAGCGTGCGCATAGTTGGGACCGACCGTGTACACCTTGACGTCGGTTCCCTGCGTCGCAATGAATTCTTCGTAAATGTACGACTGGCCGTCGCCGCGCCGGACGCTGTTTTCCTGCGGATGGAACTCGGACGACCGGTTCCCGACCTTCCGGAAGAGGTGCTTGCAGCCACCGCCGGCGTTGGTCGGGTAGTAGATGTAGATGTTGTGGTCCTCGCCGTTCACGGGCTTTTCGACAAACGGTTTTTGGATGCGGACGCCGTCAAGCTCGACAAAGTCGTCGCACTCGACAAAGTCGGGCGCGAGGCTCGACCCGCGGTAGCCATCGCGGTTGACGACAATGTGTCTATGCACAGAAGTAAGCTACGCTGTCTTGTTGTACACCCTCGTAGTAGGTTGTTGTACTTGGGCGTCGGGATGTTGTGTTCTTGAAGGATCCGGTAGACGTCGCGGCGATCCATGAGCAAATTTTGGTTCGAGAGGTCGTTGACGACGATGGGCTGGCGGAGCTCGACGTACTCCATGGCCTACATCGTCCATGCGCTCAAGACGACGTTCCTTGCATGTTTGGTGGTAAAGTTACCTTGTCGAGCGGGAACCCCGTCGAGAAGAACGCAATGAGCGCGTCGCAGAGCGGCCACTCGTCCACGGACTTGTTGAGGATCATATCGTCGCCAAAGAGGACGATCTGGAACGCATGCTTGGGGAGGCGCTGGAGGATCTCGGTCATGGGCTTGGACGTCGCCTTCTTGTCCATGGCGCAGACGCCGATGACAAAGGGCGAGGAGCGCTCGAGGTTGACGGGCAACGACGTGGTCGGCTCCATGTTGGCGAAGGTGAAGACGCTTCCTGGCGTCCGCGCGTCCGAGCTCTCCCCGCGCCGCTTCTCCCGCGCGACCTGGGCGCCCATGCTGCGTCGGTACTTGGTGGACTTGTCGCGAAAACGGTTTTTCGTTGCATTTCAACATTCACCACCCAAACTCTCTTAATGTTTGTATGGATGACGGTTCGACATACAAACATCAAGTATAAATCTTCGTGCCACTTGCGATTTGTATACTGGCCCGAAATCGTCCGCAGAGGATCCGTAGGCGTCCACGTCGTACGTCGGATCAATGAAGCGCGCCGAGGAGTACGCAGCGGTGCCAACCAAGCGGCCGCGCGCCGAGGACAAGCCAGACGCGCCGCCCGCGGAAGAGCGCCGGACCGTCCGGTTCGTTGAGAAGGGCACGCTCCTATCGCTGGCCGACGATGGGCTCACGGTGACGGGAAGTAAAGTACGTGCAGGCGTCACGGGTGCGGCAAGGTGCATGAATGCACGGCTCTTACTAGGGCTACTGCATGGCGCGCGCCAACTGCGGCGTTCGCCATGGCCGTTGCTATTACGAGATCACGCTGCAGCCGGCCGACGTGCCCTACCACGTGCGCTTTGGCGTCGGCACCAAGAAGGCCGATATCAATGCGCCCGTGGGCTTTGACGAGTTTAGCTACGCGTACCGCGACCTCGAGGGCGCAGTCGTCCACAAGAGCACGCGACGCGACGGCTACGGCGCGGTCTTTGGTACAATGACGACGACCACACGCGCATCACGAGAGCGACCCAATAGGGCCTGGCGACGTCGTCGGCGCCCTTCTCGTGCTGCCCGATCGCGCCGAATCAGGTCCTGATCCCACTTTGGCACCCGCAAATCCTGCTTCGCCCAGCATCGGCTCAGAATCTCCGCGGGTGACGCCAGCGCCAGACCTCAAGAAGACGAGCGGTACCCTTCGCTTCTTCGTGAACGGTGTCGACCAAGGCGTTGCATTCGACGACCTGCCTTGTGGTACGACGGCCTCGGCGCGTTTACCTCCACAAGCTCCATGATGTCATGCGTGTATTAGGGGATGTGTATTACCCATGCGTGTCCATCTACCACGCCGGCAGCGTCGTCGCCAACTTTGGCCCTGCGTTCAAGACACACGACATGGAGGATTCTGCGATTCCGTACGCTAGCCCGTCACCCTAGTGTTTTTACTACAAGGAGAAGAGTAGTACGTTTCTATTAAAAAGTCATGCCGTCATGGTACGGCGGCTGCGCACACGAGTTGAGGAGGTGGTTGAGCTCGTCGTCGTTGTTGAGGAACGATTGGTTTGAGAGCATCGAGGACCGCAGCGAGAGCTTCGAGAGGCTCTTTTTGATTTCGCTTTTGTTCTCGAGGAGGTCGTCGAATTCCTGCACGCTCAAGTTGAATGTACGCCGGATGGCTTCTTCGTCGTGCGGGCCAAAGGATGCGAAGAGCGAATCGACGAGCTGCCCGTCGTCGACGCCGTCGTTGGTCTCCGCGTTGCGCAAATTCGCAATGAACGATTCCGAGAGCGCGAACGACCCGTTGAGGCTGTGCAAGCTGTTGCTGTTGTTGTTGCTGCCGAGGCTGTCTTGGCGCTCCCACTCTTGCTGCATACGACGGTGGTCTTCCAAGTACGGTCGCTTGTTCATTGCGTTGAGATGAATTTCATCGAGCATCGACGCCACGTTTTCCGACCCCATGACATTGGAAAAGTTGCGCGGCCGCGACGACGACGGCGACATGTACTCGTGGCCGTACTGGTTGGCGAGGTGCTCGGTCGTGTTCATGACGTTTTCAAAGCTGCGGCGACGGGCGAACGGCGGCGGGCTCGTCTCGATCGGCGCCGAGCGTGGCGTCGGCGTAGACTTGGGTTCGCTATTGCTGCTTGAATGCAGCTTGAGCGAGCCAAAGCCAAAGCCAAAGGACCGCGCCTTGGCCTTGTCTTGGCGATGTGGGTGCATCGTCTTCCATCGGAGCTTGATGTCGTGCTCGGACCGCCCGGGCAGACGCTTCGCAATCTCTGTCCATCGGTTCCCAAGCTCTTCGTATGCGTTCTCGAGCGCAATCTCTTCATCTGTCGTAAACGCCGTCTTGATCAGCGACGGGTCCAAGTGGTTGCGCCACCGATCCCGGCACTGCTTGGATCTATCCGCACACGCTAAGAAATGATAGGTGGTGATGCGTCGTACGATCTGCCAGGCACGGACTCGGCGATCTTGGACCAGGACTCGGATCCCGCCTTCTCGACGCGTCGCCGGAGGAGCTCGTCCTCGTGGGGCGTCCATGCGCCGACCATGCTACACTGTGAATTGCCTTATGAGCTACGACTATGGAAAGGCCATTTGGGTCGAAGCAAACTTGTACCGTAGAACACGCTCCTCGTCTTCGATCAAATGGCAGCCAATCAAACGACGATAAGCACCAAACACTAAGCGATGATTGGCCATTGCATAAAGTTACAACGGTGGCGTATGGCGCGAGAATTTTTCACGCGGTTTGCACACGGCACTCGGCATTTGTATATAACGATGAATCGCTGCCTAATTTATGGCCGGCGTGTCGCATGAAACCGTACGCGTACATTGCTCGTACACTCAATGTACGTCGTCGTACGGCAGAGAAAGTAACCCGGGGCACGGAAGGGCGTTCTTCGACCGCGACTTCGATAGCCATAGCTGACAAGACCGTGGCCCACGACAGCTTCCGATACCCGACCTCGGCCCTTTACAAGTACGTGCTCGCCGCATCCTACTTGGTCCTTGGAGAAGCTCATATGGCAGCGACGTGCGTAGTGACCTCCATCTTGGCACAGTAAGCCCGTAGCACGGTGGACATGCCCACACGCCGCCTGCGTAGGAAGCGCCGCCTTGGCGACCACATGGACTCGTTTGAAGACGCGTACAACACGCCCAGCAGCGGTGGTAAGGGCAAATGGACTGACGAAGAGGTACGACGAGGATGCCATTGGGGCCACGTGGGCGACTGGCGACTAGGACAATGCGCTTCGCCGCGCCGTCGAGCTCAACGGCAACGAAAACTGGAAGGTGGGCAGCAGCGGGCGTTCTGTTTAACAAGCGCAATAATGTAGGCCATTGCCGAGCTCGTACCGGGGCGCAACCACTCGCAGTGCCTCCAGCGCTGGAACAAGGTGCTCAAGCCAGGTCTTATCAAGGGCAATTGGTCGCCCGACGAAGACGAGCTCCTTCGCCAACAAATTCAGATCTGCGGCGAAAGCGCGTGGGTGCGGATCGCCGAAGGAGTGCCTGGCCGAACGTAGGCGGCGCGTCTTGAATGACATGCAAGCGTCATGACGCAATTGTTGTGTAGGACCAAGCAGTGCCGAGAGCGCTGGCGAAATCACTTGGCGCCCACGATCAACCGCTCGTGCGAATCGAGGCGTCACAGAAGGAGCTCTCACACTGCATCTGTAGGCCCTTTACGGCCAACGAGATTGCGCTGCTCGAATACGTCTACAACAAGATTGGCAACCGATGGACACAAGTGGCCAAGCTGCTGCCGGTACTGTCGTTGGTGCTCTTCATGTGCAAGACATTGATCCCAGTGTTGCACGCAGGGCCGGGCCGAGGACGACATCAAGAAGAAGTGGAAGCAAATGCACCCCAAGCAAGAGAAGAAAAAAGCCGGGCGGCTGCCCAAGATGGAGATGACGGACCTCATTGAGTCGATCCAGTACGAGATGAAGCAAGGCAACCTCCCAATGCTCAGCTACCTCTTTGAGATGAGTGTGGCCGACATCCTCCTCGAGAACGACGACGACGAAGAGAAGGGCTCGATCGCATCGGACCGCAGCCGCCGAAGCAGCTTTGTCTCGTCCAACAACAAAGTCGAGGACCTCTTGTCGTCTGCGCCGCCATCTGCCGCGCCGTCGCCGTCGCCGCCGTCCAACAACAGTCCGTCGGTGCGGCCGCCGGCGCCGTTTTTGACCAAGAAGAAGAAGGTCGAGTGGGACCAAATGTCGATCGACATTTTGACGCAGTTTCTCTTTACCGCGTCGTTCAAGACGAACCTGAACCTTGGCGACATGATGGACGCCGAGACGCACGCGAACACGGCGGCCAACGGCTTCTCGATGGACGACGACCCGGTCGTCGCGAGCGTCATTGACTCGTTCCGCGCGTCCGGGTCGTCCAAGGACATTCAGTCGATCGTCGACGAGCTTCAGTTTGACCAAGATCAGCTGCAGCACCTCATGGACGTGTGCGGCAACTCGTCCAACGACTTCTCAAGGACCACGACGACGCGTCGAGCGACGAAGAGTACAAGTTGTAAACGCGGTTTGAGTTGTTGATAATTTACATGCGCCATCAACTCGTCGAACGAGACAACTTGTCTGTAAAGACAACTTGTCTGTGAAGACTGTGAAGATTCTTCTTGTATGGAGTGGAGAACACCACGTCGCCTTGACGTGGACCGTCAACGGACGATGCGATAACTCGACACATTCGAGCGAGAGACCCACAACGCATCGACGACGTGCATTGTAGTATCCGGACACGATTTCCGGATGCGGGCTGGCACATAGAGCGGAAATAATGAACGGTGGCATCGGCGATAGCCCTCCGCGGGAGCTGTACGAGGCCGGCTCCGTGGACGTCGACCTTGCCGCGCACGCCGGGCACAGCCACCACGGCGACGTCTGCCCGACGCCGGGCTCGTGCTTTCCCGTGCCAGGCGACCAGTTTGATACGTTTGCCGACCTCGAGAACCGGCTCAAGGTCCACAGTCTCGACCACGGCTTTACGCTCGCCCGAAGCACGCACCTCTTCTCGTCGACGCTCGCGCTCGAGCTCTTCCGCGTCAAGTCGCCGCTCATCAAGGTCGTCCACCGCGGTAGCTTTTACTGCAGCTACAAGGTGTGTCCCGACGACAGCACGAAAAAGTGTTCGTGGCGGATAACGTTTACGTTTGACCGAACGCTGCTCAAGTACGTCATCAAGAACGAGCGCTACTGCGCGATGCACTCGCACGAGATTGGCGAAGAGGCGGCTAGCAGCTCTGCGATCCACCGCGAAAGCCAGCTCTATGAAGCGGAGCTCGACCAAATCCAGGCCATGGCGCTGCAAGACCTTTCAATTCCTGAGGTACGCAGTCTCTCCATATACGGCTGCACATGCATCGTCATGCTAGATCCGATCGCGCATGCAAGCCACGTACCCTGGGAAAGACTACACGCCCGACCTGCTTCGGCGCATTGTAAAAAGACTAAAGACCACGCCGCCCGTCCAGCGACCGCCGACGACGCTGCCAGCACGTCGCAGGTGCGGTCCGAGCTGCGCGCGATGCCGCCCCGATCGGTGCCGACGCTGCAAGAATCGGAGCAAGAGAGCCGGTACCTCGAAGTGCACCAGCGCTTCAACCAGATCGTGTCCAAGGTCATCAACGATCCGCACCGCTTCAAGCTCTTCTCGCTCAACCTCGTCGCGTTCGAGCACTCGCTGACGAACCCGCTTCCAGTGCAGCTGCCGCCGTCCTCGATGCTCATGCCGCCGCCGCCGTACGACCGACCATACGCCACGACCACAACTACCTCGGCCACCACGACCAATAACATTAGCACGACCGCCGGCGCGCGCCAGCCGCGACAGAAACGCCCGCGCACGGGCCACGAGAGTGCAATGGAAGACGCCTTTCTGCCCAATGAGATGACCAACAACCCGCTCAACCACCTGTAGACATGTCGTCTTCGTTTTATTATACTAATCTCGTCGCAACAGCATACATCCTTGTCGTCCATCTTGCACACAAAACGACGACCAGCTGCTGTGCAAAGATGCGCTCACGTGAGCACGCGCGCCTTGAGGAGGAGGTGGACGACGTGCTCGGTGGCGCCCAGTGGCATGAAGCCGCCTTTGATCGTCACCTTGGCCGAGACGCGGATCCAGTGCATAATGCGCAGCTGGTTGCCAATGTCGTGGTCATCGCCCTTCGGGTTGAAGTGCACCGCGATGGTTGCTTCGTGACCAGGCAACACGCTTCCTTTGCTTGGCTCAATGGCAAAGTACTTGCGGTGCTTCTCGGCGAGGCCACTCGCGCCGTCGAACGCAACCTCGAACGTCGCCGCCGAACTCGCCTTGCCGTCCGAGAAGGCCGGTCCGACGCTGTGTCCGTGGTCCTTCTCGTCCTGAGGGCCAATGCTGCCAATGATGACGTTCTTGGTCGTCGGCTCGGTATCAAACACGACCTGCAAGACACGCGGCGGCTTCTTCACAAAGTCGGCGCAGAACGCCGGCAGTAAAACATGCTGCGGTAGCTCGAAAATGTCTTCGGGCACCGCCGTCTCTTCGCATATCGTTGGTGGTAGCAGGTACGTCTGGGACTCCCAGCAGCGGCCCTACATACGCCGTTCGGCCTCGAGCTATCACGCGAATGAAGCATACGCGCAGCGTAATGACGTGGTCTTCTGTCTGGTTGGGCACATCGATGCGAAACTTGGTCGAAAACTCGATCGGTCGCTCGTGGTCGGGGCTACCAAGCGCGGTGTGGATAGGAGTTGCTCGGGATAGAATATACTGCCGTACCTAAACACGCAGCGCACGACCTGCGTTTCGCCCGGCGGGATCACGGCTTCGTTGGGCGTGCACGAAAAGACACTCGTTTGGTTGTAGTTGGGGTGCAGCACCTCGATCGTCTATGGGTCCTAATAAGCCATCGAGGCCCTCGCTACCGTGCGTACCTTGATGATGTACTTGAGCGGAAACTGGCTCGAGTTGAGAAGGGCAAACTCGGTGTACCCCTTCTCGCGCGCCAGCACGGGCTTGAAGTGGATGTCACCATCGGGCGGTGTGATTTGCAAGACGGGGCTCACGCCCTATGCTCGGACTCCTTGCGTCCGTCAGAAAGAGTCGACACGTGCATACCTCGCCGTGGAGCGGCACGCGGAGGTCCCCTCTTGCCGTCGTAAGCATCAAATCTTCTTGAAAAATGAGTGGCGCTGACGGTGTGAACTCAACAAAGAGCGTCTACGCGGTCGCTTCATGCAACCTATCATTCGCTAGAGTAGGGATTATTACCGCCATGCCACCGCCGGCCGCGACGCAGCGCAGCGCGTTTACGATCGAGAACGGACCCATGCAATGCAGCGCGAGCATGTGCAGCTCCAACTCTTCGGGGCCGTCGTTAATCACTTGGAGTTTGAGCACCTAAGATTGGCGTGCGTCAAACCTCATATCGTAGTTGTGCTAGAATGTAGTACGCTCGACTGCCCGACCGCCACTTGGCCAAACGAGAGCGTCTCTGGCTTGGCGAGAAGCTCCCGCTCGACGATCGACACGTGGAGGCGAAGGCTCTGCAGTGTGACGCGACCGTCGCCCTTGTTCTTGGCGTCATCGCCAAAGCACACAAGGTTGTACGTTGCGTGCACGCTCCGCGGCTCGGTCGGGGCCAGCGCAAGAGGTGCCACTACGTCATTCTTATTGTCGTCGTCCAGCTCGTCTCTCGGTGTCACGTCTTCGAGAGCAACGTCATTGGCGTTGATAGTGGCCGACGCCTCGGCCAGAGGTGGTGCGTTGCAGGATTTCGTCACGATAACGTTCTCGGCCGGCGCGAGGTCGTCCCATGCTGTTGGTCGGAACTCGACCTCAATGCGCACCGAGCCGTAGGCGGGCACGGTGGCGACGAGCGGTCGTATTCGCAGCACCTACATGCGATCGTGATGGCTGATGCAAATCAAAGCATATACCTTGGCCGCACTCGCTGGCAAGTCGATCTCGAGGCGTTGATCACTGGATGATGCATTGGCGCACACGAGGCTGTGCACGACAAACTGTCCGATCGGGATCGCGCCCAGCGTCACAACGGTCTCGGAGAAGCGCAGTGCCGGGGCCGTGCCGGTGCCATGACACGGCAGCGAATACGTGCGGTTCATGCTCGAGACGCACGTGAGGGACGTATGAAACTCGGTCGCCGCACTCGGGCTAAACACGATATCGGCGTCGATCGCTTCGTACGGCAAGAGCGTGCCAAAGCCGTCGTTTGGCTCGACGCGCACCTCCGGTGGCAAGTGCACGAACGCGAATTTCTGCGGCAATATCGATCGGTTGGTAATGCGCACACGCTGGGCGACACTCTGCGTCGTTGCGCAAACGCCAAACGAAATGGTCCGCGACGAGAATTCGAGGTCGCCAAGCGTCAGCTGCGCGCGCAAGACAAAGTACACGGGCAGCACTTGGTCGGGCACGAGCACTTGGAGCGGAATCGCCAGCACGCCGAGCGTCTCGAGGCCAAATTTGTGCGCACTCACGGCTTTCCAGAGACTCTGCGTCGGCCGAAATTTGATCTATTGCCACGTCAGGTATTCCCGCATGCACTATATGGCCGTACTTGGATCTCAAATCGACCAGGCTCGGCGCCAGGCGAACACCCTTGCACGTAGCCAAAGTGGGGCACGAACTCGAGCACTTCCTTGAGGTACTTGGGCACTTTGAGCTGGCACTTGAGTGGCACCTTGCCCCGGTTGCGCAGCAGGAGCTTTCCACGGTATAATTTATCGTACACGCAGCACTTGAAGTCCATCATGGGCGTCTCGACGTACAGCGGGACCTGCATAGTCGTATGATTCGGCATCTCCACTTGATAAAGGTTGATGCGACTACCTGCGCGGCCTGGGCTCGCACGCTAATGTCGAGCGGGGGCACTTCGGGCGCGTCGTCGAACGTCACCTGGAACGATTGCGTAAACGCGGCCATTGGCTCGTGCGGCGAAAAGGCGAAGTGGATGCTGCAGCTCGCGTACGGCGCGACTCGCCCGTCAGTGGTGGCAACGAGAGGCGGTGCGACAGACACACTTGGTTGCACCTGGCCAAAGGACGTAGCGAACGCCATTAGCGCGGCTTCGGACGCACTCGGATCGGCGACCGCATCGACGCGCGTCTCTTCACGATCACCCGCGTCGCGCCAGGCAGGCGTGTCGACTGGCAAGATGCGGAAGGCCGTCGGGAGTGCGCCGGCGTTGCGCAGCGTCACGACGTGCTTGGCGCACTCGCCAACGACGACGTTGGCAAACTCGATGTGGCTCGTGCTGAGCTCGGGCACGCTCCGTTTCGCGGCGCAGCGCAGCGGAATGGAGAAGTACCCGGTCTTCGCGACCGCCGGGATGTGCGTCTCGAGGTCGGCGTTGCGGCGCGGGAGGAACGTCACGTGCACGCGGCAGGTCATGCCCGCCGACATGCGCCCCGGCTTTTCGTATTTGATGTCGAAGAAGTCGCGCACGTCGTCGGGCAACGGCAGGAGCTTGAAGTGGTTGAAGGTGTTGCTGACGTTTGTGAGTGTGAACGAGCGCGATTGCGGCGTTCCGACGTCAAAGTCCGAGAAGCTCACCTCGGGCGGATCGGCCAAGAACGCGCGGCCGGTAAACTCTTTTCGCCACACGATTTGCTTTTCGATCAAGTTGTCCTTTTGCTTGGCGAGCGCGCGCTGGCGCATGGCCTCTTCGAGCTTGCTGCGCTTCGGCACGCCGAATCCCTTCTTCGTGCTACTACTGTTCGTACGATGGGACGATGCTGTCGAGGCGGCGAGCGACGGGAGTGCAGAGCTGTCGTCGAGGCCGTTGAGCTGCACGAGCTCTTTGCCCGGCGGCTGCGAGATGGGTGGAAGGAGGAGACCGTCCGTCGATGGCGTGTTCGAGAGCGACGACGACGACGACGACGAAGCGTTGTGCTTGCTTTTCGGGATCCAGCGCGGGTTGAAGTGGACGTCGGCGTGCTCGGGCTTGGCCGCGATCGCATCAATGACCTAATGCGGAGGTTGGAACAACGTGGAGGTGAGGCGGTGCACCTTGTCGCGCTGCTCGCGCGTCTTGTTGGTACTCTTGCCCGTCCCAAACGAGTAGTCCTTCATCGTGGTGACTTGAGACGGGTCGATGCGAAACGTGCGGCCCGTGGGGTCGACGAGCTCGGCGCCGACGCGCGAGAGCATGTACTTGCGCGTCCGGTCTTCGACGACTTTGCGCCCGAGCTCTTTTTGGTACTTTTGCACGTACTCGACGTGGCGCTTCTCGACTTCGCCGCGCCGCTGGTTGCGCGCCGCCTCCCGCACCATGTTGGTGGCAATGTGCATCTCAGCACTCTGGATCTTGCGCTGCTGGCGCGCGAGCTTGGCAGCGGTCCGCGCCTCGATCTCGCGCGCGCGAAACACCTCGTACGGGTTCTTACCCGACGCGAGAAGCTCTTGGAACTCGCGCGCCTGCGCCGCAGCGAGCGCATCGGCCTCGGCGTTGCGCTTCTCGTTGTGCCCGCACATGCCCGCGTACGCCTTCTCGCTGTTGGCGCGCAGCTCCAGGATCGCATCGAGGCGGCCTTGATGCTGCTGCTCCTGGCGCTCCAGGAGCCGCTTGTGCACCTTGCGCGCAATCGCCTTGTCATCGAGGTCGCCGTCGGCTGGCGCTGCATCCGACGACATGCTCCGGCGCGTACCCGGTGCGTTCCTCGTCAAATGGTAACGCCAAGGGATATACTAGGACTTTGTATGCTCATGGAGTTTTGTAGTGTCAAAGATCGTGTCGCTTGCCAAGGGTCACGGACGTATCATCGCGACGGCTGCTTGGAGACGCCTTGGCTGCATGCTGCATCGAGAGCCCATGCTCTGGTGGTCCTCCTCCTCTTCGACCCGGTAGTATAGCTTACGGGACAAGGAGCGCAGGCAATGGGTACTTGTATAGTATGAGCTATCGACATCGACCACATTCCGTGCGTGGTGGACGCGTTAAAAGAGTGGGTGGTCCTTCATGGGCGCGCTGCCGCCCTTGAGCGACGTGGGCGGGCGGAAGAGCCGGTCAACGATCGCTTGCGAGTACTCGGCGTACGAGTTGCCTTGCGTATCGATGGCTGGGATCACGCGGTCACTGTCGGGCCCTTCGTCGCCCACAACCGGCGGGTTCGTCACACTAGTTGACCGATAATGTCTTGGCAAGGTCGCATGCAGTGTTACCTGAGCACATGAAGCTCGGGGCTCGATGCGACAATGGAAAAGTCTTCTTGTTCGTCGATCGCAATGCATGTGCCAGGCGACAGCGCATGGCTGTGGTGCACCGCACTATGGATCTCGAGCGTGCCTTCGCCCTGCATGACGTACATGGCTTGGACGTGGTTCTTCATGTGCAAGCGCATCGGCGCGCCCTTGGTGATGATTTCGTGCTGGAGCGAGAAGCCCAGGCCGTCGTCGCGGGTCAAGTACCGCCGGGACTCGAAGCTGTCGATCGTTGTGACCTTGCCATCCGCAACAAGCCCATCGAGCGACCGGACGAGGAGCGATCGCCCGGCCGACGCATGGAAGCTGCGTCGCGGTAGAAGCATCTTGTGGCTAAGACCAAGCATCTTCGTCGTCGTCTTTTCAAGTGATGCAACTTATCTTGTTCTTGGCTATATCTTTACACGTTAATAACGCCACCGCGGTGACCTTCAACGACATCGGCTTGCTGTCAGGAGAGGTTGGCCGACAGGCTACCGTCGCGGCTTGATAGCGAGCTAGATGAAGCTAGCGCTCAAGATGCGGTACCTAAACATCTACGCGCTGGGCGAGCTCTCCTTCGAATGTTGCCAATAACGTGGCCAAGAAGGGTCGTTTCTGACGAAATTGTGTGTTTGGGTCAATTAAAACACTGGTTTTTAGCCAGGTCCAGGCCAGGGTTCAATCCCCTCATCCCCTTTGTCACTTCAACATCCTATTGCTGTTTTGAGTAGAGCAGAAGCGGAACCTCTTGCGCTCAAAGCTGCAGTGCTTGTCGTTGGAAAACAATCCAGCCATTTATCCGGACAATATGGTGGACTTGTATATTACATACTGAAAACAAGTGTATATAAAATACAATACGAGATTCGCTGGGTCTTATACCTCATATCCGGATATTTCGACCTGCTGAGGGATGTCAATTTTGACTTCGCCATCGTCATGAGCACGGCGAAGCGCACCCGTCCGGCGCAGCTCGCTTGCGACGAGCTGCCGCCCGCGAGCAGCGAGCAGCGCCCGCGCCAAGAGCCCGACAGCGAAGAGAGCGTGCCCACGGTCTCCCGCTGGACGCGCGAGCAGGTACATCGATCGTCCTGTCCGACCCGACGCCGCACGACGCGTAGGACGAGCAACTGAATCGGGGCATTGAAAAGTATGGCACAAAGAACTGGAAGGTGCGCAATGCGACTTGGATGCATCGAATCTGACGACCGTCGCGTAGGCTATTGCCAGCATGGTGCCCGGCCGCAACCACGCGCAGTGCCTTCAGCGCTGGAACAAGGTGCTCAAGCCGGGCCTTGTCAAGGGCCATTGGTCCTTTGACGAAGACGACGCACTCATCAAGCTCGTGCGCGACGTGCCTTCGGTGCAATGGTCGGACATCTCCAAGCAGATCCCTGGTCGCACGTACGAGGCTGAACCTTTCATTCGTCACCTCAACGAGCTGCTGGTAGAGCCAAGCAATGCCGCGAGCGCTGGAAGAACCACTTGGATCCTACCATCAACAAGGGGTACGAGCAGATGATCTCTGCGATTCAAAGGCATATGAATGCGTCCCTAGCCCGTACAAGTCGGACGAAGACGTCGTCTTGATGAACGCGTATCAAGAGCTCGGGAACCGATGGACGCAAATTGCAGAATTGCTGCCGGTACGGCTACGACCCATTGCAATCAATTCGCTCACGCACGGGACAGGGCCGTACTGAGGACTCTGTCAAGATGCGCTGGAAAGTGCTCAACCCCCATGCCAAGTCCAAGGCCAAGCCTGGTCGGCCACCGCTCATGGCGCCACCCACGTCGCCGCCCAAGCCAATGGCAGCACCAATGCCGGCGGTCGAGTCGCCGGAAGCGGTCACGGATGTCCAGAGCGTGTTTGACGACGAGGACGACGGTGAGTCGCAACAAGTTCTCGCGCGCCGGACGTCCTCGCTTCTTGAAAGCTTCCGTACGCACGATAGCCTCTTGAGCTTCTCGAGCCTCAGGGCCGAAGACTGGGAGGTGTTTCAGGAGCTTATGATGAGCGATCAGTTCGCATCGGCCGTCACGACGCGCGCGCCGACCGAGATGATGTCGATCTTCGACTCGTTCAAAGACAAGAGCATGACCGACGACGAGTTCCATCGTCTCGTTGGCGTCATCGAGGACCCGGAAGCCATCATGGACTTTATCCAGGAGACGTATGAGTCGGTCGATCAAGATAGTGAGTGGACCATCCCGCTCTGCTCGTGTGGCTGCGGCGAAACCGAGCTGATGCACCACGAGGCTTCGCTTGCGCACTTGGTGCCGCCGCCGCCCGCCTTTGCGTCGCAGCCCGTGCATTTCGAGACGTACGGCTCGTACCAGCCCCACGTGCAAACTAACAGCCTCAACGAGTACGTCGAAGATGTCGACGGCGTCGAAGATCTCATGACGGCCTTCCATGTCGGCAAGCGCAGCAATCGTCGATAGACCCATAATTCATTTTTCATTCAATTGATGTACCGAAAGGTGTCTTGAAGCGAGAGGAAATCACCTCCAGCGTTCTAGTTATGCATGTATGACTAGGGTGGCTAACACAGGGCGAACGCATGGTGTCGAGCACAAAAAGGCAATTTAGCCCGCCCGCTTGATGCTCTATAAAAACGCAACTTTTATCCCGACCCTCGCACAAAAGTGGTCATGAGAACGTGGTCATGTGCGTGCCGTTAGACTCTATCAAGCGTCCGGATACGGATACCGTTAGATACGTTCTTCGTCATTTTCGGGAGCGACGGTTGAGGGCGATGGGGGCCTCAGGATCGAAGGGCAGCAAGGAAGAGTTCACGTACGAAGACTCGGACGAGGGCTTCACAGAGGCCTTGAAGGTCAACCTCCAGCGCCTCATTGCGTACGCCAAGAGCGCCGATGCCAGCTTGCAGAGGGAAGTCGCCGAGAAGCTCGCGAATGAGGCTGTGAAGCGTGAGAGCACCTGCTGCGACGATGGAAGCTCATGGCGTCTGTAGCGGACCGCCAAGTGCAAATCGTCGAGCTAGACGGTCTCCAGCTGCTTTTGCCCTTGACGCAGTCGAAGGACACGGAGGTGCAGCGCCTCGCTGCCCACGCACTCGCCAACCTCTCGGTCAACTGTACGAGTTGACTACCATATTGGCTCTTCTCATGCAGTGCGTTAGCCGACAATCAAACCAAGATGGCGAATGAAGGCGGCATTGACATGCTCATCGATCTCTTGGCGTCGGACAACGAACATGTGCAGCGCCAGGCGGCGAAAGCTCTGGCGAACCTTGGCGTCAATGGTACGGCAGCGACACATCTCGCCGATGCTGATACCGATCGTAGTCGACAACAAGGAAAAGATCGCCAAGGCGGCGGGATCAAGCCACTCATCAAGCTGGCGTGCTCGAAGCAAGTCGGTGTCGCCGTCGAGGCCATTGCCGCGCTCGCCAACTTGGCTGTCAACGGTATAAAGCTCGGCATCTTTCGATGTACACTGACTGATGATCTGCTTTGTATAGACGCGAACGAGGTGGAGATTGCACGCGACGGTGGCTTGGAACCAATTATTCGCGGAGCCAAGTCGGATTCGATGGAGCTGCAGTCGCAAGTCGCGCGTGCACTGCGCAACCTTTCCGTCAATGGTGGGTCATTCTCTCTTATCGCGGCGTGGCTAATGCATGCTGATGGGTAGCCGAGAACAAGGAGCTCATTGTGCGCCTTGGTGGCGTCGACGCGCTGCAGTTTCTGGTGCGTTCGCCCAACGACCGTATTTGCCAACAAGCCACGCGCGCGCTCGTGAACCTCGGCGTGAGCACGTCGGATTAGCGCTGTAGCCGTGTCAACACCCGCGACGTTTTATATTTTTCATTCATGCACGCGCCATATCGCATTACGACGCCGAGTAGCAGATGCCTTAGGTCTGGCGCTTGGCCGTCCGGTTGTCGGATCGCTTGTTCGGGAGCCACGCGGCGAGGGGTGGCACTTGGCTCGCAGCGGCCGAGGCCGCGGCGCCCTGCGTTGCTTGCTGGGGCATCATGGTTCTCCGCTGCATTTCCCCGCCAATCTACAAATGCAATCAGGAGCGTGTTGCACATGACGGGGGCGGTAATACCTCGTAAAACGACGACATGAGCAGCGCTTGCTCGCGCTTCTGGATCGACTTGAGGTCCTTGAGCTTGGACTCGAGGAGGTCGACCTTGGCCTGCTTCTCGGCCAGTTGGTTGCGGTGCGTGCTCATCGCGACCATGTACTTGCTCTGCACCGCATGGAGCGTCTTTTTCGTGTAGGTCTCGAGCTTCTCCTTATCTTGCGACAAGTTGTTGATCGTTGTCTCTTTCTCCTTCAGTCGGTTGGTGAGTTCGCCGATCGTCGCACGGAGCGAGTCGCTCTCTTCAATGTTGTTGGTGAGCTTCCGCGCCTGTTCTTCGTGCGCCTGGAGCTGCGAGAGCAGCTTGGCGTTCGCGGCTTCGAGGTGCGCCACTTGCTGCGGCGGCGCTGCCCCCGACGATGACGACGACGTCGCATCGCTCATTTGTTCGAGCTGGCGCTTCATCTCGAGTGCCTTCTCTTGCCAGACAGCCTTCATGCGCAAGGCGTCGTCACGCTCGTGCTGGAGCAAGAGCACTTCGCCACTCGGACCCGTCGACGAGGCGGCCGCCGCATCGCTGCTCTGCGGCATCGCGCTGAGCTGCTCCTTGAGTACCTTGTTTTCGCGCTCGAGGCGCGCAATCTGCTCGCGAAACTGCATGCCGCCGCCCAAGACGTCAGCTGCGCTCGTGTACATGCCCATGTCGCTCCCGTCCTCGTCCGGGACGTTCGAGCGCAGCTCCTCCAGCTGGTGCTCGAGGAACTCCTTGCCATGCATCGCGGTTTCGAGCTCTTCTTGGAGCTGACGCACCTTGTGCTCCTTGATTTGAAGCGACGACATGATCTCGACGTTGGCCGTCTCGAGCTCGACGACCTGGTTCTTGTACTTTTCGATCGCGAGCTTGAGTGTCGGCATCGTCTTGATTGTGCTTTCCAGGTCGAGCATCTTCTCGAGGTAGGACGAATTCTGGCTCTCGACCTCCTTGACGTGCTGCTTGATCGTGTTCATCTCATCGAGCTTCTGCTTGTACTTGACGACCGTGCTCTCGAGCTTGGCGAGCGCCACGAGCTTGGAGCGCGAAATATCGAGTTCATCCTGCACACAAAGTATTAGGTTGGGTTGGAACAATCCTTGTGATCGTACCGCTTGCCGACGAACTTCATGTTCGAGCACCATCATGCGCTCCGACGACTCCTTCTTGATGTGGCTGAGCTCGTCCGTCTTGGCTTGGAGCTCCATCGTCAGCGCGTGCTTCTCGGCGTTCACGAGCTCTTCGAGCTTCTTGTTGTCGCGCGCGATCGATTGTTGGCGCTCCGCGTTGAGGCGACCGTTCTCGTCCTCGAGGTTGACGATCCGCGCGCGCGTCGCGGCAAAGTCGATCGCGAGCTTCTCGTACTCCTCGGTAATGCGGCGCTTGTCTTGCTCGGCGTCCTGCCACTTACTCTCGGCTGTCATGAGGCGCTCCTTGATTTCGTTCATCTCGGTGCTCGTGTCGGCATGGCTGTAGCCACGAAGGGGTGTCATGTCCGCGGCCGCCGGCGGGGGGATGCTCGGTGACATTGTCGGCGAAAAGGCCGACCCGCTGCGACTGCCCGCGGGCGACATGGGTGGGAAGAACGACGTGAGCTGTTCGATGAGGCTCATGACGCCGAGCTGCACGCGCTGCTCGAGGTTCAAAATGCGCATGACAAACGTCTGGCGGTCGGCGCAGTTGACGGCGCAGTACAAGATGAGAGCCGCGAGCTTCCCGAGCTCGACTTCGGTCGGGATGTCCATACTGGACGCCCGCGAGATACCATTGAGGTCGACATAGGCCGCAACGTCGCAGCGCACCGCGAGCTCTTCTTGGTAAAACGTCTCGATGCCACGCGCAATCACATTAAAGTTGGCCGACTTGAGGATCCACGTCATGTCGCTGTCTTCCTTGATGCTCTCTAGGTCGACGTAGTCGGGGTCGCTAGCAGGCCAGCATGAGGAAGAGGGCCCTTTCGCTGACGATGGATCTTACATGCGGTTGACGACGCGCCCGAGGAAGATGCCATCGGCGAGCGCCTGCCATGTGAAGTCGGCGGGGGCGGCGACGTCGGCCGCGAAGGTCTGCAGCCACTCGAGGAGCGACGCCCGCTTGTCCTCGTCCATGCTGAACGCGCTCGAGTCGTCCATCTCGTGCTTCGTCCCGACCCGTTCTTTTGGGAGAAAAATGCAAATTAGCATCTATAGGAAATGACTGTCTATCTTTTTCTGTCGTTTCAGCCAATGAAATCGCACAAACGTGGTGACATATGACCAATCACGACGCGGAGGATTAAAGCCTGGGATCTCGACAGCTTGTCATGACGCAAAGTCAACGCCGTCAACAAAGAAAAGGCCGGCAACGACGAGCAAGCCAGACCAAGCCGCGGCTGCGGGATGGATGCGAGACCACCATGGACGCTTTGCAAGCTATGCACGATATTACGGTAGGTAGAGAGGGCTGGGCAATCAATGCTACTCCATAGAGGTGGCAACGGGTGCAAGAGACGCTGTCCATCCACCGCCGCAGTGGCGCCCCTTCGGCGCCGCCTCAGACGTGATCAGAATCGCGGCTGCCAGCCAGCCCAGGTATGTTGATGATTTGGTGGTTCTGGATCGTGGACGGAAAGCAGATTGTAGGAAAGAAGTGGACCCAGTAGGTTTACAGAATGTAGTGTTGAATGTGTAGTTACCAAACGCTAGAACGAGCATTTAGTTGTCGGCGACGACCCACTCGTCGATCGAGCGGGTGTAGTCCTGGATCTCGGCCTGCGTGAACCACATGCCGATCTCGTGCTTGGCCGAGTCCGGGCCGTCCGAGCCGTGGACAAGGTTGCGGCCCGTCGAGATGCAGTTGTCGCCACGGAGCGTGCCAGGGGCAGCCTGGTTGGGGTTCGTGGCGCCCAAGATCTTGCGGCCCGTCAAGATGACATCCGTGCCTTCCCAGACCATGCAGACGATGGGGCCCGAGGCAAAGTACTTGACAAGGCCGCCGAAGAACGGGCGACCAGCCAAGTCGGCGTAGTGCTCGCTGGCGCGGGCCTCCGTGGCCGTCATGAGCTTCATGGCGACAAGCTTGTAGCCCTTCTTCTCGAAGCGGCCAATGACCTCCGAGATAAGGCCACGCTCGACGCCATCCGGCTTGATGGCGATGAACGTGCGCTCGTGCTTCGTGCCGGCGACGCCCGTGTACGGCGTGACGCGGGGCGCGGCCTTGTTCTGGGCCGGCGCCGAGAAGGCGAGGGCCGTGGCAGCCGTGATACCGGCGGCGACGATCCAGGGGGCCGAAGCCTTCTGGGCGAGGGCGGGGGCCTGCGTGCTCATGGCGCGGGTGGCGTTGCGGGAGAGGTTGCGGACGACGCGGCGGGCGAACATGTTACTGTGAGTACTTGGAGGGCAATCCGAGAATGGCGAGGATAGCCCCACGTTCGCAAGCTCGGCCTATCCGTGCTCCGATTGGCCCACACAGCGCCTTCGAATTATTACACGCAAATCGTGTAACGTTCGATATAAACCACCAAAATAGTGTGCACGTTGCAGATTCAGTGGCCACCCACGTGCAACCCATGAGCACTCGTTTTATACTGCGACGCACGAGCGCTGGCAAGATGCCAACCTGCTCCATCAGCAGACCACCCTCCGCACCGCCGTCGGGAGCGGTCGCTTGTATTGCTCACGTCGTGACTATCACTACGCGGCCGTAAATCGCGCAGGAGTATCACATCGTCGACCAGCTCTGCATTTTGCGTTGACGTGGGCGGGGCTAGATACGAAAAGTTTGGTTTTGTATGGAAGACATGTTGATTGTGGTTACGGACAACTTGCTAGGTGCAGCTACGCTGGCATGACAATATTCTTTTATAATGAAACTCAGCTTTCCGTTTCGAATCATGTGCACCTAAAGAGGTACGATTTCATACGAACGAGACCAAATAGGTCAATCACTGTTTCAAATTCCTACTCCTACTACGTGCGATAGATGGATCTCACAACTACACTGGATGCGGTGAATTTAAAACTGAGCGCTATGGAGTGGCACCGGGCCAAACGACTGGCGCCCACGGAATGCCTCTAAAACTCGATATAGATGTATTCTGACAGTGGTGACCGGTGGCCAGCGGCGACTCCGGGTAGGTACGTCTATCCGGATCGTACTTTGGCGCGTGCGAGCTTAACCGGATAATCGCAGCATGCTGCAGCGCATCAGTCTCGTGACCATGGCCGCCACGCGACGACGTCTGCGCTCTAGTAGCAGCGCAACCAAGGAGCTCCTAGACGACCTCGTCGCTGCGCCCAAGAAGCCCAAGCGAGCGCCCAAGGTGGCAACGGCCAATGCCATGGCGAAAGAACGCACGTCGGGCACGCGTGCCAAGGCGGCGGTCGCCAAACCAGGCAAGTCGCTGGACATCGTAGCGCTCGCTGCCGACGCCGATGCGCGCATTGTGTACACGTACCCTCGCCTCGTGCAAGGCAAGCTGCTGAAGCGGTACAAACGGTTCCTTGCCGACATCCAGCTCGCGAACGACGAGGTCGTGACAGTGCACTGCCCCAACACGGGGCCCATGATTGGCCTCTTGGACCTGCCGCTTGCCAACGTCCAGCTGTCCGTGAGCGACAACCCGAAGCGCAAGTACGCCCACACACTCGAGCAAATCCAAGTTCACGTACCCCTTTTTCGTCCTGCCATCTCGTGCTCAACGACGGCATCTCATTAGAACGGCCGTGGGCTCGAGTGGGTCGGTGTGCACTCGATGTCGGCCAACGCGATGGTCGGGAACGCGCTTCGCCACGGATGGCTGCCGGACGTCGTCGGCCATGCGCTTATCACCAAGATCACAGCCGAGGTCAAACACACGGCCCATAGCCGCATCGACTTTGTCGTCGAGACAAATGGCCCCAAAACGTTTTACATTGAAGTCAAGAGCGTGACACTACGTATGGACAACGGCCGCGCGGTCTTTCCCGACACGGTCTCGACGCGCGCGCAAAAGCACGTCGACGAGCTGATCGCGCTGCGCGCGTCGCACGGGACGTCGATCCAGCCAACGATCGTGTTTTTGATCCAGCGGCGCGACAGCACGTCGTTCGCGCCGTCGACTGTGCACGATCCTGCGTTTGCGGCCCTCTGCGCGAGCGCCAAGGCGGCCGGCGTCCACCTCTTTGCCTATGCGTGCGAGCTCATCACGTCCTCGGATGCTGGCCACATCGTTTTGCTGCCTGGTCCTCTGCCCGTGCACACGGACGATTAGCTGTATCGTGGCATGAGGTTAAACTATGTGTGTGACGCCGAAGGTCAATCCAATCGAGCCTTGATGACGGAATGTACGCAGAAATGCACTTCATCTTGACGAAATCGTCGAGCGAGTGCTTGATCATCCGCGCATTTCTTGACTCTTCGTCCCTTTAGCAAATCTATCTATTAATTGAATAAGGACTTTTTTGCGCGAAGCGCGGCACGAGCGCAGCGAGGGCACCCGGCGGTAGCCGGGCCGGTGCGCTAGCACGGCAACGTTGTTGGAGCTCTAAATAATGTGTTTTGACGCGCGTAGCGCGTCGGGAAGGGTCAAATTCGTTTAAGTGCGAGTGGCAATTGAGAGTCACGCTCAATTGACTTGATTTTGTATCAAACGTCACATTAGTACTTAACGGGACATATGCGCACTTAGCCGCGCGCAGCCGGGTCGTGCGCGATAGCGCACACCACGAGCGTAGCGAGTGCATCCGGCGATAGCCGGATCCCACCCGGTAGCGCGGTTGGGTCATATGGCATTTTTGTTTGTGGCAACGTCATATCGCACTTGGGATTTGATCCGCGCGCAGCGCGCCACGAGCGAAGCGAGTGCATCCGGCGATAGCCGGATCCCGCGCGGTTGCGCGGTAGAGGCTCATGCTATGTGCAAGCGCAGCGAGTGCTTTTGGCATCGATGCACGCAGCGCCACCCTCGAGTGTAGCGTGTGCACCCGCGATAGTGCACGGCAGCGCGGTACTAGGAAAGTGTGCGCGCGCTCGGCCACGATGTGGTGGCGCGGCGCAGAGAAGTGGTTGAAGACGGTGGTCATGGTGATGAGTCGTGGTAGGGGCATATTCCATGTGCGAGCGCGGGAGTGTAATGTGCGCGATAGTGCAGTCGGTATTGACTGTGCATTTCAATTTGTGCGCGAAGCACAGAGCAGAAGATCCGGTCATGGTGGGAATGCGAGTGTGTGGCATCTGCGACTGCGATCAAAGAAGCCAAGGAGCTGAAGAGAAAGATCCTCGCGGGCGATGGCAACAATGCAAGGTCGATGCGGCTGCACTTTCTGAAGAAAAGTGCGCGTGTACAGCGGCCTGCGACTGAGCGACGAAGTCATGGGATCGCGTCACGAAACCGGTAGAGTAGCTGGGCCGGGTAACCGGAGCACATAGCTGATTCGACGCCATTGGCCCTGCAATGTTGATCTTTGCGTGATGCTGCAGCAGTCTGTTATGGCGTCTATGCAAGACGCGTCCGTCTATGCAGTATTGGACCCGATTGCTGAAACGATGTGAAGGCTAACAGACCACAACTTGGCGGGATGGGGACGATGCACCAGCCTCACCGCCACCCAAGAAAAAATATTTGACGTCGACGCCGCTGCAGCACTATAAAGATTCATCTTTTGGACAAACACACCAGGTTGCACTGCAGTGTGGTTCCCGGCCAAAGGCCGGCGGCGCACCGCAGCGAAGCGGAGGTTGCGTTTGCACACACATTTGCCATGTGAATGCGTGTCTGCATTGGGCAGGGTGTGCTGAATGGTACATGAAACCGAACACCGATGATTGATGGCATCCACACAGTCCATGCTACGACACCGGCGCACCGCTAGATTGCACGCTGCCCCGATACCAAACCGAAATCAAAAAGCTCGATGGCACCCTGCACATAACTTCTACACAAACGAAACTACTGCGCATGCTACGCAGAAAGACCGCTAGATGGTCCACCGGCCCAATGCCCCACCTAAATGGCAAAGCTCGACCGCACTCTGCCCCAATAAAACACGAGGTGTGGGGCAGGGTACGTTGAACGTTGAACGTATATGCACATGATTATATTTTGATGGCGTCCACACTGTCCAAGCTACGACACGATCCCACCGCTAGATTGCACGCTACCCCAATGCGAAACCTCAACCAAAGAGCTCCTGCCCCAAGAATACACGGGATTTACCCTAGTACTAGTAGTAATACATTATACTTTTGGATAGTCCAACCGCGGCAGAGCTCGGGCTGGACCGTCGACTACCGAGCAATCGAACGTGTTTGCGTTGCAAGTGACGTGAAGTCCAAAACTTATCGTCCCATTCCAACAAGTGGGGCTCTTCCTTGGGTGTGTGTTAAGTTAGGGTCTTAAATGTACTCGCCCCACGGGTCGGCGTCGTCCAGATCGATCGTTGGCGGCGCAGGCGATATGTTGAAGAGCTCCTGGATCTCGTCAAAGGTCTTTTGGCCCGTCTCGGGCACGACAAAGTAGACAAACAGCGTGTAGCCGACGAGCGTCGCGACAAAAATCAAAAACGCATAGTCGCCGAGCGCTTCCTTCTCGGACAGCGTCGGGTACAGAATGCCCACGAGGAGGTTGGCGACCCACGTCGCCATCGTGCCGAGGGCGCCGGCGCTCGCGTGTAAAAAGTCGGGAAAGATTTCGCCCGTGACCATCCACGCCATGGGGCCGATCGAGAAGCAAAAGGCGCCGACAAAGACCGTCGCCGAGACAATCGAGAGCGTCGAGAAGCCTTGCGTGAGCGAGACGACGACGCCGATGGACGCCAGCACCATGAGCGACATGAAGTTGAGCAGCAGCGTGCGCCGCTGCACCTTGTCCATGATGCGCGCGGCGACGAGGATACCGCCCGTGCGCACGACGTTGACGATCGTGTTGCCAATGCGCGGGTCGGTGACGCCGGCGTGATAAAAGATGGACGACGAGTAGTACATGATGGCGTTGATACCGCAGAGCTGCTGCGCCGAGCAGAGCACGATCGCAATGATGAGCTGCTTGCGGTATTTCTTGGAGAAGAGCGCGCGCCACGGATTGATGCCAAGGACCTCGTGCTCCTCTTCGTCGTGGGCCGCGATCAACGCGTTCACGATCGCGTCCGTGTTGCACGGACGGTACAAACGCTTGAGCTCGTCGAGCGCGCCGTCGTGGTCGCCTTGCGCGATGAGCCAGACCGGGCTTTTCGTTGTGAGCGGGAACAAGAGCATTTGGATAAAGCCGAGCACGATCGGAAACCCGACGAGGACGCGCCAGCCGTCGCCGTACCCGACAAAGTAGTGGACCGTGGTTACCGCCAAGGACCCGAACGCGACGCCGACCTGAAGCCCGGTTGAGAACATGCCGCGCATGTGGCACGGCGAGATTTCCGAGATGAGCACGTTGCAGACGTTGATGGCGGCGCCGGACGCAATCCCCGAGACGAGCCGGCCGATCGAGAAGAGGTAGATCTCACTCGAAATGGCTTGGAGGAGGCCGCCGGCGATCATGACGATCGCATTGAGCAGCAGCGTTTTCTGCCGGCCGTACTTGTCGGCAGGGTACCCGCTGCCCATGGCGCCAATGGCGCCGCCGAGGATCCACGCCGAGACCGCCATTGTCCACTCGTTCTCCGAGTGGCCGCGAAACATGATGCAGTCATTCTCCGGGATCGGACGCAGCGCGCAGTTGTCGTCAAAGGGCCGAAAGTTGAGCTGGGACATGAGCCAACCAAACTGGAACGAGCCCATGAGCGCGACGATGATCGTCGCGTACAGGATCGGCGCCGGGATGAGCGCTTTCGAGTGCTCTTCATGGAGCATCGACTCGAGGCGGCTGAGCTGGTGCCGCGACGTGCTACGGCGGGACGCGCGCCACGACGGCGAGCTCAGTCGTTTCCTTGCGCCAGGCCTGGGTGAGAACTGCACTGGCATGTACACGTCATCGTCGTCGTCGTCGTCGTCGAGGTTGTCGTCGCCGGCGCTGTTGGGACCGAACGTGCCGTCAGTCGAGTGCGCCGTTGGCACCCGGTCGGGCGACGCGTCGAGGCCGGTCCGGGATGCCATCATGTGATCAGTAATGGCAGGCAAGCGGGCAAGGTCGGCGTGTTAGTGGCTGGTTCTATATTGACTTCAACCTTTTGAAAAACCGCGTGTTTTTGTGCTAAAGAGGGTGCGCATCCAATTGAATTCTGGATGCCACGTCATGGAAAAAGGACGAAACGCGCGCTGAAAAGCGGATTTCAACAATTTCAACCACGACACGCTCGGTGCCGATCCAACTCGGCACAGACTTGGATTCCGCTCCTGGGGATGGGTCACTCATATAGTCTTCGTATGCAATCGCCATCAGCTCAATCGCCATCAGCTGCTGTATCACCCTCGGCCAATCGCCTGCGTTGAGAGGCGAATGAATCGAGCGGAACGCTAAAGCCTTTCTTCTACCTGAGCCACAGACAATACTGCGCAGAATACCACCTTGTAGGTTCACCATAATAAGGCAACGCTCGGCATGTGCCACAAAGAACACAAGGAAGAAGCGCGATGAAACGGCCCATTTAGTTAGGGTTAAACGTCAAATGCACCCGTCTGAAGTACCACCTTGTAGGTTCGAGTGCAAGTCGATCTTTTTAACAAATAACATTATATTTAAACGACGATATCAAAAGTTGTCAACACAAACGTCTACTTGAAGCTATCGAACGGGTCGACTTCAGTGACGGGCTTGGGCGACGGCGGCGAGACGCGGTCAAACTCGGCTTGGATCTCGTCAAACGTGCGCTGGGCAGTCTCGGGCACGACAAAGTACGTAAAGACGATGAAGATGACGAGGAAGCCAAGGAAGATGAGGAACGCATAGTCGCTGAGCACGTCCGGCTTGGAAAGCGTCGGGTACGAGACACCGACCAGAAAATCACCGCTAAAGGTAAACATGGTGCCAATGCCGCCCGCGCTCGCATGCAGAAAGTCTGGAAAGATCTCGGCGGTAACCATCCACGCCATCGAGCCGATCGAGAAGCAGTACGCGCCGACATACACTGCAGTCGCAAGCACCGAGAGGATCGGGCTAGAGAATATGAGCGAGATCGAGATGCACGTCGCCGCCGCCGCCATGACGCCCATGCCAAAGAGGAGAAGCGTGCGTCGGCGGAACTTGTCCATGACCTTGGCCGCAAACACCATGCCCGCTGTGCGCACCACGTTGATGATCGTGTTGCCGATCCGTGGGTCGTTCACGCCAGCGCTCGCAAAGATGGACGACGAGTAGTACATGACGGCGTTGATACCGCAGAGCTGCTTGGCCAAGCAGAGCACGATCGCAATCGTGAGCTGGAGACGGTAGCGTTTCGAGAAGAGCGACTGCCACGGGTTGATGCCGACCGTCTCCTCAACCATCTCGTCGTGCGACGCTTGGATCGCACGCAGAATGGCCTCCGTATCGCACGGCAGGTACAACCGGTTGAGTTCGGCGAGGGCCAACTCGGGCTTGCCGACGGAAATGAGCCAGACAGGGCTCTTGGCCGTGAACGGAAGAAGAAAAATCTGAAGACCGCCGAGCGCGATCGGGAAACCGACCAATAGCCGCCAGCCGTACGAGTAGCCGATAAAGTAGTGGCACGTCGTGACGGCGAGCGAGCCGAACGCAATCGCGACCTGCAGGCCCGTTGCGAAGAGCCCACGCATCTCCATGGGCGAGATCTCGGAGACGAGGACGTTGGCGACATTGACAGCGGCGCCGGCGGCGATACCCGAGACGAGGCGCCCAAACGCAAAGAGATAGATACCCGTGGACGCGCTCTGAAGGAGCGCACCAAGAATCATGACCATCGCATTGAGGTACAAGGTGCGCTGACGGCCATACTTGTCAGCGGGGAAGCTGCTGCCGATGGTGCCGATGGCTGCACCGATGGTCCACGACGTGACGGCCATTGTCCACTCGTTGCCCGAGTGGCCGGGAAACATGATGCAGTTGTCCTTCGGAATCGGGTCCTCGCCGCACTTCGAGTTGAACGGCTTGTAGTTGAGCTGCGTGAGGATCCAGCCGAGTTGAAAGGTGCCCATGAGCGCAACCGTGATGGTGACGTACAGCGCGCGCGTCGGCTGAAGCGCCTTGGATTGCTCTTCGGGAATCATCGACTCGAGGCGACTGAGGCGGCGCCGGGAGGACGAGCGATTCGTGGACCGCGACGTCGCCCGCTTCATATCGTGCATCGTTGGCGATGACGGCGGTATCGCCACAAAGACGTCAGGCTTGGGCGTCGAGACGACGCCAAAGTTGGTCGTTGGCAGGAGCTGTGTGCCGGCCATTGCAAGTTGTCAAGTGCCGAAGTGCTAGAAGACGTGGTTGTAAAGATCGCGGACCGCACGTTTCACCGCGTGGCTCTGCGATACACCCATTCTATGTCTATTGCGCTTGACGAGTTTGCATTTTAGCAGACGGTGATGCGCCACGTCACATCCTGTACCATGACAGTCGATGATAGCGCTCGGCAAATCGGCTTTTGAGCACAAAACTACTTGCACCTCGAGATCAACCTTGAACACTTGTAAAGCAAACGACATATTCATATACATACTGATGATTTCAACGAGCGACAAGCAACGCGCGTTTGCAGTTGTCGCGACGAAGACATGCAAGATCGCTGTGCCTCCTTGAAGCTCCACCAAGAGCCACGCTGACTTACAACGGTGTAATCCCAGGTCAAATTCCCCTCTTCGTTTCCATAGTAGAGCGAATCTCAAAGCATCGGAGGCCATCCTTCAAGCCCTTTAAGATGTGTTTCGGGTGCAAGAAGAATCCGGCGGGCAACCTTCTTGCAGTGGTTTTGGCCCAGCAGTCCCACACGTGCGGAAACGAGACAGCGGCGGCTGAAAAAACGGAGCTTCCGCACTTGTCGCCACACCAAGCACGACGCCGGTGTGCAAGCGTTGTATGATTGGCCACAGCCCTCGTCGCACGGTACATGGACCGAACAGCCCCGCGCTCTGGCACCTTGAAGTTGGCCTCGCGAAAAAAGATGCATTTTGAGATCATTCGATGTACGAGTTTTACAAACCTCTCCAATCCAATATCGACGACACCGACTTTAGTCGATCCATACCGACTACCAAACCGACTATGTGTCCGATTGTACTACGACTAAACCGACCCCGTCAACGACGATGCATAAGCACAATGACGGCATTTTATACAATTGTAGTCGTTCCAAAGAAACCAGGAAGTATTACACAAAAAGACACAAAATTAGTTTATAAATCTAGTTGACGAGTACCTAGTCGATGCTCGCGTACGGGTCCAATTCGACTTGGGCCTTGGGCGACATGACCGGGAGCGGGTTGAAGAGCAGTTGGATCTCGTCCGACGTCTTGTGCGACGTCTCGGGGAGCATCACGTACGTGAACGACGCGTACCCGACGAGGAAGGCGAAGAAGAGGAGGAAGGCGTAGTTGGAGAGCGCGTTCGTGGCCGCGATCGACGGGTAGAAGAGGCCGACGATGAGATCGGCGATCCACGTGGTCATGGTGCCGATGCCGCCGGCCTTGGCGTGCAGAAAGTCGGGAAAGATCTCGGCCGTGAGCATCCATGCCATGGGTCCGATCGAGAGCGAGAAGGCGCCGACATAGATGGCCGTCGAGAGGAGCGAAATGACGGGACTCGC